TCTCTTTTTAATTAAAAACAATTCGTTAAAACAATGCTTTGGTCTAAAAATTAATTAATTTTGTTTTTTGAATGTGTTTAAATGTAGAGTAGAAGTTGCTAATTCCGGCTGGTTTTAATACCGTTTTTTTCGGTATCTTAAAACCGTCTTTGGATTTTTCATGTGAAAATATGAAAATGTTTTCAACTTTTAGCTTTACATCTAGGCTTTATACTAAATTTAAAGCCTAGATGTAAAGATAAAAGTTGAAAACATTTTCTTATTTTCACATGAAAAATCCAAAGACGGTTTTAAGATACCGAAAAAAACGGTATTAAAACCAGCCGGAATTAGCAACTTCTACTCTAAATCTTTTTTTGTTAAGTCTTGAAGCTCTTCTTATGTGAAACTTATAGGGAAATGAAGAGCCAACCTCTCTACGACCTTAGCTCAAATATTTTCTAAGAAAAACTATTTAATTATCTAAAAAAAGTGACAACTAATAACACTTTGTAACGTAGAGGAAAGCAAGTAAAGAAAGTTTAATCGTTAGCAGTGATTTCAGCTGGGAGAAAGATTTCAAGATTAGAAAAATTCAGACTTCATAGTGCAAGCCATGGATGATGCTGAAGAGCTTCTTTTGAGCGATCACCATAATCATATGTGAGCTCAACGCCTTCAGAGAGATCTTCTTTTGCTATAAGCACGAGATGTGGACGATTCCCAACCATTACAGTTTTCGTCATTAAATTTCCGTTTCGCGAATGGTTAACTAAACGTCCTAATTTACCGGTTTCCTCTGTTGCGTCAATGCTAAGAAACATTTCGATGTTAATTGCATGATAAATGAAAATTTAAATTGCTAACTCACCAATATTGTTGGTCATTATGTTTAAAATAATACATGTAGCAACCCGTGTTGTCATCAGTAGCGTACATCACTTCTCGTTCATTGGCTTCTGACATTGAGATGAGATCACCAATGTATTCGATCACAAATTCACCGCGTTGGAATGATCGAGTTGTTACAATGCCTCGACCTTTATTATCAAATACACGAACCTACACGAGTATTTAATATTTTAATGAATGATTTAACGACATGACGTTTGAAAATTTAATACAAACCTCGAGTCCTTCCTCACGACCCTCTTTTATCGCTCGTTCAATATTCTTCATTCGTTCTTCTTGAACTTCTTTCTTGGTCTTTCTAACACTCCGACGAACAGTGAAGAATTCAGTAACTTTTTTATTCTTTTCAGCTGGCGCTGATGGTGCTTTGAATGGCTTTTCAGCCTGAGGCTGGATCTTGTTACCATCGTAATCATGATCCTGATGAATCACATTTGTGTTTTTCTCGTCGTCATTCGATGGAATTTCGAGTCTACTCATAAAAAAGTTAAAAAATAGAATTGTTAAATAAAAACTTCATCAACTTACTTGACTTTTGCACGACTTTTCGTCCTCGATGCTTTGATAAGTTCAGCTGTAATCTTTGATGTTGTAGATGAACTTTTAACTGGTGATGGACAAAGAATCATACGATGAGGTGTGACAGGTTTTCGTCGTCGTGCAGTTGGTAATTGTACTGGCGACTTCATAAATTCATCGCCTATCACGACGCCTGAGTCACTTGAATTGCTATCGGAATTGAGAAGAAAAGTAGCCTTATCCTTGTTGACGACGTCATCATCGTGAGATCCATTGACATTCAGTACTTTGTTGATGTATTCCGTCGGCGGGAGAGTTTGAAATTTTCCGGTGATTTCAGTTGATAGGAAAGAAGTTTTGATCGCCGCACCATTTGTCACAGCTTCATTTTTATCAAACTGGAGCTTTAAAACGGGCTCCTGAAGAAAAAGATTGTTGGCGGCTTGAGCTTCTGGCAGTAGAACCGGACCATTTGTCATTTTAAGTTGTTTCGATTGAGTGACTTCCAGACTTGATGGCGGATCATTTTCCGTCGATGGTTGATCATCTAGCGAGTCGCAGCTATCATCAGAATGTGAATTGTGTCCATTTTGAACACGAATAATGCCATTGGCTGGTAAACGTGCAAAGTATTCGTTAATCTTGCGCGTTGAACGTGTTGCAGGTCGGAAAGGTTTCGCTTTTGAACCTTCTTTTGATTTTCCTGCTCCATTTTCCATCAACACGCCGTCGATTTTTGTTTCTTTTCTTTTTGGACTGTTAAAAGTTTGATTATCATCATCATTGAAGAGCGTGCTGACAAGGAGATTTGAAGTTGTGACCTTCTTTGTTGGTGTTGCTGATGCTCCATTAGAAGAACTCTTCTGAGCGCGAGGCTTACGACCTAAAAAGGAAACAAATTAATGACCATTTTCGTTAATGATGTGGATCATGAATTAATAAAATGATTGCGCAATCTGGCATTTGTTAGTATTTGATTAAAATGTAAAAGTGCATGGCGAATTCTTATCAGACTTCATTTTATTTTCGTACAAAAACGTCAAAATATTGTCACACATGAAGTAAAAAACATCGAGTGGTGACATAAAAAATAATGTGTGTAAATTCTTTTTGATAATGTGACAACCAAAGCGATCGGATGTGGGTGATATTTTTAGAATTTTCTACTTCTATCTCTTTTCCTCTTTTCCGACCGGCCATAAAACCAAAAAGTTTGTAATGTTCTAATAAAAGACATACAAATAAGAGTCGGTGGTTTTCTTTTCTTTTTCTTTGCGCTGCATACTCAAATATGCAAGTAAAGCAATGGCCGTGCTTGTACACGATGTACCGACGAAGACTCGAGAAAAAGTCATAATTTAAAGCGCCACATTGAAAAGCGCGGACAAGCATGAAAAGAGAAAAAAGAGCAACAAATAAACAACATGGAATGTGTTTTGTTGAAAAATGCGAAGCAATTTTATGCGATGTGTGAGAAGAAAAAAAATTGGAGCTGGGACTGTCAAGGCCTTCAATTTTGCTTGCTACGACAGTTCATCGTTTTATGTGGAAATGAATTGTGCGTTTCAGAAACGTAATGCAATTAAAATGATGGATATTTGATAGAACCGAAAACGCTTTTTATGGAAATCATTTATTGATGAATAGAGAATAAGATTAAAATGCTTACCTCGAACCATTTTGTTTTCTATCGATTAATTAAAATCTTATGGTAAAGTTATGAATGATTATAGGAGAATTATTGATAGTTTAGTGCTTTCGAACCTAATTGCAGCGTAAGAAAGCATTAATTTTCATATTTCTTTGTCTTTTTTTTTCTTAAAGTTCTGAAAACCTATGAAAATTTTTCTTTTCACTCTCTCTAATCTTAAAATATCAAATTGTTCTGAACATTAACACAAACTTTCTGTTATAGGCAATAATTTATTTGATAACTCTTTTAATAACTTGATATTCTAATGAGATAATTTATTATATTAACCTAACGCGATATTGTTTGCAGAAGAATATGAATGAAACTGAGAGGGAGTTGTTACTAAACATAACATTTTAACGGTTTTTCTACGCCTTGTGAAAGGTGGGCCTTCAACTTTGTTTTCAAATTTCGCCGGCAATTTCCGTTAAATCTTCTTCACTTAGCTGAAGTTGATAGTCATGAATTATTATTCAGTTCATGTTATCATGTCTTAAAAGCACTCATGAAAAAATAAACGTGTGTTTAATCGTCTTTTACTTTTACCTTTTATTTCTTTAAATTATTTATTTCTTACATGACATATTCAATAGATAATTTCTTGGATACATTTTAAATTTTATTTTCTCATTCTTCAATTTTTATTTTAATCAACAATTTAGAAGAGTTTGACTTTTTTGTAGGAAACAAGGGAAGTTTGTGGCTTATAAATGCCACACATGATCCTTCAGAAGAAAGAACTTTTTTAAATTATTTAATTAAATCAGATCAGGTTTCGATAATCGTAAGATGATAAAGCTTTAGGTTGGGGAATTCTATTTACTTATCTTTAAGAATTTTAATTTTTTGTTTTATCCTCATTTTAGATGAAGAAGTAAAAGCGAGAGAAATCTGAATTTTCATAAGAAATCGTTGAGACTTTTCAATAAACTCTTCATTAACGATTTGTAGCAAACTGCACGAAGCCGTTTCTTTATAACACTGAAGAAACAGCCAATATTTAACAGGGAAACAAAAAAGGCTGGATAGAATCATTTTTGTATGTTCAAATACTGATCATCGTATCTCTCTACCCAAATATATCAACGTAAAAAAATTAACTGAAAAAATAACTTTACAAAAAAAATGTTGTAATAATAATTGAAGCCCGACTTGCTTTATATTCAAATAAACATAATTTTGCTCTTAATTTAGCAAAAATTTAACACTAATAGTCATCTATTTCGATTACATATGAGCAGTAATAAAAGAATAGTACAAGAAATAAACAGCGAGCTATATAATAAATGAAAATTCTAAATTCAACTTACATTCTTCATAAATGGAATCGTTTATAGTTCATTTTTATCAATTAATTATTACTTTTTTTTTTTTATTTTAACCATAAGTTTTCAGTTTCTCAATTATTTATTACCGAGAAATAAAGAAATTGCATGCTTTGAATGTGTGTAGATGTGTTTTATGTGTGTGTTGGTGTATTTGTAATCGATTATTGTAAATTTGCTTTCTTTTAATGAGTGTAAACAATGAAGAAAAAAAAGATAAGCTTTTCTTGACTTAAGATTAACGTTCGTCTATTATTTGCCATCTTGCAATGAGTTTTCATTAGTCAGAAGAAATTTCTGAAGCTTTTTACACAATACCAGAATAAAGATGTCTTTAAAATTGATCAGCAAGAAGCTCACAAATCTCTGTTGTTACTTGTTCTTTGCTAGCACGAACTGTCAAACGGAACATCTGAAAGAGAATAAGATAAAGTTTGTTATTTATTAGCACTTTCAAAGCAATAAATTTCTTAATCTATTTAAAATTCCATTTTTCTAACCATGCTCACCTGAGCTTGCTTGTTGGGTTCCAATCTCAATAAGCAACCAACTTGATGTGACTGCGTATGAATAATTCCAGCACAAACCATGTTGTCTGGATTAGGATCGATTCCGTCAAGTAGTTGCATCCCAAATCCTGACAATTTATTGCGAGCGCCAGGAAGATCGAGTGGAATCTGAGCTTTAAATACTTTTTGGGCGCGTTGTTTCTCCCTGTCAATAAACAAATTGTTTAATATAAAGAAACTAACTAAAGTTTGAAATCTTTACCCTCCGAGATTCTTCCATCTTGCAAAGAATGATTCCCCATTCATTTCTGTTGGTTCAAAGAATTTATTGACCGTCAATGGCAGTTTGATGATAAAGTTTTGTGGCGTTCCATTGTAACGGAATGACAGTGCGAGTGATGGTGAATCTTTGATAATAAATGAAAAATTAAAATCAATTTCCTTCATTCTTCAATTAATTACTTACCTGAATAACTATCTACACACTCAGCTGTTATCATTTGCTGAATTTGTGCACCAGCATCAAGAGTCGAGTCAACTGCTTTAATTTGTACATTGAGCTTCGTTGCATTCTCTGTTGACCATTGAAGCACAGGTTGGAAATTTACGAGCGGCACCTGAGTTTTATTGCCATAAAAAAGTCCCAAGCGTCCAAGATTTTGACGGAATTCACTCTTCACACCTATCTGAATCATTTCATTCTCAAATAGTACGCCATTGTTCTTAAACAAAAATCTAAGAAAGAAAAAATTAAATTAGTTAAGCTTTGAAGTGAAAATATGAAAAATCTTTTCTCACTTCTTTGCATTGTTCACCGCAGATGATGATGATGAATTGTAAATGTCACCAAGAACATCGATGAGTGTATTTTGAGTGTTGTTTTGTTGTTGCTGTTGCGATGGTGGCGTACTCAGACCCAATAGATCTAACGATCCGCTATTATTATTGTGATTACTGAAAGCAGAAGAAAAATTATTAAAATTGAAATTGAGGATGAAGAAAATGAAATTTACTTGTTTGTTGCATGATTTTGAGTTGCGCCATGATTCGGCACAGGACTCTTAGATTCTCTTATCTCATTTTCGGGCACACGTCCTGGTTTCTTCTTCTTCAATACCGCAAGAATGGAACTTTCACGTTCAGGGAATGACGGCATCTCTTCAAGTACTGTCGCCAAGACATCTTTCGATGCAACAATACTCAACTGCAGATATTCACTTGCCCTTTGTTGTAATTCAGCATCAGCTGAACGTAAATTACTATGTTGTCTGAAGACGTCTTGAATTGTGCCACGAATTTCAGGGAAAAGATTGATAAACTTGATGTAAGTGCTCAAAAGTAGTGCTCGTGTCATTGACGAGCATAAATGGTACTTCGAGTGGAGTAATTTAAACTGAACCATCGGCGCTGAACGAGAATCACCAGCAATGAGATTACCAAATTCACCAAGTATGTAACCACCAACTTTGACCATGTTTTCATGACAAGCAGGAGCTTGCAGTGCTTCAAAGACAGTCTTCGCTGCATACCCTTGCACTTCTTCACGATTAATGACAATTTGAATAACGCGATACCAAACTTCTTCCGAAACATAATCGCCAGCGATGCGAATCAAATTCAAAATCACATCAACGTACCATGTGAAATCTGTTGCGTATTTCTCAGCCAGAATCGCCACTTTCAACACCATTTCTTCACGTATTGAATAATCAGCAGTCTCGAGATAGTTGAGCATCTCTTGCACAATTTCTTCAGCATTACTTCGATCACACATTGCGTAAAGAAGATCAACAGCTTGTTGACGAACTGAAACATCTTTCTCCATTTTCATTGATAAAATTACAACTTCTTGATGCTTCTTAACAGCTTCATGGGAGAATTCTGATGTTGCTAAATGACACATCGACTCAAGTGCCAAATAACGTAAGTTTGTTTCACGATTTGATAAGAATTGTCCAAGCTGATTACAAGCACGAACAAGTAAATTTGCTTCACTATCATTGTGGATAATGAGATTAATGGCTTCAAACAGAACAGCATTCTTCGCATTTGAATGTTGAACTTTTTTGCTTTTTGGCGGCTCTTGTGCCTTATTTAAAATAGTTTCAAGACATTCATTCAAACGTCCACGTACTCCTGGATCTTCTGTTGGTGGATTGTAATTCTGCAACAAACGCAAAAGCTTCACTGATAACCACGGAGCAGGAACGAAGTAGTAAGTGTAGTCCTGCAGATCTGTGTAGCTGCTGGTGAAGATTCTTGAAAGCCTCGACACAGCAAGACTCACACATCCTTTGTATTCTTCGGGATCTTTCTTGACAAGAGCATCAATAAGACTTGTTGCTGCCGTAACGACACCCATGTGATGATCATTGAGCAGATGAATTATTCGACTTGTCCACTCACCACCAGGAATGATTTCTGGGCATGTTCGGAATAAACGTAACAAGCAGAGAGCAGCTGATTGCTTCACAACGTCCATGGTGTCGCCAGAGACGAGAAGTTTTGGAATTTCATTCGAGAAAGCTTCGGCCATGTCTTGACTGCCAATATTTGCAATGCATTGGAGGGCTAAGTTGACATGAATTGGATTTCTTGATTGCAAATCATTCTTTATGCTTTGAATGATAAGCTTTATCAGATCGCTATTGGTGTTGACAAGCACAGAGATGAAGAGATAACCCTGAAGAGAAAGGAAAAAAAGAAATTCATGAGTCATTCAATGAACAATTTTCTCATCTTTTTTTCATCAACTCACGATTTGTTTCTCTGAATATTTGTTTGATGACAACAAATTTACAGCTTCCATGTGACCGAAATCAATATCATGGCCAAGTAGAAAGATGAATAACAGCTTACAAACATATTTCTTCTTCTGATACCCGTCCAGAGTCTTGTCGCCTTTAAATTTACTTCGAATGTTTGCAAGTTCCTTGTTCATACGCTTCACTTCAGACTCTTTGCTTTTGCCTACATTTGATTATGATTGAATTGTTAAGAAAGAGGGCGGAAGTGATTTAATTTAATTAAAATCAATCTGCTTTCTTTTCTACTTACAATTTCTTATGTCAGATATGAAGACAGCGAGACCTCGCATTCCATCACCACGAACAGGTGCCATTGCTTGATTTTATTAATTCTTTTATTTCTATTACTTTATTTTGTGTGATCTTCGATCCTTCTCGCTTTTCGTCAACTCCCTACAATGCTCTCTTAAGAGGTTGTTTCTCTTTGCTTTTCTGCTGTTCGTACGCTAAAAATAAAGAAACTAAATGTTTGTAATTGCAACACACTGGCAACTGTTTTTGTGATGATTTAAAACGATTGTTTGTCGAACCATATTGGCGATGCAATTTGCTAATGCAATGCATGCAATTTGACAAATTCTTCGTCTTATCGATTCGCAGAATTACACACAAAAGAGAAAGAAGGAAAGTGGCGATCTCAAAAGGAATTCTTAACGGGGTCGAAGCAACTTTTATCAGCATAATAATATGCTCACTCGGATGTGTGCGCGAGCTAGACGATTCTGGTTATCAATTTCTCTTCTTTTTGTTTGTATTTTTTTTTTCAATTGAAATTCAAAGAAAAAAGTTTAATTACCAAGGAATGTTTCAGGAAAAAAAAAGTTTCAACTGCGGGAATAAAAAATTTACAATTTTTGTGCCAAATTCTATATGATGATGAGTTGAAAACAGATTCAAATCAATTATTGTTGTAATTTTTTTCGGGAAAATTGAAAACGAACAGGAAATAACACACGATAATCGTTGGAAAATAAGAAATTAAAAGGGGAGTATTTTTTTTCGGCAATTACAGAATTTAATGAGTTGTCACTTTTAGAAATTGATGCTTAATCCATGGTTTGAGTTATCAGACGTGTCTTTTACTTACAGCAGTTACCAACTAATCGTTAAGTTTTAAGGAAAATCACGAAAAAGCTTTAAGAATTCAATTTTGCAAATCTTTTTAGAAAATCGATATTTCTCTATAGAACGATTTGCCAATTCTGTCACAAGAAATCAGGAATGTTGTAATTTAGAGATCTTGAAGTTCTGGTTCAAATTATTTTATATCAGTGTCGTTAATTAATTAGTTTTAATTCCAAATCAGAGATTTAATTAAGTAAATATCGATGTTTACACAATGTAAACATTATGTTACATCGTTTTTGAACATTTTCGAGGGGCAGTAATGTTTACATGAATTTAAATTTTTTTATTCCGTTAAAAATAGAAAGGGGAAAGATTTTAGAAGTTTCTGTCTGTTTTACTGCTCAATCACTTTGTAACACAACTTTGCCCTGTGCTTAAATTGAAAGTGCCACTTATTACACTTATCGCATAAAAATATGTGCTTTATGAGCTCAGACTGAATTGTGAAGCGTTAAAATGAGATTGATAGTTTTTTTACTTGCACTTGCGGCTGCATTGACTATGGCGGATGATGTTGATTGTAAGATATCCAATGCTTTATAATTTTTTATATCAACTAATGTTTTGTTTTTGTTTACTTCAAAGATTATCATTATTTCAATGAAGACTTTTATTCTGAAGACTACGAATTGACAACTTTAAAACTGCAACAAACATCAGAGTCCGCTTCTCAGAATGGTGAACTGATTTATGTCATTTGGAGCGCATTAGGTAAGATAAGATCCAATAAGATAACATGTTCATTTATAATGAGTTATAGTTTGCAAACAATGTTAATTGATTTAAGGTAGCATTCTTTATTTTACTTGGAACAGCTTTGCTTTACGCAGTTAACTTCATCTCCTACCCGCGGTACAAAATATTTTTTACTCAAGAAGGAACTTCCAAAAATTGTGATGATGCATCAATTATTCTGGAATATTATTAACGAGAGCTATAAAAATCTTTTAAATTTTTATATGTACAAATAAAAACATTGATAACTTTGAGCCTAAAAATATCTCTCCCAGCGTCAGTTTCTTTTCAGCTTTGGACTGTACAACACTGGAAAAATGATCATGAAAGTCTCATTCTGGATTATTTTTGCGTTATCAGTTGTGAGTGTAAAAGCCAGTAAGTCATTTAATAGAGAATTAATCATAATTTTTGCTAATCACATTACGATTTTATTTCAAGGCATCGAATCTCATGTTACAAATAAAAGCAATAATTTACATAAAGTTAATTTAGAAAGATTAGAAGTGGTTGATGATGGGAAAGAGACAAAATTTCTTACTACAACTACCGAGAATGTTTCAAGTTGGACAACTGACGAAATTCCAACAACAACATCAAATTTGACGACAACATCAACTTCGACGATAACATCAACTCCGACATCGACAACAACACCAAATTCGACCTCAACATCTACAACGCCAATAACAACCTCGAGCACAACTCCTTTACCAGTTTCTACAACCACAGATAATATTAAAACCACCACTAACATCACGCCAGTTCCATCTAACGACACTCATCCTGTAAAATGGCTTTTGGGTAAGTTCAGCTGCAATTGCGACTTTCTTTTTTATTTCTTTCTTTTCCAAGCACAAAATCATCACAAAATTTAGACTTTAAATTTTCTACTTAAAAAAGTGTTTATAATTTTTTTTCTTAAAATGTTTTTAAATTTTTGAATCAATTCACTCAACAATGTCTAATCGTCTACAAAATTTTTCTCCTAGGTGGAATCTTTCTGGGTATTTTCTTAATGATAATTTCATTGTATGCATACAACATTTATAAAAGCCGATCAGAGTCTACGTATCAAAATTTATAAAAAAATTGTTTAACATCGTGACTCTATTATCAACATTTATATAACATTGTTGTTGTCGTTAATAACAAAAAAAAACGAAAATAAAAAGTTAACTTCACAATTAAGCCATTCTTTTATCAAACAATATTCCGATACTCGCCCTTCGTCATTCATTCTCGATGCAAACGCTACATCGTCGCTTTGACTGCGGATCGTAAAACCATTCGAATCATCTCCAAATTTTACACGTGTTATCTTTACTTGCTGTGAGAATAGCATCGCCGGTGTAATTGAAAGCGCATGAGAAAAGTTCGTTATCATGGCCTGAAAGTATTTGACTGCACAATCCATTATCAGGATCGTTATTTAATTTCCAAAGTCGAGCAGTTTTGTCAGCACTTGCTGTAAGAAGTAAACTTCCATTAGGGCTGAAACAAACTTTTGAAATTTCATCTGTGTGACCCTCAAGTGTCAACATTAAAGTGCTGTCTTTGTCCCAAACTTTTGCTGTACAATCACTGCTGCATGTTGCAATTCTTCCAGTATAATCGAAGCATACATCAAGAACTTCGTCTTTATGTTTCAGAATAAATTGAGGATCTTTTGACTTCTTCAAATCCCATACTCTTACAGTGCCATCAAGTGAAGATGTAGCAATTAAATCGTTCGTAAAGTTCCAAATGCAATTCGAAATTTCAGCATCATGACCACGTAAAATGTGACAAGGATCTTTCATGCGAATATCCCACACCATTGCATATTCATCAAATGAACCCGTAATCAGCATAGTTCCAGTATTATTAAAGTGACATGAAACCACTTCAGCTTCATGGTGACGAAAACTGTTGATTTCTTGAGCAGTTTCAGTTGACCAAACAATTGCTGAATTATCCATTGATGCTGTACAAATCAGTTCACTATTTTTATTAAATTCAGTTCCAACAATTTCGCCAGTGTGTCCCCAAAGAGTATTTAAACATGCACCAGATCCCACGCTCCAAATTTTTGCTGTCTTGTCAAATGATCCCGTGACAATTTTATCACATTTTGGGTAATTGAATGCCACTGAGAAAACGACATTTTCATGACCTTTGAGAACATTTATTTCATCTCCAGTTTCAACATTCCATATTCTGCATGTCCTATCGTAGCTTCCAGTCACACATTTTTGGCCAGATCTGTCAAAGACTACATTTGTCAACGGTAAGATATGAGTTTGAAGTGTTTTATACAAATAAAATTTATTCTTTTCAGGTTCCTTAAGCTTGTTCTGAATTTTCTCCAACAATTCACAAACTTGTGGTAAAACATCTTTGGTGAAAATTGTTGGCTCTTTCTTTTTCAATTGCTTCGTTATCAGTTCGAGATCACTGTTGGCTGTCAGATCGAAGATATCAACACATTTTGTTTCCTCCTGACCATTATTTCTTACGTAATTGAAGGCTAACCCCGGAGGGAAGTAACGAAGAAAAATCTTCTGAAGCTTCATCCTCAAATTTTTCAATTGAAAACTAAGGCAAATAGAACGAAACTTAACTGAACAACTTAAAGCAATGAAAACGAAAAAAACTTTATTCTAAGGAATATTTTAATAAAAAAATTATTTGATCGATAACGCCGACGCGTTGTCTTGGAATTTCCTCAATCAAGTTCTTCTGTTTTAATAAAATAAAACATTGTGAATGTTGCAACAAGATTTAATTTTATTCATTAATTCTTTTAAATGTTATAACAATATTAATTCTTCAAAATGGAAAAGTTGAAACCTTTTATCAGATTAAAATTAGATCCTAAAATACATAAAATTGCATAAGTAGATGTGTAGGTGTATAATTTTGTAGAAGCTTTTCAAACTGGTGCGTCGTAATGTTGAGTGCAATTGAAAAACTTCCGTAAATATTTTGTTATCTTTCTATTGGAATTCTCCCAAGGTTTTTCATCAGTTGTTCATTTAATCTAACACAAACTCCACAATTTCCCCTTCCGGATTAACGAGACGAGACGACCTGAAAACAAAGTGAAAAGTTGGCGAAAATAAATATTATTTTGGACATTTTAATTTTAAAAAAATGTATTCGAGAATTTCCATAAATTTTGAATTCAGTTTGGGGTTTTATGTTGATAAATTCAAAATAAAAAATATTGAAAAATCGTTCTTTACTACAATTTATCATCACCAATTGGATCTATCGATTTCCTGTGAACTGATGGATCTCTGTGGCCTGAAACAAGAAACCAATGATGGGAAAATGATTTCTTTTCCTCCGGAAGACAAAACAATCTCACCTCGAAGACCAGGTTACTTCCCGATTAGCAAACTCATTAGTTGACCTGGAGAGATGCAAATGACAGAAACGTTATTAGTTTTGTTTCCTTTTCAAAGCTTTTCTTCTAAAGCAATCTCAGGAGAAAAAATGTCACACGTTTCAGAAGATAATCCAATCGGAAAATTTCCGTTTTCTGAGACACTTTAACATGCTTTTAAAATCGATTTAAAATTCACTTACCCAACATTAAAACTTTGTTGTTGCAAAGCAGATGAATCAAGTTGCTTGTTGATATTTTCTATCATGTCATATGCTGAAGCTTATTTTAAAACAGGAAGTTTAGAGCAGAAAAGCAACATGTTTAGAGTTAAATTGTGTGTCTAAATTGTTTACAGTAAAAGTTTTGATGGAAAATATTACCGAGTGAAAGAGAGGTTGGAGTAGAAATTGTCCATAAAATAAGTAAGATGAAGGACAGCAAGAAAAGACCTGAAAAAGTTTAAGTTAATTGACGGTCGAGTTTTTAATGATATCTGAAAAAGTTTACCATTTATCGGCTCAATAATATGCCGGCATAAAAGCAATCGAACTCCATTATAAATCTCAAACAAATGCCCACATCCAATTCCAACGTGGATTTTCTGCATCGTTTCATTCCGAAATATTGCAAGATTACTTCTTAAACGATTTCTAAAATTCTCACTGAAATTGGCACAAATTTCCACAGAATGTTCATTTAAAAATTTCTGCGACTGATTGAAACTGTCCTTAATCTCTTTTATTTTGTGCATCCACGGATTGATATGAAACTCGAGAGCTGTGAGATGAAAAATGATTTCATTCTTTAGAATTTCTAAAGGCTGAAGTGTCGAGGTTTGAATTCTTTTCGCAGCTGATGTCAAAGTTGCCATACGTGATACTGTTGAAACATCTTGAATTTGAAGTGACACTCGCTGCATTTGGTCGATAAAGTTAATCATTTCTTTCTCAGGTGACACTTGAACAAGTTCCAAACGATATTCTGTGAAATTTCCACGAGAATTGTTAATCAAATCGTCAAAAATTCGTTGAATTTGCGCTGTGAATTCTATAAACTGCGATTCAGTAGCTCGAATACCTTTGATTGACCGAGTGAGATCCAAATAATTTTCATAATGTAAAACATTATTCAAGTCAAGAAGATTTTCTAATTGAAATATTTCATAAACCGATTTATCTCTTTCACATTCATTGAGAACTTTTGATAATGAAACATTTGTGAAAGGTTTTGCATTACGTTCTGAGGGCATTAAAAACTCTGGCAGAACTCCATTTGTCGATGACTTTGAATAAATAATTCCTGGATTGTCAAAAAGCTTTCCAATTATTGAATATTCTGGCTTCTCATACATTGCTCGACAAATGAAAACTTCACCATGACCACCAATTAAAAGCTCAAAAATTGTGAACAATCCGAGTAAAACACTAAACACTGATAAAAGAGATGAAGTCATTAGATAGCAACCACCTGCGTATTTGTGGCCACTGCAACAGGAACAACTCATTGGGATGATTGTAAAAAGTGTCACAATCAACGTTGACGCACATGCAACAATTCCTATAAGCCATCCGATGTAAGCAGCTTCAATTAGCATTTCTATCACTGAAACAACACTTCCCCAAATTTTTTCAATCTTATTCAACGCACTTTTCACAACTGACGATAAACTGTTAAGTGTTTCATTCAATCCGTTTCGCATAATCGTCAATTGCCTCAGAACTTCTTCCAGGTGCTTTGTGCTGTCTTGATAAAGTTGGTGAGAATAGTTTCGGTAAGTTTTTTTAGAAATTGTAAGTTCATCTGTGAGTTTTCTCAAGTTATTGTCGTGGAACTCATCACTCATTGCTCTGAGTTTCTGTAATATTCCATTTTCATTTACCTTTAAAGAAATGAAAATCAAATGAAAGAAGATTAGAAGTTAGTCTACAAGTAAAGTTACTTACAGATTGAACTTTGCCAATGAAGCCCATTTCTTCGAAACTTTTAACTTTTAATGTCTCACACAGAGGACGATCACGAAAATTGCATTGACGTTGAAGCACTGATAGTTGAATATGAATCTCATCAACTTTTGAAGCTGCATCAGCTGAAAGTAATAAAGTTTTGAAGAGAACACCATTCATTAGAAACTGGACTCGTTGTGAAAGTTCCTTGGTTTCTATGAGAAGAAATGATTCAAATAATTTCTGATCGTAAATTGATAAAAGTTTTAACAAACTTACTATCCAAAATATCTAACGTAGTTTCGAAAGTTATGTCAATTCCAGTCTGAATAGAAATTTCTCGTGTTATTTGTTCGCCTAGCAATTTATCAATGTCTGAAATTAAATTTATGATTTATTTCAATTAATTTTCATGAATTATTAGTAATGAAAAACCTTCCAAATCAATCTTAATCTTTTCTCTAGTGCGATCAAATTGTTCAAAAACTTCCATTTGAAGTTGATGATTTGAGCTTTTAACGAAGAATTCCGCATCTTTCAATGCAGATTTAATGACTTTAGGCAGTTCATTAATTGACACATAGATTTGTTCGTTAACAATGAACATGGATAGAATTGAAACTCTAAAATGAGACATGAATAAGAAAATTTTAATCAATTTAATAGCAACTCATGCCTTACAATGAAGCGAAAGTAAAGCATTGAAGGATGAACACGCGAACTCTTTTACGGCAGTGATATTTATTAAGTTTCTCCTTTCTCTCTTCTTGAACACGAACATCAGATGGAAGCACCATGTGGGCAGATGAATGCACAATATCTCGCATGTCATTTTCTGCTTTCAACTTAATATTTCTCGAACAACACCATGCGATTGTATAACAAAATGGAATTAGAGAGATGAGAAAAATGATGACCAGAAGACAAATGTAACCCGACTCTACCTTAAGAGCCTGCAACGTTTAAATGAATATTTGATTAACATTTTCATTTGTTTTTCCTCCTTTTTATTTACCTCTAAGATTATTTGCAGAATTGAAACTTTTGATTGAACTGCATCTCTCAATAATTCCAGGATACAAAAAACTTAAAAAAAGGTTTGAAAATGACCATCAAAAATGAAAGAATTTAACGGAAATTTCATCTTACTAAGTGACATGTCGTTTGGTGTAATTGATGACAACAACTTGGACACAGATGAGAAAATAAACCAGCCATCATCAAGTTGTAATGAGGGGATTATGTAGTTGCTAGCAGCGCTATCAATCTATCCAAAGTAATGACAGAAACATTTTACCTCAAGGAATTGTTTAAGATTCTATTTCTTATTCTATAAGTAGCTTCATGAATTCCCAAGATCAAAACCAGTGAGCAGAACTCACAAGATGTTGATCTAGGTCAGTATCAATTTTCCTTACCATTGCTTCCATTTCTTAGAACTCTTAAATAACACAAAACACAATCTTAAAATGAATTGCTTTAATGTTTATCGTTTCCTAATTAAATCATCAACAGTACGTTTTCCACTTGATTATAAATTTATTTTGAAAAGCACTTTACACAACAAGCTTGAATCTGTTAGAGTTTCTTCATTTAAAACCTTTTATTGAGTCTTACAGGAATTAAATTGAATCTTGGCCAATAAAATTCCTTTACTTAAATTGACATGAAAATTTTATTTGTTGAAAGTTACAGAATGTAGTAATTAAAATTAGTGGCAATAAATTACAGAATAACAGTTTCTGTGGTGAAATAGCGTCTCGAAAGCTCACGTTTTAAATATTCACGTGACGTTTTATGGTATGCTTGAATAATAGAAAAATTTATGTCATTTTGCGGCTCAATTGAAACCACATGGTGAATAATAAATAATGCTTAGGAAGAACTCGAAGCATGTTTGTAGTAGCAACGGATTACTTCTACAATGCATGAATGGAGGTTTAAAGAAGAAAACAATGATTATGTAAAATCGTATTAGCAACAGCGGAGTTCCAGGTGCTGAACTAAAAAAATAGAGCCTTTTGTTAAATAATTTTTGCGGGTAGGAAAATCTTTGTTTCATTTAAAGGATTTTCCCTCTGTTGCTTTAAGCTCTCTTAGTGGATTCACTTGTTAGACAAAAACTTACACTAAAATTCTGAATAAATTTTAAAAAAGATTTTAAATCCTAATCTGGATTTTATTTTATTCTCTCGAAATCTCGTGAAAACTTTATACGTTTAACATTAATTTTAATCGAACACGAAACACTTTCATAACTTTTTACACTTTAAATTATTTCCTTAATACGTATTCCGATATCTAAACCGCTATTATCATTAGAAGATTCAATTCGCACTGAGACTCTTTATCGGTTTACGTCAATTTTTGTTTGCAATTTTGAAGAGACATGACCTTAGTGCTTATGTGACGACCGTGGATTGTAGTGGATGTTTGCTAAATCATTCAGATTTATATGATTATTTTATTTATAAATCATTCAGATTAATTTTATATAAATCATTGTAGAATTTCTTTATTAAATATGATGACATTTTGTCATCGAAACTATGTGGTGGAATAAAATAAAGAGCATAAAAACTTCTTCAAGTCTGAAAACCGTAATTTGTTTAATTATTAATAAAGTATCAGCTATGAATTCTACAAACAAATTGATAAAAGATTCTGCTCATAAATCATAATATTAATGGGAAGAACGAGCACGAGTAAACGAGCACAATGTTTTGAATATATGTTGAGCAAAAGGAGGATTACAACATACAAATGAATAAGCATATTACATACTTATTCAATTCCAAAAGCCTTTCATTGATGTGAATGTTGTATGAACAAAAGTTTCATCTGCCATGATTCATATTTAACACGACTTCATATGGTGAAATAGAATTGAACATGAAAGAACTGATTTGAATAAATATTAGCAAGACTTGAGGATAAGCATTTGATTTTGGTTTAGATTACATAAAGCTACAAAGTTACACACATTGCCACCAATTTCTATATCAACTGAATAAAATTAATGTTCTTTGAGTAATTTCCATTCAAATACTATTTAAACCAGATATTTGAATCTTATTAAACTTTCAACAGATGTTCTAAAGTACTTTGAGAATTATAATATTTCTTAATTATAATTTTGAAAAATATCTACACTGAAACTATTTAAGAAAGTTTTTGTCCAACTCGTTGCAAGGAACTGGAAGAAAATTTTCTTCCTTCCAAGTTAGCTAATTTAATTAAGAAACAAAGTATGCATACAAAGACATTCAGTAATCGACATTCCTACATCGGCAATGAGTGCATTTACTTTAAACTTACAATTTTACTTCCTATCAATTGACTTATTTTGTAATTATAACAATGTTTAAAATAGTTGAGCAAATTATTTATGAACGAGAAATTATGGACGTTTTTCAGTTGAAATTAAAATAAAAGCTGAAATATTTTTAGAAATGAATGTCTGCAAAAATTAAATAAATTCATTCATATTGTCATAAAATAATTTTCAAACAATGTATAAAGAGTCGTTCAGTGAAGGTGACAATTACGTGATGATTGAAGCAATTATCTACTCGTAAAATTAAGACTGACTGACGCTACTTACATGATGAAAATAGGAATGAATGCAAGTTAAGCTTTTAATGTTGAAAGTTAAAACATTATTGCATTGCATATTATGAATTGCCAACAACATCTATTCATGTTCGTCATTATGCGCATGCTGAGAGTCTTTGAAACTCTCCCAAGAAATTTAAATTATGCTCTTCCACATAAATGAGAAATTATTTCAACATCATGAATGCAAAGGATGATAATAAAAATCTTCTTTTGTGATATTATTGAATATTTAATGTGAAACTGTTACAATTGATTCTACTTTGTATGAATTAGTGTATATGATCTTGGATTATAAGAGATCCACAGTGTCAAGAAATTCAAGTTTACGATAGCATTAGTTCCATGGATTTCCTCACTGAATAAATTCATAATTTCTATCCAATGAGTTTCCTTTCTAGTGAATAAAGTTTTTCTATTATCATTACAATGTCACGATACCACATAGAAGCATAAACTTAATTTGGATGTAAAAAACTGTGAACATTTTTTAAAGCTTAAAGGAAATAATGTTGAAAATTTCATATAATTCCATAGCAACGTTTCATTAAATTAATTATGTGGGTGTTGAATATTATTTTTACGAGACACAAAATACGATTTCAGAGAAGCAAAAGATTAAAGAAAAATATTTCTTATTGTGATTTTAATATAATTTGTACTTGTTTGACATTTTTCCAATATTTAATCATTTATAACAATTCAAGATGAAAATATTTTCGAAATTAAAAATCCTTATAATGTTGAGATGCTTTGTCAAGCTTTTATGAATATTTATAAATTTGAAAATTTAATTTTAATTCCTAAGCTGCACAAGTCATTTGCAAAATTTATTTTTGAGTCAAAAACAAGGCAAACACAGCAAAGACCATTTGCAATAAATACTTTCATCTTGCTATCAACTCTTCTCGAAAGCATAATGCATTAAATTATAAATTATGTTTGATTACATCTAAGCTCCAAGGCTGCAACGGTATAGTTCCTCCGTTTTCCATGTTCTTCATCAGAAATTTAACGTCTCTTCCTTTTCATTTAGATATTTGATTTTTTTCTTGGCAACCTAAAACAGAATTCTCGGCGAAATGGAATATTTTAATCTTTGCGTCTTGTTTTCAACCCACACTTAATTCCAGTTGATGCAAGAACAAAATGTAAGTTGGGAAAGGAATAAACTAAGAAATTGAATGGATTGTCTAGTAATTTTATATCTATGAAGTTGGAATCATACTCGGAACAAACAAGCGATAAAAATGCTTTAAAAAATAGGAAAATGATAATTTATTAAAGTTCCTTAAGTTTTTATTTCGACATAAAATGCATAATGGTCAACCTAAGAAAATAATATTCGTGATGGTTTAGAATGTCGATTTGATCTTGAAGCAAAATTTGCATGTTGATCCAGAAACGAAGTAAATTTAATTTTTGAAGGCATTGATAAATCAAATAAGAAATTTCTTTATCCTATTCTTGATATTAATAACTGTAGAAATTGAGACAATCGCAGTTGTTATCGGGAAAACTGATGAAAAATCATTTTTCACACGAATGCCTACCTCAAGAAAATTCTTTTGGTGTCGTGGAAATAAGTAAAAATATTCAAAACGACAACATGTCATATTGTGGAATTTGGAATTAAAATGTTGTCGTAAAATATGTGAGACTTAGTAAATGTTCAAAAACACAATAAATAGTAACAGTCAGCAACATCTGGTGACTTCCAAAAAAATTTAAATATTTAGTGGTTTTCATCCACACATACATGATATGTGTGAGGGAAAAACGAAATTTTCTATTTAAGTTTCTTTAAGTTTGAAATCAATATTGACTGCGAGATTTCTATAAATCAAATGATTTGTGATTGAAGCTTTAGTTAGGTTTTCAAAATCCATTAACACTTATTTGAGTTAAACAGTTAAGAAAAAAATAAAAATATAATTATTCATCTATTAAAGCTCTTTTTTCATTTCAATGAAAGTTTCTCATTAATATAGGAAAGTTCTTGATTGAAAAGTGCTCCATGACTGTTTTTATTGAGCTTTTGAAAGTCATTCATTCGAATGCAATTATTCTCAGCTTTTATAATTATGCGCTAGAAACAAATAATCGCACTAAAAGCATTTGAACGAGAAATCGATTTCTAATGGATGAAAATTTATATTTCATTGAAGCTTTATTCGAATAAAACAAGATGACTTTAATGTGAAAAAAGTCATTTAGATGAAGTAAAAGAATTTCCGGCGACGGCTTGCGTTTACTTATACTTACTTATGTGTTTGTTATATTAATAGATACAACATTCACAAACTTTCCGCTTTAAATTTTATTTATGACACTCTCTAGAATCTTTTTTTACGCTTTTTCCTTAATGCTTTCAATCTTTTTGTCCTATAAATTCAATTTTGTGAGAATCTAATTTATATCAAATTGTTTGTGTGTGCTTTGAGTTTTTCTTGGAAAAATTTACACATTATGGTTCCTTCGGTTTGAAAGAAAAAAAAAAGCTTTCATGTGATAATGTGTAAAGCGAAAGTATCGTTTTTGTTTCATGGCGAAAATATTTATTCTTGGAGAAGCTTTCAATTTTCATTTATTTATAATTTATTAACCAAATGGCTCACTCGCACATTACTTTCAAAATTGAAATTATTTATTTCTTAAAATGTATTCAATGTCGAATAACTTCTGTTTTCATCATAATTTGATATCTTTCTCAGTCTGATTCGACACTTTATTGTGAAAAGACGATCTTTTATCGATCTGAACTAATAAAACTAAAAATGATAAAATTGAGGCAGGTGTTTTTTTATTTTTTGACTTTTGTTTAATTAATGACTGATTATCAAATTTCCATTTCACAGCTTCGTGGCGTTTTTACATTTTTACTTGATTAATTTTACATTATCAGCATCCATTACAACCAAATTTTCAATCAATGGCACTGATTACATTTCCTATGTTGAGAATCAAGTTTATCAAATCGATGATGTTAAATGTAAAATTTATGGCAGACATTTGCAAGGACAGAGTAATGGCGATGTAACAATTTTGGATGCATCATTCAAAAATAATGATTTGCAAAAGGTGCCAACAACGATGCTTCAACTTTTCTCTAATTTGAGGGAAATGCTTCTACAAGAAGTCAACTTGAAAATTCTCGATGAAACTTCATTTGCGGATTGTTTGAACCTTAAAACTGTTCGCTTTGCCAACGATCATATTTTGTCAATTTCTGCGGGCGTCTTTGAAAGTTGTGAAAATCTTGAGGAAATTGAATTTGGTGATAATTTAATTGATCTTCTCGATGACAGAGCTTTCCGTGGTTTAGCAAACTTGAAACAACTGACATTGAGAGGAAATAATTTGGGATTCATTTCGTCACAACTATTTAATTCTTTAGTATCACTCGAACGACTCACACTTTCAGGCAATCAAATTAAAGAAATTTATTCAGATAGCTTCTTACCTTTAAGTAATATTAAATTTATTGACTTAAGTAACAATAAGTTGAGTTTACTTTCAAGTTCAACTTTTGGAAACAAAGAAAACTTGGAAAATGTAATCTTAGATAACAACAGCATTGAAGCTGTTGATCGAAGTTTCCTTCAAACATGGCCAAGTTCATCATTTTTAAGTATTCTTAATAACATCTGCATCGATATGCATTTTGAAGAATACTTTGGTAGTGAAACTCTTCCAATGGAACAAGCTGAAAATTATTTTGCAACATGTTTTGAAAACCATGATAAGCTTCTTGAGGTCATGAATGTCGAAGTTGCCAATGACGGAGATAATGAAAATGCCCAAGAATCTGAAGGTGATGGAGAAATTGCCAGTGATGATGATAATCAGAATGTTCAAGAAATTGAAGGTGATGTATTTAAAATAACTCTTGGAACAAACCCCACAGATGAAGTCGAATTTGATGACGCAACAAACTCACAAGCTGCAGGTAATGAAGAAGAAAATGATGAAAGTCCTAAGGCTGATGAAGGAATTGATCATCAATCAAATGATGACTCACCTGATCAAAACGTTCCTATTGAATCATCCGATAGTTCAAATAAAAATGTTGATGAAACAGATATGACAAACAATGGCTTTATTAGTAATGACGAAGCAACACAAAATGAGTCAGAAAGCATTGATGTTGATTTCGAGGCTGGAGAAACAATAACCTCAGATACAGAAGGTGTTCCTAATGATCCAACAGATCCCAAAAATGAGAACGAATCAGCAACGGACACAAACCAAGGGAACACTGACGTCTTCTCTCGAATCGCTGACATCATTTTTGGCAATGATGAGAATAATGAAAATCTTCAAAACGGCAGTGACGAAGCTGAAGGAACTGGTAGTGGAAATTTAGATAATGCAGATGTCGAACAGCCAGCAGTGGATGCCGCTGGAGATGCAATCATTGTGGATGAAGAACAAGGCGAGAATGCTGATGATGAACAGCCAGCAGTTGAAGTTGCTGGAGGTACTGTCATTGCAGATGGAGAACAAAGTGAGAATCCAGGTCACGCAGTTGTCTTGGCTGAAGAAGAAGAACAGAATGAATTTGGACTTGATGAATTTGAAAATCCTATCGGTGCTGAAAAAGGAGCTGACATTGACACGGAATTAATTGACACTTTTGCATCGTTATTCAATAATGACAATAATGACAAGAACCAACAGGAAGGAGAAGCTGAAAATGTAGAAGACGATCAAGCAATGTTAGATGAAGTGCTTGATAAAATATTCAGTGAAAACAATGAGCAAAGAACTGATGGAGAGGAAGCAGTTAAAAATGAAGCTGAAGGTAATGTCGATGAGGTGGCTAAAGAAGCTGACACGATTGTCAACAATGATGGTGACGTTTCATCTCCGTACGAACAAGCGAACGCTCGTTTCTATCTAAGTGGACAGGAAATTTATTCTTGCGTTGTTTATGACGCTAAAAGTACTTTGAAATACATAACCGGCGAGCACATCGAAGGATTCACCGATGAACATGTTGAAGCTTTGTTCTTCCGTAATTCAAGATTCATGCACAGCATTCCTGGTGTCATCTTTGAAAGATTTCCAAACTTAAAAACACTTTCAGCTGAAAACTCTGAGATTAAAATCGCTGATCCCGAACTATTAGAAACGTGTGGAATGTTGGTGAATATCGACTTGAGCAACAATAAAATTCGTCGAATTAGCAAAGAAGCGTTCAGTCATTGTTCGCAATTGGAGCATTTGATATTAACCGGCAATGAAATTGAACACTTGGACACTGAAATATTCCAAACTAATCCAAAATTAAGTGTAACAATCGGACATTTGAGACTCGTCTCAAGTTCAACTCCAAGTTCATAGATTACGATAACATTTTTTACACAGAATTTCAAGTTTTCTTCATATAAGTTTCTCTGTAATCTTAAAGTTAATCAAGTTACAAATTTTATGCATGAAAAACTCGCAAAAATTTTGAATGAAAAATTTTATTCTTAATTTCTGACACAGGAAACAATAAAAAAAATAATTAAATACTTAATCATAAAAAACGAATAAAGATTAAATAATTTTTTTATGAATGGCGAATATTTTATAAAGTTTTAATGACAATTTTTCTTCTCGCTTAAATCTTTGATAATGTTAAGAAAATTCAAGTTTTCTCTTTCTAATGAAGCAATTCTCAGTCGACAATCGGTGATAAGATTGAGATTGAGAGGTTGAAAAAGTGTTTCAGTTGTCTGTTCAGGTGGTTCATTTGGATCAGAACATTGAACTTTCACTTTCATCAACAGTCTTACGACGTCCATTCTGTTGTCAACAACTTGACTATCAATACATTTCACTTCATTTAACTGAAGGGTTTTTAACTTTAGTAGTGAATCAAATGTTTTTTGTCCGAAGGTCTCCAACTCCCGGCACCGTCTGAATGAAATAACTTCCAAATGTGGCGTGTGAATAAAATATTTGGCATCAACTTTCTTGAACTTGCTGTATGCGAAATCGAGCGCTCGTAAATTTTTGTACTCTATCAAATCGTCTTTGAACAAATATTGGATTTTAGCATGAGGCATACTTAAACTTTTCAGATCTGGAAAAAAGTTTGTGATTCCTTTAGGGATGACTTCACATGTTTGTCCTCGGATATAAAGTTGTTGAACTTCTACATTTCCACCTTTTATCAAATGAACTCCATTCACTGACGTGACTGTTCTATTGTGTAGGGTGGTTCCAAAATTATACGACTGGCATGTGTAATATTCGTCAAAAAAAGAATATTGAAAGTCAAGAAAATGACAATTCAATTCCAAACAGTCAATCACGTTTACGACACTCACAGCGAACAGTATTGTTGCCCAAAACCTGTTAGACATATAGAAAAATAAATTTAAAAACTTATCAATTTTTTTTTATTATGAATACTCACTTCATCGTTTGAATCATGAAATAAGACTGACTGAAAGTGAAACAAAATTCCTTAATAAATGAATTGAATTCATCACACGATTATTTAAAAACTCATCCGACATAAAAAAGATTACGATTCACGTGATTCTCCACAACTTAAATGAAACGAATGAAAAACGCTGATAACGTCTTCTCAATTAACGTACATTGAAGATGTCACAACTCATAAGTTATCTCATGCGTTCAATAAGTTTGTTTAATTATTTTAACTTGACAATCTATGAAATATTTCATTACTCTGTTCCTAGATTAACTACCTTCGTAAGATTTTAAAATTGAAAATTTTTCATGTTTATTTAATAATTTTCCAAAGCAGTTTTTGAGAAAACGTGATGTTTAAAACGTGTGAGTTTGAGTAACTTTTGACCTTTTCTCATCGTCTCAAACGATTGTGAAGCTCGTGTGATACTTAACATGTGAAATGTTTTTAAAAATCTCGTTCTGATTCCGTTTTCTGAAATACAATTTAATTTATTAGCAAATTTCATCGATAATAAAATAAATTAACATGGAATTAAAAGCTTATTCTAAAAAAAGAAATGCTCACCCAACAGTTTAAATTCATAATCATAACATTGTTTAATCGCGAATAACAATTCTCTTTCTTTTTTATTCTATATAATAAAACATTACCATTAATCATAATTATTTAAAATTTTGAGAACACCATAAACTTTCTCATTACATATTTTTCTTTCTGCTTACCGTTAAAAGCTCGGTAATAAAATTAAATGGTTTTTCACGCTTCTTTGGACTGAAAACAATCTTGAATGCGGAAGTTAAAACTTTTATTTCGCTTTACTTCTTTACCGTCGTTGCTACGATGATAATTTAACTTTTATTGTTGTCAAATTTCACTAACGATTAGGCAAAAGATAAAAATAAAGCAGAAACTATTAGAATATTTAATAGAAGTTTTTATTTCACCCCAGCAAGATTGTAAATTACATTAAACCCCATTGTTTAGAGCATTAATTATTTTTATGGAAAGTCATTGAACTTTTGTTTCAAAACACTCATTCAGAAACAGTTGCATGCCAACTAAAACAATGTTTACATAAATCTGCAAAAAGTCCTTAAATGTGCAATGACTGCCGAGAATGAGACAATCAATCTTTGTTATCTCCATTGAATGCTTTTTTCGTTATCATAATTTAGTACGATCATGAATGGACATGAATGAAAACATTAGTATGAAAAATTATCTATCAGAAGGCATCTTAAAGTCGTAAAATCCAAGCAAAATAAATGTCATTTGATGTTCCAAGTTAACAACAATTTGTATGAAGTTGTTAATGTTCATCCTCATTTATTGAGTTGAATTGTCAAACAAAAAAGATGCTTAAAAGCGAGTCAATAATACTCATTAAGACATTCAACCGAACGTGACAAGCAACTTATTTCGCCATAATTCATTATGCGTCAAAAAGAACTGTCACAAAAGCCAAAAGGAAAAAATGAGAAATTGGAATCCGATTTACATAAATTGTGTCAAATCAATATAGAAAGCTTTTTGAAGTCTGCTCCAAATATGTTTTTCGTAACGTGGGAAAATTGAAACATGATGTTTTTAGTGTCTAAAATGTGTTTCTTGACTACAGTAGAGAATATCAAACAACAGTTCGTTTTGCTATAAGTTGTTTTACTTTAACTTTTCAAACAGAAAACAGTCGCTAATTACCGAAAGTTCGACTATACAACCAAATTTTTCATCATCATGGCGGCATTAGAAGTGTAACGTACGATATTATTTCTCATTTTTAACATTCATCAGTTCATTCTTTTTTACTATCTTCACCACTTCTAATATCTAATCTCAACTAATGACAGTTATGGAATAATTTTAAAAAAAAATCGAAACCATTTTTTACTTTTATGTAGCTACTTAAAGAAATGGTTCATGACTTAGAAACAAATATAAAATAATTTTATAAAGACATGACATGACTTAATTCGTGCTCTCGTAATGACCAATTACATAAGTAAGGTTTTTCCAATCAAAACAAAGAAAACTATGAAGAAAGCATGAGCGAGAAACTGTTAATTTAAATATTTTATTGTAATTTGGAAAACAAATCAATAATTCATTTTTTCTAGGCTTATCAAATTCAATAATAAATTCACGGCTCATAGGAAAACAAAAGAGTTGCCTGAATTTTCATTTCTTTATTTTTAACAGCAATTACATTTTCAAATAGGTGTCGTGTATTCGACAATGTTTTGCAATATGTCTAGCCGAAATTGTTCAGGATTTATAAGGCCTGGGGCTTGATCTAAAATTCCTTGCACACCATCACATTGACTGCAATCTGGTTTCTTAAAATCTGCTATTACAGCAAGCATTGCTGCTAATTCGTCAAGTTTGTCTTGTATTCCGGAAATCGCCTCTTCCATAGCTTCTTGGTTTTCGCCATTGTTCGAATCATACGTTATTTCTGCAAGTAATCTTTTCAAATCGTCTTTTTCTTCCTGTGCCTCAGCGTTTCTCAGTTCTACTGCCAAAGCATCTGCTTGTTGGTAAGCAGATTTCCCAAGTACATCAAAGATTACATTTCTTGCATTAGAAAGATCGCCTCTAGCTGAATAAAGAATGACATTTAGTTGTACTAAAGAAGGATTGATCTGGCCACAATCGTTTTCACATACAATGTCACCACCACTTCTGATATTTTCAATCAGCAAAAACTGCGACAGAATAAAAATATAAATTTTTAAAGTCATTTTTCTCTTTAACTTAAAGTCAGAATAGCAATGTTTGGATTGATTCCTTCTTACCTATATAGTCTAGCTGAAATATTATTTATTTAGGCAAAGTCACGGATTTTCTTTTACCCACGGCGTGACTTTGCTTTAGAATATTATTTCACATGAAAATCAATAACAGTTAAAATTTTAGTGGTAACTTTTATGGATGCTAGTAGTTGAAGTAGTTGGGCTAAGATAATTAGTTTCGAGTCGTGTTCTTTTTTTTTAATGAAAAATTCATGCAAAACTTTGCCATTAACATCAATTGAGAACCATCGGTTAAAAAATTTATCATTTCTCTCTTAGAAACAATGAAATAAATATTTATTGATTGCATAGAAAGTTTTTTTATGTTAAAAAAATCAAAAATACAAAGAAATTAAAAAAAGTAATGTTGATAGCACAATATATTGATTATAATTTATGTTTAGAATGTAGTTCTGAACATTTAATTCAACAATTAACATGATGCTAAGAATCGCTCAAGTTTTGAAAATTTAACGGTGAGAAATTTTTTAAATGCGATTCCATATAAAAATGTTATGGCCAAATTTGATCGCGAAAATGTGTGAGCAAAAGTTTTAATAGTTTCTTTATAATTTGACAAACAAATCAATAATCCTTTTTTTTCTAAGCTTATTAGAGCTGTTTACCTTAACTTCGGTAGGTTTTAACTTCGGCATCTTGGAACATTGTCACGGCTAATCATAGATTTCGGACAGAATGATCCTTTGCCTTCACCTTTACAATTTTTTTAAGGATGCCAGATAGTTGTAGCATCTTTCCTTTTTCTTGTTTTTTTTAATTAAAGCATATTTAATTTCAAAATTGAAGTTTGATCTGCTTGTGAACTTTTTACTATTTTTGATCTACATATTTCACAAACAGTGTCTTCACTTCAAGAAGCATTTTTGTATTTAAAGAATGCAAGAATAAAATATATGAAAATATCGAAAGATGCTATAACTAATACATTTTACAGAACTCAAAAGCTTTTTCAATTCTGTTGGGAGATTATAAAATAATTAATAAAAATCAGGGGTCGGAAGCCGAAGCGGAAGCTTAGAGAAGCTCATCTTTTTGAGAAGCCGCTTCGGAAGCTCAGAAGCTTTTTCAGAATTTGGGAAGCCGAAGCGGAAGCTTGGAAGCTTTTTGCGAAAAATCGTTAAGCTTCCGAACCCTGAACAAAATACATCATCATGTTTTTTATCATAGGTTCGTCATGCGCTTTTGCCTAAGTTCGGTAAGTTTTTGTGTTGCAATTCACCTCAACTTNCTATCAAATTCGTGCTCGAGAAGCTCTTCAAAAAAATACCGTTGAAAAATACCGAAGTTAGGTAAAATAGCTCTAATTAAAAAAAAATCACTGCTCATAGGAAAACAAAACAGTTGCCTGAAATTTCATTTCTTTATTTTATACAGCAAATTACATTTTTAAAGAGGTGTCGTATATTCGACAATGTTTTGCAAAATGTCTAGCTTAAATTTCTCAGAACTTATAACAAACACGGCTTGATTTATAAGTCCTGGAACACCATCACATTGACTGCAATCTGGTTTCTTCAAATTTCCAAATACATCAAGCATTGCTGTTAATTCGTCAAGTTTGTCTTGTATTCCGGAAATCGCCTCTTCCATAGCTTCTTTGTTTTCGCCATTGTTCGAATCATACGTAATTTCTGCAAGCAATGTTTTTAAATTGTCTTTATCTTCCTGTGTCTCGGCGTTTCTCAGTTGTACTGCCAATGCTCTTGCTTGTTGGTAAGCAGATTTCCCAAGTACATCAAAGATTACACCTTCTGCATTAGAAAGATCGTCTCTAGCTGAATTAAGAATGGCATAAAATTGATTTATAAGAGGATTGATCTGGCCACAATCGTTTTCACACACGGGGTCACCACCACTGCTGATTTTTTCAATCAGCAAAAACTGCGACAGAATAAAAATATAAACTTTTAAAGTCATTTTTCTTTTTAACTTAAAGTCAGAATAGCAATGTTTGGATTGATTCCTTCTTACCTATATAGTCTAGCTGAAATATTATTTATTTAGGCAAAGTCACGGATTTTCTTTTACCCACGGCGTGACTTTGCTTTAGAATATTATTTCACATGAAAATCAATAACAGTTAAAATTTTAGTGGTAACTTTTATGGATGCTAGTAGTTGAAGTAGTTGGGCTAAGATAATTAGTTTTGAGTCGTGTTCTTTTTTTTTAATGAAAAATTCATGCAAAACTTTGCCATTAACATCAATTGAGAACCATCGGTTAAAAAATTTATCATTTCTCTCTTAGAAACAATTCTTTTTTTCCTTGAGATTGAAATGATTGAGATCAAGTGATATTTTAATGAAATAAATATATTTATTGATTGCATAGAAAGTTTTCGAAATGAAAAATAAAAAGATTTTTTAAAGTAGAACATGCGACAAAAGATTGTCAATTATTTATTTCATTATAATTAGATAACTTTTCAAGTTTTGGACTTTAAAAAATCATTCAATGAGAATAAAGTAATAAACATGAATTGGAATAGTTACAAGAACGTGAAAGTTGTAAAAAGCGACTGTCCATTACATTAGTCTGACTAAAATATAACTCACGACAGTCTCTGTTCAATTTCAACTTGAAATTATGCAGACATTTTCTGACCCCAAAACCAAAGCATTGAACTTTTCACATAAATAAATTATTTTTCAATTTTAAATTGAACACAGAAGAAATTCCTTTTGTGTTACACTAAATCTATTTAAATGATGTAAACAATAATGAAAAATAAAAGTAATATGAATGAATGATACAAAAAAAAAAAGGTTTTATATGCGCGTGACAAAAGAGTCGTCAAAAGCACGTGCTTGATACATTTGCTCTCTCAAAAGCTTTTGACTTGGCTTTTGACTCTCTCGATCAGTTCGCTCTCTCAATCAAGTTCAACAAAAAAAATTCTTAAAAAATTGAGAGCCGAGGAATATTTTTGGTCCACAAGAAATTTGAATTTTCAGGAAAAGTTTTCTTCTCGACTAGACATTCAGTCGTTTGTAAACTCGCGACTCGAACGAACTCTTTTTTATTACGGTGTCGTGATATTCAATGATAAATATCTAACAGAAATAGAAATAAAGTGAAATATTGAAATATAAAAACTAGAGCTTCATAATGGGATGAAATAAAAAAGAATTGAATAATTCTTTATTTAATGAATTCCAAGCATATGGAATATTAATTGGTGAAATAAAGGAATTTTGATGATAACGATAGTAAAACAGTTTTTTGGGACAACATAATAATTTAGTCTTTATTTAGACAATAAACAAACTATGAAGGCAATTTGTGATTAAGTGCGAAAAATTATAAAGCAGCATAGTCAAACAATGAATAATTATGATTGAATAGGAAAGGGTCGACTAACTTCTGCCATTTTTTAGAAATTCTCACAGAATCACGTTTAAAAGAAAGTTTGGAGTAAAATGAGTCATCAAAATATTAAGGGTGGAAAATTACTTTCAGTTTTTTTGACTAACGAGCTTCGATGTAAACCTTTCAGCAATAACGAAACGAAAGAAAGATATAGAATATTATTCTATAAACTTTTGTAATTCTCATCAAAGTTTCTTTGAAATCTTGTGGATAAATAAATAAATAAATATGAAGAATCAATTTGAGTACATGACTAATTGAAATGTGAAACTTGCGGAGTCATTTTAAAAGAAAAATAAGTTATTGTGGTGAGAAACTTGTAGATTCAGCATGTTTATCTTTTCTCCTGTAAATATTCTCAACTTTATGTTTCCTTTGATAAATCATCGACATTCAATGAAACTTTGAACCATTTCATTTGTTCTTCAACAAAACTAAGAAATATTTTTTTTTCTCTTTTTCCAATGAATAAATTAAGTTACTTAATTATGCTGATATGAAGTTTTTGCAAAGAAATAACTCTTTACATAAATAAAACGGGACGAGGAGACCATTGAAAGAATGAAATGAAGACGAGTCGTTGAATTAAGATGTCAAATCTGAACTATGAAGCATTTTCGGGTTATTTTGTCATAAATGTATCATCCTTTAATAGTTTCCTTGTTTATGTATACATGAGCCTAATGGGCTCGAATGTCATGCTGTTTTCTTTTTCTTATTATCATCAACATAAACTTTGCGACAGTTCTAATAAAAATTGATTTTTTTTTCGAGTGACTTTCTTTCTATCGGAAAATGAGCTCTTTAAAAGTTTTCCGAGTTTATTTGTGTCTCGTGCTTCTGTTTTCTTATCACGTACCATTTGAAATAGCATAGATAAAAACAGACTTTGAGACCTAACTTATCTGTTTCTAAAAAACTTATCAACAAAGAAGTGTTTGTGGTATAACAATAAGACAGAAAGTTGTTGAATCTCATTAAAGCTACATTAAAAGTTGAAGGTTAGGGAAAGCATTCAGCAGTGTTTAAACTTTAATGTGCTATAAAAATGTATGCTTTGATTTCGAAATAAAAAAAGAAAGTTGAAGTTTTAAAGCATTTTTCTGAATATTTTCTGTAATATTTTATTTTGTAACACAGAATATTTAACATCTTTCAAAAAATGTTTACGTTCCTCTCTTCATTTCTCATTATTACGATGTACTCCTTACATTTTACTTGCTTTTTCATGTACAACTTGATTCGAGAACAAGTTGTGGGATGTGATTTATGATATTGTGTGTAAATTTATCTTCTTCAAGTACTTCTTGGATTCAATTTCATGTATGATAACAAAAAGTTTGAACAAAAAAAGCGAATTATGTGAACTTTCTTATTTTTTTGCTCGAAAATTCTGTTAAACTGGAAGGCGACGTTCATTCTTATGGAAAAAGTCAAGTCAATCTTGTGATATGAAATGTTGTTAACATTTGACGAAAGAATTGTAAATTGGAGAGTAAAAGTTTATTTTATTGCCTCGAATGTTGAGTTTATATGTCAGTTGCTGAGTGATAAATTTTGGTTTAAAAATTAAATTAATTTATTTTGTATTGTACATTGTTGATGACATAAATTGTAAAACTCCTCGATAACTTGGTTTATTGAACTCATTAGATGTTAAAGTAATTTGATGAAAATCTCTTTAAATTTTCTCATGAAAACATTTTTAAGATAAATATTGTTATTGATATGAAATTACTTGAGCGAAGATTTTTGTATGAAAGATAAATATTTGAAGTGGATATCACAAGTTGAACTGTTTACTTTGCTTACATAACTGGTGAAGCTTCAAGGAAGTTTTTGTGTGGTTTGATTTTTATGCTTTTGATGAACAAATATTCTTTAAAACCTTTTAAGAAATTGCAATTTTTGATTAAAAATTGTCTACTCGACCTTTTAAAGATTTCAATCTTCCGATATTTGAAGTTATCTACTTTACACATTTATTATTTTTCTCAGGATATTTTTGATTATTTTTTGATTTATTTAATAAGGTTTTCCCAAAGCTTTTTCATTTTCTAGAAAAAAGAAGAACATAACGAGAATGATTGATGTATGTAATATTTTATTAGGCGTTTATTGCCAGCCTTTTATTCCACATATTTTGTTCAAGAACCCGTACAGTTTTTACACACAATTTAATTTTGTGCTATGTCGACTGAACACGAATCGATCGACTGAATTTGAAAACATAAATTCAATGTGTTGAATAATATATCAGAATTAAATGTAACTTTTCAACCAAATCGAGTGCTTTTTATTTTAGATGAGTTTTGTTAATTAGAAATGAATTAATTTACTCGTTTAAGTGTTTATTCGTACAATAATCCATAAAATTGTCTACAGATTATCGGGAAATTTTAAAATTTTATGTAATATGTAGGAGCATAAAATTAATGCTGATAAATGTTGGTCAGATTGTAGAAATATTTTCACATTATTCTTGTCAGGTTTCAAATTTTATTTAATGTCAAAAATTTCTCCCATTTTAATAACTTTAAATAATAAAATTAAAACGTTCATCAATTTTATTAAAATGATAAAATTGCATTTCATGTTTCCTAGAGCGATGTAATGGATCAAAAAGTGACAATTCTTGTTGCGCCTCTATTAAAGAATAGCAGTTGTGAAAATGCGAATTCGTCAACATTTCTCTCAAATTTGGGTGCTTTGGACGTTATACAGGCATTTTTTATAATGACGTTAACATTAGCTATCGTAGGAGCAAATTTAGTTGTTATAATTGTTATCAACTGCAGGCGTTATGCATCCTTTATACACCCACAAGTATGTAAAAATATTTTAAAATTCTGTGAGCTTTTCGTTAAAATGAGACAAATTTTCTAGCCACGATATTTGATAACATCATTGGCGCTAAACGATTTAGCAATAGGTCTTTTAATAACACCTTTTGGAACAATACCTGCCTTGTTACATTGTTGGCCTTATGGAGAAATCTTTTGTCAAATACAGGTGAATACTCGAAACTCATTCCCATATTACCTAAATGGATTAAATTATGGATTAATGGTAGGCACTGTTGCGTGGTGCATTGGCACAACAAAGCGCTGTCATTCTCGTTTGCATGGCCGTCGATCGTTATACTTGCGCATTATATCCACAAAAATATCATCAGCATTCAAGTAAAAAGGTGAGTTTTTAAATTTTCTTTATCTCAGATGTCATTTTTCCGGCTTTCCTTTTTTCCAATCTTATATTCAAGCATGTATTTATTATTATATAAATTTCTGGGTCTTAAAGTCTCTTCTCTGCTTTCATCGCTTGAAAAAAATGTATATTAGCTCCATTTGCTTAACAAAAGAATAAATAGTAGAACAAATTCTTCCAACCCATAAATCATAAAATTTTATGAACAGTTTTCATGAATGCTATTCGCGGAGACAACAAAAAATAAAACGCTAACATCATGTTGTGTTTCCTATTCAGATTTGCTTTCTTTTTTTAGAAGTCATTTGAATAACTGAAAATTATTTACTTTCGGATTCATTTTTAACTTTAAGAGTTCCATAAAAGAATTTTAAAAAAGCTGTTGAAGCTTAAGTGGAATGATAAAAAGCTCAACTTTTATTTGAGATGAAAAAGGTCGATAGATATCTTAAAGACCAAGATAAATTTTAGATTACACCACCAAGTGGGTTGAAGTTTCTTTATTCCTTAAACTTCAACGTCCATTTTCTCATTCAACAATCGAAGCGATTGCAAATTTTATTTTTTTATCATTTCAACAAGCAAACAATTTTTCTTTATTCTGTGCATTCGTTCTACAAGTTTAGCAACAATCTTCCCATTGTTTGATGTTTTGTCGTAAAACTTTTTAGCAATGGTTGTCAATGGTGCATTATTTTTTATAATACTGAAACGATCTTAAGGGATTTCAGGCTTGCAGACAATTTAGTTTTATGCTGATACGAAAAAGTTAAACTTCCAATAAATCTTTTAAATTTAAAACTTCCGAAAGTTTTACAAAAATATTTTCGTTAAAAAAAAATAAAAATTGCATTCGTTTCATAAATCTTCAAATTATTAGCCATAATTTCCTTTTATAATATGCACACCCACAAAAGCTTCTTTCAGTAATCTCTTGGTTAAACCCTTTAAAAATTCATTATGTGCAACACTTTTCTTTAATAAATATTTTTCAGGGTTGTGTAGCAATTCTCAGCGTAACATGGATTTTATGTCTCACGTTTTATGGAGTACTTGTGTTACCGAAAGGTAAGAAGACAAAACGTTTTCCATCTTCTTCTGGCTTAAAGTTGTGTGAAGATGAGAAAATTATCTCGGATTGTGAGTGGTTATATAACAACAAGATTTACATTTAATTAGTTTTTCTTGTTGATTTCTTTCTCCTTTTCCATCTTAATCTCATTGTTTTAATTTATGTTTTTCTTTCTGCTCTCTTTATTATGTCTTAAGGATATTATTACAATGCTACAGGTTTGTTGGCTTGCGAGCCATTTTTCAGCAAACCTTCTTACCGAATTTTAGCATCTTGCGCATTCTACTTTCCTACGACAATGGTTTTGATGTATTGCTACGGTTCGAGCTTCCATGCGAATCGATTTCGCTTGGCGTCAAGTGCATCGTCGTCATTTGCGACGCCTGCTGCTATAACCGAAAAGGTATGTTCATGGTAAAAATTACTATCTATGTAACGTGTACAACATAAACTTTAGAGTTATGTTTCATGATTTTACACTTCAAAGCTTTTTAAAAAGCTTTCAAAATTTTTTTTTCAATCTTTTTAATTTAATAATTCATTGGATTCGGTTGTGAAACAGAAAACAAATGACACACGTTTCTCATAACTTTTCGCCATTGGCACAATCAAGTAAAGTGAATTTTAAAGTTAACAGTGAAAAATATTTGCAAAGCTGTTTTCTTCTCCTCGACATTTTTCTTCATTTTGAAAATCGTTGCTGTTAAGAGTTTTAACAAATCTTTTCGACGTTATTAATTCTAAAATTAACTTGCTAATGATTCCACTCTAATCTTATCTTAAAATGCACTTATGTAAGTAAACTGTCGTGTCTCTAAAGACTTTTCAGTTTCAAGTTAACTTTCATGAATGACAAAAACCACAAATTTCCACATCGCTTATCTTTATCGTCTGTTTTTATTTCTCTCACATTTCATTCTTCTTTATGTTCACACATAGATGGTCGAGCATGAAAGAGTCTTAAGAGGATCAACTTCGAGGACGATGGCCGCAATTTCATTAGGTTTCATCGTTATTGTCACACCCTACACGATTCAAGAAGTTGTTGCTGCATGCACAGGCTCAAAGGTAATTTTGTTACATTTTCATCGTTTACTGTTGTTGTTGAAAGTTACACAGAGTTTGAAATTTAAAAAATGAAAAAGAAAGCGGGGGTGGAAGTAGATTTGCTTTTTGATGAAGATTGTCTTCTCGTTTGGCGACATTCATTCTGCATTTTGTTATACAAAGAAACAAGAAAAAAGAAGCTATTGAGAGTAAAATATTTATTTTCCTTTTGATCCAACAGTGTTGTCGGTATTAACAATAGATAGGGCTGAAAAAATTAAATGACAAAAGCGATAGGAATGGAATAGAAAATGTTTAAACGGCAAAACACTATTGTTGTTTCCATTTTTATTTCCGTAAAATAAATGGATGAATAAAATGGAAAACGAGTTGAACAAATAAATATTATCACAAATGAATGTTAGAAGTGAAATTGGTTTGTATAAACAAACGAACACCAGAACAGGAACGAAATAATTGTTAAAAAATGCAATTCATCTATCGCTGTTCTATTCGACGCTTCCATTGAATGGTGGTAATAAATTTTAAATAGTTCATTCTCGTGTTCCATCTCTTCTTTCAATATGTGCTGAAATTTATTGACTTTAACTAAGTAAAGGCAAAATAATTGCATTAATTAATTTTCATGTCCAATTTCTTTTGTTTCAAAGATTCCACCGAGTATAGATTTTGCTGTCACATGGTTTGCACTCAGTAATGGTTTTTGGAATCCATTTTTGTATTGGCTTTTAAATGCTCATTTCCGCAGTATTTCGCATGACATGATAACGTCAAAGGTGAGAATATCAAATGTCGTTCAAGCAAAAGACGATTTTATTTTGACGTTAAATTATTTCATTCATGCAGTGCTTTCGACGCAAACCTGGCACAGGAAAAGATTTCAAATCGCATTGCTGTAGTTTGAGTTTAGAATGTGACCATGAGATTCCATTGCCGCCTCTTCCGAAAATGAGTAGCACGAGTCGCCCATCGACTATAACAGGCAATTCTCATGGTGCGACTTTCAATGACTTTGATGGATTGTCAGAAAAGTATTGGGGCGAGATTTTGGAGAGAACGTTCAGCTCAAATAGCTTGCATGCACTTCAGCATCATCATCAACATCAACAGAAGCAGCAGCATCAACAACATAATCACAATCATCATATGATGCACAATGACAAACATCATTTCAGTAACAATACAGCATTCAGTGATATTAATTTAAATAGAAGTGAAACAAATTTATATTATTCGAATTCCGAGCCGCATCTTGAATGCGAGCACGACTTACATGATATCAATTGCGCCAAAAATAAGGCGTTCTTCGGTGCATTTAACAAAAACGAGGACATTTAGTATAACGAAATCGTTGGGATGGATTTTTCATGTGAAATACTTTTAATGAGATTTTTTGTTTTCCTTTCCTTTTGTTTTTATTAAAAACATTCTGAAAGCAGTTTCAAGTACTTCGGATGCTCATCAGCCATGGCGTGTAAAATGTTTATTTTATATAATAATGTAAATAGATATTTAACGCACATTCAACAACATACTGACTCACAAAAACGTTCTTTTCATGCTAGTTAGTTAAGAAGAAGATTTCATTTTGATGCGTGGGTGAGTGAAAATGGTTGTAATGGGAAAACTGTTGAATAAATTTAATGTTTTATGAAATTCCAAGCACTTTGATGAAGAAATTTATTTCTACTGAATGATAAGTCATGACAACAGAAGTGATTATGACTTTTCACCGTCATTTAACGCCATGTAGGCGTTGCTTTTATGTGAAGCTTCCATTAATCGTTAGTGGGTGAAGGTTGCGATATTTTTCAACCAAAATCCACCATAAAATTATTTTTGTTCTTTTCTTTTCAGAAGTTGTCCTTTTACTTAACTCATCTCATTGTTACTTAAACTTCCTTCTATTATGTAATTCTCGATGAAATAACATTGTCATAGCTTCCTACACTATGATCACAACAGCTATCACTTTTCATGAATAAATAACATTTGATGGCGCTAATTAAGTTTACGAGAGAGCGCGAGTTTGATACAGTTTCTGATTTTATGAGATCGTTGACAATATCATGGAGGCGAACAAAAAACTTTTCCTATTTAATTAAAAATCTCATCTTTCAGAAGTAGTTAATATCATTAGTATTTATGGACGAAGTGAAGTGTTTGTTGTACGACTCTCTCTAAGCATGTAAATTGAATTTCCATTTCTTCTTTGTGCTTTAAATTTTAAGCTTTGAATCTGTTAAAATTAAATACAAAAAGATTTTAAAGCAGCTTCAAGTATTTCAGTCAATTCAATTTTTTGGCTATCGAAAAACTTTGCTTGAGAAGGTTGGGAACTTCCCCAAGGATTTAAATGCCAGAGAACGATGATGATTTTGTTGACATTAAGGAACTCAAGTAAAGAATATTTTTGCCAGACAACGACGCTCTTTGAATACCCAAAAAAACTTACTTAAGATCTTCAATGTGTAATGACATCAATTGAACCTTCCAAGGGACAAAAAAATCTCGAAGGACCTTGAAAGCGTTGACCGCTTGTAAAAGCGTTAATGTACAATAAAATAACAATTAAATAAATTATCATAAATATTGAGATGTTGAAAGTCAATCTTATGTACTACCAGCCGTCAACCGAAACTTATGTAAAAGCGCGCATTTTCCTTATTATAATTGAATTAAATTCTTCTTTTGTTTCATTTTCTAAAAGCAATTAGGACTGAATTCAAAACTTTTTCTTCTCTCCATTTTTTGTTAAATATAAGGTGATGGCAGAAAGTTGTTTAAAGAATGAAGTTTAAATTGAACCTTTTTCTGTGTTTAAAAATCATTAATGAAGAGAATTGGAACAACAATACATAAGAGTCAACAACATTTATTGTTTTTAATGGATTTGTGATGGTCAGACATGGCAAAATGTTTTGCATTATAATGAAGCAATTAGGATTTAGATAACAGATAGAACTAAATGTTTCACAACTTTTCCAGTGATTGTATCTGCACTGCTGTTGACCACTTAATGTCCGTTTTAGAAACCGCTTAATTTTGTATCGGTGTTCATTACAATCTCCATTAATATTAAATCTGCTTGATGAGAACAGAAATGAGCGCAAATTTATCAGAAAATAATGTGAAAAAGCTTCCAACAAGTGAGGAAAAGCTATCAAAGAATATTCTTCGACATTTGAGGGTGTTAAGTCAACATTTTGAATGAAAAACAAAGTAAACGAAATTCTCTCAACGTAAAAAGCACACAAAGAGTTGCTAATTTTATCCCTCGAGGGTAATAAATAAAGACTGATGTTTCTAGGGAGGCTTTTCGCTTTGAGGATAATTTACGAGCAAGAGCGTTGACTTCATTCAACTTTTCTAGTTACACAGTTAACAATTTTACTGAATTACGTCAATTTGATGATTAATCGTTGTTCATGAAATATGTGAATGCATTTAAAGTGGAAAAGTTTCTTCACTTGATTTTCTTTGTTACACTTCGAAATTGATCATTTGCTGTTGATTTTTCCTTCATCAATGAACTCAATAAAGAAATGATGAGATAACATTACAATAATCTTCATGTTCTCAGCTCCATTGATAGCTCGAGGAGTTAAAATCTTCACTGAATCTTGAAGTATTGATTTGAGATTTAGTATCTGTTTTTTTAAGATACTTACATAAATTTCTTGATTCTACTCTTAAAATACTGCAAGAAAGCACATTCGCTTTGAGAAAAGATCTAAAAGATTATCAAGCTCAATAATCTTCTACTAAAATGGATGGAAAGAATGACCCAAAATGATATAAAATCAGTGCTATTACTTTCTCAACAACATAAAAATGTGTGGTCATATTATGTATTTGCAGCAGCATAAATGTAGAGTTGCTTTAGTGGTTGCTAGAAGGTGTTATCATGTCTTCACTTCTATCATCTTTCACTAGGGAATTTATGTGGGAATCCAATAAGTTCATGATGGCTTTTCATGTACATTAAAGGATAAATTATTTATCCCACATCCGGAAGTTATTTGTCTAGGCTGTCGTTTTTAATGCTTCAGTTGGCTTCACATGAAACAATTTAGCTAGTCACCCATAAACACTCTTATCAGACTCCTTCATCAAACCATTCATAATGAAATAGTGAAAGTCATCTTGGTTTTCTTATAATCAAACAGATTTGGAATGAATTGACAAAATATCTATTTTTAGAAAACTTGCGGAATGAAAGATCATTCGAAAATTGACTAAGAAAATGTGGGAAGTTTGATGTTTGCTATGTAACATGATGAAATTTCCAGTCAGATTAAATGAGAATCAAATCGAATCCTATCGGGAATTTAATTTTAAATTGAAGTATCTTTCATAAAATATGCAGCATTTACAACAAAGTAATTTTCATCCAATGATTGCTACTGCAAGAAATCAATGTTTATTCATTCATCGCGTTTTGGCATTGTTAGATGGAGTCTTCAATCTTTTTATCGGAAATCGATATTTATTATGAATGAAAAGCATTTAATCTTCCACGCTACCGTGACTTTTATTCTCATCATCATCTCATATTTCGCATCATAATCGTCACGTAACGTGATTTGCAGGCTTTTTTTTATTCAACGATAATTGACTAAAATTTATCTGAATTGCTTTTCCATGTGACTTATTTATTGTGTACCTAAGTTTACATAATAAATTCTGTTTGAACAATTACATTACAATTCATCGAATGTAGATTTGTGGAAATGGAGGGAAGGAAATCTGAAAATATGAGCAAAAATATCAACAAGTGTTGAAACATCGACCAAAATTCAATCTTTTAATCCAATCAACAATACAAAATGCTGGAAAGTTTATGAAAATAAAGTTTAATTTAAACTAATCTCATTAGATACAATTAATTTGCTTTTGCGTTTAGTTTCAGGTGATGATAATAATTTTAATGAAATAATTATCGAAATTAAGTTTGAATAACCACAGAAAATAATGAACTGCATGGCAAAAACTGTTGAAAACAGATTGTTTGAACAATCGTTGGTTCATTTCCATGATTGCATATCCAAAACCATTTAAAATTTAATTTATGTTTGAAATATTAATAATAAACCACAAGCGATCTTTAACCATTGTTCTGAGTTTGAGAATATTTATTTTGCCTTTAAGGGATTTTAAGTTATTCAAACATTTGTAATATTTAATACATTTTTAAAACTTTCAACAAATTCTCCATTATTACGACTTAAACAGTAGCATTTAACACATTTCATAAATTTTACTGTAACTACTCAATTCTATTTATACAAATTTCTTCCCTCGATATAAAATTCCTAAAAATATTTGAAGTTCTTCTGAATTTCTGACAACATTGATGATGGAATTTATGTTCACATCTACTTCAGTTCGTAATGTAAGCCCGCAAGATAAAAGATAATGTTGCATAAGGTGCTGCAATAAATGTAGATAAGAAGAAATATTAGATTTTTTATAAATATCAAGAGAATTTCATCCATAATATGATTCCGAATATCTTTACGTTCATTTCTTTCCTTAGAGATGAAACATTTTTCTTGATGTTTTCAAAACGTGCGACTAATCGTAGATATTGGTCATGACAGTAGATTATTTCTACAAACTGGAACTAGATCCTTGACAACTGAATTTTATCACGATTAAATACAAAAGCTTTTGCAAGCTGAATACTTCATAAGATTTCATTCCAACTACATATAATGTAGTGCTTTGCCACCTGCTGAGCTTTCAAATTCAATTGCATTTGCCACATAACAGACAGCATTTTCACGTATTTTGTTCAACGAGACAATGAAGAAATTAAAGTAGTAAGTGCTGTGTAATCGCTTTAGATATCACTTAAACTCATAGTTGAAAGAATTTTTAGATCAAAATAATAACCAACATTGTTTACAGTCGCTGCATTTTCAAACTAACTTTTTTGTCTTGAATATGATATGAAGAGAGAGAACTGTTTGTATGATAATTCAATTTTATATTCACGACTTGCGGTTTCCTTCTCATTCTTGTGTGGATAGATAAAAAATCATCGCATTCGAATTGAATTTCAAAAAAAAAAGTAGAAAAGAAATATTTTGAAATGGTTCCATTAGGACTGGAAATCTTGTTGAAGACATGAAACATAAACCTTCTTTGACGATTCATTGAATTGAAAGAAGGCAAAACGAATGAGTTAGATTTGCTGTTTCAATAACTTTCAACTAAATTCAGTTCAAAGAGGATGGGAAAATGAATTAAGGACTTTGAAAAAATAATTAAAACCCCTTTTGTTCTGATCCACTTTCCTTTCCGATGAACTTTTTTTTCTCTTTCGTTGTCAATCTAAATTGTGAGATAAAACTTTGTAAGTAATCGGACGAATATTTAATGATATTAAATGACAACTTTTTGCAGCGGAAGATAGAAAACTTCAATCCCATCGCTAAACCAATAATTCCTTAAAGGCCATAATTTAATTGAAAGTCAATTTACAGAAGCAATAAAATTTCATTTCGCTTGGAGCATGAAAAGAAGAAAAAATCTCGCAAAACTTTATTATGTGCGAGAATAGATTCTGTAAATAATCGAAGAGAAAATCCTTGAGATTATAAAGTTTTCGTAACATGCTGAGGCTGAGATAGCTGAGAAATGAAATAAAACAGTCGTACTATGTATGAGCAGTGAGGAGAATATGAGAAATATTTGGAGTTTGATTGAATGGCAAAAGGACGAAATCAAACAACATAAACGGCATTTCTTTTAACCCCGCCGGTCTCATAAATAAAAATGTTAATGATATTGTCAATTTCGGTTTATTCTGTTCACATCCCTTTTTCCTTTGCTTTTAAACGCCCTTTGTAATGTTGTCGTCGTCGCTATGCTGACATTTTTTGCTGACAAAAGTTAAACAAGATTCCAAGGCGAACACAATTGATGACTCTTTTACGCGAAATAAAAAAAGATCAAAAAATAATTTGTGAATAATCGTTGAAACTAATTCCAAATGCTTTATCTTTTTTGATGACTTGATGATTTGTTTCGCTTTTAGCTGTAGTGAGAAGAGAGAAAGAAAGAAAATGTCAAGACTAAAAATTGCTTCCCAATAGTTTTTCATGGAAGATTTTTCTCAAATTAATGTCGTGCATATCCTCACAACATGACAGCAAGCCAAGAGAAATGTCGCTTAATGGAAATCAGGCAATTCCACTAAATGACTCATTATGAATTGTAAATGTGCCGTAACTCCGATCCACTCGATTTACCCGGAAATTTACAGAGATGACGCAATGACTTATCACATGTGTCTTTAACTAACTTTGAATGTCTAAATCCCTGCATTGATTTTCACATTAAAGGGAAAAAAGAGGCGAAAAATATTTTTCTATGAAAATCTTTTAAGCCACTCGAGTCACCCCCAAGATAAATTTATTTTCTTTATTTGCTTTTCATTCTGAGGACGATAAGGATAAACGAAATAAAATAATGTCCATTTTCTCGAGATGGAAAATTAAGTTATTAAATTTTCCGAATGAAATCACTGTATATGGAGTTAACTGGATGATAAGAGAGAGAAAATTGATGTTGATGTCTACCGTTGAAGACTTCGAAAGCAATCAAATCAGGCGAGTGAAACGATTGACTTATTTCCAACTTCAAACCAACACAGACATTAATTTATCACATATCTGAAAACTTATAGAATTGAATTAAAGTTTCAATCATGAAACGAATTTCTTGTTTCATGGTTTTGCTTCTGCTTTTGTCTATGCGACAAAAAAATTAATGGACTTTGTTATTAAATTAAATTTACTGGGAAGAAATATTTTAAGAAAACAAAATTGAATGAAAAGTATGAAAGGAATGTCTCTAAGTTATGAAACGATTGCATCTTAGGTATGAAAAGATTGCATCAACAACATCAAAAAGTTCTTCGAAATGTGAAACCATCATAAGAAATTCGGAGATTTTCAGTTTTTCTTATTTGAAGTAAGAAATTATTCTTCCAATCCCTTAACCGCCCATCTATTAAGCAAACATAAATCTCGAAAATATGGAAATGTCTCTTTCAGCACAAGGTCGTGTTCTCTTTTTCATTCTATTTATCAGCCAACATGTCACGTCTTCATTTTTTCTACCGTTGCGTTGCTAAGCTTTCAAAATAAACCTAGAATTTTAAAGACTTTCTGTCCTTCACCAAGCAGACTGATAAAAAGCTAGCAAACAAAAAATATAACTGGAGCAGTCTATACGTCATTTAAGGAAGGGTCGGTAGAGCATGGCACAGTCCAATGAAAGACGTTTCCGTCCTTGTTGCCGCCAATATTTATAAAAACGAGATTTATTTTGGGTCAGTTTTATCATTTTTTCGTTGCTGTAAGCATTGGCATCAAGTTTTGTTCGGTAAATCAAAGAAATTTGTCAAAATACCTAAAAAAATGTCTTTTTTGTTTGTCGTAATGATGGAGTGTCAGAGAATTTTCCATGTTATGATTTTTATGAAAATAAAATATTTAATCTACGATACGCAACATTTCCTTGAACAAAATAATATCAAAAACGAGCCAGGAAGAAGAATTCAACAAATTTTCAGATTAAGACGTAAAGGAATGAATGGCATGAATTTTAACTTTAATTAACTTTTCGAATAATTCGCTCTTCTAATTCATCTTTCAATTAGGGAAATTGTTATTCAACTCGGTTATTTAAGTATTTAATTAAGCTTTCAGGAAATACTTTGATTTGTAAAACCAGCAAATGGCAAACGTTTGTAATTCAAGTCATTATTGTGTTGTTATCATTTCCATGCTTGTTTTGTTGTTCATGAGAAAGAAAAAATTATGATTAAAGTTTGGAAACTTTTCTTTCTGCTGTCTGAAAGTTTTAAATTAAGAAATTTACTTGATGATAGGAAATCTGAAATAGATGCAACAGAAATTATCAATTTGAAAGTTCTGGAAAAGCGGAAAGTCGTAATTTAAATGGTAAGCAATGTAAAATATTTCCATGCTGAAAGGAAGTGAAAATTCTACGCTTCGCAAAGTCCTAGAAAATCCTAAAAATGATTTCTTCCGCTGTTTATCCGACGACGAGACGACATTAAATGCTATTGCTTGCTTAGATGTGGCTTAAAAGAAGATTATATTGCAATAAATATCAAACGTCATAAGGGAGATGCTTACGAAACATAAGAATTTAGTCATCGTCTTGCATATTTATCTCAGCATAATTTTTATGCAAATGTTTTATTTTATTCTTATTAAAAAGAAATCCGCAATGCTATGTGAACATAAAATTAATTGCAGCGATTGAAGGGGGGTGACAGACATTCATTTTATATCGTTTAGTAATGATAATGAGATGTCATCGTGTCACTGATAATGATCGAAATATGTTCAAGCTGACGTTTATCACATGTGGAAATTTATTTGGGTCAACGAATGAATTAATGTTAGCTGTAAAAAATATTTCATGAATCTGCTTTTTTCTCAATCAGATTTACAACCTGGAAGTTAATGCTGAGTAACTTTTGACGTCTTCTTTCTTCATCGACAACAAAGAAATGTTTTCGTTTTTACAAATATATTCGATGAGCCATAAGGCACTTGAATAAATTGGAACATAAATAAAACTAAACTTCAATGATCACTGACTTGTATTCAAATATTTAATTCTTCCCCAATGACCCAACAAAGAGAATTGAAATTTAATTCATATAGAATTTCAACAAACATCTTCTCCTTTCAGACATCCGTTTCATTTTTCTTCATTTAACATTCACATGAAACATTACTAGATCGTTTCTTTCCTTTTATGCTTTATCATACACCAAACGACAAGAAAATTTATTGCATAGAAATTAAATCCCAACAAGCATCGCAGTGGCGGATAGAAAGGAAAGAAAGAAGAAACACAAAAACTTTGCGAGATATTTGGTGGATGAAAGAGAAACAAGACACAAGAAACAAAGCAGGGATGTCACAAAACATGATATACAAATTTCTTCCTCCATCGCTATCTTGAAAGAAGCGCTTAGGGATTAAATCCTATGCAGATTCATCCGACTGTTAATCATCGTCTCCCGAGACGCTCTGCCAAGGCCTACAAAATCAAATCTGATTATTTTTCTTTATGGTAATTTAATTTTATTCTCAAGGCATGTTTTGGCAATGGAACTTTGCATTAGGAAAGGCTTTCGCTTCAATATTGAATAAGAAAAGGAAACAAACTACAAGAAGCAGATCATAATTTTTGGAGATTTTTTCTCTCTTTTCTTGTTTAGATTTTCAGATTAAAATGGAAACTCCGAGACGAGAAGGAAAATCTTTGCAACACTCGATCCTGATGGCTGACGATTTGTAGTGTAAACATTCATCGTGAGTTGTAATTCGATGTCTTGTGGTCCATCAAGTGGTTGCATCAGCAATAATGTAACGCCTTGTGGAACTTTCTTAAGACTGTCAAGAAAGAAAAATTGATTTTTATAAAAATAAATAATAAAATGTGATCTTACCTGAAATAATGTTCTGTTACTTTCTCAACACTTGGTGGTGCATGGATGTGATCAATCTTAAGATCAAAGTCAAGATCTTGACTCCAAACTGTTGTTTGAAGATTAAACAAACCAGTTCCTTGTAATGGCACCGTCATGTTTGGCACCATCGAGATAAAGTTGAACGAATATGATGTTGGTTTACGGAAGCAATCATAGTCATCGTGGTCACATAGCATGCTGATTCTCTTACAACGACTATGTGAAAAGAAATTTAATTAAAAAGTTTTTCTTTTGAAAGTTTTTCTTACTGCTTCCGATCTGGATCACGCATGTAACCGTAAGGACAATTGATTGGAATGCATCGATGACTTCCCCTTAAGTTTGTGCAAATATCGTTTCGATCACGACAAATTCCTGGCGTTTCTTTACATTCATCAATGTCTTAGGAAAGAGGAAGTTAAAAAACATTTAAAAAGTTATTTAATTTAATTAATTACCTTCACATGATCTGGAATCAGCTCCAAGTCGATAACCTTCTGGACATGCACAACGATACGAACCGGGAACATTTTCACAAATTCCAACACAAAGTTTGTAAGTTTTGTGAATTTCGCATTCATCGATGTCATCACAAGTTCTGTTGTTGAGACTCAATTTGAAACCAGCGTCGCATCCACATTTATAAGAGCCCCAATAATTTATGCACCGATGTTGACACAATCCAGGATACTCTTGACATTCATCAACATCAACGCATTTTCTGTCATCGTTTGCTTCATTTTTAAATCCACTTTTGCAATGGCATCGATACGATCCAATGCTGTTTATACATTCAGCATTTGATGGACATGGCCGACGGTCTTTGTAAAACTCGCATTCGTTTATATCTTGGCAATCGCGATTATTTGTTGACACGAAACCAGGTGGGCAAACGCAAGCATAACCGCCAGGTTTGTTTTTGCATGTTTGTTGTGGGCCACAAATTGGTTCACGTGATGCACACTCGTCGATATCAACACACTGACTTCCATCTACGTTGAGTTCAAATCCGCCTTGGCACGTCATCGAGTTTAAGCAGCGGTAAGCTCCATTGGTGTTAATACATTTCTGGCTTCGAGCGCAGGGATTTCTCACATCGCACTCGTTTATGTCTTTTTTTTTTTGTGGTAAAGAAACAAGAAAAGTTGGTTGGATTAATGAAGTAAAAATTATGCAAAAGCAACCCTTAATGAGAAAAGAAACAAAACTTTTCATGTTAAAAATTTAGCGCCCGTTCGATGCTGCAGCAATTCCATGAAAGGAGAGATGAGAAAAAAAAGATTTTACAGAAATCCGAGCCGGAAGCGTGAATAAATTATGGGTAAAGATTGCAAAACGACAAGAGAAACAATTTTAATTTACTTGAAGTCGATTCTTAAGCGATAAAAGTTTTAAAAGCGCTTGGGTCTTATCAACATGAAATGTTACAAATTTTCTGAATCAAAGCCTTTAATTAAATTATAAATAAGTTGTGTAAGTCACAGAAGAAAAGAAAGAAGGAATGAAAGTTAATTAAACCGGAAAACTTTCACCTCGTATTCAATTTTCTAAAACGTTTAACGAACCGATTGTCTATTAGACTTTTTCTTCTATCATCACATCAAATAAATTAAACATGAACGTGACAAAAAATTCAAACATCCCTTATTGTTAAATGATAGACAATAAATCTTTATCGAGAAAGACTCACCAACACATGCTCCAAGGCTGTTTCTCTCAAAGCCTGGCATGCAAGGCGGATAATTGGGATCTGGATTCGGATTGTAGGGATAACGTGATGTATAGAAAGGCGTCGTATATGGCTGATAAATCTCAGGACGACGTGTTGTGGTTGACGTTGTTGTTGTCGTTGTTGTTGCAACTGTCGTCGTCGTTCTTGGCTTCCGCACACAACGGAAGCTTCCTGAGGAAACGACAGATAAATTTATAAAAATATTCTCAAATGAAAATGACGAGAATATTGAAAAGCTTCTTCCAACTCTTTCGTGTTCTCTTATGACTTTGTCATAAAATGATGTTGAAGGATCTTTTCATAAAGCAGCGTGAATCACATTTGAGATTAAAAGAAAATCTTCTTACCTTTTGTATTGTGACATTCATAAGGATCAAAGCAGTTGTGTCGACCTAGAACACATTCATCGTCGTCTTCGCGTCATTCAAAGAAGTAAGAAAGAAGAAAAAAATGAAATCGGAAGGAAGATTTTAGCACGAGAACGAGAAATTGGTGAGAAAATTGAGTTTTTCTTTTTACCATCACATTTCAGCGTTTCCGCATTAAAAGTGTATCCTGTTCCACAACTCTGAGTGCGAATACAGCGATAGCTGCCGATTGTGTTGTCACATCGTTGTGTTTCTAAGCATTCATGATTATTGATTTGGCATTCGTTGATGTCTTCACACGCATTTGTCAATGGATCAAGAGTGAAACCAATTTTACAGTCGCATCTGTAACCACCTGGCAGATTTGTACAAATTTGATTCGCATCACATGCTTCTCGATCAGCCATACATTCATCGATATCTGAGAGAAAAGTTTCAAAATATTTGAATGACTTTTCAAACTTCAAATGGATTTTTAATGAGAGAAAAGAAATTTACCAATACACTGATCCTTGTAAACTTGATAACCATCCGCACAGTTGAGGTCGATTGGAGCTAAAGGTCTGAAAATAATGAGAATATTTATTCAGTCGTTTATGTTTTATGTTTTTGTGGGAAATGAAAGAACATTTTTAAATAGAATCTCATTTAAAGCCTTTGCATTCCCTAAAGCAAGTGAATACATTTTAAAGTTTCGTCACACTTAATCTGACATCTTTCAATTGAAACAGTTTTCATTCACATGCACTTTTAAATGTTCTCCGATCCACGATGTATAATTTAGCTTCCATTTCAGATTAATGTTGGGCAATTTCAAAAGAAAAGAAAGTAATCATTTCCTTTTTTCCGGATCTTTGAAATTCTTTCATGTTTTCCATGTGCTTTTTATCGTAACATTAGCACCCACAGGGCATTTACAAATCATTATATCAAAAACATAAATGTTACATAAAAAAATGTTTTCCTTACTTGGATCGTCTGATTAAAATACAGTCAAAAGATCCCGGAGTGTTTACACACTTGTAGCCGTCATCACAAGAGTCAGGATCTAATTCACACTCGTTGATGTCTATTTAGGAGAAGAAGAAGAGCAGCAAAATAAATATCTGATGATTCAGTGAGAATGATTCGAAAGAAAAGAAAATCAATCAAGCTACGAAGCAGAATTCAGAATAAGGAAATGAAATTAATCTACAAACAACTACCTTCACATAACTTCGTTTCAACATTGTACTTCAATCCTGGCAGGCATCTATCGCCAATTTTATCTTGACATTTATAGCCACCACGCGTGTTCAAGCATAATTGTATTTTCCGATTACAATCATCCGTGCCCTCAGAGCATTCATTGATGTCTGTAAAGAAATTAAGTCATTCGAAGGAAAACGAAAATAAATAAATTGCAAACAAAGAAGAAAAGTGCTGAGCTTTGTAAACTAATAATAAAAGTTTTCTTGTAAAAAAGATATAGAGAAGGGAGAAAATAAGTGAACAATGATATTAATGTGGGAAAATGACATTCAACATGAATGTCTTCTTATGAAAAAGATCGAAAAAAGTTAACACTGATAAGGAGAAGAATTCAACTCACCGACACATTGATCAGTTCTTGCCTGATATCTGAAACCTTCATCACATTTGCTGATCCTTTCACTGGCGATGATGTCCAAGCATTTATAAGATCCAATAGTGTTTAAGCAAGCTTGGTTGTTGATGTCACAATGCGCGTCTCCAGTGTCGCATTCATTGATGTCTTCACACTCATTTGTGTCGACATTCTTAACATAGCCATCAGCACATCTAAAACAAATAATCGCAAATAGATTTGATGTCAACAATTCCATTAAATGAATAAAAATTAATTTAACTCATGTCTAGCAGCGTGTTTGGAATTTTCTACAAACCAAAAATCAAAATATTCTTAAGAAAGAGGATTCGAGACAATCACAAATTGTGCAATTTTGTCATGAAGAAAATCAAGCATGACGCGACATGATGACAATGATATTTGATCAACCTTCAAGCAGGGAAACAGCAAAGAATAAAATTCTTTGTTTGCACTTACTCCGCTGTTGTCTTGTTCAAACTCTCCGGTATTTCGTTATCAATCACGTTTGTTTTCCTAACACATGTTATATTATCTTCCAATAACTCATAGCCATCATGACATCGGCAAATATATGAGCCATCCGTCGGTACACAGATCTGCATGCATAGATTATCGATTTGTTGACAAATATTGCCTAGTTTCATCCGTTCGTGTGTGTGTGTTTGTGAGCAAAAAAGTTTGAGGAAAATAAAAGAAAATCACGTATTAGAAATAATAATTTCGTCGCTTTTATATTTGAGATATCGTGACTTGAAATTTCTTACTGTCATCGAGAATCTCTTCACCATCTCCGTCGCGAATATCTGAACAACAATCTTCGATGATATCATCCCATGGACTACCAAATGAGAATCCATCTGTTGAACATTGTGGGCTTGTCGAACCGATCACTAGACCAATTTTACAAGCTTCGCAACAATCCTTAACAATCATATTGAAAAATTTATCAATAAATAGAAATGCAGTCGGTGATGTTTTCAACTTACTTTAAAGAATTCAGTTCCATAGTTATCAGCCGTGTTGTCACAACTTGAACTCGATTTTGCCGCCACAGATCCGGCTGTTGTGGTAAATAAAAGCAAATAAAAAAGACATTGACAGAAAGTAAACAAACAAATCTATTATTGAAAGTGACAAGGACAAGGACTTACCCGTGCACTGATAAATTCGATGTTGTTTTGCGCAACAAATTTCCCCCGTTGATAAGCACAAGCCGTGTAAGCCAGCTGGTACAACATTATTGTCAAGATTGAACTTATATTCGTTGCAATGTTTTCGTTGTGATCCCCATTCATTTCCTTCGTTGCAACAAAGATTGACGACTGATTCAATATCAACGGCTAAATATTTGAAGAAACAAATTTGTCTTATTTAAGTTCATTTCTTTAACATGCTTGAAACATTCAAATTTGCTTCCTTTTCAATCAGAATGAAATTTTAATCGCCGGAAGTTGTTCGTCGTTGCGGTATCGTCTCGACACCTTTCCAGTTTGAGTTGTAGAAAGAGAGAAATTCATTTAAGAAGAAATTGAATTTAATGATAGGAAAAAAGGTTTTAAACTTAACGAGTTTGCGATGGTTAAGGAATGAGAAAATTTTATCATGCCACAGGAAGATAAATCAAGTTTGTGTCGGTTTTTACGATGCTTCAATGTACTCGTTACACGTTTATTTTTCAGCAAATTTTCATTAAAGAAAAACAATTTTTCCATTCCATAAACATTGCTGAATGTCTACACAGATGGTTGAAAATTGGAAAATTATATTTTCCTTACATGTGATGATATGTAGCAACAAGAGATTGAATTAATTTTAAATTTCTTTATTTAAAGCTTTTGATGTTCAAATATATTTGCATTCATTATTTGATGGAGGAAAAGTTTGTAGAAAAAATAAAGCTTGACGAAGCTCAACTGAAATTTATTGAACAATTAAACTTGACATCATTCAATTGAAACCTTTGAAAATAAATGGAACAAAATTGATTTGTAGATCCTTATTGCATGGAAAATTACGTTGAAAAACGTAAATTAATTGATAAATCAAATGAGAATGAAAAGTTTGTTGGCAAAATGTTGACATTGTTCATTTGACGTATATTAATTGAAAAATTAATTGAGAATTAAACCGTGCGTTGCCATATTGAAAACTCATTAACTTTATCGGGCGTTCGCATCAACAGCTAATTGACTCATGTGTAAGCTTTTATCAATGAAAGAAAAGAATTTCTTAAGAAACACTTTCATAATATCAACGACGCTTCTCTGACTTACATAATTTTTATCAGATTACGACTGAGAAATATTTCTTATCATTATTCAAATAGCGATGGAATGTTTCTTATCATATCAACATAAAAAATTTCTTCCAATTTCTTTTGCTTCTAATTCTAATAATAATAAAGCGAAAGTTACATGAAAAATCGAAAGGAAATCAAAACCGAAAAAGATTTTTTTACAGCAGCTGATGAATTACATGAACTTGAACTCGAGAATTGATTTAAGAATTTTTCTCAGTCGTCACCCAGAACAAAAGATGATAAAATAATTAAGAAGTGCCATAACCAGAAAGAGTGAACAAAAAAATTGTGTCAATTAATTTATTCAGCCTTGAACTTCATCAACGTTCAATTGAAGCGAGAGAAAGGCCCGCCATCATATTGTTCGCATTGCTTTGAGACTTATAACTCATAACATAGTGTTTTGATTCTCAACTCCTATGAAAATTACTCACCAGACGCCGCCAATGCAAACGAGACACATAAAATCCAAGCCAAACACTTTTTATGTAACTGAATCATTTTCCTTTTTTTTTCTTTTGCTTTCTTTTCTCTTATAACTTCAACGACTTTTCTATGTGGAAAAATTTATGTTTGTTAGAACATGAATTTATGGCATCACATACAAACACACACAAGTTATTGATAACAACTTCTTCACTGTTTAATTTTTTTTATTCTACTGCAATCGATTCTGTCTTCCTTTTTACTGTTGAACGAGTTGAACAATTCCAGTCAATGCTCATGGAGCAATTAGTAGATCAAGGTAAGAAAAACTGGCGATTATTCAATTGTTTTCCTCTTTTTTCTTCCTTTTTCACAACAAAAAGTCATTAAAATATGCAAGTTGCGGTTAAAGGCAAAAGTTATAAAAGTCGAAAGGATTTTCCTTCCGTGTTGACTTGCGATAAATTTTATATGCCAATGGAAATATTTGCTTTTCTATGATAACTCGCGTGCACTTCTTCAACTTTAACTGTTGGCTGTAAATCTTTTACTGAAAGGAGAAAGTTCCACACGCCGCACGATCCAACTGCTAACTGAAGGCAGAATTTAAAGACTTCTCAATTTTATATTTTTCTTCTCTTTAAATTCGTAGAAAGAATGAATGAAAAGTTTTAGTTGAATAATATCTCTGGGAGTTCTTTGTTAGTTTTTTGATAAAATTTTATTTGATGAGTAGTGGAAAAATTGTGTATTCAGAGAGGGAAGCATGGGAACTTCTCGCACAACTCTTTCGTCTTTCTTTTTATTTAATGTCACAGTAGCATGAAATCAAGTAATGTTAAGTGTCATTTTCTTTTGTGCAGCCTTAGTTAATAAGACAGTACAAAGTTGCTGCAGACGTGATTTCATTACAATTTACTGTTACATTGGTAGAGAAGATGTTACATCAAATGTTAATTATGTAGTGTGGAATTTGCATATTCATATAGCTTAGTGGCAGAACTAATTACTTAAGTTTTTCTTTCCCTAAAAAGATTTAATCCTTGGAACTTCTTATATCAGAAAACTTAAGCTCCAGATTACTTATTGATCCTACTAATGTACAGGCATTCTTAAAACTTTTCCTAAACAGAAACTTTTTTTCATATTTTCTCAATCTTAGCCAACAAAAAAAAACCAAAATTTATTAGATTTGACCTTGAACAATTCGCTTTGATTTTTATTTTATTGAAACAATTTGCAGTTTTTAATTGTGACACAATTTATTTTATTCATACGAGACAAACCGATTTAATTAATTAAATAGAAGAGAGAACTAAATTGATGATGACGATGCTGAACGATTAACTTCTCCAATTGTCATTGTAGCTATCAAGTCTTGATTTTAGCAGCTCAACATCTTTGCTTCGTTTTTTGATTAGTTTTTTTACTGTCAAAGATCTAGGAAATGAAAATCTTCATTATTATAGTTTACATAATTGGGAATTGATAAGAATTATACCTCGCCGCGATCTTCTCATTTGACTTCGACATTTGTTCACAACGTTTCTCTAATATTTTAATTAAATAGCGATATTTTTCACTTCTATCACGTTCATTGGAATTATCAATTTGATTTTTGTTAACCATAGCATTTAAATCGTAATGTAATGTCATTTATTAATAATTTTTATCGAATTAATTAGATAATAGATTGACAAATTTTTTTGATGTTTACAAACAAACTGAATTTGGTCTGCTCAGTAAACATTTAATGGATGCGTTTAAATATCCATTTTATCAACCCCTTGTGAAATAGCTTAGACACATATTTGAAATTCTGAATTCCGTTAAACTTTGCTAGTAAAAATAACTCAAAATTTTGCTGTTGGTTATGCAATTTTATTTAAATTTTCTACATTACATTACATTTTTTTGATAACCATTAATTTAAAATACTGTATGTATTATGATATGTATCGACTTCGATTGGTTGTTGTTTAAAACTTTTTATGCTTAAGCTTCTATAAAGTTATATTTATCTACTTCTGTTTCACCAATTATGAGATGAACACTATTTATTAGGGATCTATAATTAAATCTATTTAAGTCAAATCATCTTATAATCTACAAATTGATTTGATATGTTTTCAGTTTAACATTTGATATGTATGCTGATATGTTTGTTTTCCTGGTTGAGTCTGTCTGATATCTGATGTACAATACTCAGATCAGAAATTTTCATTAATTCTAAAAGTTCTCTAATTCATACTCCTAAATTCATATAATTTCTACATCTAAAAACCAATAAATTGTAAATAGGCAAATAAATGTTGACAGTCAAGTGTCAACTAAACGTTGATAATTTTTTTTAATTGATATGCAGTAGGTTCCATTTATATTTGTTCAATTGATTAATATCATTAAGATAACAACAGCTTCTTTCTACATAAACTTTTCATCCTCTATTATAATACTCCACTATTTCTATGATCTCTCAGCAGGCAAGAATTCACTGAAGCGGGCGTACATATTTATCTACGATTTAAAATAATTTCTTTTGGAATTATAAATTCAAATGCTGGCAATAATTTTTATGTTTCTATTTAAAATTCATTGAAAATAGGATTCAACATTTATAAAACTTTTCTTCTCCTAAAAAACTTTTAGAAAGTCAAATCTGATATTGAAGAAAGAAAATATGTCAGAAAAATATTTCGATATATAATTAATAATTATAGTTTGCCTACTAGGTAGTTATAAATTTTCATCAATTTTCTTTTTTATTGCTACTACACGCAACCAAAATATATATTTATATTTGATTATTTTGTCAACGATCATAAAATTTATGTTACATTCAACCTTAAAGGTAAACAACTTAAGTAAGTTTTCTAATTTTAAATGTATTTATGTAGGTAGATTTAGATAATTGATCACTAAGTTTTCCTCACAATTGATTTCGTCTAAATTCTGGTATTATCAAATACAACATTTTCTATAATTTCTTTTAAGCTTTTCAATTAACAATAATCACTTGACATAGTTTTCAAAGTCAATAAAATGTTCTCTAAAATATGTTGAGTTGGTCTTCGATGTTGACTTCAAAGTTCCAATAAAAATTATTAAAATAATTAAAATTCAGATTATTCACAACGTGTAAGGGTAAATTTTCCAATAAAGCTAACATTTCACGACTAGTTTCGGTTACAAGCAAATTTCTGTGCATTGTTTATCAAGTTCTACATAAATATCTTAACACCATCTAATTTTTCAATAAATCTCGCATCATATCCAAAGAGTCCTGAAGAGATTTGGCATACCGTGATGCACTCGTGTTGTCAGCCGAGAAAAATGAAGAAACACAAAAGATTATCTCGTCAGGATGGGGATTATATGAACAGCCATAGCCTCGAGGTGTGACAGGGCCATAGCCCATGAAGCTGTTAGTTGAACAAGCAACCTATGGTTTTTCAATAATTAAATGTCAATATTTATTTTATAAAATAAATGAAGAAGTAAATAAAAAAGGTGAACAGTGGATTGTGCAATGAATACTTCCTGTCAGTCGATCCCAAACCTGTGCTATATTTAATAAATTTTAAAATATTTATTAAAGTGCTTTGTGCAAGAAATAAAAAAAAACAACATTTAAAATTCATTTAAAAGTGCAGAAATTGATAATTTTATTGTGCAATTTGATATTTGAAGTGTTACAATTTGTGCAACTTAATATTAAATTTATTTTTCAGTCTTCAACAACACAAAGTTACCTGACTGGTTGAAAGCAAAAAACATTGTGCGATTTTGTAGCTTTCATCTGTAAACAATTCATGGTAATCTCCTTCGACTTCACGACTTGCTTCTCGTAAACCTAAAAGCGGGATATCAATTCCATTACCAAGAATGTTCTGCACCATGATGTCAGTTTGACGTGCTGCTGCGATACGGAAAAGCTCTTGAAGATGATCCTTCTAAAATATGATAATAAAAAAAATTCAAATCTCTAAAATTGTTATTCAAAATCATCGTGAAACCCACGCCATAAATGCTGAAAGTAACTTTTCTTGCATCTTCTTCTTCTTCCTTATCACTCTCAAGTGCGACATTTGCACCTTCACCCTGACACATTACTTTCGCCCATTCAAGTGCTTCAGAGCTTGCTGAACGAATACAATCGACACGACCCTTAAATTTTTTTATGCATCTATTAGTATTCATGCTTCATTAAACTGCTTCAAAATGTTACCAGTAAGAATCTTCGAGTTGAAGCACTCTCGTAAGTGCTAACCAAGAATCCATAGAGTCTAATAAAAGTTAAATAACATTTTTTTACTTAAAAGAATCAAACCAAATATTGATTAAATATTTCTTACTTGTAATAAGCTAATTGAAGGGCAAGTTGAATGTAAACATCAGGGCTGACCTTGCATGACTTAATAAAAATTTTTCCATATGATTGATATCGATAAACATAAAAATCAAGGTCTTCAATTCTCCTGCAAATTGATTTGGAAAAGCAAAATTTATATGTCATGTTTTTTACAAGAATTACATTTTCGTTTTCACCTGTTGACATCTCGTTTCGCTTCTAACAATCTCTTCTGAATTTCAGGTTTAACGATCCATTCAATTCTCTCTGGTGGAGCCAAATGATGTTGCGTCACGCCGCTTTCTTCAGGACTTGGAATCTCATCGATTTTCTTCAAGATTTTCTCGAGAAGTTGAACGACAGCAATTCCCTCTGAAGATGAATGTTCGTAGCACAATCCCCATGTTCCATCATTACAAACAATTATCTGCATGGTCTTATCGAACCAACGATTCGCTGTATTGCAATCACTGCCACCACCGTGAATCATTTCATGGGCCATGTTTGTCTCATCACGGTCATTTGTTGTATGGTAACTCGGCGTTGCACCAACAAAACCACGAGCATTGAACGATGGTGGTAAAGTTTCATCCAGACAAAGAAGAATGAGAGACTGTTCGATGAGTTCAATGTTGCGACAATTTTGTTCGTCCGTCAACAACATTTCACGATCTTTTGCCCAAACTCTCCTCGGTTCCGCTGTTAACAAGCCAATCATTGGTGGCGTTTTCGGAAGACACGGAGCGTCGCTCAAAATGTATAAAAGTTGTGAAAAAATTTCGTCTTCTGAAAGTCTTCCGATTTGATCTGCTTTTACAACGACACAATACATTTGGTTCCGACAACATACAACGATATGTTGTGATGTTGGAAGATTCCGAAGATCGGGCAAGTATTGGCTGTCCCGGTCAATGCCAGCACGACGACAAGATCCAAGAAGACGATAATATTGTGCCATGCAAAGTGGTTGATTCTTCTCACGTGATGCTGCCCTTTCTGGAGGTAAATTTCCGCTATTTAACAAAAGATCGAAGCATTTTTAATAAAAATTAATCAAGTAAATATTTTGAACCTTCCAACCTGTCCAACATTTCTTTATGCTCCAAAATTCCATCAATAATTCGAGCTGAAAAGCGAGCAACGTCATGAACAGTTGTGAATCTTCTTGGTGGTAAAACCATTCCGGGGTTAGAGTTAATCGGTAGTGGTATTGTAATGTCCATGTACATGTCATTCAGCCAGTAATTATACGCCTTAAAAGAAAGAAATTGTTTTGTAATTGCAACTGTGGTCAATATTTAAATCAGAGAAATTCATCATCACAAATAAATGGCAACAAAATCAATTCCATTGCACTTTTAATCTTATCAATTTTCATTAAATTGCATTCAGATTTATCAGTAAAATTGATAACCAAATTTGAGTTCATTGTGAATGTCCTTGCATTGTTTTATGAATGAAAAACTTTGTTATAAGATAATTGATTAGAATTTATGATGAATTGTGAAGTAAGATAAAAAAATTATGTCAGTTGAACAGGAAAATGTCATTGAATTAAGGAAACAGAAACATAAAGAAATTGTGGCGAAATATTTATTTGATTAATCTCTTTTGTTCATGAAGTTTAAAGACTAAAAATATGATATTTATTTAAGGTGACTTGTTAATGGATTAAAATTAGGCGACCGACTTGATATCACAAGCAGATATCGAATCTTTATCAGATAAACTGTCAATGATATTGATATGTATAAATAAAAGTGTCAAATGATGAAAACTCTTAGTTATTGATTTAAAATTGTTCATTGAAGACTTAAAAAAAATAAAAATCAGAAAAAATTAAATTGCTGAAAGTGAAAAGAAAGTTAAAATGAAAATTTTCCTTCTGTCGTTGGTGGTATTAACGTTAAGCTGTGCTTACGGATTACCGAGCTTTTATGAATTCCAAAGTCGTGAAGATTTTCGCCCATGTCGTGACGCAAACGCGCTTCACACGTTATGGCCAGACTTTGACGACAATACAAAATTTCATCAATGCATAGCAGTGAACCGTTGGGGAACTCATACATGCCCAGAGGGAACTTTGTTCAGCTTTTGGCTTCAAGTCTGTGTTTGGCCTTTTCAATGGGTCGCTCCACCTCCACCTGATCAAATCACTCCTTTCCCAACAACAAGATGGCCGGGACAAACAAACCCTCCACCGACAAATCCACAAACAACTCCACCAACAGTAGAAGTGACAGTCCCTACAGATCCAACAACTCCACCAACAGTGGAAGTTACAATCCCTACAGACCCAACTACAATTCCAACAGTACCAACTACAGTTCCAACAATCCCAACTGATCCAACTGACTCAATTCCAACAGTACCAACCGATCCAACTGACTCAACTACAATTCCAACAGTACCAACCGATCCAACTGACTCAACTACAATTCCAACAGTACCAACCGATCCAACTGACTCAACTACAATTCCATCAGCACCAACTGATCCAACTGATCCAACTACGGTTCCAACAGTACCAACCGATCCAACTGACTCAACTACAATTCCAACAGTACCAACCGATCCAACTGACTCAACTACAATTCCAACAGTACCAACTACAGTTCCAACAATCCCAACTGATCCAACTGACCCAACTACAATTCCAACAGTACCAACTACAGTTCCAACAATCCCAACTGATCCAACTGACTCAATTCCAACAGTACCAACCGATCCAACTGACTCAACTACAATTCCAACAGTACCAACCGATCCAACTGACTCAACTACAATTCCATCAGCACCAACTGATCCAACTGACCCAACTACAATTCCAACAGTGCCAACCGATATACCAGACGATCCGACATACCCAACAGTTCCAACCGTTCCAACTGTTCCCACAATTCCTACAATCCCTACAGTACCAACTGTTCCGACACTTCCTACAATTCCTGGAGATCCAGAAACAACAACTCCTGGCGATCCAGAAACAACGACTCCTGACGATTCAGAAACAACAACTCCTGATGATTCAGAAACAACGACTCCTGATGATTCAGAAACAACACCCCCAGAAGACCCAGACACTACCACGACAGTACCTGATATTCCAACTGTAAGTAGTAATTATTTTCCACGTTTTTGTTTCATTCAATAATTCGTTCAAATTCTAGCCGCCAGTTTTAACAACGACAGATGGTCTCGCAACTCCACCAACTCCATCAACTGAAGCACCTCCAGCAGGAGATCCATTACCGCCCACACCTCCAACAGCACCCACAACACCAGATCCCCTCTTAGTTTAATAAAATTAAAATAATTTCGCAATTTTCATCATGAGAAACGGAAGCATTTTGGATATAAAAGTGATAAGAAAACAAAACTGAAAGATAAATCCGCAATCCATCAATAAAAAGCTTAACCTAAGATTAGCCACAAACTTATCAACATCTACAGGAACTCTTTATCTAAACTTTAAAACATTTATCATTTAATTGTTTTGTCGAAATGATTTCAAGAGAATTCGTGCGTTGTGACGTTATTTTCCGATGTATTTTGTAATCTATTTTTTAATCAGAAATGATTGTGGTTTCACTCAAATCTAAAATATTTCTTGGTCTGCAAACACCGCCAGGGGCTGTGTAAAAGAATTTTAAAGTTAATATGAATAATAAATATTTATGTAGATATGTATGTAAAATCGATAAGAAACAACAAATTCCGAATAAAAATAAGGAAAATTTTAGGAGAAAGCATAAAAGTTGTACATAAGAAGATAAGACATTGTGACCCTATTTTCCCTGTTCCTATGTTTATGTTGCTTATATATTTACTGCGTCGGCAGGAAAATATTTCAGTTTGAGTTCTGAAATTGTCGAGGGAAGAACGAGAGAAAATGAAAATTTCTTCAGTTATTTTTGAAGCGTTTCTGATCTGCGCGGTTGGTGCAAAAGTTTTACCATTAAAATCTCAGAACTACATAAAATGTACCAAAAAAAATTCAATTTTGTGGCCAGATTACAGCGATCGAAATAATTATTTTGAATGTGTTGGTGAACAGCATTTTGTTAAACGACCATGTCCTGGCAAAACTGTTTTCAATTATCATGCACAGCAGTGCACATGGCCAGATGATTGGATTGAACCACCAAGTGTGAACCAATTGATTGTGTCACAATCTCAGGAACTGAAAGAGTTTGTCTCAGATTTCTCGCCATCTTGTCTCGTATCAGAACTTCATCTCTTCCTACCAGATCCAAACCACCCGCGAGATTACTTTCGATGCACTGGAATTGGACAGTCTGAAAGGTGGTCATGTCCAGTGAATCACGTTTTCGTTTTTCTCATTCAAATGTGCATATTTGAAGAACCTTCAACTACGACTTTAAAGCCAATTGAAAGATTCCCAAATTGTACGGAATTTGAACTTCACATAACAATGCCAGATCCTTGGTATGCAGAAAAGTTTTTCACTTGCACAGGAATCGGAAAGTTTGAACTGCATGAATGTCCGGAAGGAACAGTTTTCGTTTTTATGATGCAAATGTGTGTGTTGTCGAATGAAATAACTGAACCAGAGAACATCCCCACATTGGAACTTCCTCAAATACCATCAGTGAAAACATTTCCAACAATTCCATCGACTGTTCCAGAAGAAACTTCAACATCAACTTATTCGGAAAATGAAACTGAGATGGAAGTGACCACAATTGAAACTACAAAACATGAAGCAACTTCGACAACTTCTCGTTATCCTTATCGCAAAGTTAAATGCATTATTTGTTGGCGACCAACATGTGAAAGAAATGAAGAAACTTTAAAATGGTCTGACTACGATGAACCACGAAACTTTTTCCAATGTTTAAGTGAAGGAGTTTTCATTCTTAAATCTTGTCCCAAGGATTTTATTTTCGATTTTCAAACACAGAAATGTGTCATTAAAAAGTTGTAATTGTCAAGAAGTTAGCAAAATTTTAGAAATAAAAAACTTTTCTTACCCAATTGTCTTCCGTTTCTTTTTTATCGACCAAGAATTGATGAAGTTTTGGTCCAGGATGTGCCATGAACTGTTTAACGATCTTATCCGTCCTCTCGTATTGATGCGGTGTTACAATGGGCTTAATTGCTCTCAGGTAATCCATCATTGTTTGTTCGAGTGGTGGAACAGGAACTTTGGGAAGATTCTAAAAAGAGAAAAAGAAATGTTGAAGCAAATCTTTCAAGTACACTCCTAAAAAGCCCCACGAAGGTTCATGAACTTGGTCAAGTGTTTGTTGTGTCTGAAATTCAGACACAAATTCAACCCAAAAGTTTTTAAAGAGTTGCTGAATGAATTTAAATTCTATTTTCTTGAACATCAAAGTTTAAAATTTATGTTTGTTTTTAATCAAATGTTTTCTCAAGAACAACAATTTTATAAAAATTAATTAATTAGAACATGAGAAAAACAAAAATTTTTGCTTTTAATTTTTTATCAACAAGCTCATAGCAACATCGTTGTTGTTATAATGAAAATTGATTAAAATTCAATTATTTATAAACAAATTATTCTCTGGCCTTTCCATTACTTCGATCAATTTCATGTAAATACATCGTGGAAAGTGTGAAGATTAAATTAAAACCATTAGATTGATCATCGCATCAATAATATTATTACATTTCATTAAATATTACGAGAGAAATAATTTTATAACATCACATCGTCGGCTTAATTTTTAGACAGGGAAACATTTTGTAATAAAATTGAAATCCTTCAACAATTCACTTTTATTCTGAGCTATTCAGAATTGAATGAAAAGCGAGCTTAGAGAAGCAATTCAAATAAAAACTCTTGAGAGTCCTTCACAGTGTAACAATGAACGCAGCAACATGAATCGAGCAAAATGCTTGAAGATGTCAAGTGATTTGAGATCAAATTGTTGAAAGACGAAACAAGGATGAAGTCAGAAAATATGCACAAGAAGTTTTGTTTGATTGAAACAGCGGATATTCAACAATTGAGAAATCAAACAGTGGGGGCCACATCGGCTTCAATTTAACGCTTCAAAAGCAATTCACTCACGGCAGGTCAGGAGTTGTCGCATTTTCCCCTTTCGATTTCATTCGGAAAGTATTCAATTTCCCTGTCAAAACATTTGACATCGTTGGGAGTTGATTTTTTTTGCAAATGTTGAATTTGAAAACTCCCTCGAGTTAGACTTGAATTTCATGTTCATTCGTTCTTTCCCTTAAATTAAAGTATCAAGTTTTTTGTGTAATTTCTTTCTCTTCATGCAATAGCAGAAATAAATTGGATTCTTCCCTTCATGTTTTTGCCTGTTCTCATTTTTTGCTCTTTAGTAAAACCTTTAAGGTTTTTATCAACATTAAAGTACGCAACTTTCATCTGATGTGAGCTCAAGTGTCTGTGCCATGCTTTTGAATGATTTCACATTTCTCTTTCCTTCCTCACATTCAAAATGTTTCGCTTCTTAAATGTGAACGTGTAATACAATGCTCGACCTTTTTTCTGTTATCCACAATCGTTTCTATCTCACAAGAGATTCAGCTACGTGGATAAAGTTTTCCTTCATAATAAAGATCGATAGAACTTTTTCCTTTCCTTTTTCCTATTTGCTTCTCTGTTGACGCTGATGAATTCAATGACTAATGGAAAAGTTTCAGTTGTGTTAAAATTGACAAACGATGTGATAAGGCATGAACAGATATTTCTTTTAATGTTGAACACAAATATTACACGTAAAAATTACTTTTGAATAATTTTAATTCCCAACACCACTAAACGTGAACATCTCAAAGACAAAAGAGACGTTGAAAGCTTCAAGCAGTCATTGATTTATTTATGAGATTTATTTTACGAGAAGAAAGATACGCAAAAACTCAATTACTGATTTTATTTAAATTTCGCTTAAAGCCTCAATCGTTTCTTGAATATAAATTTGATTTTGAAGCTATGAATCATAACGAAGCATCATTAAAGCATCAAACTCAAGTGAAAAGTTTTTATGCAAACATCTAAATTGAAAGGGAAAAGAGCGGTGAGTCTCTTGGGATATGACTCGTCGATAGGATGACTTACTTTATAACTGAGCATAGCAATGAGATATTTTATTCCATCCATACATAAAAAAATGTTAGTAACATTAATTTTACATTCAGACGTCGTTTGAAGTCTCACGAGGAATTAAATTCTGTTATGCTTTTTTAGATTTTATGCGACGCTGTAAAATGAATGTGAAGATATGAGAAAGACTGTGAAGAAGTTTCCTGAATTTTAAAACTTTCTTTCTTTAAGAAGTTTGTGTTTGCTAAGTACGTAAATTTTCGTTTATCTTTGTATCTTTTGAAACATTACTAACTTGAGTATTTACTTTCAAACCATCTTCAAAACACAATTCAATTTAACTTTTAATGATTGCGAGTGATCCATATCTAAACAATCATCCATTTGGAAAGTAACAAACAAATATTTTATATGTAACTCACCTCCGGGAATCCAAATTCGTCTGTATCTGATGCTTGCGACAGCCATTTCTTGGGGAGTGATAGAATTTGGTCTTTCCATCCTATTTAGAAAAATAAATCGAAAAAAGGCAAAAACATTTGAATCATCTTTTCACAATATTTAACGTTTATTAAAATATTCAACAATTTTGTTATTTTTGCAAAGAACACGACAACATCTCATTTCGGTATCGATTTTATGCTAATTAAGTTTTGAACATTTAAGCCTTTGGGGTTCGTGGTGAGATTACAAGAGGTTGAAGCGTTCACTTTGTTTCGTTATCCTTTATTTCATTTCTATCTGAATATCTAGTAAAACAGTAAACAGTTTACATATATAAAAACTATTTAGTTCATTATTCAAGTAACTTCATTAAATGGTCTCTTCTTTGAATGAACAGAAAAAGTTGAAAGACAAGGAACGGAAAGAATGAAAATCAAATAAAAACATCAAAACTGTTTTATGATTTAATGGAAATGGGAAAATTGCGACTAAAATCGTTTCGTTAACGAAGCGAAATACGAAAATCGGTGGAAATGCGAGTTTTCCCTTAAAAGAAAGGAAAAGTGCAGAAACAACAACGAGGGTTGCAAAATCTTCTTCTTTGTACACAAGCAAGCTACACGGGAAAAAAGATGATGGAAAATATAGCAGGGAACGAAACCACATGTTATTTTATTGAGGGTGAACATTATTATTCATATAACAGCCCCCTCAGGATTATCACTGGCTGCTAACAAAAGGTAACAGAAACAAAAGTGAAACGAGAGCAAAAAAAAATGTTCATGGGCAGTTTTCGTGCATGGGGTGATTGATTGTGTCTTGCTTGCTTTACAAATTATGAGCAAAGATAAAGAAAGGTACATGATGATAAATAAGGTCATCCGATGAAGCTTTCTTACTGCTTTATTAAACAACAATGCCGAAGCAGTAACGAAAGAAGCCATTCGGATTCGTTTGTTGTTAACCCCCGAATATCAGCATTACAAATGTTCTCGGAAAACATTTATTGCTTCAAGCAACCAAGCACCAGCACAGTTTAATCATGGTTTTGTATCTAACATAGAGTGTGAAAACGTACAAAATTTGAGGGAGATTTCACCCACGCATGTATATAAAAATCTCGCACACACACAAATGGAAAAAGAAAACATTAATTCGGAAGGTACATAAAGACTTAGCATGTTGTAAGAAAATAAGAGCAGTGAAAACATAGAAAAATACGACAAAGCTAACACGTTTAATTTCTACTCCAAATCCCTTCTTGAATTTCTTTTTCTTCTCTTTTTTTTTGTCTTTTAATCTTTTCAGTTGGCTCTGTTGGGCTTTCCAACTTTTATTTGATAAAAAAGAAATCCTTTTGTCGTTCAAGTGAATTGTCATTTTGCTCTTTTTTTTTTACTTCCTTTGTCAAAAATTTGAAGCATTTCGGGTTTTTCATTCATCGATTTATTGAAAAATCAAGTTGAATTATTTTATTTGACCTGGATCGTTAGAAGTGAACGTCGAAAGAAAAGAAAAGAAAGTCGATAATTCACTTTGCCTTGACTTGGATTAAGACGAAGGAAATTTTACCTTCAATTTGATTTTGACTTCCTGTTGGCATGTCTTTCAACTTCACTTTTTCGTAACATAAACGAAATAACGTCGTAAACTTTGTCTGCACGGAAACAACAACGTTCAGTTATGCTTTGTTTTTCTCAAGACAATTAAAACATTATGAAGTAAACTTTTGATTTTTAATTACGTACTCAAACCGGTTGTTGTATGAAAGCGGAACGAAATGTTGATTAAACATCTTTTTTTATTGGGGTTCATTTGTGAGTCAAGTTGAATACGAATGAATCAACTTTGTGTTTTAATCATCGAAGAGAAACTTTTGAATATGAAAATTGCTAGAAATTTCACCCGTTGGCATACACGACGAACATAACAACGATGAATGTTTTATCTCCCTTCCATAATTTTCAATTTTCATGAGTTGTCTCTACGATAACTTTTTTAAAAATGAATTTAACAAGCTTCCGAGCTTCAGTGGTTGATTGAATATTATCATTACTATGAAGAAGTCGTCTAGGATCAGTTTTGTAGCAGCATCAAACTGCATAAAAAGTTTAAAGTGACTTATAAAATAAGTTCGCTTTCGTTTTGCCCTACAACATCGTGCAGATGATTCTTTCAAGCGTTTCTTATATTTCATAAGACAAGCCAAGCCATATTTTGTAGAAGATGTGAATTTAATAAAATGTAGATTTAATGTTATTGAATTTTCAGCTTTTTTGTTTAGTTCTACACTACTTTGAGACTTGTCAATGCAAACAATAACGAAGTTGAAGTGCATCCCGCTTGCTTCAAATGAACTTTAAATTGTTATTTTTTCTCTCTGTTGAATCTTTTTATTAAAGAAAAGTGAACCAATAAAGCTCTAAGAAATGAACCACGGGAAGGAGATGAGAATGAGAGTATCGGAAATCATCTTTCGTGAAATAAAAGCTCCATTTAGTCTTCTCCTTTTACATTTAAGTACATAGAAAGTTTCTTAATATGGCATACGTCTATTGTTCAGCTTTTATTGGAATAATATTATAACAAAAGATGAGATGGATCTTATGTAACAAAAGTAAGTTAGAATTTATTACAATCTCTGATATTTATCAACAAAAATATTCCTCTTGAAAAAACATAAAAGATGAGATGAATTATCGCCATCACAATCAACCCTGGCGAGGTTAATCAGACGACAAACCAAAGTTTAATTACGCAAAGTTAATGGGATTCTTACGAGTTGTATTATTAATGCTTAGATTGTGATAAATGGTTAACACAGACAATGCAATGAACAAAATTGAAATTGCTTTATTGTGAAAAACGATATTTTTAATAGATTCTTCCTTTCCTTTTTTATTTTTCCTGGTTATATATTATCGGCACGTGGCCATTGTTCGAAATCCTTCCGCTCAACAGCAATTTACAACTTTATGTTCTAATGAAAGAGATAATGCTGTTGTCGGCATGCTTCGATATTTATCCACCTCGAGGTTGTAGTTCATGAAGAATTTATTTTCTGAAATATGAACTCTCTGCTTTTAACATTGCTGAAAATTGTTTACGACCAACGAACAGGAACTGAAATTAAATTTTTATAAAATTTTAGCCGCTTTTCTTAATCAACAATGAAAAATTGATGAACTTAAATTTCATTCAGATATTGACGAAAAATGTTAAATTATGATTTATTTATGTTTTAGATTCATCCTTAGATCATTAGTCTCTGTCATTTCGAACAAGTATTAATGGTTGTTCTTTTAATTAGATGAAACTTTTTTAATTCAGATTTTTTCTTAAATTAAAAGCTTGAGAACATTTTTTAACAAAATATTTTCTTTGATATCTTTTAAAAAAGAAATAAATGAGCGCAGACAAAGGAAAATTTTCTTTATTATGTCTTCGTTCAACATGAAACAAAAAGAGAAACAGTGGAAATGAACGGATGAAGAAAAGAAAGAGTTTTCCTTCTAATTATGCATCTTAATTATCCGAATGTCTAAGAAATGTTTCTTTATTCTTTCAGTTGATGGTGAGTTTGTCTGTGCTCAAGCTTTTGAATGTTTTCAGAAGTTTAGTTAATTAAATTTTTCTTGTTGTTATTTCTAATTTTCATGGAACGTGTGAGGTATTTCAATACAGTTTTCTTCTTCAAAGACCTGTAAGTTTATGTTTTGTTTCCCCTTTTGTTTTTAAAACCATTTGCAGCGAAAAGCCGGTGGTTTTGTTTTACATAATCATAGTTAATTCCTTTGATGCGAAAAACAATCAAACAGCACGTTTCGTTCTTCTGCAGTAAGAGAAGAGATTGTTGATTAGCATTTCAAAATAATGAGTTTTCCTTTTTCACCCCCACAAGTTACACTCAATAAAGACATTTCACTTCATCCCCTTGCATTTTCCGCATTCCCTCTTTTTTATTCAACCTGTTTTAACGATGCTGGAAAATGCCAATTTTATTTTCCAACCCGTCAGAGAATGTAGAAAATCTTGAAATTTTAGTGTAGTTGAGAGAATTCTTAACAAGAAAGATTTATTGATCTCGGAATCATTCACATTCCTGTAACGAAATCTATTCAACCTTTCTTATTTTAATGACATGAAATGGAAAACACATTTAAAATTTTATTTTTATTTCTAGGTACAAGCAACTTCCTTTGTTACTTATTCAATACTATTTCATGAATATTGAATGTCGATAAATTTATTTGGCAACAGTGTTCAAAATATGCTATCATGTCTAATCACACCCTCGTTTACTCTCCAATTTTCGAAAATGCTCAATGAAAATATTATGATTGTTAGAAGCATAATTTTTCATTCAGACCCCTAATAATCCGCTCAGATGGAAAGAATTGTCATCATTCGTATTACGAGTAAATGTAAGTGAAAATATTCTGGAGAATATCCTTTCAAGTTAAAGTTGAATCTCAATATGAAGATGCTTGTATCAAAATAAACCCTCGATAATAATTTTTTATGTGTTTTTATTATTATCGCTTCACACTTTTAGGGTGAGCAAAGAAAAACAAACTTCTGTGTTTGGTGACAATAAACAGATGAGTCCATTTGATAATTTCATAATTTATTGATGTGGTAGAGCAGCAAATAACCAATCACTGAAATATTTCTAAAAATTGTTAAGAAAGCACAGTCGTCATATCTTGAATAACAATCAAATTTCAAGTTCGGTTTTATTATGCATTTTCTTTACATATGCTGAATCTCACATCATATGTCAATCGCTTCGTTCAAAGTTAATATTATTATGATTCTTGTTACCAATTAGATATTAAGTATTAAGTGATATATTTGAACATAAATTACAATAAATCATTTACTTAATTCAATGCGTTATGGATTAATTGCACTAGAATATTTACTTTTTAATAGGATTTCTTGTACAATTTTAAAAAAGGTGAAGTTACATAAACTATCATTAAAACATTAAAAATATTCAAATAAAAAAGATTTTCAAGTTGAATTTTTAGCTTAAAATTGAAACATTGAACAGGAATTAATTTTTTTAACAAAATAAATGACATTAAATAGAAATTATTTTAATTCAAACTTAGAGTAAAGTTTTTTAAATGTTAGAGAAGTAAAAGAAAATCTTTCATTATCTTCTGTGCGTTGTTAATTAATTTAAATTTTCGAGTTCTACGAAAACAGCTGACATTCTTTAAATTAAAGTAAAGATTATTCAAGATAGAGATTTTATAGAGGTGAGAGGCCAAAACTTCAACAGTTGAATTAACATTCATAGCTACTTATCAAGTTGGAATTCGGAAAATTTCAAGCAATAAAAACTATAACTAATCTTGGTATCTTAGCAGGTCATGTTCTCATATTTTAATTTAAAACTTTTCTTTTGTCATTGGCGGTAATCTTAGGCTATTGTAATCTTTGTTTGATTCATTCACTATGATGAATTCTATATTCTAAACTGTTATATTGCATCCTTTCGATATGGTTATAATTAATAGCGCACGTTATTTATTAATTAGTTTCTTCCAGAGATGACTTTCTAAATACATTCTTACAACTCAAAACAACAATTTAGCTTCCGAATATTATTTCTTCATTTCTTAAATGTTGAAAAGTTGAAATAAACAAATAAGTTAAGTTATAAATATCATTGCTCCGACTAAAGCTGATTTGAGATCAATTTCAAATCATATTTTCAAGCTATGAAGCGATGCGAAAAATTAAAATGCCTTAAACTATGATTATGCTATTGATCAGTTGATAGTAGTAGATAGAGAAGAAAGTTGTTGAAGCAGAAGGACATGACTTCGAATATTTTCACAACTTGATAATTTCGATAAAAACACAAACCTTAAATATTAATAAGAGTCTCTATCTATTTACATACTTTTATCATGTTAATTACATTATAATGATCTTCTTACATTTCTTAATGCAATCGTTTCGTTTGTTTTTACATACACAGAATGTTATTAATTACTGTTTAGCAAGATTGTTTAGTTAATTTAAGATGAATGTCATATTTGATGATTATTCTCGCTATACATTAAATTTTCTAACCGTTTTCTAAGTCAAAAAGATTTTTTTTGCTCTTTTTTTCTGACATAAATATTATCTAACTTAAGTTTATGACACATATTGCTGTTAATTTTCCATTCACCTTCAACAATTTTGCAGAAAAAAAGTTAAATGTGATGTTGTCTTTCATACACATGTAAAAGCATCAAACTCCTTCCAAACATCACTTGATTCATATGAAAACGGAAGGAAATTGATAGAATATTTTCCTGTTCATCTCGGAATTAAATACAATTTGCAATTTTTTGTTTGTTTATTTTAATGATAATTTATATAATTTTTTATTCAGCTCTGTTCTAATAGACAAGATTATTTCATTGCGTTTAAACATATCTGTCAATAATTTGGTCTCATCTCAACAGAAGAAAATATTTGAACAATAAACATAACATGAGTTATGTAATTAATTAAGTAAGTTTCTTAGCTTTCCATTCATTCATTTAAATACTTCCTATTAAGTTGCTGCCGCACATAATTAAATATTTTAAACATTCTTGAACTTTCATGAAGCATGAAAAAATCATAATGTTTCATTAAATTGATTCATTTATTTCATTTGAATTGAATTTCGGGAGATTCTTTGTATGTTATGTCCACTCATTATAAACGGTGAGATATCTTTTAACACCTACAAGAGAGCACTACCTTCGTTAAGGATGATTCCATAAAAGAAGTGTTTCCTTTACAATACACATAAATTTTATATTTTTTAATGTTTTGCAAGTAAAATGTTAAAATGATTTATCTAATTTTATATATTTTATAATTCTATGTATAAGTATGTATAATATCACTTTGGTAATAATTCAGGCGAGCGAATAGCTCTTGATATGTAATCGTTACCTTGGTTGTGTCTTATGTTTAAGAATATGTTTTCTGATATAATTTTTGTAACTCAAAGAGAAATCAGTTTCATCATAAAATTAAGTAAGTTTCATAATTATTCAATAACTAAACTAAAATACCATCTCATTGCTAAGTATGTCAATCCTTCATTACATCCCAAGAAAGCATGAAATTCTTTCGAATGTTTTTGGCATTGATATGTATACGATACCGATGTAAATCCAGATAAACCTCACTCGTTTTTCAGATGGTCTCTTACATGCTAGATAAGTTAGTGCAAATAATAATCAGTGTTCAATTGAATATGTTCAATAAACTCAATTTAATAAAATAAATCTTTGTCTAATTGACTCTAACATTTCTAAATTATAAAAAAGTATGTTGAAGAAACTTTCTTAATTCTATATTGATATAAGTTTATATTTAAAAACTATCTTAGATTGTAGAATGATATGTTTCATGGTTTTTCAATTGTTTATGATGCAGTTTCATTAATTGATATATAATATTTTCCTTTCTTTAATTCGTTTAATTTGTACAAAAAGAAATTGGAATATGAGAGAAATTCTCTTTCATATTATTAATTCAACTTATATCAATAATTCATTCTTTAAAATGATTTCAATAAATATAAACTTCTTTTAGTCTTCTTTAAAATAAAGAAATCATTTTGTTGTTAAATAAATTAAAATTTAAGGATTTAATTAAAACCCGATCGGAAGGGATTTGCTGCAGCAGTTCTTGGTGCAGCTTGTGGTGCTTGCTGCTGTTGTTGTTGTTCCTGTTGACGGAAAGGATTTGCTGCAGGTTGTTGTGGAAGATTTCTTTGAGTTAATCCTCCTCCTTGTTCTTGATAACCAGGTTGATATTGCTGTTGCTGATAACTGTAATTATCTTGCTGTTGATATTGGTTTGAATAATCATATTGTTGATCAATGTTTGTCTCTTGAACTCCCGAATCGTCTTGAATTTTTCCATATTCTAAATGATTTTTGTAATCACCTACTGGTTGTTGATTCTGCATAGTATAAGTTTGATATTCTTTCGATGGAGGGTCAGCCATGAGGATATTTGCTTCACTTTCCATCGGCTTTAAGTCGTAAACATTTCTAAGATATCTTAATACTGGTGCATATGCAAGATTTGATATGGCGATGATAAAGTTAAGTGCAGTGAATCCAATGATTTCAACTATCCCTCCGGCAATGATTGGACCAACAGCATAAGCTAGCGAGTATGAGATATCTGCTATTGCATAAATACTTCCATACACAGACACGTATCTTGTATCGACCAAATAACCCAAGGTCGGCAGTAATGCTGTATCAATAAGCGCAATTCCAAAGCAAATAATGCAAATGGGAATCATAAGCACTTTATATGATGTTGTGAATGGAATAATGAAGCAGCTTAAGCCTTCCAAAGCCAAACCGAAAGCAGCCATTCTCCATTGATGATGTGGATATCTTCGAGCCATTTTCACTGTAATTATGACACCTAATACGTGAGGGAAAAATGCTGGCAACCAAATCATGCCAATTTTCCAATTCTCGGTTGTCATATTATCTTCCATCCAAAGTGATATTGTTGGTTCAAGGAAAGCAAGCGCTACATTCGACATCATTAATGCCCCAGCACACACAGCAATGTATGGATCCATCATTAATTGCCAAATAGGAATTGATTCAGGACGTGGCAGTTGACTGTCAGATATCTGTTGTTTTATGGGTTTCATTACCAGTAGCAACATAAATCCATCGATCAATGATATGAATGCCAGAATCAGAAATGGAACTTCTTTACCAGCAAACTGATATAGTGCGCCACCAAATGGTGGTGCGACTAAACATCCAAAACTAATGAAAGCAAGCGCTATTCCAAGAGCTTTAGATCTTTCATTTTCTTCTGTAAATCTGTCAGCAATCATAGCGAGGCCTGCTGTATCAGCAAACGCAGAGCCAACACCTTGTAATGATCTTGCGAAAAACAAGAGCGAATAGCTTCGTCCACAGGCAAATAATGATGTTGATAAAAACATGATTATTAATCCTATCATCATTGGAATGTCATAACCAATTCTATCGATGATTGCTCCTGAAAATGGATTCACCATCAATTGCACAATCGCTTTTGATGCGAACAATACGCCTGTTGCTGAATCTTGTCCATGATGATCTCTTGGATGAGGTGTTGTAGGTGGAAGTGATGCATTTCTTGGTTTTAAACTTTCCAAATATTCTAATTGATCTTCTTCCCCCCATGCTCCAATATATCTTAAATAATCAGGAATGATTGGAACAATTACCATGTACAACATGTTGTCTAGAAGCAATGCTATCGACACGATGACCAGAATGAGCTTCCTTTGCATCGTTGGCTCTTGAATCTTCGTCCATAATATTTCTTTTGCTTCAGCATACTCCATATTAATTATCGGTAAAGGCGCCATTTTCAATGTGTTTTCTTATTTGATTGCTTCAATGAGCTTCGTTTATTGGCTTGATTTATTTTTATAATTTTTTTCTTCTAATGTTTAGTTATTGCACACTTTAACCAACTTTTCTGTCAAATTTAGTAAACCAATTTTCATATAAATTTCCTGACTGTGCTGTGAATATGTCTGAGTCCTAGTTGATGGTTCTTGTTTTTGTGTGTGAAGCAGAAAATCCTTTTAGTTCGATACACCAAATGTGTCACGCTTTATCCGTTAAGGCAACCTTGAGAACACAGAAACAATATTCCGATTAAATCTTCAATTTCAATCTATCATTAAATATTTCAAGAAAATAAACTTTTAATGTGATTCGCATCAATATTTTCTATCCAAAAAATGTACAAAGAAAGAGTTTTAATTAATATTTCTTTTATAAAAAACAAACAACTTTCAAACCATAATGTTAAGCTTTCTTCATGTAATACAAAATTTCATAGTTTTCCTTATTTATGATTGAAATGTTGTTTCTGTGGTTTCAAGGATGCCGTTGCAAACAATAAATATTTATTCTAAATATTATATGAATGAACACTAAAATTGAAGAGTATGAATTATCTTTTTAAGATTTTCTATCAAATAATATGATTTAATCTTTAATGTTTATTTTCTTGACTTCACAGTCACGTTTAAAATCACGATTTAAAAATTATAGAATTTTATTTTTAAAGTTAAGAAGTGATGATATGAGGCTTTAAACATTCTTATAAATTACTATTTCTGATGGTATAAACATTTATAAACATTTCAATCATAAACTTAGAAATGGTATTTAAATCAAGGAAAGTGCTTGAAATTTTGAAATGTTGCTTGAGTCGTTAGAAATTTTCTTCTTTCATCTTCAGTCTTGTTTGTTTATCAAAATGCAAAGAAAACAAAATAATCCAATTTGGAAAGTGTGTAAACATCAAAAGCAAGGAACAAAATATACGAGCGGTTCCCTCAAAAAGTATTTAAATAAATAAATGTTCATTTGCAATTAATTTTGAGGATGCTTTATGAGGAGTCATAAGTAGGTATCATGATAAAATATCGACAATTTAATCCTTCTTATTTAAAGTTTCAAAGATTTTTGGCCCTACATTCGGTATTATATTACTCAACAATCACTTTCATTCTTTTTCATTCATGAGAAACGAATTAACGAAGGCTTTGTTCAAATTATTCTCTTAAATAGTACTCAACAGTAATCACGAAAACATAAGTTGAAAACCATTTGTATTTCCAGTTAATACTCAAGCGTTTCAACGCTTTATGGAAGCAAAATAATCGAAAAACGTGTCTATACTTAATAAAGGTCTTGTGGGGGTAATATTGCTCAAATCAAAATCAGTCACGCTATTTTTCTTGTATTTTTAGAAAACAAAACATTTGAACAGAATTATTAAAATAAATCCTAAAAAAATATTTTTAAATATTTTTTGAACACATGAACTTAAATTTTAATAAAAATACATTCATTGAATAATGTTCCTCATTCAAGTAAAATAAAACCCTCGTGAAAGAAAACATTATGAGGCCCTTCCTTAGAAATATCGATCGAGACGAATCGTAACCCCAGGTAGACAATCAACCATTTCATTTTTCGGCACGTTCCAAATGCTCTCAATTGTATTAAAATCTCATTAAAAATTCATATTGAATGAAAACATGGAAGGAAAATAAAGAAAAATTGGCATGAGAAGAAACAACTGCATTTAGGGGAGGAAATATTTTTATGTTCGTTTTCCTTTACATTGTATAATAAGTATTACTAAACATGTATTGAAAAACATCCTTTTTGAATGATTCTTTTCACCTACTAAAGCTCGTTGAATTTTCTTTTTAAGAGATGTCAAACAAATCGTAATTTCTTCTGATTATAAGAAATATAAAAAAATTTCAACTTTGTCATGCTGCAGTTTGAAATATTTGTGATTATGATGAGTCTGAAGACATTCATCTATGAAGAAAAGCTTAAAACTTTTCACTAGTTTGCTAGTTGAATAAATCGTCGTACAAATACCAAGGATTTTCTCCCTTTCCACGTTACATGTATGAATTATTAAACAACTTTCGTGTGAATATTTTATGAGCAGGCAGACGGTAAAGGATTTACATTTATTATATACATGTATGTATAGTCTTTTTTATATTTTCAAGACTCTTTCAATATAGCTGCGGGGGAGTGATTTCTTTTGAAACCCCACTGAAACGTCAGAAAACAAAAAAAAGCACACACACTTAGACGTTTACGCACACTAATGAAAGATATTTCGTAAGAAATTTTCCCGCTATAGGTTTTTATACAAAAGCGAATTTTCCAGAGGTTGAAACATCGAAGCTTTGTGTATTGTAAAAACGAGTATCACTGTTTATTTTTTTCAGAAAATATTAACGACTCTAAGAGTTTAAAAATGATTCAGATTAAATATTTAAAAGCGTATATTAATAGATATTAATTCGCATTGTTTTAAGGCATCTCTTTTATCTCAACCATGGTTTGATTATTAATAGAAATTTGTCTAATTTGAATTACCCAATTTGTTATAAAACGTAATCACTGTTATTAATAACAGTGAGTTTTGTATGACTGAACAACATGAGTAAGAATGAACAAACATATAATAAAATAAACAGGTAAGCAAAACATCACGTTGTTGAAGGAATGGGAAATTAAAACAATTTCAAGGAAAAGTTTGTTAATTGGAGTCTCGAATTTTCTATCTTCATAATTTTATTTCTATTTCATCTTTATCCTTTTATTTACACGCGTGTAAATCTGACTTTTCAGGGTCACGTTAGTATCAAATTATTTGACTCAGTAACGAATTTTTGTTCATAAATAAATACCAAAAATGACAAAAAATTACTTGAATGACAGGTTGAACGAAAGTGTATGAGAAAGTCAAAAGATTTTTATGATTGTAGCTGTTTATTTCACCACCATTTTCATGGAGCATTGAAAATCAATACAAGAAAAAAGAATGTAAATCATGAGTTATGAGGAAGTGCTTTCGCAAAATAAATATTTTTTCATTCATAATTTGAAGCATGATCTGGAAATTAGGTAATCTTATGAAAATTTCATTTCAAAAAGCCAAGTTGTTGATTTCGGAAGAACAACTATTAATGACACTTTTCTTATAAGAAAATATTGATGAGAATCATTTCGAAAAATTAAAGATTTGAAGTAAGTTTGAACTTAAGAGAGAAAGGAAATTCTTACCTGTATCCGGCACTGACGGGATTGAGATTGTGCCAGGCAATCGATTTGAAAGAAATCCACGTATATTAGTAACTACTTTTTGGGGAGATCCGCTAGCGGCCCCGAAAAGTGATCCTCCAAATTTAGTAAACAACGCGGACGGTGAAGATTCACCCGTGGTGTTATTTGAACTTTCTTCTTGTGACGCCACTGTGCTTTTTTTCTTCTTGTTATGCAATCAGAAATGTTTCAGAAACTTTTTTGTGAAGAGCTTTAATATTCCTTTCTTTCTTTGATAAATTAAAGATGTTTGTATTTTATACTTTTATGTTTCAATAATAATTTTTTTCAATTATTTCAGACTTAACAAAAAAATCAACTTTTCACTCTTTCAATTAAATAAATTTAATTTTATTAAACTTTATCACTTCAAGATGAATTTTCCTTTGAGGGATAACAAAACGTTTGATTAAAAAGCTTTTTCATAACATTTTTTCTAAGTTTTTCTAATATTTTTCATTTCTAAAATGGTTGCCTTTTGCACAGTTATGGACCACCATTTAATATATTTTTTGGCTTCCACTCTTTTTCAGTTCTTTCACACACGGGATGCCGAGAGGACTACTTGACCTGGTCGCAGCAAAACGAAACTTCTCTCTGAACGCGTAGAGAAAATTTACTTTCATTCATCCCCACTCGGTTTTCATTATTCACCTGGAAAATTTTAACATGCGCATGGCAAGTAAGAAAATTCTTCTCTTTTCAATTGGAGGAATACTCAAAGATGACGTAAGCAATTTGCTATATTTACAAGAATTACTAACACGTTCTCAAAAAGGAATCAGGATGCTTAGTATGAGTATCAGAATTGCAAAGGGAAACGTATACACAATTGTGTTGCAAATAAAGCAATATGTTAGTTAAACATGGATAGAAGTTTTTTGCTTTTCGAAAATTTATTTTGTATTTTATTTGAGAGAAAAATAAGACCTTTGAATCGATTTTTCACCAATACACGCAACTAAGATCTATAGTTCTAAATTATATTCTAAAGCTTCCAACTTTCCAACAGCCATAAGTTTGCTTCTCTCACTTTCACTCTCCTTCTTACTTATTCTTTGCTTCTAGAAAGTTACGTAAAATGTTCATTTCCTTCTGTTCCTTGATAAATCTTGCATAAACTACTTTGGATTAAAAAAAAAGATTTCCTTATACTTTTACGATTCAATTGCTCTACTACTTTATGATTATTTCATATTTTTTTATGTTTCTGTTGCTGATTAGAGACAATAAAAGACTTAAAATTACTTGATTACTTTTTAAAACGAGAAATGAAAAGAAGAAAAGTTGTTGGATTTGTTTTTCTTTGAACTTGACACGAGAAGCCTTAAAAAAAGAACAATCGGCAATTTATGAATCTTGTTTTCTCAATAAATTTATCAGGAGCACAAATTTTACAATGCTTCAATTGCTATTAGTAAAATATTGTGTGCAGCAAATAAATCATCTGAGTATAGCATTTCAGATTAGAAAACATCATTCAAGTTGAGTAGCTGTTCTCAACAAGATTTGCCATTTCAACAAGAAAGCTTACATTTATGATATGTTATATGAAAACACATTTAAATTCTATAAATATTCTTTTATTTTCCATAATGTGAAGAAGCTCGAAGTTTTAAAATAGAACAGTTTCATTGAAATTTAGTGTGACGAGATCAAACGATATATACATTGAAACTGTTAAATTGAAAATGGAAATTGCTGAAATAATATTAAAAATTTTACGATGATAAGGCACACTGAAACTTGATATTTTTAACGTTTAGGCTAATATTGATAACCTCCATTTGAATCATAAGATTGTTGAATTGTTTCAGGCACACTTGGACGAGAGAAGGAATTCATCGGCCCTCCTGAATAACCTCCATCAGAAGCATAAACACTGTTGGTATTTTCAGCATTTCCATGATGATTATTTTGAGCTGAAAGTTTTAATAAACATGAAAATAATTAAAATTTTTTTTTTCATTTCAAAGCTTACCAGAAGGTGCTCCATATGATGCAGATGGTGATGCACTATTTGAATATCCATTTCCACCTTGATTGTTTCTGTTATTGGGTGGTCCATATTGAGATGAAGGGGCAGTATAACTATTTTGTCCAAAACCATTATTGCTTTGACCTTTTCCATTTGATGGTGGTCCATATTGTGCTGATGGAAGTGAAAGGGTTTTTAAAAACACTCCTTGCTGGCCACTTGATGGAGCTCCATATTGGCTTGAAGGTGATTGTGGAGAAGGCCCGCTAGAGTATCCACTTCCACTGTTTCCTCCATTTGGAGGCCCATATTGACTTGAAGGAACATTACCGTTGGTTCGAGAACTTGCTGACTTTGACGCTTGTGTACTATATCCGTTACCATTATGACCATTAGCAGGTGCCCCATATTGACTTGAAGGTGTCGAAATTTTTCCATTTCCACTAGATGGTGCCCCATATTGAGATGATGGTGAACTATGTGAACCCGAATAGCTGTTTCCATTAGCTGGAGGTCCATATTGACTGGAAGGGGCTGAAGGTCTTCCATTTCCATTAGCTGGAGGTCCATACTGACTGGAAGGAGCTGCGGGTCTTCCATTACCATTAGCTGGAGGTCCATACTGATTGGAAGGTGCTGTAGGTCTTCCATTTCCATTAGCTGGAGGTCCGTATTGACTGGAAGGTGCTGCAGGTCTTCCATTTCCATTAGCTGGAGGCCCATACTGACTGGAAGGAGCTGCGGGTCTTCCATTTCCACTAGCTGGAGGTCCATATTGACTGGAAGGTGCTGAAGGTCTTCCATTTCCATTAGCTGGAGGTCCATACTGACTGGAAGGAGCTGCGGGTCTTCCATTACCATTAGCTGGAGGTCCGTATTGACTGGAAGGTGCTGCAGGTCTTCCATTTCCATTAGCTGGGGGTCCGTATTGGGCTGAAGGTGGACTTTGTGAGCCAGAGTAGCTACTTCCATGGGTTGGTGGTCCGTATTGATTTGATGGTTGAGATGGCATTTTTGAGTATCCATTTCCATTCATTGGAGGTCCATATTGATTCGAAGGTTGGGAAGGTCCTCTAGAATATCCATTTCCATTCTTATTTCCGTTTGTTGGGGGCCCATATTTGCTTGAAGGCGAAGAAGCCATGCTAGAGTATCCGTTTCCTGAGAATCCGTTTCCACCTTGACCATTACTGTGGGATGGAGGACCATACTGATTTGAAGGTGCCACGTTCATTCTTGTGTATCCATTTCCATTTCCATTTGAAGGAGGTCCATATTGACTTGATGGCTGCTGACTGGAGTGTCCATGATTATTTCCATTTGAAGGAGGTCCATATTGGCTTGATGGAGATGATGAACCTTGTGGCCCTCTGGAATATCCGTTACCATTTTGGTTTTGTGATGCATAACCAGAATTTCCTATTTCAGAAGGTACACCTGAGTGGAAAGAAAATAACTTTAGTTTTTCAAATGAAATAAAAGTAAATGAAAGTTTCACCTGCTGCAGGAGGATCATAACTCGTCGAAGGAGCTCCATAAGAGGGGGAAGGTGAATGGGCTTCGTTAGTTTTAGTAGAACTTAAATCCGGAGTACCATAACTTGTACTCGGAGGTAAATAATTCTTTCCTGGGAGCGGAGCTGTAATTTAAATATTCAAAAATATGAAATGAATACGATCTCATCAAGCATCTTTTGTACCTTCACAGTAAATTTCTGCTGTTAAAAACAAGAGAATAATTCCTGTGCGCTGATAAAAGAAACGAAAATTAATTTAGTATTGAAAAGTTTATTTTTATTTAACTTACAAATTGTATTAACTGCATGATATAAATCTATCAGAATGCCTGTTAGCAAAAATATTAAAAATACTCATTTCAGTCAAAATATGAAGAATAAAAGAATTTAATTAACTTTTATTGGTATTTAACAGTTTGAAAATATTTTTCTAATTTCTGATTATATTTTAATTCATAAGATCCTTCAAAACTCGACACTTTGCATTGCACACGATGTGATAAGAATCAGTTGAACATGAAGTAATTTATGCACATGCTTAGGTTTTGTTCACTTCCAAAAATTTGAAAAAGTATTAACACTTGATATGAAATGATATTTGAACTCTTTTATTGTTTCAATATCCCTCAAAAGTTTTGCTTAAAAGTTCTTACGATAAGAGAAAATTAAAATAAATTTTAACTTCCATTTAATTCCCTCCAAAAGCTATCAATTAACTCTTTTGTTTTTTCTTTTATCATGGGTGCACTTCAACTTTATTTAATACATTAACAAAGTGTTAAATTTTGAATTCAGAATATCTTTTGTATTGAAATTTTGGCAAAATGTTATGTTTATCTAGTTATTTTTATATAATTCATTTTTGCTGTTATTTCAAGTTGAAATTGTTTATAGTAGGTAATTATAAATATTATATGTCAAATTCACCAACTTTTCTTTTTTATATGTTCACAACAATTGCAAGATTCATGAATTGGAAAACTAAATTTGTAAGTTTGTTGTACCTCGTTATCCAATGCTTATTTTCTCTAGAAACAACTGAAGATGCGAACTTGATGATTTAAATTTGTTGACTGATGAAAAAGCTAAAAGCATTCATAGTTTTATACCAAAATTATTTTCATTGCAATTATTTTTTTCAACCTAATGTGTACTTACTCTCAACATTTTTTTGTAGGCAAAATATCTACATCTTTTTTAGTATTTGCAAATCTCTAGAGTGTAGTAAAATTTTACTTGCTCTTAGGTCAAAGAAGAAGAATAAAAAAAGTTGAACAAATTCATGTTTGTGTTGCGAAGAATAAAAAAATACATGAAAGAATTCAAGAGAGTAAAAACTACAAATCACGATGAGCATTTTTTCTCACTGCAATTTTGAGACTATCTGAAGAAGAAACGTGCAAGTTTAAAAAGCGTCAAGAAGAAGAAAACGATTATGTTACGACGAATGCTGCTTGTGGGCTGTAGTTCCATAGACAACGAATGGATAAACATCTCGTCATTGTTTCTCTGCTGCTGATGCATGTGCAATTTTTTGTGCACTGTTATGCTAATTTTGCATTTAAATAGTTTTGGTAATTAGCAGTCGAGTAATTAAACATAATTTTAATTAAAAAAGTAAGCTTGTAACTTGTCTATTACTTGCTTGAATATCACCATGCCATTCATCATCTACTTCTGCTTGCTTTGTCTTATGCAAATGAAGTGAAAATAATTTTAAACAGATCTGCGATAAAAACTTCAAAGAAAATAATTATGCTACGTTGAATGGGACAAATAAAATAAATCGATTAACTTACTTCCAATTATGTATGATTTCATCATGAATGCCACATACATATTTACAATAACACCTTCATGCATAAGTAACTTTATTAAATATTTATTTATGATATGAATTAAATAGATTATTATTAAAGTAACATTATCAATTGTCAATTCATCAAATATGTATGAAGAAATAATAAAACACATTATTGAAAGCACATGGTGTTAATACACATTACAAGCTCCTTATCAGCATATTCATGCATGTCAATTTATAACCCAAAATAAGTTAAGACCAACTACATATTATAAAAATTCATAATACTTTCTAATATATTTTTAAATTGGTAATTAAATTAATAAGGGTTAAGTAACAATTTTCAATTTTCAAAGCAGTCTTAACGAATAAACTTCTTACAATGAATTATCCTTGCAATCTTCTTAAGAAACTTTTTGTATTTATAAACGAAAATTCTCAGAACTTATTTCATTTAATTCAGACAAGAAATGCTCCTTTTAATGAAGGAAATCAAATTGTCAATGTGATTAGATATGAAATGAAGAAGTAAATTCTTAAAAAGAATTTTAATTTGAAAGCTCAGTAAGAAAATTAAAACAATGAATAAATGTTTATTCACTTATCTTAAAGAATTAAAAAAGTCTGCTCTGATAAATACAAAAAGTTTTACACAGAAGTGAAGAGTTAACTAGAATATCAAGAGCTTTATGCATTCATAATGAGTAAAAAGTTACTACGACTTCAATGAGTGATTGAACTATTCAGTCACGAAAATTCACACTATATCATGTAAAAATCATTCTGTTATGTTAAAATGCGATCATTTGTTATTCATCTCAATAACAATGAAGCCATTACATGTACAATGTATAAATAGATGATCGTGAAGATCGTGGTTGCTCGACATTGTTCCACATTTTGTTTTCCGTTTATTCAATAATAATATTTTAACTGCTTGTTTGAACCGAGAATTGAAAAAATATGAGCAATGAACAGATTTTTCAATTTTAAGCTCGAAATCATCATAGAGTTAAATCTTAATAATGATCCAAGCATTTGTCATAATTTTTTAACTAAAGCGCTATCTATTCAAAAGTTTATTTATAGATTTCAAGAAATATTTTTTAGGAATAGAAGGGAAAATTGAATGTTCATTGAAAAAGAGGGAGGAATGCCACGGACAATGTAATTCAACAACCCTATTAAGGTCTCATTATAAACTCAATCAACTATAATGCGTTATGAAAAAATTAGAATGTTGATTTTTGATTCAATTCAAAAGTAGGTATCGAATGTAATCTAAGGTTACAAATCATCAACATATTAAATTTAAGATGGAAAAATATGATCGAAAACATTAGAGAGAGAAGAAAAAAACAATTAGCCTCCGAGATATATTGATTTTTGTATCAGGTTTACCTGCAATTTTTCAAAACATTCAATTTACATGGTTTGTTGTCCCATGAAAAACAAATTGATTTGGATTGGTGGATTTGTTTCAGCAGTAGTTAATTTTCTTTTCTTAAATGTATGTAAAAACAACTAAATGAGAAATATTATTAACTAAAATAATAAATGCAAAATCCTTCCTTCTATTTTTCAATGCATTATATTTTAAAAGACAAGGAAATTTCGTTAGAATTTCCTAAACAGAACAATGAAATGAAATATTTATCGATCAATAAGAAAACCTTGAGAAAAGGAAGAAAATATTCCTGAAATTGTGTGATAGTGTGAGTACGAGAGAAAGCTTCCAATTTTCCCCTCATTTCTTCAATAGTGTTAGTGAGAGATTAAAATATCGAATTTCATGTCACAAGATATTTTATTTGTAAAGTTCTGGTTCTTACATCAATCAATTAGTGATCTGAAAATTAAAAAAGAAATACAAGATTTTTAAATTATAAATGAGAGTATTAGTTGTTAATAGAAGATGTAATGATCTGCTTCATTTCATAAGCCATTAATGCTGAATGATATTTTGATGACAGCCATATTTCTAATACACTAAACTTTTGAGGCACGCACAAACGCACTATGAGCTCATAAAACATTTCTTTTTTTAAAAAAAATAATCTAAAAGGAATTTGAGAAACTTCGTTATGAATCAAGAAAGAAATTTTGATTAGATATTAATTTGAATCTTATGACTGCTATAGCAAAACTTTTTTGTGAAGTTTCTACCTTTTAATATGATTTCAAAAGTTGCTTAACTTAGTTGAACCTCATCTCACAATCAATAATAATTCATATAAGTTTGTTCCTTCTCTATTTCAAGCATTTAATCAAAATCTTTTCTTCCAAGTTGAGAAGAAATAAAATATTTAAACAAAATCTAATTGAATGATAACTAATCAATCAGTCATGTTCTATGAAAGTAGCAATTGCTTCATAGTTTGGTAATCACTTATTAATTATTGATAAGCGTAATTTATTAATTCCAGTTGAAAAATAAATTGAGACAAATGTACGTGAACTTAGAGAAAACGTTTTCCACCATCGTTTAAAATTGAAAATATTAATTGGATTTAAATAACTCTAAGCTTATTGGAGTACACAATAAATAATATTCAGCAAGCACAAGCGTCAGCATAAAAACGTTTATTCAATTAAATATTTTAGATAATCTTTATGCAGCAAAATAATACTTGATTACCATCTTCTTCAGAAGCACGATATTTTGCTTCAACTATCACCATTTGAATGCTTCATTTAATTCAATATTATTGTTAGCCTAAGCATCGGTGCGAAGAGTAAAAGCAAAAGTGTGTCAATTTGTTAGTGACACATGAACGTATTTAAAGTGTTTTGCAAAATGAAAACTTCAGTTGAGTTACAGATTTTTAGTTCGTGCAGAGATGAAGACATTTATTAGATAGCCTTCGTTGCAAAATATATGACAACTAAAATAATTAATTGCATTCACTCACGCTCAACATAATCAATTTTGCATTAAGGAATCATGAATAATGATTTTTCTGTTTTATGTTTCGAGTACTCATGCACAACAAATTGGTGTCAACTTAAGAGCACGTGCAGGCTTTTGTGTTTCTAAGTCTGAGAAATTAATAGAACTGAATATTTAAAATCAAATTTAGATTTAACATTTTGAATATTTAAACTAGTTGCAGTAAAAATTCAGATTTCACACGCCATAATGCCTTAAAATTTTGAATTTAAACATAAATACAGCATTAAATGCATCTTAAGACTTAATTGCCGATGAAATGAAAATGAAGTAGTGAATAGCGCATTGTTTGTACTGTTTCACTCGTAATAAATGCAGAGTTCTATATAAATCAGTTTCGCATTCAACCCTCCGTTTATTCTCATGGTCTTTCCATAATTTATGTTTTCTTATCTACATCCTCAAATCTCCCCCTTTCGACAATTTTCCTTTAACGTTATATAACGTTGAGGTTTGCTAATTACATTAATTTATGCAATATCAAGAAGAAGCAGAGTTTAATTCACTTTCTTTTTCATTCTCTGATGAAATCTTTTACACAATCATTAAAAGATAACGCCGTGCACAAGACAAGTTTTTGTTTAAATCATTCAAGACTCAACGAAAAACAATGCAGAAACGAAGATATTTTTAATAATTGGGCAATTAAGTAATTGTATGTTGCTTCTCTTGTCTTCTTGACGTAGTAATGGATGAATTAGACATAATTGATTGAATTATTTATTATTTAGAAATTGCTTTAATAACTCCTGAATTTGACTTATGACTTTGATTTTCGCTTACAAAGTTTTCATATTTTGAAATTTTTATCAGTTTTCATTCCTTTTTTCTAACTTATCGATTTATGACATATGTTTGCCTTGGATTCTGTAATAAACCGACATGAAAAATAGATAAAATTAATATCTCAAGGGATTTATGGTTCTTTTCTTTTTAAATATTTAAACGTGATGTGACTTTATGATTGTGAAGAATCTTCACACAAATTTAATCCATGAAATGAACAAAATAGCAATTGCAGATATCTTTTAATTATTATTCTAGTAGATAATTAGGATATTAATTTCTAAATATAAATAAGTCGAATAAGACACATGCTGATTTAATTTACAAATAAAGTTCAATAAACTTTCGTATAAGATTTTCAATTTATATTTCCATTTTTCAACATCGTAAAATGTAGCTAATATGCAAAATGCATGGCAATTTCCTTAATTCATTAATAATTTTACAGCTTGAGATTATTTCTGCAACCTTGCAGCACATCGTGATTCAAAAACGATCAATCATTGCTCAATCTATTAACCAATAAATGTTTCCGGGCTTTTGAGACCCACATGAGTGAATTTCTACACAATCAGAAATCTTGACAATGAACCAATAAAGTGAAGAAAAGGAATGAAGAAATTCACAAGATTCAAGCGATGCATGTTAGTATTAAAAGAGAATAAAACAGCGAGAAGAGCGCTGAGATCATCGTTTGCGCAAGTTTTGTTTGATTTTATAATTTTTAACAACAGCATCAAGCAACACAAAGTTCGCGATATTGCAACGGTAAATGCATAATGTGGAAGTAAAGTTAGATGTGCATCTTAAAATTGATGAAAAGTCGTGACTATGTTATTTCATTTTCATAATCATTGATGTTTCTTTATTTCCTAAAAATTTACAATAAGAAAAAGAAGAAGTTGATGAACTGTCTGTAATTTTATGATTCATAAACAATAAAGAAAGATTTGGAATGATGCCATGGTTTAAGAAAAAAAAAAGAGCGAAAGTCAAAACTTCATTAAGCTAGAAATTTATTAGCAATAATAATTTTATGGATATGAACGAATTATGTGCATGTAAAAATTTAAATTTATTTAAGTGGATTTTAAACAGGTCTTTAGAAGTTGAAGGTTTCAAAGTGTTTAAAAATTGCTTGATAACATCATTACAATTCTGTTGTTAATGTGACCAAGATGTGATCATAAATCTTCACGCTCATTCTCATTCAATTCACTAAACATTTTACATTTCTGCAGAAATATATAAAAAAAGCTTCAATTTATCTTTAAGAGTTCTTTAAACTGCTCTCAGTGGTTTGCATTCATTTATTTGTTATTCAAAAAGTACTTGAGTTATACATTTTTTCTGCAGACGAATACCTACAGTGATTTGAGGTCATTTTTGTCATTATGAGTGCATCATGTAAACAACAAATGATTTCTTTCGTGATCATCATTGAAACTTCTGTCAGTGTTTTCATTTCTTGATTTGTTTTTTATTTGAAATACAAGAAGAACTCTTGCCTTCGGCTTGATCAAACGCAATGAGTTGAAGAGTAGCATTTTTAATTCACTCCGCTTCAATCAATTTTTATTGTATTGATGAAGATTCAAAGAGACGTAAATTGAAAGCAACTGTGGGAAGTTTATTGATTTTTTTCTCTATCGTTAAGTGACGACAGGCATTCATTCTACTACGTATTTCACGTCATTAATTAACAATTTCATCTACATAGTATCATCATAATGACAAAGATAATTTGCGCCATTGAAATTGAATGGAAAATTATGCCATGACGATTCACTTTTTTATATTTATGTTTCACTGCAAACGCCTTACGTGGGTGGATGGAATTATTCCGTTTTTTCATTCTGACGAGAGAGATTATTAATGATTCTCAGCCTGAATGCCTTTTGGTGGTAGCGTCAAGGTTTCTAAATGGTGTACAAAATGAACGATGATGAAGTTGAAATTAAGAGCGGAAAGTTTCAGTTGCATTTAGAAGCAGAAACTTCAACATATAATTATGTAATTATAGGAATGGATGTAGGCATCTAACTTATTGATTTTATTCGAGCAAAAAAGGTGAATTGCTCTGTCGCAACCGAAGTTGAAAACATTCCCCAATGAAATAAATCTCCCAAATAAAGCAAGATAAATGATAAAGTTCAGCAGTAATGGAACAATTTATCATTTATTATATCTCTGAAAAGTGTCGTTGCTTTGATATTGTCAACGATCTATAAAATTAAAAATTATGAATAAAACAAACAACTTTTTTTAATTCACTTTTATTATGTTTTTACTCGATAACATCACGAATAAGTGGCAATAATATTTTTCTTGCTTGTCTTTGAGATTAATAGAACACTAAAAATATTATCATTCGTTTTACTTTCATTATTTTCTGCTTATCCTTAGTATATGGAAGGACACCATTTGATATGTATAAGTTTCTCTTGTTTCAACTCCATGTCTTAGTGAAGATTGGAAAACAATTTGAAGAATTTCTTGACACAAATGTCATCATCGTTTTAATTTCTTCACTTCGACTTATAGCAATTACTTTTGTGATGGGATAAAATAATCATTTGCGACATTCATAGAACTTTCATCTCTTTAAATTCAATTTTACATTTAACAATTCTTTAGAAACATTTTCCATGACGATCTTTGTGTATATGTAAATAGGTATAGCTAGCGTTTAGTGATATGTATTGATTTTTTTCAATTAATTTTTCATGATATCATCGTCTTTTAATTTATCCATTTTCATTCCCATGTTAATAATATTTTCTAACTTTGCTTTTATACATTTGAAGTTCACTAATTGATAAATTTCTCTTCAAGTATTTGTCTAAAATCAGTTCTAGTCAAAGCTTTGGGTTTTGTAACTTTTTTTTCGATAAATTTAATTCACTCTTCAACATTAATTTTAATACGTCATAGAATTCAATTAACTTTCTGAGAACTAAGTTTATATATTTCTCATTTGGAAACAAAAAAAAAGATGACAATTATATAATCAATTATAATTTACCATGGAAAAGCTCAACTCTAACATTTACTCGATGATGAATAATTAAAAGCCTTCAGTTATTAAAGAGACAGTTGTGAGTTTTGTATTCACATTGAACTATGTTCATCCGAGGTAAGCATCAATAAACAAAATAAATCTAGTTATAGTTTTGGTTTCTGTTTGGTTTCATCATAAATAATTCTTTTCTCATCTATTTCTTCGAATTACTTAGCACCGTTTCAATTGCACTCTTGACAAATTTCATTTTCTTCTTACTATTCCACTTTAAGTAATCTTTGGTAGGTGATTCTTCATCATGACAGCTCCATGGTTTATAATGCTTCAATCAGAAGGATAATTGAGATAAAAATAAGCTTAAATATTAATGGTTTTTATGGAGTCAGTGAACTCATCAATGATAACAGTAATTAATATTGAACAGTCGATAAATAGAACTACAAATAGCCAACAACAGATTTAATTAATGTCTTAAGATTTAAGTTCAATAGATTAAACTTTGCCATAATAGATTTTTGTGTAGGTCAATGCGAGTTATTTCCGGTATTGAGTGAACAAAAACTCAGTGTACATATTTATGTAGATACATAATAAATAGATTAGGTAGGAGAAGTTACGATGTAGATTGAGATTGTTCAATTGATTCAATGTTAAAATTTTTCCAATCAGTTTGAAAAATTTTATCCATTTTATTAATTCATCACCATCTTTGTCAGCAATCTTACTTCTCATAAACTCAACTTTAATTAAAATGCAGTGTTGAACTACTTTATCTCTTTAATTATTCTTAATCACTTTTACGATACTAACTTTAACATAATTTACTCTTTGTTTTCTTTTACTTTGATATGTATGAGTTTCAAAAAGTTTTCTAAATGTGTTCGTTTGTTGATATGTTTCAGTTGCTTTTATTTCTTATTAAGTTGTTTACTTCTTTAATGAAGTGAATTTGTTTTAATGTTAAAATGCTGTACTACCTTGTCCCCCAGGGACACTTCCACTAATAGCGGCAGCGGCGCTTTGAATCGCCATCTGTTGCATTTGTTTTTGTGCTTCCATCGCTGGTAAGTCGTCATCTGGTTCCAACGCTGGGTTGATTCTTCCATTCCTTTCATCTTTTCCAACCATTGTAGCTGCTCCGTACATTCGATTCATGACACCAGCCATCACAGACAACTTAAAACAATTAATAAAGAATCTTCAGTCATGAACTTTTTATTTGCAGCAACAAACAATACTGACCTGTTCGCCGTCTACTTCTGAAGGTTCGTCAACTCTCCTATGGTCATCAGGAATATTCACTACGCACCTGAAGTAATCATATTCTGGTGCCAACCTTCCAGTCACAAAAAGCCATCTGGGAAATCATAAGACAAGCATAAAACAATGAAGTAATTCTTAAAAGTGATTCTAAAAAAATTACTTTGACAGCCACGAAACGCCAGCAAGCGTGACTAGACTCATCAACATTGCCATGGTGCGGAATGGAAAAAGTTGTTCATTAGTCTCTTCATCATAGCCAGGGAAATGAATTGCTGCAGGCAATCCTAAAATTGGCTCACCGCCACATAACCGCACAAAGAATGCCACAATATATGCTGATAAGCTTCCATATGTGTTGCAATGATGTTTAAAATGAACGACCATGAGTAACTGTAAGGAAATGTCATAGTGAAGCAACTTTCTCATGAAAAGGAAGACAAAGAATGGTATTAAGAACGTGCTGATTATATTCAACAGAACTTTTTATCATCAGATGTCTCAACAAGTTCTCATTTATGCTTTTAATTTAAAATTCATATTTTTGTTATAAGAATTAAACTTAAACTTGCAGATGTTTTTTAAATTTCAAGAAAACTTTCTTTATATTTCTACGTGATCTTATTAAATATTTTGTAAAGAAATATTTCATGCCAGTTAACAATTGAAAAAGCTCTTCTTTCATTAATTAAATTGTTAAAGTTGCATAAAACATTTACCTGAGGAAATAGGATAACGTAGACAAGATCCGAGCACATGGACCTAATTGGGAATAAATTCAATCAATATATGAGAAGAATTTTAAAGACTTCCTACAGTGAAACTTATAAAATTAACTCACCATAATCCATAAATTGAAGGTATTGTCAATGCCATAATTGTAGCGAGAATTCCAACCACTATGATTCCACCTCTCATGACCCAAATGATTTCCATTTCAGATGCACGTTGTCGGAAGATGAGTTTGTACACGTTGCGAGCAAACATTGATGCTGCTGATAATACTGATGAATCTGCAGAAGACATTACAGCTGCTGATACAGCACCCAAGCCAAAGAATGATACAAAGTCTGGTGTTAAGTATTGTAAGACCATAGGCAGTATCATGCTTGTCTCTTCTTCTGTTAAAGGCCACGGGCCTGTATAACCTGTTTCGTTCCATGCTAAAAATGTTTTCAAACATTAAACTTTTATGCACATTCATAAACATTGAAGATTATGCTTACGAGTTGCTTTAGCGATAGCTCCTATTAAAACTGGAGGAATTGCCATAGCAAGACATCCAAAAGCAGCTACATATGATAAAAGTTGAGCACGTCCCGCTGTTTTACTAGACAACACTCTTTGGAAATAAACCTAAAAGCAGAATAAATGCGTCGGAATTATTTCATCTTACGTAGTCACGAAACAACATGACATTTGATTTATCGTACAAACCTGCCATGGGATGCCACCAAAGACAAGTAAAAGTCCATAATCGCAATAGAACCAAATCTTCTTCTCCCCAATCTCACCAATCCAATCAACTTCCATTCCTGACAGTGATTTAACGTGTGGATTAGTCCACGCAAATGGTATGCACATCCAAAGACCGATAAAAATGCAAAACAGTTGAATGACGTCAGTGTAAGCGACTGAATATAATCCACCGAAGAGTGTGTAGAATACGGCAATACATGCTGAAAATATCACTGACGTTTCTTTTTCCATATCAATAATCACTGCTAATGTCGCTCCTAAATTTCCATTGGGACATTCATTGAACTCAATTAATGTCATATCACATGTCACTTATGAAATTTTATTATTTACCTAATGCTGCCAAGATTCCAGCTGCCCAAAAGACTTCACCACAAAGTGCCGGTAAGAAAAGCAACCCTCCCATTCTCTCACCAAAGCTATCTTGTAATGGATCCAACATTGTCACATACCCTTGCTTACGCATCGGATTTGCGAAGAAGAGACCACCTGTGAGGGAAGAATAAAAAGTAAAAAATGAAGAAGAAAACATTTTTCACATCATTTAATATGGATACATATGAAGCCATTTGAAAGCCATTCCCTTCTCTCTGATATCAAATTAAATTCAACAAATGCCACTCAAAAGCTAAATTTAATCTAGGTGGAAACATTGGCAAGATGGGTAATTCAATATCATGAAAAAACTCAATCGGTAGGACAAGCAAGCAACAGAATCCTTTTCTGTTGAAGCTTTCATTTTCGTTTGCGATTTTTCTTTCATTTTTATTCTAACAGAACATTGTGGCAAGTGAAGCCATCAAAACATCGTAAATAAAATTACTGCGCACTTCAAATGGAGCTGAAATTTTATTTTAAGGGTGAAAAAGCAGATATTTATCTTACCGAAGACCAGACTCAAAGCGTAGCCAAACGGAGCTTGACACCATACAAGCCCAGAGGTGTAAATTGCTTCTGCCGTTCCATTGATGTAGCCACCACCAACCCATGTAGCTAAAAAAATAATGAAAAAAGGTGGAAACAAAAACATCATCAACAGTTTTATTGTTAATCATTATTCTTCAGAGAAAAATGAAGAAAGGCCATACCAGTCATCGTAAAGATGCCGACAAACAAGCCAATGGATCGGCCGGCAAGCATAACTTCTTCTTCCGAATCATTTCCTTCTTCTTTCTTCCGACCGGCCCAAATTCCAACGCCCAAAATAAGCAAATAAAACAAAGTTATACTGACAACTCCAGCTATATTAATCATCGTTATTGATTCAGACGAGTGTTCCAATCCTTTCCTTAACTTTATATGAGATTTCACTTCAGCTAACTGAAAATATAAAATGAAAACCTTTAATTAACACAACTTGTTTTACTATTCATGAGGGTTTTTTTAACTTTTATGTTGACGAATAATTTATTATGTTTCTTAATTAAATATTTATGATTATGTAGTGGATTATATCGAGAATGGTATTACAAATATCATTCCATGCTTTCAATTAAAAAATAAATCCGTTTAAATAATAATAAACATTCAAGCTGTTTTCTGTTGAAAATATTCTGAGTTGGTTTTCTTGGTTTTCCGCTTGTAAATTTTTATATCGAAACCAAAAGCGTGAGTCTGCAATACATTAATATACATTAATCCTCAGAAAAAAGGGAGGGTAAGGACCGTTGAAAACTTTACGGTCAATTAACGAGATAAGACTCTTAGGATTATATAAAATAGATATGAAGATAAAGTGGAAAAGTTGGGAAAAAAATATTTCCTAAATGAGAAAGCAATGAATTTTCTTTTGGGAAAAGAAACTCGAATTTTGGTTGGTTCAAAAAATTTTATGACTTCTTGCGGAGCTTTAATGAGATTCATTTGAAGCTTTTATTAAGTAATTTGGTTTTAAATAGAAATGAGCTTTTGTGTATTTATAAATATTTATGTTACAGCCACGATTAAGCTCAATTTAAAGAATGAGAGAATATTTCATTTATTAAGACAAGAAACATTTTTGAAACCAAAGCTGTCAAAAAAATGCAAATTAGCTAAATGTATAAAGTTTAATGAAATGTTTTTATGGAAATCAAAACAAAAACACTGAAGCTGAACAGAACCGACTCAAGACATGATAAGAATTTTTATGTTATCAAGTTTCATATAAAAGCACGTGATGTTGTGAAGCGTCTAGTCGATGAAAAAGAAGCGTCTAAACTGGAATAAATTATTTTGTTTGCGAAAAAACATTTCACATTTAAAATAAGCTGAGGAGGGTTTTGTAAATTAATTTTACTACGAAAATTCCTTTTTCTGTCTCTACGAAAGTGAAAATTCGCAGAGAAACCTTTTCGCTACATTATTCAATTTATTTTATAAATGAAAACGTGAGAATTTTTAAATTATTCTTTTGTGCCTATGTCGCTATGAACGTTACATGTTTCAAACATGAATTATTTCATTGAATAATAAATAAATAAATAAAAATAAAAGGAAATTGATAGAAAAAAATTCAATCGTGGAGTTCTTAAATATTAATTGAGAATGCTCGACAGAGATCAAGACAAGCTGAAAATGTCAAAATAAAACTTTATAAAGAAAAACATCATTCTCAATTCCATTTCCACCCACGCCGTGTCAATTCATTTTTACCAGAATCAATCTGGAAAAAGTAGAAGAAATCTTCGCTTTTCGGTTAAAATTTTACCTTGAAATATAACGAGAAGATGAATAATGACTTTCTAATGATTTATGCTTCTAATCTTACGTCACTACAAGTTACAAATTTCTTTAAGTCGACTTTGTATGAAATTTGTAGAAAAATAAAAGAAAAATGGAAGCAATTTACTGTGCCATCTAGAAAAGCTTTCTATCAGAAGAGGAAAATTCGAAACTATTTGCGATTATAAACGACGAAAATTGTGAAGAGTGATGGATAAGGAATAAGGATAAGTGTCCTTATCATTCAGAATAGGCTGTCGTTTTATGACCCTTGCTTTATTTATGGCTAATATTTAGATTGTCCCTCTATAATTCTTGATGCCTACGCGTTTACCATTTGATTTATCCAAACAGCTTGCGGGAAGAATTGAAAGAAAGCTTTTCTAAAGCTGGAATCGAATCAAATAAAAATTGTTGATTGATGGAAAATTTGATTCATATTTGAACAAATATCGAAATCACTCAGAAGATCAATTTTGGTATTTCTCGATTTATTTTCAATACAATAATGTAAAGAAAAAAATATTACTGAAATAAATTCAATCTTCATGCAATCAATAAGCAATGAAGAAGTTCAAGATTAACGTAAATTTAATTAATGATTGTTTGCTTCATTGTGCCAACGCTCCACGTTTTGACATTGACAAAGGGCTGTGGGTTCCAACAATTTTCTGCCAACTGATTCATTTTTAAAGATTGTTCAACTTCCTTTCTGTTCTTAAAACAATAAAAATGGCTGCTGCTGACGTCAGAACGTTTTGGGGGAGTTTCTCGATGATTTTATTCAGTTGATCACAAAATTTATGAAAAGTTTGTGGTTATCACGAGCACGACATAAATTGCATTGAATGTAAGGAGGGTTAATAAATTCTGTCTATTTGAATTGTGGTTTAAATCAGTTCTTATATTATTCGTTTTACATCTCATTAAAATCAAACTTTTGCTCAACTCTGAAACAAACTTCATAAAATTGTCTGACTTCACATGTTATCACTTGATTGTACTTACAGAATACAAAAAGAATTTTATTGTTTAAGTTGATGAAAAAATTCTTGTCATGACTGTAAAGTCTTTCAACTCTTAATGTTTTACCTACTTGACGTTACAGATTTTTATTTAAAAGTTTTTAACAATTTGAAGAGCTTAAAAATTCAATATTTTGACACTCCAACATTCTCACGTTTAATAGCTTAATGGTTAAGCGGCTTTTTCTTGTAATGTAAAGTTTTGGATCAGGTGTGATGTGCTTATTATCTTATCAATTTGATATGACTTATTATAAATTTTGATTTGATAATAACTGTCAATGAATGAATGACTTGATTACTAATTTTCTCGTCTTGCAGACAGGTTGTTATCTTTATATTTTTATTACTTCGAAAAAAGTCTTCACACACTTCAAGATAATTTCTTTTCAGTAGTAAAGTCAAAATAATAATTTTTATTTCACTTTTTCAAGACATTTCGGAAACGTGTCTGTGAATTGTTCATTAATAAAAATAAACGAAGCACCTTTCATTAACTTTAATCTAACCTTTAGAATTCTAGAAAGGAAATAATGTTTCTGTTACAAATAAATAAGATTAATTGATGTTGTTCTGTAAATAAATATCAATTGAATCGATAGCTGAATGACTTCAGGATATCTGAAAATTATTTTCTATCAATGCAATTTTCTATCGTTTTCTTAATCTCTCAAATAAATAAAGTGAGACAAAGACAACCTTTACATGCTTCAATATCGAAAGTATCAGTCATACAGATACTTAATAAGTGATCATTAAGGATAAAAAGGAGTGACTCTAATCACTTTATCAGTATTAATTGATCATTCTTATGAGTTGACTTGTAATGATGTTGATACATGTATTTACAAAGTCTAGTTCATGGACGACATGTCATGACTGTCTGTTTTTCTAAGCTATCCAAAAAAAAAAGAAAAGTCAGTAAGCGTCAGGTTTAGGTTTATGGACAAGACACACAACCGTCGTGTTATTGAAAAACTAATCTAACTACATGTTATTTTTATCCATCGATTTTTCTTGCATCTTACATTCCTTCGTTTTTGTTTTCAATTCTTCTTGACTCAAAATGTTGACCCTTCGTTTTATGTGGCGTGGAAAAGTTTTCGAGTAAATAATTTATTCATTTATCGAACGGAAAATGTAAGAAGAGCAGCAAAAAATAACAAAGGGAAAAATAAAAGCCCGCGTTAAAAATCAATAGAAGTGACGTCGAAAACATTTTCTTGTAAATAGTTTTATAAACAGAATAAATTATTTGTATTTTTTAAAAGAAGCTTTGTTGCGTGTGTGGGTTGATATTTTGGTGATTTTTTGCGTATTTTTAAATTGAACTTTCTTCCAAACTTTCACGAGTAGATAAATAAAACAGCGTGCCAACATTAAACAAGGGTATAAAACAATTCTCGTTATTTCTTATGGCGAGTTCTTAATTATTCTCTCGTGCAATAACGAAAGGTAATTTTAAACTTTTTCCCCTTCAAGGTTCGCTTCTCATTCTATTTAAGTATTACCTTTACAATGTATTTCAAGTATGCATTAAAAATTTATTAAGAAAACTTTTTTATGTATTCTTTCACATATTTCAATATAAACGAGACATTCTTTGACAGGAAAGGAAGCTTCAAAATATAAAAGCTCATCTCGATCTGGGAATATAAAATTCAAATTTATGAATGAAATTATTTGACGTCCACATCTGATTATGTAACTCAAAGAATATTTCCACACACATGCACACACAGCCGTACTACAATCGCATTGTTGTGAAAATTGGGGAAGATGGGGGAAGACGAAAAATCACTTACCCAATAATATTTTAAAAATGGTAGGTTGTGCGAATGTGTTAGTGGAAAATGCTTTTTCTCCTCTTTTCACCAACACATCTTTACAAACTTAACACTCTCAAACTTTCCACTAAACTTTCATACACTTCTCAATTTTCTTCTTGTGTTTTTTGGAACTTTCAGGTTTTATATTTTAAATTATTTGATTTTTTAATTAAACATAAATCACAGATTTTTCCACAAAATGGTCTTTTATGAATGCATTCAACAAGATAATCAAAAAATGATGTTTTCTTCAGCTTTCTTCTGAAGTATTTTTTGAGCTTTTCAAAGAAGCTTTTAATTAATCTGAAAGATGATCTTTCAATAATGTATAATGTAAAGCTTGTTATTCTTATTCACTTTTGTTGATGCATTTAATTGATGATGATGTTGACGCGTGGGTGGGTTGGCTCAAGTGTAAGAAGAATAAATTTAGAAGCAGAAGCAACTGTCTCCCCAGCGAAGGCTTGTCCTCTTTGATGGACTATTTCGAGTTCTGAAATTTCGTAGCCCGCACATGTGCTTGTAAGATGTAAATTTTGATAACTCGACCCGCGAAAAAAGTTACAATTTACGCAGAAAATGAAATCAACACAACTTTCAAACTCGAAGGAATGAAAATCTAATAGAGCTTTCTCTCTGCTTTTACACGTAACAAACTTTCTTCCTTAAGGTCAAATGGAAAACTTTTGACGTCTCTTCGTTTCCTTCCTTTTAATTCTTGATTAGATTTTCTTCTTCGATGTTGAATCTGACGAAACACTCACACGAGAATAAAAAGGAAAATTAGATTTCCACACTATTTATTTATTTTCTGACTAATTTAAATATTTTTTTTCTTTCTTTTGAAACAACAGAAGGAAACGCGATAAAAATGCGAACAGAAATTATTTTCGACTTTCCACCACGGCAGCTGGAACGCGTCTGATTCGTGACTTTGATGAAAATGGAGAATTTCTGTAAGGTTGGGAAATTGTGTTAGTTTTCCACGGTTCATTTTCAAATGCGTTCCAATCTTTTTTGTTCACGTGTTAATTTGAAGTTAAAAACGTTAAAAAAATTTGAAAAGTTTTAATTAAAAAAATATCAAAGTAAACTTTATTAAAAGAAAACTTTGTCATTTTTATTGAAAATTTCATTTCATTCGATTCTTCCTATTCCTTTAATATTTGAATATTGTCTTCGAGATGAGTAAAGATATTACATTACCTGGAATCCGGCGAACTTGTGACAAAATTCAATCTGTTTTGATGCGGAAGGAACTAAATTTAAAATCATATTTTATATCACTTGATTGCAAGCGTACTGGTTTAGTTACGGAAACAAAATTCTTTACTGTGATTTACAATCAACTTGGACATGAATTTGGCGTATGTCAAGAAGAAGTGAAAGAGTTAACTGATTACTTTAAGGAACAAGACGGAAGAGTTTGCTACAAAGAATTTCTTGATCAAGTCTTACCAAAAGAAAAAGAATGTAAAGCATTTGTAAGTGGATTAGAATGGGAAAGCCATGATCACGTAAATGTTTTGACAAGTTTTGAATTACGTCAATTGGATTTGATTCTCACTAAAATAACTTACTCATTGAGATGTCGAGAATGTCAAATTGACGATTACTTCAAGGATTACGAATGGATAGGCAATGGATGTGGAACAATGTCAATTGCACATTTTCAACGAATTCTCGACCAAGCTGGAATCACTTTGGGACCAAAAGAGTTTCAACTGGTTGTCAGACGTTTCTTAAAATACGGTTACGTGATTAACTACATCGCATTTCTTGATGCTATCCATGAAATTTTAAAATGGTTCGATAGAAATGGATTTCTTAATACTGGAAAAGATTTTCTTGAGAACTATCCTGGAAAAGTTATAACAATTGAAAATCTCGAACAACTTCCACGTCCTGAAGTGTGTAATGTTGATATAGCTAAAGTCTTCGATACAACAAAGTCATGCCATCCGTTTAATGATCAAAATAAAAGGAAACAAGAAATGGATATGTCTGAATTGTTGCTTCGTATCAAGAAACATATTTATGACAACAAAATCAGATCACGAGAATTTTTTGAGAAATTTGATAAACTTCGACGAGGTTTCGTGACAAAATTTCAGTTTCATCGCGGATTGGAAGCTATCGGCATTTCTGGACTTCATCGTTTATACATTGCAAAGCATGATTTGGAGAAAATTTTTGATGCTTACAAATATCAACGCGATCCTGATCGAATTTCATGGAAGGATTTTTGTGATGACATTGATGAAGTTTTTACCGTCAAGTGAGAATTTTTATGTTAAATAAATTGTCACAATTTAATTTTTTCTTGTTCAATAGAAATCTCGACAAGCTACCTTATGTTGTCGTTAAGTCACCACCAGATGAGATCAAAGATCTTCCATGTAAAGGTTCAATCGATTGGAATTCAGCTTCAAAATCAATGCACGAAACTGCACAAGAAGCAATTTTTCGTATCCGTGACATCGTCAAGTCTCGTCGCATCTTCATCGAAGTGTTTTTTAATGGTTTCGATAAATTGAATCACTTTCATGTTAGTTCAGATCAAATGCGAAGAGTTTTCAGTTCGAATTCAATTTTATTGTCTGAGAAGGAAATTCAAGCTTTGATTTTATGTTATGGAGATGACATGGGATTCAATTATTGGAAGTTCATGAGAGATGTCAATGAAGTTCAATTTTGTGAAGCAAAACATAAGAAAATTGTTGAGTTCTTGCAACGTCTTCATTGTCAACAAAAAGATCCATGCAGTAATCCTAATTATTCAGTCGTTGAGATCTTGGCCAAAATTAAAAATCAAGTAACACGAAATCGAATCAACATTGAACAATTTATGAAAGATGGAGAGAAATTAAATAACGGAATGCTTTCAGCATGTCAATTTCGAGCTCGATTTCCATCTGCTGGAATATTTCTAACCGATTGTGAACTTGATATTCTCTGCAATGCGTAAGTAGATGAATTAAAGTGTCAAACATTATTTTGAATTCATTTAAATTTTCAGTTTCAAGTACTCAACGTGTAAAGATAAAATTAACTTTAGAACATTTTGTGAAATGATGAATCAAGCATTCTTCGATGTGAAACTTGAGAAACGACCTTGCACTGTGCCAACACAACACGTTCCATCTTCAGATGATTATTTAAATTTCTTAACATACGAAGAACGTCATATTGCATCTCATGCACTTCAGAAGCTTGCACGACATTACAACAACGTTTCAAACATGGAAACTTTCTTCAAAGATCGAGAAACAAAATGTTTTATTAGCAAGGAAACATTCCGACAAGTTTTGACTATTTGTGGGGGTTTAATGGACGTCATTACACAAAAAGAACTTGACGTCTTATACAAAACATTCTCAATTGCCACTCATAGCAATGGACGAAAATTTAATTACAGAAACTTCTTAACAATCCTCAAACACGTTTATAATTTATAAATTTACTTTATTTCATAATAAAATTCAATTAGTATCCATACTTTTGGTTTAGATGAGTTGTACCATCGCCAGATTGATTTTCAGGTGCAACCCAAGTTGAAATCTTTTCTTCATCGATGTATTCGTCATTGTCGTCCATGTCGATGTTCTCACGAAGTCGATTTCTGATTCGAATTCGGTTTTTTCGCTTCTTCGGTGAATGTTCTTCAGGTGTTGATTTAAAATTATCTTTGACAGACGTCGAAGTCGATTCAAGTTTCAATTTCTTCACTTCTGGTTCATCTTCTGGCTCATCTTTATCTCGATCAGAACTTGTGACGACTTTTGTGGACACTTCGACTAAATCTTTCGTCACATTTTCTGTTGGTGATGAAGATTTATCGACACTTTCATTTCTTTTATTTGAACCTTCCTCAACTTCTTCTTCTTCGACTGTAAATGTTTTGACTTCTTCCTTCTGACAAACCACTGACAACGGCGAAATTTCAGATTTCTTCACTCCAAAGTTTCGACTCAGAATATTTCGCTTTCCAAAAAGTGGAAGTTTGCTTTTTGTTGAAGCAATTGGTGGTAATGAGATTGAAGGTTTGGCAATGTTAATGAGTTTTTTGATCTTTTCACTTTCAACTTTCAATTGTTGAATTTCTGTTTTAATCAAACTTATTGCAAATTTGTCAACTTTCTGATCAAGATTTGATAAATTATTCATAAACTGATCTAAATCGTCATCGTTTGCCAATTTTTGTCTCTTTTCTAATTGAACCATTAATTGAAGTTTGTGCTCTTTTGTGTTGATCGTGTCGAGAATTTGTTGATCTTGTTCCATGAGTTGATCATACGATAAAGCTTCAGTCGATGTTGAACCAAGTTTCTTCAATCGTTTCTTCTCGACATCGCCAGTACGATCAAAGAAAATGTCATCGTCAGAGTCATCATCATCGTTTTGCACTTTTCTTGATCTTCTCGGTTCATGATTGGCTTTCCGAAGCACTCCATGACGATCTAGAATCCGACATGACTCCAATGCACATTGGACAACGCATTCCTTCTTCTTTCCTTTATGTTGAACTTCGCAGACAATCGATTTTCCATATTCGTCATCGATTGGTAACTCAACGCGGCATATAAACACTCCTGGAGACAGTTCATCGCAACGATATTCTAAATCGTAACCTTCACGTTCGAAGAAACCTCTTAAAGTCTTTTTGGGATCATCAAGGAATAATTCTTCATTATTTGTTTTCGCATAAGGATTTTCGTTTAAATCTGGTTCTTCTTCAGCGTCATCAGTAAATCCCCAACTTACTCCAGCTTCCTCTTTTTCTTTTTCCATCTGTTGTTGCTTCAGCTTTTCATCATTTTCTTTTTGTCGTAATTCAGCTTCTCGTTGAACTTTCTGTTCTTTTAATTCTGTTATTGTAAATGCTGATTCGCTTTCTTCATCTTCCGGTGGGCCTTGAAGAATATAATTTCGTGTAGAGTTTCCAAATTTTAACTGATGTCCTACTCTTACACGAACGTAAATTCGTGGTTTTATTCTCATCTTATTTAAAAAAGTTCCATGAGTTGAATCTGCAATGAAATGAATCTTTTAGATTTGTATGAGAATCGATTATTGAATATCTACCTAAATCAATGATAAACCATCCAGATTCCACCTTTTTCTCATTATTTGTTTCATCTTCAGAGTGTGTGTCTTTATATTGAAGTACTGCATGATATCTGGAAATTGTTGGGTGAGCTGCGCTGATGTCAACGCCGCTACTTCCTGAAGGCAATCGACCGATCATCCAGAATGATTTTTCTTGAAGATTTTTCACTTCCTCTACGATCACTCCATTTTTAAGAACTTCAAAACTGTAAGATTGGTCAGGACATGGTCCATTCCATTTTGGGATTTTGTAAGGAATTTCTGGTTTTGTTACTTCGACATCTTCTGCTGATTTCTCTTCTTGTTTTGGAGGTCTTGCTGGAAATATTGGAACTTTGAAGCCTTCTTCCATTGGTGATTAATTGATGATGATTAATTTTTATTTCTAAGACGCTATTCAACTCTTAATTTACTGTAGAAACGTTTAAGAATGATTCTTTAAATAAAACTTTGTTTACAAATAAAGCAACATTAAAACCTTATAATTTATGGAAAACCATACAAATGTTTCACATCTGAAATTTGAATACAATAAAGCTTAATATTAAACATTTTGAAGAAATTTCGAGCCTTCGTTGATATGAGAATTAATTAAAATTGCTTTACCTTATTAGATTTTGAATTATAAGAAGAAAAAGAAAAATGTTTATGAAATTAATAGAATGTTTTATTAAATGTATGAGTGGGAATTAAGTGAAAGAAAAAAATTAATCTTCTGTTGTACCCAAGCGCGGGATCACATTTGAAAGTTCATTGTTTATGCGTTCTAATCGAGAACGTATGAGCCAATATAAGTACCGCGGACGGGTGCCACTTGAAAGCTTGAGCTGACGTTAAGTGCCGCGTTGTCGAAAGTGAAGCAAGCGACATCGTCGAAGAGTTCGTCGTTCACAGCGGAGATGACACCATCGACAAGTCTTGGTTCATTGGTGTTTGCTTTTAAGAGTAGAAACCCATTTTGAATGGGACTACGTCTGATGAGTATCATGGGTCGGTTGTCGACCTCGCGATTAGATGGAAACTCCTTCATGCGATAGCGATACTGCATACGAGCCATGGTGTGAGACCATCGAGCAACGAGATCATTATCGACGACCCACCAATCGTCTGGTTCTGCAGGATATGCTGGCGGTGTGATATGATGGAAGTGACCAGTTGCAGATGAGTGAAACATGCCAAGGTTGGCGAGTAAATCGCCGAGTGGAGCTGGAACCATGATGGTTCGAGAGATTGCAATGAAATGTGCTGGTCGCAAATGCTTTTCGATCTCGTAGACATCTTGAACCCGTTTAAGGATTAATGTCTTCCACATTCGGATGAAGTCGTTCCTGGTCAAGTTCATGTCGGTTGAGCAAATTGCTTGCATTTGATCGTATGTTGCGCCAGAAAGCGAGTCCTGATTTGCGATTTGTACGGGATGGTCTACGACTGTGTAGTCGCTTTCCATTCGTCCAAGGATCGAAATTACATGCGAGTTATTCAAGATTGGGATGATGTTGGAAGCTGTCGGGGACTGTGGAGTTACCTGAATAGGCGGGGACGCTTGGACTTGTAGGGCCTGATTGATTGCGGTCACCAGCGGCACATCATCAATGTTGACTGACATCAACTTACGAAGTCGATTTTTTCTATATCGAATTTTATTTTTCTGACTCTTTGATAAAGGTTTTTCAGCTGTTGATCTAATATTATTTTTTTTATTAGAGGGCGAAGGCGAATCAAGTTTCAATTTCTTTTCTTCAGGTTGCTCATCTTTACCTTGATCAGAACTTATGACGAATCTTGTGGACGCTGCGACTAAATCTTTCTTCACATCTTCTGTTGGTGCTGAAGATTTATCGACACTTTCATTTCTTCTACTTAAATCTTCCACAACTTCGTCTTCTTTAACTATGAATGTTTTGACTTCTTCCTTCGGACTAACCACTGATGAAATTGTTGGGTTAGCTGCACTGATGTCAATAACTGATGTTATGAAGCCTTCTTCCATTGGTGATTAATTGATGTTGATCTATTTTTATTTCTAAGACTCTATTTAACTCTTAACTTACTGTAAAATCGTTTAAGAATGAAAGAATTCTTTGATTAAAAAATTGTTAACAAATAAATCAACAAATAAACCTTACAAATTACTAATAACCATACAAATGTTTCATATCGGAAATTTAAATATTTCACGCTCAGATCCCTTTCATTATTTGCTCCTTTTTCCTAAAAATGATTTTTTCAAAAGGTAGAACGTAAATATCTAATGTGGAAAACACATTCTAATGCTGACATATACGATTATTATAGTGGTATAAATGATTTTATATTTTATCAATCTTTTCAATATAAGATTAAAGATTCCTTTTCAATATTTTTTTATCTATATTTTGAAGAATTTTCGCGCCTTTATTGAAATGAGAACTAATTAAATATTTAACCTAATTAGGTTTTGAACTAAAAGAACAAAATAAAATGTGTATGGAATTAATAGAATGTTTTATTAAATGTATCAGCGAAACTTAAAATTTACATTGTCTTAAATGAGAATAATTTTTTCATGTTTAATTAATTCCTCTTATGTTGAAAAAAAAATAGATGGTCAAAAAATAAGAAATAAGTTTTAATTCTTTTCAGAGTTGTTGCTAGAATGCCAAGTCAAGCGTTCTTCGTAGAATTGAATGACAATTTGTGGGCATTTAACATTGGCTTGTTTAGCTGGAACAAGATCGGCTTCATCTGTGTCCTTCCATTTCATCAAAAACATCAATTCACCGGATGTATCTGTAGCTCCAACAATTCTTTCTGGTTGAAGACCTCGATCGAATCCTTCTTTACGATCTGTCTTCTTTTTTGCAGACGGTTTTGCTGCGTCAATTGAACCAGACTTGCGTTTTCTGGTTTCATTTACAGTAGCTAAAATTATATGATTAAAAATAAATATGAGCATAACATTACATTATTCCTCTTATATCAATCCATTAGGTACTTACTTTCTTTCTTTTTATGTGCTTCTTCAAAAGCTGCAATCAATTCAGGACAATCCAAGTTCTCTTCGGGTTCCCATGTATTATCGGCATCAGTGTAACCCTTCCACTTAAGGAAATATTCAACCTTTTATGTTGAAAACAATAGAAAATCAGTACAGAAATGTTTGAATGAAAAAATTCAAGGGAAAAAAAAAACGAAAAAATTAAAATTCTGAAAGCAAACCTTTCCTCCTCGAGTTCGCTTTTGTAAGACTTTTTCGACTGAATATTCCTCCTCCTGCGTATTATCCTTGCCTGTTTTGCTCATTTTGTTGTTTAAAGTTTGAATTGATGCTGAAAAAAATTTCTAGTTAATTTTCCTCCAGATTTTACCACACTAAGCGTCTTTGTCTTTGAAGACCTCAAAATTCAACTTTTAGCAATTACCCACAAGCTAAACTTTAAAATAGTAGATGTTTTGTCACTATTTACCTTCTGAATTTTAAAATTCTTTTTCAGAGATGATTGTTTCGTTTTTCTAAGCTTCCTCTCTGACTAAAGCCGATTAAATGAAATTTTATTCCCCTTGAATATCAAATTCAGCATATTCAGCAAAATCAATTTGAATATTCAAAAAACGTTAAACTACATTTTGAAACTTTACAAAATTTATTAATTTTCGATTAATTTTATATTTGAAAATTTATAATTTAAATTATCCGTCTATAATATTACTAAATTATTAATTTGATTTCTATCTAATTAGATAAGTCGATATTTATATAATTTTAATTAATATTTTAAAAGAAAATTTCCATGACAACGACAATATAAAACGAAAACAAATCAAGAATATTTTTTCTCCTACTTGGTTTATTGATATTTTATTCATTTCAAAACGATTAGTTATTTAAGCAACATATTCTAAAATGAATGAATATATTCCCAATCGATATAAAATTCTTCAGAAAATTGGCGAGGGTGTTCATGGCGTTGTTCTTAAAGCAATCGACACTACAGAGAATAACAAAGTAGTCGCTATTAAAATGGTTTCTCTTAGGACAAAATTTGGAGGTGATATTTACATATCTTTTAAAAATGTGTAATTGAACTATCAAAAAATTATATAATCAGGTATATCACCTAATACACTTCGAGAGATAAAATCGTTACAACATGCAGACAACGAATATGTAAGAAAAATAAAAATATTTCGATTTCCCCCACAACATAACAAACTGAATCGTTTCAGATTATTTCAATGCTTGATATGTATCCGGATTTGTCAGGTCTTGCACTTGTATTTGAATATATGCCAAATACTTTATACTCAAAGCTGAAAGATGAAGAAAATCCTTTATCAAGGCAACAGATTCAATCGTATACAAAAATGTTACTTCGCGGCCTTTCATATCTTCATGATGAATTAAAAATTATGCATAGGGTAAGAGAATTATCACGATAAATTTTTAATCATGTAAAAGTTTTTCTCTTTCTCCTTTTAGGATATTAAACCAGCCAATCTTCTAATTAACGAACATGATGTTCTTAAACTTGCTGATTTTGGACTCGCTCGGTTGTACAATCCTGATGAACCTCGTAAATGTTACTCACCACAAGTTGCTACACGTTGGTATCGAGCACCTGAAATTTTATGGGGAACTCAAATTTATGGTCCATCAATCGACATGTGGTCGGTTGGTTGCGTATTCGCTGAAATGCTTCGCGGTGTTCCATTATTTTCAGTAAATTTTGTTGAAACAATCATTTTTCATAATTCAGTTATTAAATTATGTGTTAAATGTTTTAGGGCAACACCGACATTGAACAATTAGCGCTCGTTATAAGAACACTTGGAACGCCGAGTACTGCAGATTGGCCGGAAGTAAAGAATTTACCTGACTATAATAAAATTAGGTGAGAGTGTCAATGATGACATTTTTATAGCAGAAGATAATTGAATGAGTTCCGTTTGCTGTCGAATAACATGAAAAATGGCAAAGCTATGACTGCGAAAAAAATTCATTCATAATTCTACGATTTATGGTCATGTCAATTGATGAAATTTTAACGATCTCAATAACCGTCAACAGTTTTCCAAACAGCAAACGAGAAGAGTGGGTCAAAATTTTCCCAAGCTTTACAACGAAGGAAGAGATCAGACTTGTTGATGATTTAGTGAAGTATAATCCAAAGCATAGACTAACAGCATCTGAAGTAAGCCTTTGTTCAAGATTCATTTCAACTTTTATTTCATGTTCTTGTTTTCCTTACAGGCACTTTGTCATGAATATTTTGGATGACTTCATTTATTCCAATTTTGAATAATCGATAAACATCAAAGAAATCTATTTTTCCTTCAAACAGTATTTAAAAAGGAAAAATGAACTCAAAAGACAGAGATTAAGTTTGTAAATAGACGCATGTAACAAGAATCCCTCAAAAATTGATATTTCAAAGGAAAATCCTACATAAAAAATCAAAATAAAAGTTTCTAAATATAAATAATTTTTTGTATGTAAATACGCAAATATTCTAAATTTTGTTCTCTTATTTACGGTTGACGAATGTTTATCAGGCTTCATCATAAATAGATAAATATGAAAAGGAATTTTCTCAAACGTACATCAAAGAAGATAATTTAAGATGCTTCTGTGGAAATAAAATTGTGGAAGAAAACTTTTTGATTTCTTTTTGAAACTTTTTTCAAGAGATTCCTTTTTTAACAGATTTAGAAATTATATCAACATCTTTAAACTGTATAAAAGAAAATATTCAATTTATTGGAAAGAATCTTGACCTTATGTTCAGAATATTGTCATTAATCTCGGAAGTTCAAACAAATATTTTCTATTCAGAGCGAATTAAGAAAAGTTTCACATGGCTCTTCTAAACTTGTGATGTGTACACAAAACTTTATTTTTGAATCATTTCGCATGCTGCGAGAGAAAAGTTTCTATGCTCCCTTGCGAGCATAAAAAATAAATGTTGTAGAGCTTTGGATCATGCGCTTTCGTTTGATGTTTCACAATTTTTCCTTTCATTTAGAGAGAACAGGAAAAAATCCTTCAGGCTAGTTCGATTCTGAGTCTCCGAATAATATAAAGTGAAAAATATTTTTCCTCACATCTTAAACTAAAATTTATTCAATTATATTGTGGAAAATTGGTATAATTAATCATTTTATCTCGTTTAAAGTGCATCTGAAGTGATGTTGATTGAATAACGTGTTGAAAAGAATATTTCTGAGTCTATTAACTTTACAATTGATAGCAAAACTGCTTGATTTAAGCAGATTAGTTATATAATGTGAACCAACCGAAGGAAAGAAGGAAAAACTTTTTTATGCCCAGTCTTAAGAACCAACAATGAAACATGCAAAATGATTATTTCTGTGAGAAAAGCTTGTCTGAAAATCATTATGAGGGGTTCTCGTGGGTGAAAATTTTACTTTTAAGTGCACTAGAAGAAGGCCGACTAAATTTTCCGCTTATAAAGCTTTCACTCATCGAAACAAACTTGAACAACTAAATTAAATTTTGTCGAGGACACATCTGAAAATTAAAAATCTCACGAAAATCTTCAACTTATAAAAAGGATTATTAAAGGTAGGTAAGTGAATATTAAGATGATCACAATTGGGTGTTGTTCATTACTTATCCGTGAAATGAAAAAGTAAGAAATAAATTGCAAATCGAATGACCTTCATTTTTATGCAAAAGTTTGTAAGATTATTCAAGAAAACATATTAAACATGCTTATGAAAATATGCTTCACATTTTCTGTCAAAATCAGCACAAACCGCGCAACAACCTTGAAATCTTACATCAAGAACTCATTAGTAAGCAGGGTGAAGTAAAATGCAAATCAATTTTTCCACTTAAGAAAATGTCAAGAAAATTTTCTCGGTAATGAAGGAAAAAAGTTTCAATATTTGATTATTTATAGATTAAAATATGGATGAGTAGCGGTTAGACGAGTGAGAACAAGTTGATAATCGGAAAGATTCTAGACTAACGATAGAGAAATGCGTGACAATAATAAACAGCCGACCCAATTGCTGTCAAAACTAATTTTTGTTCAAGGTTCCATATAAAGTACACATGACCATCTTTCTGAAATAATAGCCACACAAATAAAAAAGATTGTAAACAAAATATATTGCGAGTTGTGTCTGCGTACAACAAGGACATGCATGAAGCGATGGAAAAGTTTGGGGTGATAGTAAAATTCGAGCTTTTGTTATTCTTTCCCAACTATTACAACATGAATAAAAATTCTAGAGAACTCAACTATAATATTTACTTTCATAAGCAATATTTAATTTATGACATGTCCTAAATATTTCTGATCACAAATTTTGTTTTTCTAATGTTAAGTAAACATAACGTTTGAATCATGCGTTTGTTTACTTCTTCAAGTTACGATGAAAATTCATTGATTAATCTACGTAGTTATAGGTCAGTCAATTTTGTTTTGCGCAGTGAAAATAATTCAAGAACATAGGTTGATATAACGTCTGAAGCATAAATGCTGAAAGGTTTCAAATTGAAGCACAAAAACAATTTCATTGTTCTCAAATATATTCCGTTTAAAGAGAAAAGCTTTTAAGTTAATGGAAAATTTTCTGTTTCGAATGGAGATTTTCCAGTTTATTTATCAAAAGGGAAGCGAATGTTTACAGCACATAATTCTTGATTTGCCACTTGTGATTCTGATGAACGCTTTTGCTCAATTCTTTTGCTGCGAAGTCTCGAGAAGAAAAGAACTAGACGAGTTTTTATTTGAACTTGATGGTTCTTAAAGTCTTACTCTTTTATCTGCCTTGTTTCACTTCAATTCCGTTGATTTTTATTCTCTTTGTTACCTTTTCCCAAGTTAATAATGGAAAAACTTTTTCCGCAGGGGACGAAAGCACCATAAAGAGATGTTCATGTTTCACAATCTGATTTTTTTCTTTCTTTGAATCTTCAAGAACGAGTATTTATGATATTCCTAATCATTTTTTACCTTTTTCCTTTTTTAAACCTCTCTCAACTACAAAAAAAATCCTTTATTCGAGTGTTTTCTTAAAATGTATCAAGAGTAGAGCAGATTTTATGAAAACAGAAAATATAAACAATTTTAGTTTTATGTTTATGAAGTGAAGGAAGTTGAATTTGTTGTTGCTATAACAGATTGTTTATGTGGATTAAATTGCAAAGTAATCATCACTGTAATAATTTCACCGGTCATAATTTAACTTCAAATTTTCTAAGAATGTTTTAAGCGTCTATAAAAAAAATTACGAAAAATCTACTCGAAAATTACTTAATGGAACAATCACCGATGAAAAACTTTTTTCCTTTCAAACATTTTCCGATATACTTCGACGACTAAAATTAAAGTTTTCTTGTGTATATTTCTTTCATGCATGACCAATTTAATATACAACATGAACAAAAAAAGTTATTGGAAAAGTATCTCAGATAAGGGCTCNATTGAGATTATAAATCTGAAATGTAACTTTTTTTTAATTATACTCACTGGATTACTGGATCGTTTTACAAACAGGTCTCTTTCAGTTTATAGTTGAAACTGGAATGAAGATAAAAGTTGATAAGTTCAAACTTCTTGGCTCCTTCGATGAAGTTCAATTTTCCGTCTTTCGATGAGTTTAATTGTGTTTACTCTGAAACTTTTGCTTTCATATCCCTTCATTTAAATGCAGAATCTTTAGCTCTTCCTATAAGATAAATTTTTTATTTTTTACTACTAAGCTAAAAAGGTTTCATCTCAAATCCATGTGAACATGAAGACGAATGAAAAATTATTTTTTTCTTTTTTCTTTTTATAGAAATGTCACTCACTCTCTCTCTCTCTACGATTTTAAGCTACTTAAGTTCATGTCAATTGTTTTTATGACTTCTTCATTTCTTTTCGAAAAGAAAGAAAAAAGAAGAAAATGTCACGAGAGAAAAGTTCAAAGTTTTCTAAATTATTTCAGTAAAGCTTTGTTACGCTAAGTAATTTGGATAAATTGTCTTACCTACATAAATTTATGTTGAAGATTGTTGTTAAAGTACATTTGTATGTATCTCATATTTAAATGTGGATGTTTGAATCGTCGTAAAACCGGATACTTGTTGAAACTGATAAATGTTGATGTTTTTTTGTGATAGGTCAGAAAAATTTCTTTTCTACAACTACGAAAGTCCGAAGTTAATAAAACATTTGCATGCATACAATAAGCATAATGAAAATCAAACAAGCACTGAGGGAATGTTAAACATCCTTTACGTTCAACTTCAGTATTTTGCATTCAGAACAACCCTCGAACAACCAAGTTTAGATAAAATGATAAAAGGAAAGAAAACTGACCATGATTGTATTCATTACGAGTTTCTGTTTCATCCGCTGAATAAATTTAAAAGAAAAAAGAATGAAAAGCATTTTAAGTTTCATCAAACAAATTTTTCTTTTCAGATTTTCAAGGAATGATTTGGATGGAAAGAAACAACATGAATTATTCATACGGATCACGAGGAATGAGAATGCTGACAATTGTCTTAATGTACCTGTTCTACGCAAGTCAAGTCATTGAATGTCAAAGACCGAGTTCTGGACAACGAATGGATGTTTACATAGCCGGATTCTTTCCTTATGGTGACCGTGTTGAGAATTCCGATATTGGCCGTGGCGTTATGCCAAGCGTTAAATTAGCATTGGATCATGTGAATGAACATTCAACAATTCTACGAAACTACCGTTTACATATGTGGTGGAATGATACGGAATGTAATGCGGCTGTTGGGGTGAAATCATTTTTTGATATGATGCACAGTGGACCTCATAAATTGATGTTGTTTGGCGCCGCATGTACTCATGTTACAGATCCTATTGCGAAAGCATCCAAGCATTGGCATTTGACTCAACTTTCATACGCTGATATGCATCCGATGTTTACAAAAGATGGCTTTCCGAATTTCTTCCGTGTTGTTCCAAGTGAAAACGCATTCAATGCACCTCGGTTAGCATTGCTGAGAGAATTCAATTGGACACGTGTCGGAACTGTGTACCAAAATGAGCCACGTTATGCACTTCCACACAATAATATGGTCGCTGAACTCGATTCAATGGGACTTGATGTCGTTGAAACACAAAGCTTTGCGACAGATGTTAAAGAGTCGCTTGAGAAACTCCTTAAAAAAGATGTGAGAATTATTTTAGCAAACTTCAACGAAGTATGGGCGCGAAAGGTTTTCTGTGAAGCATTCAGGTAAATATCAAAGCGATTGTAAAGTTTTTAACTACAGAAAGGGGAAAAATTTGCGTTGTTTTTAATATTTAATTACCTTTTTTTTTCTCTCTCTCGTTCCCTCCCTAAATAAATGCTTTCAATGATGTCGTCGGACTTTTAATAATGAACCATCATCATAAATGCCATTCATGTACTGAAATCATCTCATTATTTAATTAACAACGAAAATAACTAGACTTGAAATGTACGGTCGAGCATATCAATGGCTAATAATGGGACCATCTCGAAAGGAATGGTGGAATGTGAGCGACACTGATTGTACAATTGAAGAGTTGAAAACAGCTCTTGAGTTCACAATTACAACAGATTTATTACCACTCTCGTGAGTATACATTTAAATTTTATGCTCTGATGATTTATGAATTAATGTTGACGAACGAAATATCCCAAAGACAAGCTTCAAAACTTAAATGAACATCTCATTAAAAATTAATTATCTTACATGATATGAGAAAAGGATTAAATTTCTCTTTATTAATATTAAAGTTTTATTAGATAAATGAAAATTGACCAAATCCAAGAGGGTTTCTGCTTGACACAAAATCTTGACATTTGAATTAACAATTTTTCCTTTGTTTCTATTTCTAGCACGTCTGGAGATATCACAGTGTCTGGAACTGTAAGTTATTTGTAGTCTTAATAAAGCTTTTATCGATAACAAGCTATTTACCTATTTCTCTACAATGTTTAATAATAAATACAGACAGCAGATGAATACTTGAAAGAATACAACAGACGAAGAGGCAATGAGTATTCACGATTCCATGGCTACACTTACGATGGTATCTGGGCTGTTGCTCTAGCAATTCAATACGTTTCTCAGAAGAAGGATCAATTTCTACAAAATTTTCAATACCGTGCGAAAGAATGGGAAACAATTTTCCTTGAAGCATTAGCAAATACAAGTTTTGAAGGTGTTACAGGGCCGGTTCGGTTCTATAACAACGAGCGAAAAGCGAGCTTTTTATTAAATCAATTTCAAAATGGAATGGAAGTTAAAGTTGGTGAATACAGTTCGCTTTTATCACATCTTGATTTAACAAGAGGTGAACCAATGCGATGGGTAAGTTAACAATAAATAAACTTTTCGTCTTCTTTTGATTTGTAAATTTATTTTCCTTTCAATTTTCTTAGGTCGGTCGTTCACCGCCAAAAGACAGAACTTTGAGAATTGTTGAACACGCTCAAGTTAATTTAACAATATATTTAATCCTTGCTAGCTGTTCAGTCTTAGGCATTGTTCTTGCTATCAGCTTCCTAATTGTTAACATAAAATTTAGAAATCAACGTTACATCAAAATGTCAAGTCCCCATTTGAATAATTTAATCATCATCGGTTGTATGTTGACCTATTTGAGTGTCATTTTCTTGGGCATGGACAGTGGATTAAGCAGCGTCACAGCATTTCCCTACATATGTACAGCTCGAGTTTGGCTTTTAATGGCTGGCTTTACACTCGCATTTGGAGCGATGTTTTCGAAAACCTGGCGAGTTCATTCAATTTTTACTGACTTGAAATTGAATAAGAAAGTTATAAAAGATTATCAACTGTTCATGGTTGTGGGCATTTTACTTACTATCGACATCGCAATCATGACAACATGGCAGGTTGCCGATCCATTTTATCGCGACACAAAACAGCTGGAACCATTTGTAAATTATTTTCTCTTTTATACTTAATCAATGAATTTTTCATTAAGCGAACATTTTAAGGCTCATCCATCCCTCGAAGATGTTATAATAGTCCGAGAGAATGAATATTGTCAGTCAGAGCAAATGAATATTTTCGTTGGAGTTATTTATGCCTACAAAGGAATGTTGTTAATTTTCGGAGCATTTTTGGCATGGGAAACTCGCAATGTCTCAATTCCGGCTCTGAATGATTCTAAGCATGTCGGGCTTTCGGTTTATAACGTTGTCATCATGTGTGTAATGGGAGCTGCAATTGGATTAGTGTTGTCTGATCAAAAAGATGCTGTTTTCATTTTGATATCTATCTTCATTATCTTTTGCACGACCGCAACTTTAATTCTTGTCTTTGTGCCCAAGGTAATCAATCATCAGATTCAGTTTTCTTATTCAACTGATTATCTTACATTTACTTCAAGATAATCGAACTGAAACGCAACCCAAGCGGTGTGATTGACAAACGTGTTCGTGCAACGCTTCGTCCCATGTCGAAAGCTGAAAGACGTGACTCATCTGCATGTGAACTCGAACAAAAGCTTCGTGATGTGAAGTCAAATAATTGTAGATTTAGAAAAGCTTTGATGGATCGTGAAGCTGAATTGCAAGCTTTGATAAGAAAACTAGGACAGGAAGCTTCAAATTGGTTAGATGGTGGAAACAGTGAGACTGAACCTATCTTGAAAGATCAGGGACGTCTATCAGTTGGACCCATTCGAAAGGATTTTCCAAGTCAAACAGGTACAAAGTTTTATGCCATTAAAACTTACGATATGAAGTGCAGAATTATAATATTTTAATGAAAGCTTCCTCAGTTACAGAAGTAACATCAATCGGAAGTTGTGTGTCAAGTCATGAAGACTTGGATTATGGAACAAATACGCCAGATACAAAGTAAGTTTTGTTCTTATCTTTCCTTCGCCATTTTATATGCTTTTATTATTTGATTACTCCCCAAGGAAAAAGCGAGTCAGCATTCAAAACACACAAGACAAGAATAAAATGAGTAATTCAATTTCTCAAAGCAAAATGAACACAGAGCCGAAGGTTGTCTCAACACAAACAACTATCTCTTCAACTCTCGCATCAGCGGAAGTTAAACCACAACAAGTACAAGCTCAAACGCCTGATCATAAAATGTATGTCACTGAAATAAGAAAGGAATTATCGGAAGCGTCAACAGCAACTCCCAATTGGTCCCCCGGGCACAATGGACATCTCATGGTAAATAAAAATTTCCTTTGAAATTGAATTTCTTTAAAGTTCATTTTCGTTTAGGATCACAATGATTATCAAAGCTCGGGTAACATGACAAAATACAATACTCATGTCAATTCAACATCAATGACAATGTCGAATAGTGAATTAAATAATATTTGCCCACACGGAAAAGGAAGCACAAAAAGTGAGTTGAAAAAGAAATATAAAAAGGGATTATGAAAGCGGTAGGCAAACTGGGTGTGTAAAAGTTAACTCTTACATTAAATATCATATATCGGCGAATGTATCAGTTTAACATGTTGCTTAACATATCAATTTCTGAGTTATTTTGAAGTGACTGTCTTGTTGGCTAATATTGAAATTTGAATCCGCTTACTAAGTATCAACAAGTGATTGATGAGTTGAAGCAGTAATTAATTTGTTTCCTGTATCATTTTAATCCTTCCTATTTATATAGATTTGAGTATGGCTGAACAACAAAGACGTGTCAGTATGGGAGCGGCGATGAAGAGTAATTTTGTTGTATCGCAAAGTGATTTATGGGACACTCAAACATTGTCACATGCAAAGCAACATTCTCGTCATTCTCCAAGGAATCAACAGCAACGATGTCCCGATCACACATACGTTAATGCTCCTTTACAGCAACAACAGCAACAGCAGCAATCACAGTCGACTCCATCATCATCATTGGTCACAACACCTCAACATGAACATTACCACGAGAATGGTTCACCAGGTGGCCTAAGCACTGGAAGCGGCAGTGGCATCATGCAACGAAGTGTTTCTGAGAAGAATCGCAAACATCGACATAAACAAAAGATTCAAGTATGTCAGAGTGAGACTGATAGTGAGCGTGAACAGCGAATAGAAGCGCAATTATGTGCTCAAAATAGAAAACTCGTAAAAACTCATCACTCGCATCACCAGTCGGTGCCGAATGTAGCACCGGAAGGTACCCCAACAACCACAAAATTGCATAAGCATCGATCCAAAAGTCGCGACCATCATCATCATCGATCTTCTTCAAATATGCATGGAGCTTGTTCTGAATCAGAGTTGCTGGATAGCGACACTGCAATACTGCCCATCTTTAGAAAGCTTTTAACTGAAAAAGATTCCAGATATAAAGCAAATAGAAACGTCGTTGGCGCCAGTTGTCCTAATATATCTATTAAATGTGATATTGTTGAATATTTGTAAACTAAAGGTCATCAAATGAAAGACAAGAGCTAAGTTACTCATCGCAATTTAAAAGGAAAATGAAAGAGAAACAAGTTAGGCAGCTTTTGTTCAATTTATTTCCAATTAAGCATTAGAATTGTGTAACATCATAAATTGAAGACAACTTTGCTAGAATTAAAGCAAATGAACATTGTAGCGATCATGCTTCATAATGTAGAGCATTAGGAGACTTAGAGAATAATTTAACGAGATCTGAAATAATAATTTAAAAAAGATTTAGAAAGAGCAATCACTAAAAGTTCTAAATAATGAAAAAATGTTAGAAATAAATCAACAAATAATCAAACCGTCGAAAATATTGCACAAAAAGTTTGGTAATTTTTTTTTATGTTTTTTCTACATAATTTTTGTTATTCATGTATAGAAGAAATGATGAAATTCTATCTATCTAAAGTTATTAGTCAATTTCCACCTCCCCCTCTCCTCTCTCCCATAAAACATCAAACAAATTTTTATTTAGGAATGAAAACAAAGAACATTTTAACATTTACGCTTTTAATAAAATTATCATTATTCGATTAACTACATAATGACGACTTGTTAGCCTCGTGAACCACTTGAACTGAATCAGAAACAATCTATTATGACAAATCATTTTATTTATTAACTGTCTACATAGCAATTAAAGTCTTTTTATAATTTCCTTAGATGTTAATGTCTTCCGGGAGAATTATTTATAGAAAATTTCATTATCTTATTTCACTTTAAGATTAACTTAAATTTACTTATCTACATATCATTTTCAATCTAATTTAAATTTTGTTTCTTTTGATAATTACGTCAATTAAACTTCCCACAAGACGTTTATTCATAAAATAAATTAAATGAAGAAATAAAAAAAAGCGATAATGATTGTTGAGGCATTGTCATTGAATTAGCACAAACTATAGAATAATGCGAATAAAAAAAATCCTTTTAAGAGTAAATGTTTTAGGTAAATGTGTCGAAAATTTGTAAATAAATTGTAAAACATTTTGTCGAGTCTCAATTATTATTCAAATATGACACATGAATAAAGTTTTGTCTTTGCTAATTTGACGGAAGATTCTTAATCAAAATGTTTTGTTTTCTTTTTCAGAGTATTAATGCAACATAATTCCGAGATTAGAATGTTCACGATTCCTTATCTCCATCTGACTATCAAACAGACATGTAGATACATGTACATTAAAGCTTTTAAAACCAAGAACAGGGCGAAATCATTTACAATCAAGTGCTTATCAAAAATTCAAATCATCTGTTTAGTTCAAAGCAAGGTTTAAAGTAAACGTAAAAAACAAAATGATTTGATTAAATTATCTGTTAAATTAACTCGTCTGAATGCTGCTCCCGCTATTTCATAAATTGAAAGTAAGTGTCGTTTTAATTCAGTCAGACTCTCTCATTTCATCGGAATAGTTGCAAAAATTAGTCGCTTTGCGAATATTTGATAGAATTCCTTAAGAAAATAAGAAAAGGATTCCCGCGAAAAACTGTTATAATTTGCAGAATAAATTGTACTAGATTATTCGCCATGATCATGCGCTCAAAAGGAAATGTTTGTTGTTTCGTACTCTGAACATCCACAATACATTTCATACTCGTTCAAGCCGCTCCCCAAGAAAAATCTTCAGTGAAGTCGAAAGGAGAGAAAAACAATTTTTTGTATTATTCTTCAGCAAAGAAAAAAAGTTACATAAATTTTTAGCCAAATTATAAGACTTAGATTGTTACATTTTCATAAACGTACATTAGTGGTTGTATAAAGTTTCTAAAATATCGTAAGAAGAGTGTGATTATCCTTAGACATACGAGTGAAAAGAGTAGCAAGAAAAAATTCATTATTTTCTGTGAAAAACTAAATCAAATCTTTGAATAAATGAGATAAAAAAGAAATTCATATTTTCATGAAAAATATTCAATCGTGTCTATAAATGAAACCATATTTATAAAGCTTTTATTAATATTTATCAATGAAATTCATAAAAGCTTACAAAGTAAACTTTGAATTGGGTGGTGACAAAAGAAAGTGTTCTTAAATTTTAAAGATTTTTCTTCTCTCCAATTTATATATTCAGAACCAAACTTCCTTTCCTTTCTTTTGGACCAAATACCTAAATAAAGGAAAAGGAGAAAAATGTTGGTTGAAAACATACATCTTATTATGTTAGGGAATGGTTGAATGGAAGAGAGAAAAAGTAGAACAATTTTACCATGGTTGAAGTACAAAAATTTATCATACATCTGACGCTAAACCAACAACAATGAAAAGAAAAACAGCAGAGAAGTGAAATGGCCTAATTTATGTTTCGGATTATCAATTATAAAATTATGAAAGTTTGAAGAGAAAACTTCAAATGAATGATAATTGCTTTTAAGCAACGTAAATTGTATGAGAAAGTTTTGATTCATAAAGGAATTTAAGTTCCAAATTTTACTTGTTCAAAGACATTATAAGGTTGAGTGTCGTAAGCGAATTATCATGAGCCAATATTTGTGAAGAAAAGTGAAGAAGCCTTACTAGAATATTAATAATTTACCAAGAAGAATTTGACTCATACTTAAAGTTTCTATTCAAACCAACTTCATGATTGAAAGAACTTAAATGTGTTTAAAAAAATGATTATCATTGTAATCATGTGAAAGTGTAGGATTCCTTGAAAGCTATGAATAAGAAGATAACAAGAAGAGAAGAAAACTGTCAACACCCCAAAAACGATGCTCGCTTTTTTCGGTTTTCTTTCATGTGATCTCATAAAATGTTTTGCTCCATTTTTCCTTTCATTTCCGTCTGTATTTTTAATATTCTATCACGGATAAACTGAAGATTTCCTTTCCCATTTCTTTTCGTTTTTTTTGTCTATATATTTATTTCATTTACTTCACTCTTGGAAAGTATTTTATTTCGCATCATGTATTCTCTTATTCTCTTTTCATCTGATGGAGAAATAAAAATAATGTGATGCTTTTTGCTATTAGATTTCAGTCTTCTTTTATTTTAAATTGAACTTAATGAGAGAAGTTTTGTGAGATGGGAAATGATTTTGTGGAATCTCTTTCCTTTTCCTTACACTCGGTTGTATCTCGAAGTTGTGATGACATTTGTTTCCTTTTTCTTATGTTTAACTGTAGCACAATCTATGTGAGAAGATTTTAAGAAAAAACTTCTCAGATATATCTAAATTTTGAAGTAAGATTTATTTTCCTTTTCATGAAGATAACATCCAGAAGATTAAACAAGAAAATAATCTTTGTTTTAGAAGAATGAAGGCGAGAGTACAATGACGTCATGAAAGCGCATGGCATTTTTTAAAAATATTTACAAGAATTCTTTACATTCTTATTAAGTAGAGAATAAAGAAAAAACGAGAAAAACGTTCTTCGTTGACTTTATACTTTTTAAAAAGTCAGCAAATGCACAATAAAGGCAACAAATTTCACATGGCTTTTGTGTACATTTTGGGTCATTAAAGTTGAACATTTCATGATGTTTTTTTTTCATCTTCTTTCCAGTGTTATCGCTTTTTCATGTTCGCTTTCAATTCACTCTTCTCTGTTAGTCAACTCAAAAGAAATGGAGAAAATTGTTTAATTTTCCATGATAAAAACTTTTTCTTTCTTCATTCGATTGGGGGATAAGTAGAAGAACTCTTAGGTTGAATAAAGGATGGACACGTTTAATCAAAATGTATTGTGTGTGAGGGAGATACAAGAAAGGGAAGAAATATTTAAATGAGTCACGTGTTGGCTAAAGACGTGGCGGATAAATGATAGCTAAAGGACTTTTGAAAAGATTTATTTAAATTTTGAATCGTATTTGTTATTTAATCATTTTTTAAGAGTCCAAAATGATTATCAAGAAAACATAAATTCTTCGTGAGGAATATGAAAATTTCTTAAGATTTGATTTAATAATCAAAATTCTCAAATTTTGAAAGATTTTAATTCATTACTTCTTACAGTTTAGCTGAGGTTTCATTGCACTCGTAAACTTACAGTATTAAATAAATGCTCAAACTTTTATAATGAGAAATGTGAGATGATAATTATCATAAACTTAAATTAAGTATAACGAGTATCGAACAAAATATCTTGCAAAATGTTTCCTCAATGAACTGGACATAATAATTGTTGTTACTGTGTGATTTCATGTAGTTCAATTGATAATAAAATAAATGAGTGTAATTTAAGGCAACGCATGTGAATAAAATTAAAAGTACTCAACAGAAGCTTATAAACGGCATTTCAACGAAAATATCATTTCCTGAATAGCGTGTTTAAGTATGACAGTTTAATTAATTGTAAAACTTTATTTCAAAGCACTGTGAAATATACTTAGAAGAGAAGAAAAGTTGTTATGGCGCTTGAGAGAGTAAATATGCTCTTTGATGGGTAAGTGGATTATGAAAGAAGTTTATTTAAATTTTTTATACACCTTGAGGCATGATTTTAACATAGACACACAATTATTTAAATTTCAAGTGAATCTTTACTATCAAACTTCATCATTCTACTTCTTGAAAATTCAGTGGATGATAAATTACAAAGCTTTTAATGAATTCAATAAACATATTCGAGATTTTCAACAAATCTTTTATTATCATTTTTATTGGACACACAATACATTTTCTGGTGTGTTTATAACATTAATAATCTCGTGCATAAAAATGTTTTAATATTATTTGTTTTTAAAATTATCGAACATGCTTTTGGTTTCAGAAAATTAAAGTTTTTCTTTTTCTTTTTAGGCATTGCAGTTATCGTACATGTTAACTATGCCAACGAGTTAAACGAAAAGATATGGTAGGTGGATTTAATTTCTTTCTTCATAGGATAAAATTATTGTTATTCTGTGGAAAATTTCAAGAAGACTTCAAAGCTTTTAAATCGAGTTCCGTTAATTTAAAAAAATATGAAAATGTAGTACTAGATGCTCTAGGACTCTTTCTAAAAAAGCTTTATATGAAAGTTCGTGACTTGAAAGCTTTCAGTTTAAGGAACATAATTTGAAGTTTCAATTACACACAAATTAATTGTCTATTTTAATTGGCTTGTTGACCAATATTCTGTTTATGAACTCACCAAATATTACAATTCTAAATAAAATGTGCGATGAAAGGTAAAATGCTTCAACCAAAACATTTAATTACTTCATAAATTATGAAATTACTTTAAAAACTGCTTCGGTGAATGTCGTCTCGGATTTTGCTTTACTTTTACTACTTTTCTCATCTTCCTCTCATTCATGAAACTAATAATGATTTCAAAAATGAATGCAAATAAAGCCAATACAGCGCCAGAAGAAAGAACAACAAATGGCATTATCATATTCTTAAAGTCAACATAACTTTTTTCTTCGACATGCACAACTTTTTTCTTGCTTTGATCAAGGGGATCATCAACAGCTTTTGATATCCAATAATTTCTTATTCCTGATTCCCTCAAAACACTGGCAACAAATTCGATTTCCTTTCGCAAAAGGAAAGCTGATGAAAGAATATACTGTTGAGGAAAAAAACTGAGTTGTTCAGGTATTTTATCCAACAATCGACGATTGCCATCATAATTACGCTCAGATTTTAAAAATTCATCAGCATATGAACAGGTCACAAAATAAGCCAAATTTTGATCAAAATTCATTGGAACGCTTAATTCTAGAGCATATTTCCCCCTAACACCTAATTTAGTTAAAATTTTTTCTTCTCGAAATGATGGTGTGTAATCACTATCAAAATGCATATATTCGTAAATATTAGTGTTTGAGTCGTTGAGTTCTTTTAAACTTTCAACTGATCTCAATGAAGGCTCAGATAACATCAGAGCAATTAAAATACTTTGATAAAGACTCACAAAAATCATAGATGCAAAAATGTAGCTGTAAATCACAATTTTTTCCTTTCTTGACATAATTTTTTCACCTGACACTTCTTGGCCAATCGTGCACTTGAAGATGTTTATCATTATGAACGAGATTTTAAATTGTGTCTTTGCATAACTCGAAAGCATTTTCCACAAAAGAATAGTTGAAATTATTGAGACTATCATCAGTACAATTGTCATGGTATCAAATGGAAAAGAAGAATTTTCATAAGATGAAATGTAAATATTTTTTGGAGCCAACATGCAACTTCCATCAAGTATTCCAATATTAATCTTCACAAATCGTGGATGAGAAATGGAGAAACCGTTGTTGAGATTCAAATCTGCGATCTCGTTAAAGATTGAGTTTTGAATTTCAGCAAAATTTACTTGATTTGTTATGTTGTTTGAGTTTATGAGCTCATAAGTCAAATTGTATTTCGTACAAAAAGTATCCAAAAATTTACCTTCAGGTCCAGTAATCTTTCTATTGACAATTTTTGTAAATGGCTGCATATCGTACTGAACTACCTTTATAATTTTATCTTCCGTCAATCCTGAAGAAATTTCATATTCTGATGAGTTGAAGATAAGGATTGATATAAATTTGCGATATTTAAGATCCATCAAATCATCTTTAATAAAATTCATATTTCTTCTTGCTGATGTTTTGGAAACCAAACTATTGCAAATAACAAATAAATTCACAAATTTATCAGGAAAGTTAATTGGCATAGTTAGTAAGTGATTCGTTGTGCTTTCACATTTGCTATCCAAAAGAATTAATCCAAAATCTGGTAAACGAAAATATTCCTGTTCATTGTGTGAACTCTTCCTTGATCGAAAAACAATTAAAATATCTTGTAAATTCAACTGTCGGATAAGCTCTTGTAATCCTTTGCCACTTTCAATTGTTTCGTTAGTTTCAGAAACAGTTAGCTCAATAAAACCTTTTTTGTATGCCTCATCGTTCTTCATAATATCTGCCAACTTACTAGATACATTCTTGAATATTTCTTCTTCAAGTGAAGATATTTCTAAGAGGCCATCTAGTTTTATTGCACTTGTGTACACAACAAAGAAAAGAACTATTTCTAGTCTCATTGTTGCTTCCAATTATTTAACTGAAGCTTTCATAATTTTCAATTTAATATTTATACAAATTTTAATGTTGATGTTTTATGTTAAAGCTTAGAAACAGCCTTGAACGATACTTAATATTTTAATCGTTGCATTAAAATTTCCATTAACAGCAAGCTTTTGTCTCTAAATTATGTGATGATTCAATTAGCTGGCTGAATCAATTTCTTATAAGACGCCTACGTTATATTTTACCTGTTTGATCGACAATCAATATCCAGCAGTGCATAATCATATCTAGGCTAATGTAAACTTAAAATGCATTAAATGGATTTAACAGCATGATAATGTATGAATAATTGCTGTTTAAAATCCGAAGCTCATCAATGCAAAGTTTGCTTTGTATTAGTAATTATAATAAAATCCACAATTAAGCAGCAAACAATTTGAATTTACATTTTAAGGATAATGTGAAATACCTAATTGTCTTTTGATTGATGATTAAAATAAAACAATTTATTGGCTATCAGTCGTAAAGTTTTTGCTTGTTTATTTTTTGAACAGATTGGATTTTGATAAAGGAAAACGTTGAAACGATCTAAAATTACTCAAGATCATTCACATTAAACTTGTAAGCGACCAAACTGTAATTCTCAAAAGTTATGTTGACAATTTACATTCAATTCAAACGGATTATTGTAGTTGAATTGAAGAAATTGAGACCAACAATTTGCACACCCTTTGAGATTTAAGTTCTCGCCGGCCTCTTGAGGCGTCCGATCTCCATACAAAGTAGAGTACAAAAACTCGTGGGTTCGTAAGGCCTGTGAGTGTTCGTAACGTAGACGTTTCGCAACAATTTTTAAAAAGTTTCAAATAAATTCTTTTCGTGATAATTAAGTTGTAGGTAGATTTTATGACAGAAGCTTTCAAAAAGTTGCAATAATTGATTTTAATATGTTTTTAGATATTGAAAACTTGCAAGATTTCCAACATGTAAAATTTACGTATCTATAACAAAAAATTCCTTGACAACGTTACATTATTTTTGTAGTGAGTTTTAATTAATTTGAATCTAGTTATTATAATTAGTTTTATGTATGTTTATGGTTAATATATTTTTATTTAATTATTTATTTATTAAATGAAAGGCCTGATGAAGAAGCCAACATGTTTCGAAACGTTGATATTGTCACAAAAATAACCTAGTAAAGACTTTCCGACTGATAACCTGTTAGCCTATTGACCTGATAGCCTTTTGAATTATTTTACTTTAATTGTCATTTAATTTCTTGTAAATTCTATTGAAAATTAATCATGTAGCAAAATTATCAAAATACTTTCATCTTCGTTTCGAAGACTTCAAATTTGTATTCACTACATCAAGCTCAACAGTAGCAATATGTGTAGTATCTTAAACACGTACTTCTACCGTTCTCATGACTCATGGAAACAAATGTATTTAATAAATAAAATGCTGTCTACCCTGAGGCTAAAATGCAAAAGAAACATTAAATACGATTTAGATTTACGAAAACGATGATATTCTTATTTTCTAAAAGACATTGTCATCGATGAAGAGAAACTTTTCAAACACTTTAAAGGGCAAAATTCTCCTTGATCCTAATAGCTCATTTTACTTTGTCGCTTCTTTTGATTCGCAGTGTTGTCAGATTTTTGATGAGAACTAAAAACGGAAGAAAACGAAACTGAAACTGAAACCTGAATATATATCACGAAGAACGGAAAGACTTGCTAAATGAGAAATATAATCCATAAAGCTGGAAACAAAACCATAAATTAGGTTGAAAGTATGAGCTGTGTCGGAAAGAACGAGAAAGTAAAACCAGGAAACCTTTTCACAACGAAAGGAAAATTATGAATTTTCATGCATCGATGATTTTAAGATTTAAAGAAGAAAGATGAATATCCAAAAATAAAACAAATTTGAGCTTCACTCATCTTCACATGAGCTCATCATAAGAAGCATGAAAATTTTCAACTTTTTTACAAATTTTTTTCCATTTCTGAAGTAAAAATTCCTCTTTCGTTTATTTATTCTTGATGAAAATATTAAGTGCTATTAATCCAACTCAAAGCATATCTAAGTTAAAAATTTATAAATTAATCCATAAAAGTGAGTCTTCTTCAGTGAGACTTTATCTGGCGTAAAGAACTTTAATAAATCTTGTTTACCATGAACATCATAACAGAAACTGAAAATGTGAATTTTGAGAAAATATTTAAAATGGGACAACATTTCATTGAAAGTATTTACTGGAAAAATATTTATAATTTTCACAATAGCAGAAGCTTTTAAATCGTTATAATCGGAAAACTGCAAACAGCTTACTTAATGTTGTTCATTGAATGAAAATGTAGAGCGATTTCAGTTCTCTTTGATGATTCCTAATGGGTTTTTCTTGTAAGTTGAGATTATGAGTTTCACAAAAGCAATATTTTTCTGAGTTTGGATTTTATATTTATTATTTCTTCTTCTCTTTTTTTTAATTGAAGAAATGGTCTTCAAATTTTTAATTTATATTTATTAGACACTGACCTTTCCTTATGAATCAATAACGAAATTCTTTCATTTTCTATTTCAGGGCACAACAACAATATGGCCCCTAAAGTATCAATCAAAAAACAATTTAGCAAAACTCACCATGAAAACATCATTTCATTTAAGTGTATGCGAAGAAGAAAATCAAACATAAAACTGATTCCAACTGAACATCAAAATACATCACTCACTATCCCATCCATCAAACGAGTGCAATCGCAATGCAATCTCTACGAAACAACAAAAAATAGTAAATCCGTAAAGCATAGATGGAAGCTCAGTAAAAGTGGATGCGATGATGCAACAAAAAATGAGAAACAACGAATGACAAACTGTCACGAAGAGAGTCATCAAGACATTAAATGCTTCCAGCCAAAATCTTCACAGAAAAATTTGACACATAATGTGCATAATGCTGATAAAATATTTCAACGTAACAATACTGAAATTAATAGTTTATATCGTCATGTCATCACTCAGAGCTACCCCAGCAAAAAATCCACTCACCAACAACCACACTTCCATGATAAAAAGCAGTCACATAGGCGTGACTATGCCAGCTGTCGTAGGCTTCAAAGTTGGGCGACTGCAAGCGGTATCAGAAAACTGTTGCCAATTTTTATACTCGTTAATATGCTTCCATTTTTGTATGCAGGTAAGAATTTTAATTACTTGTCATGTTTGTTTGTTACATTTTGATGTTGTCACTAGAAAATCTCACAAACTACGGTTGTACATTAGAATGTTGATATTATTTATGGGGGTTAAAGATTGAAATACAATTTTTGTCAAAATGAATTCCTTTCCCCCATCAAGAATTTCATTCAAAGCTACAAGATTCATGATTTCTATTTTAAGTTATTACATCATTCAAAGCGTCCGTGGGAAGAATTTATTTTAAATATCTTAAGGCAATTTAAGTATGACGTTTAAAATTTAGTTGAAGACATCAAGAAAGCTCTTGGGATTCATTTGCGAAAAAACTTTACTTGCCACAATTTGTGTTAATCTTGTTGTAATGCACGAGCAAGCATTGAAATCAGAGAAGATTAAAAAATAACAACCTCGACAAGTCCTTAGGGTTTGAGCTGGAAGCGTATATCATATTAATGTGATACTCTTCATCGCTTCTCATGTTAAATTATTCTTCGACACAACATGTGACACATAATGTATGTAGACTTCATGCCTCTTCGACTCTCTTTTTCAACATCAATTGTTCAAGATCTTGAAGCATCTTTGGGAAAGCTCATCATAAATCAATATCCCCCCTCCCCTCATCACTTCAACTCATTTTATCCTCTTGTAAACGAAAACTGATAACAAATCTCAAAACGTCGTCACCACTTTGAATACCACGTTGAATATACTTGAAAATTATTACATATTGCGGTTACATAAAGAATCAAGAATGAAAATTCAATTTTTATTCGATTTAAAGTTCTTTTTCATGGAAGTTTTTATAACTTGGAGAAAACTTTGAAGGATAAGTAGTGATTGATTTTTTTTTCTGTGCTATTGAAGTCTGTAAATACGTATTCGATATTTTTATTTTTTGTTACATTCATGAATTTGATCATTAATCATATCTAACGTCACACATCATATCGTTGTTTTGACAACTTTTGTAAATAAATACTCACAGTGAGAAGATTAAATTTATGTGTCTCACTCAAACTTCCCGCGAATGATTCAAGTCAATAGCTTAACCAACTGAGTATAATGAAACAAAAAGCAAATTGAATGAGCAAACCTGATTGAAAGCAATTCGATTAAGTGCTTCCAAGCGTAATTCTTTTTTTTCTCACGATTCTATGAAAAATGTTCTGCGTTCGTTCCGCTAAAAATAATTTTTTTGTAATTTGGAAAAAATGAGATGAAATCAGCGGCAACAAATTATCCCACTACAGCCTTCTGAAATTAATGTTTATTAATGAAAAACGTTCTGTTTTTTCATCGTGCCTGTGAAAATACTTATGAAAAAAAGAATGTTCGTTCAAACAATCGTTAAAAAAGTTTTGGCTGTGATTTTTTTCAACCGGTATGGAAATAGCAAGGAACCTAAGGCACTTTTCGAAACAATGGCTCTGAAGTTTATAAGCATAGAGACGCAGATGTCCTTAAAATTGGAAAAAAAAACTTCGACGATACTTAAATAAACCATAGGAAAATATTAGCGTGGAAGTTATGTGTCATTTAATGACGCTTCATGGAAGTCAGGGCTTTACATAAATAACGACTGAAGATTAATTATAGAATTCAATGTGAATGTTAAAAACTTGTAACGAAGTGAATCGAAACTTCTGCAATCATCTCCCAAGTTCATTTTTGATAAAGTAATAAAAGTTTGTTCAGCTTTTCACCAGCCCACACTTCTGTTATCTTTTATGCGTGAATGTGTAATCCTTTCAATATATTTAAGGCCATAAAATTTCTGCTTGGTCGTATTTGTTATGAGGAATAAATAAGAATAAGAAATAGGAATGACTAAGCTTTTATGTAACTAAATAATCGGTTTTTGATGGCTTTATGTCTATATTCAATTGCGTGTGATGTGCTTAGCTTTTCTTCCACTTTTATTCCATCATTTCTCATACACAAAGTCATAACAATAACAAAAATCTATAATAAGACTCGTTACAATTACCTTAGAAGAGATTTCAAGTAGAAATTAGCGAAACTCTTTCTGTTTAAAAGATTTTTGAAAACACAGAAGACGTAAACAATCATTAAATGAATACTTAAATTTAATGCAAATGATTCATATGAGATGAATAAAGAATTCAGATGACAATCATGTTTGCTTTTATGATAAATGAAAGTAAATTAAAAATATTTTTGAAGAATGAAGATTTTCTGCTTCAGTTAGATTAAAAGCAACATCATTCCTGAAATAGTCATGAATTTATGAAAGAATTTATTTTATTATTTGCTTCCCTTATGAAACATAAGTTGCCGTCTTTGCTGAATGAATAGAGCTGTGGCTTGCCACTAGTGAATTACCATTAAACTTTTTCCCAGTTATGATGAAAAAGCACAATGAATAATAACATCAACATTTTACATAAACAAACATCTGAGTGTGAAATGTGCCAAGAATCTTCATCTTTACAATTTTGTTAAAAGCTGATGAACCATCAGACAAATTGATATGAGCATTTATATTGCAAAAAAAATCTACAAGATTGTGAACCGCAAAAAAATCAGCTTAAAAAGCATTTTCAATTTCTCTTCAAAGAAAATAGAAAATTTCCACCCGCAAAAAAAGGTAAACATTGGTGGCAAACAAAAATAAAGGAAAGAAATAAAAAAAGTAAATTTGCATTTAAAGCGAAACACAAAAAAGTGTTTTTGTAGAAAAAAATATGAAGTTAGCGAACTTCTCCAAAAGAAATAGTCTTGAGTTGATTGTTATTGAAAATTTCTACATCGCTACAAACAAAAGAAAATTCATTACAAAGTTTCATTATTTTGAGAGTTTCTATATCTTTGAGTTGAGGCTGAAACGTTGGGAACGAATTGAGATTCTACTTGGAAATTAAGGAGCCGTTACGTAAGATTTTCTTTTACTTACACATGAGGCATGATGCTGGTTCACAACATAGCTATTGAGAAAAAGAAAAAAAGGCTTTTAAGTCTTAAAAACTTATAATCTTTGCTGCATGAATATGTATGATAAAATTCGGTATGTGTGTTTACAAGTTCAATCTAAGGATCATAAATAAAACAACAACACTAGTAAAAAAATCCATTTTATGTAGCGACATCCGGTAAGGTAAGAAAAGATAAAGAAACCTTGACACGAGTGAAAAAATAAACCGAAGAGACTTGATAATGACATTTAATGATGAAATGAAATAAGAAGTTGAGTTCAATGACAAAGAATTTTTCCTATGCACTAGTTTTTCCTTCGGTGTGCGTCTCTCCAGGCACCCGAATGATGATCAAGTGTAACTTTACGAAGCACGAAAAATATTTTGTGAGAGTGAGAAAATTGAAAATTCAGTTGATGATGACGATGATGATGATGATACATATTCCGAACAGCCCTAGCAGCCGAAGATTTCAAATGAAAAACTGTAATTTTCCGTGCAAATATTCTCCGAACTCTCACACAAACACACACAGGCGCAATGTTCTTCTATTTTCTCAATCTATCTTAATGCTACCATCAGTCGATGATTGTCGGCCAAGCTGAAAACATTTCGAATTTAAAAACTCCAGTGAATTACCGAATATTGCTTTTGCACGTGTTGTTGGAAGCTTTTCAAAGCGTTTCTCGGTTTTTGGTGCTTTAAGAAAAAAAAATTAAATGAAAGAAAATTGTCGCTCTTTAGCATAATAACAGATCGTCAAACTTCAATCAACCGTGCCGTGACTTCTAATCATCATTTAAAGTTCAAGTGTAAAGTGGAAAGGAAATTCTTTTAATCAATATAAAGTGAAAGCTAACTTCACAAAGAGGAAAGCGAATTGATAAAAACGGAAAAGAGTTAATTGAAATGTAAATATCAAAGTAATGGAAGACTCAATAATATTTTATGCAAATGGCAATTATCGTCCTATCAAAGCAGAGATTTTCTTTTTATAACATTTCATCGTATGTCTTTAATAAAACTTCTTCCTTTCAACCTTTACTCCATTCAAAATGAATTTTTATTTGTTGAACACTGGCAGGCTTTACGGAAAACACCGAAAGGGATTGTGGTTTTGTAACACTCTCGAATATTTAGAAGAAATGCTAATGTTGAACTTGGAAATTAAGTAATCATAATTCGTATGATAATTGACAATTTTTATTAACTTTAATTTACCGAAAAAAAACGATTTTTGTTATTTAATTTCGCTATAAAAAACTTCAAAGAAAAAAATAATTTCTCTCATAACAAGTGTTAAAGACTCATTAACAAGACTCCATTTAAATACTTTTAGCACTCGGAAAATATATTCATGGAAGTTTGAGAAATTTGAAACTAAACAGACTCTCACATCGACATGAATGAAGAATTTTAATAACACAATTAAGAAGTTATTTCCAACTATTGATCGTTTCATTATTATAAACAATATCGTAAGTTGTGTGTTGCAAGAGTATCGAACAAACGAGCAGTGTGATGAATGTTTTATTGCGTTTATTCTTAAAGTTCTCATTAAAACGGTTTCGATAAATTACCGAAATAATATCAATAACAATTTAATCGATTCGAGGAACTCTTTAAAATTTTCCTATTTCTCATCACGAGATAAATTTGGGAAAATGACAAAAAACGAAAATGGTCAATTTGACAGTATTTGAAGAAAATTTATTCAATTTTCCCCACTTATGAATGATGCATAAATAAAGTTAAAAAAATCAATACACGAAATTAGATTATCAGCGATTTACCACATCAAACCGTAAATAAATTGTGATGTGTTGAAAGTTGTGTGAAAACTTTTGTGCTCAAGTTATTTACAATCGGATGAGTTAGTAGAACATTTAAAAGCTTTTAAAATGAAAGTTTGGAAAGAACTCATGCTACGATTTCATCATGTTTTTGATTCGAAACATGGAAAATATAAATTAATGATTTACATAAAAAGTCATGTTTTTTGTTATTTATGATTTTTTTTCAAAATTTTAAAACATAAAACTGAGTGTTTTCGACAATTTTACATACATCAATTGAGAATTTCACCCAATTAATGAACAAATAATTTGCTCACTTAAAACTGTATTCGCCTGAATTAAATTGAACGACATTAAAAGCAAGATTAAATTGAAATTCATTGTATTTAAATAACTAGAAACTTGTCTGCTGTTAGTTATGTAACGAATCAATAAGGAAGTGAAAATATTTCTTGTTTCGGATAATTAAATGAACAAAAAAAGAAAGAAAATTATTTTATTGCTAAATGAAATTGATTGATTAAAGCAAGAAAGTGATTTGGTTTTTACTCTACCACCCAACAGATTTCATTCCAAATGAGCTAATCACATCTTGAAAACTTCCTTAAGCAAGTCATCAATGCTAAAACATTTCGAGAAGGCATTTAAAGATAATTAGTTGAGTAATGAAATGAAATCCTAACCGAAATAAAAATCGAATACTTAACTCAGAAAGCTCACTCTGAGGACCAGCAAAAAAAAGAAGAAACTTTGACAATAATATCCCATTACTTCAGATGACTAATGTTTAGCAACAAATCTCGCTCGCAATTACACTCTTGAGATGGAAAGAACGAAAGCAATGTAAGATAACTTTATTTGGATAAAAGATTAAGGTTTCCAAAATCGAAGAAAAATAGAGAAATATGGTAAAAGAAGTAAAAAAAGTTCTCTGTAACCTAAAGAATGCAGATAAGAGTGGAGAGAAAAATGTTAAAGTGACAGATTTATAGGTGATTCGGCATGGTTCACTAAGCATCAAGTACCACAATTTCACAATTTGCAATGAATATATGTTGTACGTTATCGTATACCATTAAGCCACTTCCAAGTCAATGTCAAAAGATTAAGCACTCTTTGATATACATACGTCAGAATGCTGCTTATGCTACTTTCGCATTTAAAACGTAAAGCTTTAATGAAAGAAAAGGAATCTCATCGCATCATTTTGGTGTTACTTAAAATTGCTTCTTTTCATAGCTGTAATTAATATCGATCAAAAGAAAACAAAAGTGTTTTGTCTAATACCTTTCCATCACAATCAAGAACGGAGACAAGACGCAAAATACAGAAAATTATTCACTTTCCTTTTGCTTGTCACTTTTGTCAGTTAATTCTTTTTCTTATTATTAACGGTCTCCCAAGCAAAAGCAATTTTTATCAGCCTTGCGTGTCATTAGTTTCAGTTCCGCTTCACTTTGTTATCTTTTCTCGACTTTTTCCTGAATTTCTCATGTTGCTTTCTTTTACTCCTAAGGGAAAAATGCAAAACAGAAAAGTCTTTTCTTTACCTCTCCCACCTTTGAAAAGCGTAACAAGAGTGTAACGTGTTCATAAAACGACATTAAAATATATTTATTATAATAAAAAATAATAATTTTTTTTCCACAAAATTTCCATAATGTGCTGTAAGCGTTTTCCTGTCATTCAATGTTATAAGAAAGGGTGCGCTTCCCTTTATACAAGAAAAAGAAATAAAACTAGAATAGAATGCGATTACAATAAAAAAAGAGTTTTCCTTTCATATAAAAAGTTTAATGTGCTCTCTGATAACAAAACAAATTCTGATTTTGTCGAGAAAAGAATTTATCTAGTTGAAAGTAAAGAGCTTGTAAGTTTGTTTTAAGAAGTAATGTTTTTAAAATATTTATGTACATCAACATTAATGCTCGTAAATTTGGGAATTTATTTTAGTAAATAGCGCAATATTATTGTCTCCATCATGTCGTGTGATTTTTATGTTGATTTGCTTCTTGGGTCATTTAACGCCATTTTTATCAAAAAAATATTATTTTTTATTACAAAAACTTTCAGATGAAAGACATTCACGAGAATGATCAATGTTTATAATTTGAAACTGAAAAAATTCGATTTAAAATAGGGAAACTTAATGTCGTCAAATTCTCCAACTAAAATTCAAGCTTTTGTGTATGTATATAAACAAGTTGCGTGTGTGTTTGTATGTGAATTTGGTTATAAATTAGCAAGGACCATGAAAAGATTTATGACTACGAATAAAAACACTTTTTTTTTTCTTTATATCGGATCACATTTCTTTTTCATACTGAAATTGGTGGGGAAGAGTGAGGAAAAGCGTACATAATTCAAAGACATTTTTTGTCGTTTTCTTATTGACTTTGCCGCTCGTTCTGACTCGTTTTATCATAGAAAGAAAAGACATACCATGAAGCAAAGTTTATGTCTGCCGTGCTTTTTCACTAAATGTATCGATTTCTCATGGGCTACTGTTAAAGTTAAACACAAGAAAAATTGTTGTGAGCTGTTTTTGAGCTTTTTGCTTTTCCACGGTTAGAAAATGAATAATAACTTTTTTATCTGATTGGAATGCTCACAAGAAGGGACGAAAAAGCAGAAAAAAAGATTTAAATAAGTTAGAGCAGGATCTTTTCTCCCGCTTTCGTTTCAAGAGTCATAGTCATAGTAAAGCGAAGCAATGAATATTTCCAATCTTTGATATTATGCTGAATATTATTTATTGCGCTACATTATTTACAATTTCCTTTATTCTTTCATTCTTTGTCACAGCTCTGTGAGGCGACTGATTACACAGATCATTTAAAGTAAAACGAGGTTGACTTGGAAACTTCATGCTTGAATTTATCACTGACGATTCGTGTTAGAAAATTGAAAATTTATTGTTTGGAAACATGTTTAAATTTCATCGTGAGATTCTTCCATGCTTTTGAAATGTACGTGAAATAAATATTTAGGGTGATGAATTTATTTATTTATTTATTTATTTATTGTTTATGCTCATTCGGTGTACAAATAAAAGCTTCGCTCTTTTTCAATTTTCTTCAAATGAAGGAAAATTTCTCATATACACCGTTGTATTCTTATTGGAATTTCGTAGAAAGTTTTAAAGAAAAAAAAATAAATTTTGTTTATAAAATCTGATAACATCGTCGCTTGTCATCGACCAGTCTTTCGTCATCATCTCTGTAAGAAAAAGGAAAGGGTGAAATTGGAATATGAGGAAGGGAAAATGTTTATGTATTATGTCGATGCGAAATGCAACCAAGATTGTCTCTTAAACTCAACCGTAGAGTCAAGAATTCTAACGTCTGAGGGTAATGAGTTCCAAAGGCGAACTCCCATACAAAAGAAAGAATTATCAAGCTGCCGACAATTTCTTTTAGCTGGAAGACTTAATGTTCGTCCTCTGGGAAATCTAGGGAAAGTAATATTAGAATATAAGTATTGAGGAAATTTATTCTTTAGAAGATAGAACATAGAAAGACACGCTCTAAATTTAATAAAGTTTTCCAGCGGACAACCTAATATTTCATTTCTATATCTGGAAATTCTCTCATACTTTTTCAAATCAAAAGCGTATCTAATGCACGAGTTAAATGTTTTCTCAATTATTGCCCAGCATTTTCTATTGCATCCTAGAAATATATTACTGCAATACATAATTCGTGGTATAATAAGAGCTTTTACTAAAAGCTTTCTTGTATTTAGTGGTGTGATGTTCATCGTTCACATATATTTCTAAGCGAAAATCTATGCGAACATGTCAAGAAATACAAAAATATTTACATCGACAAAAACAAAAGGAAATGAGAAAATTAGCATTCAATTCATAATGAAACATAAACATTTAAGGAATCAAAACAAAACAAGTTATTCAGACAACTACAGCGTCACTCCTACCACAATGCGGAGATTTATGTGTTATGACATCATATGAATTGTTCAGGGTTGATCACTGTTATTAGATCTCAAAATGAGTTTGTTTGTAAACAACTTAAATAAGAAACAATTTCATTTTGCCCCCAAAGCTTTGAAGCTTCATTTAAACTTTTAAACTAAATTCTATGTTGTGAAGTTTAATCAGAAAAATATTTTTCTTTTCTTAAACTTGTAAGATTTACGGTGGTAGAAAAAGAAATAATAAAATGTAGGTAAAATGAGCTTGAGAAAGGGAAAACTTGTTTCTATCTGTTAACCCTAGTCTATTGCCATTGTTGCTGCATAATTTAACTGAGAAGAAAAGATTTTCAGTCTCTTTAATTTAACATTTTTTCTTGAATTTCTATGAGGGTTCAACAGCAGATTTTGATGGTATAATGTCAGTGACAGACACAACAATTTTCTATATTTTCTCATGTTTTGTTATAAACATAACGGGCTAGAAAACGAGCTTAGGCTTTTGTTTCTCATTTCTCGAAACATTCTGTGAAACAGATTAAAAGTAAACGGATCCCTTTTCTCTTTCTATGTACAGACGTCATTTCTCATAAAAAACTGTTGGCAAATAGCAGAAAAGTTAAGTGAAAGCGAACAGCATGATTAGCAAAAGAATATTTCACTCAGTTCTTCTTCTCGGATTTCATTTTCCACGTTGATGCTTCAGTCCACTGACACTTTCAGTATGTATGAAGTTTGAGGTTCACGTAATTGCTGAGGCGAAAGATATTTAATTTATCTTCAAGCAATCTGCTTTTGATTCATATGATTTTCAAGGAAAGAAGCTTTTCATTTGACGAGCTTGCTTATATTTGTAAAGAGCTTTCGTTTTGTAGCAGCTTATTCTCAATAGGACACTTTATATGATATTTCACACTCTTAAAGTGTATCGATTGTTGATTGCACAAGAAATTGAGTCAATTGTGACATGTGATTGTTGCATAAGAGTATTTAGAGATTTATGTTCTATTTAAGAGTGAGCTTTCAAAGTGGGAATATTCGAACTTGATTGGAGCTCCATGCCTGACAATACATTGAACGCATTTCCCAAACCATTAACCAAAAACAATGAACTGATCAAATTTAAAGTCTCTTTTATTGATATTTTAGCTTCTGTTTCATTTTGAATGTTTAAATTAACATTCTCGAAAGAAAAAGTCACGATAAAATGAAAGATTATCTTCAGATTTAAAGAATTTTACGAGCGAATTTAAGAAAAGGAATAAAGTCGAAAGCTGAAAATGTAAGAAGAGAAGAAGAAAACAAAGAATGAAAATAATCCTCAGGGTTTCGAAATCTTTTTCTAAAGCTCAGTTTAAAAAAGAGATAACAAATAAGGTTTTAAAATCATAATTAAAGTTTCACCTTTAATCTTGCAATTCCCATCATGATAAGGAATCTCTTAAATATTGAGGAAACAAAATCTTGAAGCTTTTTTAGAACCCATTTTAAGATTCACTCTTAATCTAAATCTTTAATCTACTCAAATATAAATTGGCATCAATTTTATGGACATTAGAGAGGGTTATAAAGGTCAGAAGCAAATGAATCAATTAAGACCAACAAACACGATATAAAATTCTTTCGATCCTTTTTATCGATCTCACCACACATGAGCAATCATAGATATCCTTTCTTAAGCTTTGTAGGATTATATTCTTCTTCTTCAAGTAAAGCTCTAGTTCTGAAACTGCCTTTCTTGTCCGTAAAACGACCTTGAAGAAACACTACAGAAAAATCTTGAAACGTTTAACATTTAAATGCTTTTGGAAATGTTTCAGGTGACTAATGGCATGTCTATAACCTTACCAATTCGTATGATTCTCACCTCTCACGTTGGTTAATTGCGAGAGAAAAATATTGTGACTTGTAGCCAAGCTTGTAGCAATGTGAATTTTTTAAAAAAAATACATTTTGATAAATTATAGAAAAAGTTATTCAAACACGGGGTTATTTTTGTACACGAAAACCTTTTAAAAAGCATGAGCGGATGTTACAATCAAGTATGCAAAATCGTATAAAAAACTTTCCCTTCACGAGGATAAACAGACAAATTGAGGTGATAATTTTCTTCTTGATTTTATCACAACATGAAAATTGTCAGTACGGTGTGAAAAGCTAATTTGTTAAAGGAAAGAAATGAGAAAACATCGCGACAAAAATCTTCAAAGAGCTTTGAATGAAAATTGGATGGCTTGTTTAATTTACTTTCAGACAATTTTTAACGTAGTGACGATGAAGAAAGTTATGAAGTATGATGAGAAAAATGTTGACTAAATACTTTGCATGGTTGCAAAAAAAAACCTTCATTTATTTTTCATGAATATCTCAGCTATCTGGTCCACTAAACCGTGCAGAAGATCCTACCCTCAACGGATCAAAATTAACCGTAAGAGAGAAAAAAAAAATCTACTTCAGCATTAATTACTTTTTTACTGGTTGTTTGCTGTTTACCCTGGGGATTTCAACTTCCACGAAACTTTCGCTCGTTTTCATTATTTTTTTTGGATTCATTTAAGTCAAAAATAACCAGCCTCATTATATTTTATTGGCTCGCTAATTTTACAAGTTCTGATGGAATGCTTCAAAGGGAAAAGGTATTATTGCCCATGACAAAGAATCACGGAATTTTCCTCCCGCACTGTCTGCATCTTTAGAAGATGATTTTGTTTTCCCTGCCCACATAATTCTATCCAGATATCGTCTATCTGCTCGAAAATACATTTTTTTGATGCGTCATGACTTTTCTCTGTGATCAAAAATAAGGTTTTAGTGCTGACATAGAAAAGAGAGTCTTCAATGTATTTATATAGAGATATCTATAAGTATTCAGAAAAAGAAGATAGAAAATACAATATGGAGAGAGGGTGAAAAAGAGACTTAAAATAATTCGATAAATCAATAAATTTTTAACAAGACTTTTGTACAGAGTTCCATATTCTATTCGTTGATGGAAGTAAAAATATCAATTATAATGATTCATAATTACATATTTTGAAAGGTTGCAGATAGCTAACGATAATTTTAATAACTTGACATAGTTTTATGATGAAAAACTATAGTCAAGAGTTGAACTTAATAAGGCAAGAGAAACTTTACTTTAAATCAATTTAGAGAAAATTTGAGTTGCTTTCAATTTTACTTTATCATGAAGTGAGAATTGACAGAGCTTTAAATTAATTATTTCTTTTAATCACTCGTACCTGTTAATAAAATATTCATCACCTCAGCTTGCTCGAAGTAACAAATAGAATTTTAAAAATCTGAATATTAAGCCTCCTTAATATTGTGTAAGCTTCAAGAAGAAAACTTTCAAGGAAACGTCGAAGAATGACAGATAATGTTAAGTATTTGTGAACACCTTTTACAATATTCATTTGAACGAACACTGGCTGTCAGAGTTTGTGAAAACATTTCCTTTCTCAATCATCTTTGCTAAATCATGGACTGTTGCGAATCACGAGAAAGTGATAATGAATAGCGAATCGTTTCAAGTGTCAGTTTGTCGAAACATCTTTTGCGGGTATCATCAGAAAAAACGCGAATTATATTTCTAATGGTGTCTTTAAACAATCAAGAACCTGTCTACACTTTTTAGTAAATTCTACTGTTAAATCAATCAAAAAGTGTCGACCCGTGTTTTCAGGTTTCTTCTTTTACTTTTAATTTTCTGGAATGTCTACGTGAGATTTAAATTCTCCAAGTTCACGTAGGTTCACGAAGTGACATGGGAACGTTTTGCTATATGCTTGTTTGGTTGTCGAAAATAAATTTCTCAGATTATTTATGATGGCAAAATCAAAAATAAGAAAAATAAAAAACGTATTCAGAAATTTATTATTCTCGGTTGTCGGTTGATAAGGATATGAAAGGAAATCTGAAAGTTGAAAAGGAAGAAAGTTGTATAAAGAACTATGATGACCAATAAATCGATATCTCTGCTGACTCCGAAAACGTAATTTATATTTTATTAATATCACTTTTTATTACATTCTATGTCGATTAAATGTCTTCGCATGGCAAAAGGCGAAAATGGTTCGAGTGTTTTCAATCGATCGCATGACAGTGATTACAAAAGTTCTCATTGAACAGTGATTTATCCATCTTTTGAAAGAAATTTTATGAAGCATCACATCGAACATAGATTAGTTGAAAAGAAAGAAAACAGTGGATATTAATAATATGGCCGCAATGTGGTTGTTGTGAAAATAAACAAATAATTAATAATCGTAAGTGAAAATGATTTGAAAAATAAAATCGATCATAAATGAGAATCAGAAGGAATCGAGACGAACATTTTCTGATTTCTTTCTCCTATTTCTTCGCTAATCTTCCTAAATACTAAGCATCATCTCGTTCCTGCTTTCAAGAGTTGTAATCTCAACTCATTCAACAATCACACAATATCTGTTGGGACTGAAATCAAGTCTCATTCAAATAAAGAATCTCTTCACAATTCAAAGATTTTAAATACCCGGTCTTTAATGAGTAATAGTGCAATGGTGGCAGTAGCGATTTGTTGTATACTCGTGCTGTTAGCCGTCTTCATAGTGCTCATAATTGTCGTTGGACAAACAATGGGAGAGCCAAAGTGAGATAAACTACAGTTGGGGCCTTTCGGCACAGTCAACGAACATGGATAGCCGAGGCCCCCCAGTTGTTAGGTTTCACTAGAGCATTTTATGCTCGAGGAAGAAAATTGTTGATAAATTAAAATCTCGTAAATTCGTTTAAAATTCAAAAAGTGCTGAAAGCTGATATTTTAGAAGGAAAAACCCTTCCAAAGCATTTTTGTTTTGTTTTGATAACATTCTGGATACAAAATTGGATACGAGAGATGAGAAAAGTTCACATAAATTCATAAAAATTTTTAAATTATTTCCTCATAATATGAAAAGGAGAAATTATGAAATGTTTGAACGTAGTGGAAAATTTAAAGTGAGAGAAACAACATCAGGAATCAAGCACAAATGGAATAACATTCATCAGTTTGGTGAAAATGAAAAGTTTTAAAAAGGAAAAACAAAAGCTTTTGAAAAAGTTTGAGATCCATTATGTAAATAAATTTGATGGCAGTCAGTGTCAAACAACACACAGAATATGATGAGAGGCGGAAAACAGAGATAACAGCATTGAAATCCTATGACAACTGACTTGAACAGACACTTTCAAACATTCATTTATCAGACTAATTGATTATCATTTTATCCATCTTCTAATTATGTCGATTTGACCAATTCTTTTGTTCTTCCGATAAAAAAAATTCAGATTCATTAAATAGCTTTCATTGAATGAATTCATTCGAAAAGATTGCTTGAGCCAAGTGACATTGAAGTGTTGTTACACATTTTATTAGATTTCAATAAATATTCAATTTGCTATCGATCATTCACTGGAACAGTTGGAGTTTATGAGAGCTTTAACAATTCATTTATCTCTTTTGAAAAGTTGAGTGACGAGTAATTAAAGAAGCTATTTCAATATTAACCAATTTTATTTAACATAATGACAAAAAAGAAGAAATTCAAAACGTTGTTTAAAGTAAGCTTTGAATCTTGTTTAGAAATGGGTGAGAATGATCCGATTAAAAGATAAACGTGGCATTATAGACTAAGAAACTATCAATTAGTGTTGTTTGTTGATAGAATTAATTTATTAGATCTTCTAACATCGTCTTAAAAGAAATAAAATGAGAAAATCTCTTGACCTTAAAAGGACATTTCCATGACAGTATTAAATGAAAATTACAAAGCTTAATGAAAAATCTTAATTTCTTTTGATAATTTAGATATTCTTGATTATTCTCATAAAATTACTAGATAATTTCTGCGTTTGTTTATAAAATCTTCCTTTCGTTATAAATGCTACAACGGTTCATTAATTAATTCTTATTTTTTTACGGTATGTAAACAGATTGCTTCAAGGCATCTTTTCTTCCAAAAAGAAAGAAAAAGAATTAAAAAAGCCAACAGAGAAAGAAACTTTTGAGATTGCTTTTTTCCCGAAGCAGTCACGATCGAAAACCGTAACTAGATATTTATTCTAGAGAATAGCCAAATAATTGTTCAACATATCATTTTTCATTTAATCATACCATCGAAACTTTTCTCATCTCTTTCTTTTATCTGCCTCGACTTTTCTTTTAACTTTTAACATAAACCGCAGGAATTTTTTTAAAAGATGTTGAAACTCAGCCTGAAGGAATTAATTAAAAAAAAATCGGAAAAGTTTATGAAAACATTTAACAACCTTTTTATGAAAGAAATTTTTCACTGTTGGTAACCTAAAGGTTAACTTTTGTTTATAAAACCTTCTCAAATGAATATATCCAACGAATGATAACTGTGAAGGTCTGTAGCATTAATAACGCGAAAACAACAATTCTTCAAACCTAATTTCATGCTTCTTCAAGTGAAATATGATTCTTTAATTTCTCATTTAATTGTTTGTTAAGTAGATATTTTCTGAAGACGAAGCGAATTTCATTTCAAAGTTTCTCTGTTGGTATTGAAAACGATTCTTTTGAGCTTTACATCTAACACAGATAATAAAAATTTTGTGTTTTATTCATCCTAATAATTTCATTTTTATTTCGACGAGCTAATCTAGAATGTAACATTCGATGGATATTTTCCTCCTTCAAGAAATGTGGAAAATTCAAATTGTACTTTTAATCATAGCTAATGAAAGAAGTTTAAAAAATATATATTACCTAATTAAGTTAAGAAAATTAAGTATTTTCTGTGGAAAGTTTTCTTGTAGAACTTTGTCTAATCGTGGGTAGATACATAAAATAATTAAAGCAAACTGTTGTTAATGGATAGTTTCGATGTCACAACTTCAAGTCATAAAGCACCCTGTACAAATGTACATAAATGGATAAAAAATCTTAACATTCGATGACTGACAAAGTTAAAATCCTCTCAAATTAATTATATAACGATATCTATTAAAAACTTCACGTCTTCTATCGTATATTACCTAATTTAACAAATTGTTTAATGTTGAATATCTTCAGTAGTGTCATTAAAATCTCTTTCTTAAGCATAAATGTAAGCTGTCGTATCATTTCATTAAATTTTATTACATTTTGACTTTAACGAGGACTTTATTGACTAGACTTAATTGCAATTCATTAATGTTGATCCTACGAGAATCCTATAATAAGAAATAGACATTCCAAAGAATGAGTATTAAAATATTTTATTGAATATTCAACAACCACAAATCTTGCAATGTGCCAAAAATGTCAAAGAATAAAAGAGTGAAATGAATAGTTTTATGATTGAACAAGCATCATCAGACCAACATGAGGCAACGGTATGTGAGTATGATCATTAAATGATATAAAATTGCTACTTAGAAGCAACTTCAAGCATCACCTCTTAACAAACTTTAGGCGTTTTGTTGATGTTTCTGAACAAAGTCTCCGAAGTTTCCATTTACTTGCCAAGCAACAAAAATATTTTCTTAATGTTAGAGATTTGCTATTCACCTAGTAGCAATCGCGTTACATTTTCAATCAAAACTCTGAATCAAGGTTGAATCAATGTTTATTTCTATACGAACGAGTGTCAAAGTTTATCATCGTCATCTGAAACATTCATTCGTAAAGTGCTATTTCAATATCGAAAGAGAATTAAGTGAAACGCAATTGATGTAATTACAAGATGTTTTATATGCATTAACTCTCATGAGAGTGTAAATTTATTCCGATCGAAGGTTAAACATCGCAAAATGAACATAAATTCACATAAATCATGCTACATATAAAATTTATGTTCATTTGTTGCCAAGTTATGAGACGAATGACAAATATTCAATTCTGTAAACAATGAACATCGGATTCATATTTGGAATCATAATAAACTTTAATTTGTTTCATTAAATTCCATTGAATCATTGGAAAATTAATCAATTCTGTCGTCAATGATGAATTATAAAACTTTACCACCAAAACCAGTTAATCTCAATATACGATTATAATTTTAATTAAGCTTTTTTTATATATACATTATTCCTTACAAATATTTGTTACGTTTGAACAGAATAAATGAATTGCGGCTTTGAATTATTATTACGAACTTCAAATTTGGAATAAATTTCATTTGATTTGAACTGCATTCATTATTCGATGGCGAAAGCAATTAAGTGTTGCACTTGTCGTCGTTTTCAAAATTAAAAAAGTATTCAAGTTTTAAGTTTTTGGATTACGCGCAACATCCCTTGTAAACGGAAGAGTTGTCTTGTGCTTTTCGATCAACAACGATTGATTGATTTTCTGGATTGTTATCATTGTCAGCAGTTTTATCGAGAATGGCTTCTGCTAACTCGCAAAATGCTTTTTCAATGTTAATGTTGGCTTTGGCTGATGTTTCCATAAAGCGTATTCCGTACTCTCTTGCAATCTAAACATTTTAAAACATACAATCAAAATAAATTTATCAAAGGAGCTCCTAAATTACTTACAGCTTCTCCTCGTTCTTTGTTGACAACACGTTTGTCAGTCATATCACATTTGTTTCCAAGAATCATCCGTTCAACATCCTCATTTGCATGTTCATCAATGTTTCTTAACCATTTGACTATATTCTCAAAACTCTTCTCATTCGTTATATCGTAAACCAGCATTATTCCCATTGCTTTAAATTAGTAGAGAAAAAGTATAAACTTTTGATTGCAATTTGAAATGCTTTATTTAACTTACCTCCACGATAATAGCTCGTAGTTATTGTATGGAAACGTTCTTGTCCAGCTGTCTGTTCAAATAAGAAAGTTGAATAATGAAATAATAATTTAAACAAAGGAATTACTTTTGATCCAACTTACATCCCATATCTGCAATTTTATCTTCTTTCCTCTTAATTCTACCGTTTTGATCTTGAAATCGATTCCTGAAAAAAATCACAATGTGAAAACGATTTCTTAAAGTGAAAATGCTTCGGATTTGATGTATTCAAGGCTAAAAGTTTCAAGATATTTAGTCATATGAGTCATATGTTATAGAAAATATCAGATTTTGAATAAATTTTGTAACAGAAGCCGGAAAACTCCGCCCAAATTGCTTGCAATAATCAGAAGGAACTTTTCTCACCTATTGTAGATATAAATGTAGAAGTGAATGCATCGTCACTAAATCTAAAGAGAATACACGTTTTTCCTACACCGGAATCCTAAAACAAGTGAATCATCAGATTAAATTAATAATTTCTTCATGTTTTATGCAATTTATGTTTTTCTTATGAATTTCTTACCCCAATTAAGAGAAGTTTAAATAAAAGGTCGTATGTTTTCTTTGCCATTGCTTTATATCGCTTTTTGAATTAATTTAAATTATCTTATATTCGTCTCTTTGTATGGTTTTTTATAATAATAAAGGGGATAAAACTTTGGAAAGATTTTGAGAAGGGGGACAAAGCTAATGATTTAATTATTTTTCAAAAAATCGGTTATAGTGCGCACTATACTCGAAAAATAAATTATCGAAATTTTATAGTTCAATCAATAACTTATTTTCATTTATAATCTTAAATAGCTATCGATTCTGCAATCTTCCGTTATCACCGATTTATGTCACATAGCTCATTTCGTTCTTAACGCGTGTATGTGTCAACATTTAATCAATGATTTTTTTGAATGTGTTGCAAAGAAAAATAGATGATGGGAAAACTTCAATTTGCCCAAGAATTTACTCACTGAAGCTGAGATAAAAAAGAAAGTATCAAAAGAGAAAGGGAATTAAGAAATTTCCTGATCGTGCCTTGAATTTCTAAGAAATTGTTATTTGTGATGATTCAAGAGCATTTCACTAACCGACACATTTATGAAAAGAAACTTTTCCCTTCAATTAATGAAAAATCGGATGGGAAGTTACAAACTACCAAACACGCATTTTTACTTCTATGAAAAACAAGGGCGATGTTCTTTGTACATTTCATAGATACATTCATATATTTAATGTTGAAGAAGTATCTAACGATTGGAAACTTTTTCATTAATTCTATTATTATGGAGATGCTTTCATTCAAGTTCGCTAAAAGTAAACAAATGAAAGGAAAAACATTTTACGAGTTTGTCGAATTAATTGAAATTCTACGAGCGTTTTTCTCATCATATGAAATGTCTTTGATGATGTGGAAGTTTGGAAGTTACAAAAGCTTCATTGAATGTCATGACTTTAAATTGAATAGAAAATTTCGTGGGCGGAAATTAAAGCTCGAAAGGTAGAGCAGAAGAATTCGTTTGTAAGAACTTCCGTAGATATGTTAATAAGTAAGAAGATTATGGTTGACTTCTCATCTCGCATATTTTAAGTTAACACACCTTAAAACTATTAACCGTAGTACATTACCTTCCATATTCTTCCTCTGCTTTGAATTTTTTATAACAGAAATCTTTAGGGTGTCTTGCAATTTTCATTTCCATTAAGATGGAAACATTAAAGCTTTACATAAACTGAGTGCTACGAGCTAAGAAAAAACATTCGACATAAAATTGCGACATTTCTTTTACGATGCTTTAAAAATTTAACATGTCGGTTTAACTGAGAAAATAAGAGTCTCTCGGGATAGGTAGATAGCTTATAAGAAAACTATAAAAAGTCGCAACTGAAGTTACAGGAGAAACAAACAAAAAAGTTTTTTTTCTTAATGTTGTCATTTTTTGTGGCTGAAAATCGATAATCCAAATTAAGTTGCTGCTTTCTGAATAACACACAAGCACACACATTGATAAATGTTTCTTAGAGGTCGAGACGTCCAGCCCAGATTTATTCATAGAATTTGAAGATTTGAAGTCTCCAATGAGAAAACATCAATGAGAGAAGGGTTGATTATTTTCTAGATCAGTTGTGCTAGTTTTTATTACGGAGGCCCACCTTTGGTGAGGTCACCGTATTGTATTCGACATTTTTTTTTGGAAAATTTTTTTTGCTTAAATATGCTTAAAATAGCATGAAACGTCGAGAAAAGTGGAAAAAATGGACTTCCATTTTTCCGTCGCCTTTCAACCCTGTCTGTCTGTCTGTATGTCTGTCTGTCTGTAACTTTTTTTTTGTTAACTTTTCTGAGAATTCTTATCAAGAATTTTTCTGAGAATTCTTATCAGGAATTTTTCTGAGAATTCTTTCTAGAGTATTTCCGAGAATTCTTTTGAATAGGACGATCGGTGCGCGTGTGGGAGAGTGAGTGAAAGACCAAGGACAGTCGGAAGGTCCATGGACAGTCGGAAGGTCCATGGACAGTCGGAAGGTCCATGGACAGTCGGAAACTCCACACCGGCCGGAGTAACTTAAAATTATGCATGCATAATTTGAAGCTCCCCATGTGGAGCTTCCCCATCTCCAATTTGAATTTATTTTTCCCCATTGCTTTCTGATCACTGTCGTTTTTGCATTTTTCCTACATCACATCCATGAACACAAGCAAAATAAATCAAAGTAAAAAGTGTTGTCAGAGAAGCACTTCACATTCGTTTCAACCTAGTTTGTAACAATATTTCGATGATGTTTGTGTAAAATAGGTCAAGCGCATGCAATTGAAGAACAGGGAGGCAAAAATGTGTAGTTTTCAAGGCAAAATATCTCCATAAGCATTTCATTTCATCTAAAGTGGTAATTAAAGCTGTTAATCATGGCGAATGACGATGTTTGAGTTTTATGCATCTGTAATAAAATGAATTGTCACAATTTGCTACTCAAGGCATAAAACTTAATATAAAAATAAAGGTTTAGTATGACTTCATGTTTCGAAAGAACTCTGAAAAGCTTTTTAAGTTATTTCAGAAGAACATTCAAGAGAATCACTTATATTTTATTCCATTTGAATGTTTTATTGATCAACTCATTTATTTATTGAAAACTATGTCAGTTGAAAAATAGAAACTTCTCAAACTCAAATCGTATTTCAAAACTTTTTAGATAGATAATCAATTTTTATTAAATAATTGAATATAAACAAGCACTGCACTGTAGATAATATTATAGAAGATAGATCATTGTGTAGACTTTTCAGCACTCTTTCATTTGCCTTTTGCCTAATGAATTTTTCTTTTTCTCTTTATTCTCTCTTCTCGGCTCGACAGTGGCGTCCAATGATGCGTCACTAGTCTCGCGCTCTAGGATAACATTGATCGAGAATTTGGAGCCTCTGTCGAGACCAACAAAGGCACCAAGTATGTGTTGTTAAAATCTTATAAAAAGCATAACTTTCTGTTTTATTAGAGGAAATTAAAAATCTTCCATTTTATGCTTTTCATCATGATAAATACAAAAAAAATTTTCATTTGTAACTCAACCAATGCTATTATGGGGGAAGGAAATTTAAAAGTTTTTTAATTGAAATTTGTTTGCTTATGAAGCTTCGTAGAGAGTCTAAATGTCTAACATGAGAATATAAATATGTGTTTAGGATAACTCCCCACATTTACTCACCGAAATTTAAGAATTTTAACAAAAGTCAGAAACTTGAACAATTCAAAATGTTTGAAATGTTTAAAATAACAGAAAATATTTTCGTTTCTTTCAGAATGTGATCAAACATTTGTGTCGCGTGCTGGAGGTCCGCAGAACGGAACTTTCACTGCGCCATCATTACAAAATCCTACAAATATTTCGCGACAATGCCTCTATATTTTCTTAGCCGGCCCAGGTCAGCGAGTTGATGTCGTTTTTACAGCTTTTAATTTAAGAGGAACACCACCAGAGTGAGTTTTAATGGCGTTGATTTGTGCTTCAAGTTATAATTTTGACATTCATTAATCATTTTCAGTGGAGCTGCTGTCGGAGAACTTCCAGGGTAAGATTGATTTAATACTTTTCAAACAAACACACACATCAAATATCCTGAATGAAAATAAACATAATCTTGAATTTAGTTATGTTTTAAAAGCAAACATATATTAAAATATGCATATTTGAAACATTTATTTAAACACTTTTTTATTTGATGACGCTCATTCGTTCACCCACACAACACATTTGACTCTTATGAGAATTTGCATAACAAATGATGATAATGTTGCATCATTTATTTTCAGATGCGGTCTCGAATATATGGATATCTATGCTGAAGTGCAGTCACCTGATCCAGCCGAGCTCATAAATTCTCCATTTGGTGGTCGTTATTGTGGACCGATTCCACCACGTCGTCGTGTTTCACTGTTTCGTGCAATTGCACTCTCGTTCTATACTGGCAAGAATGAAACATCACCAGATTTGTTTGAAGGACGTTACACATTTATTAACGAATGTAAGGCTATGACACTTTGCTGACACTGATGGAATGAATAAATAATGAATTAATTTGTATTCACAGCCGAGTATGAAGTTGGTCAGCCAGTTATGGGATCTCCCTGTTCCTACGTAGTGAATTTTGCCCATAAACGTTCAGGTTTTCTAGTTTCACCAACGTATCCCGGTGCCTATCCGAAAGATATGTCGTGCACATATCAATTCATTGGCAAGCCAGGCCAAAGGGTTCGAATCGAATTTCGAGATTTCGATCTCTTTTATGGTGGGCCACAGTAAGTTCATTTTCATTGATCCAATCCTGTTAATTCTTCACTTGAAAACCCATTTGTGGCAGTCGTCGGTATAGTGAATTCATCATCTAATAAATTTCATCTCAAGTTGAGATTTAAGCAAAGCCATGCTGTGTTCAAAATCTGTCAGAAGCAAAAGCACATTCCACTACATAGGGTTGGTTGCTTTAAAAAGTAGAAACAGCAAATCATTCTCACAGTTTATTGTTGGTCTTGTTTTGACAGCTTGAACACGTTATGAGAGATTATAAATGTATTCGAGTTGGTGGAAAGAGACGAGAAAAGGTGGCAATGACGCTTTTTATTTGATTTATAACTGAAGTTTAAAATTTCATTTTATTCAAGAATGCTACGTCACAAAAATATTTAATTCAATTTCTTTTTCATGAAGATAATGCAATTGTCAATAAAAATTTAATCAAAGACATTTCTCCTTTCATAAATATTTCTCATCATGCATAAAATTTCTTTCTAATTTAACTTTCTAGCTGTCCATTTGATATTGTGCGTGTTCATGATGGTATAGATAACACTTCAGCCGTTATTGGAACATATTGTGGCCAGCAGAGGAATTTAGTGCTTTATTCAAGTGAATCAAATCTCTTCATTCACTTCTTCACACTGCAACGTACGGCAAATACACAAAATCGTGGCTTTAAAGGAATCTTTGAATTTAGCGAGAGCTTCGTAAAACTCGATTTCATTCGTGAGTATTATTCAAATAGTTCACGTTTTATATAGATTATGGGAGATATATTTAAATCTAGGCGAAAACGATGGCGTTCACATTCGCGGCTCCGAATGCGATCAGAAAATTCTATCGAAAAAGGAATCAACGGGTTATGTTTATTCGCCAAATTATCCATTTCCCTACGTACCGAAAGTAGTTTGCAGGTAAAATTTACATACTTGAACAGTTCGTTGAACTTCTATTTATTCTTTTCACTCTTCATTACTTCTGTAGATATTTTATTTACGGCATGCAGGATGCACAAAATCTTGAACGAGTGAAATTAGAATTTTCAATATTTGATATTCCAAAAGGTGAACACAAACCAAAAAGCGAGTGAGTATTGAATTGTCTGCGCTTAACGTTTAACAAACAACTTCATCCTTTCGAAGAATGTTTGATTAAATCAGAGAGAAGTAAGAATAAAGTCTTCATAGCAGATTTCCAAACAAAAATGAATTTTAAGATGTGAATAATTCCAAGCTCTGCTTTCAATGAAATGAATTCTAAAGTACTTCAGTGAGATGCTTTTCAAATAATCCACAAAGCAGAAGAAAATGTAAAATGGTTAACAGAAACCACTGAAATCCAACTTTTTCTGCTCCGATTCTTCATTTACCAACTAAAGAATTTCATTCGACTCATGTTGTAGTTTATTAAACTGGAAAACTTGTTCAACGTGCGGTTTAAGCCTTAGAAATGTTTGAATAATGAAAACTTGGAATCCTAATAAATTTTACTAAATAACAATGAGTTACGTTTAATTAATGTTTATTTCCATTAGTTCAAACTGCACCGATGGATACTTGAAAATCTACTTGAAAGGCCAAGAGACAATGGATGCTTATGACAAATACGATCACGAACTTTGTGGAACCGAAAAGCCGCATCCAGTTATAAGCGAAGGGCCACGATTAGTGATGGTCTTCAGCTCTGGAGAATTACAAGGAAGAGGCTTCAAGGTACTTGTTACACAATCTTATCAACCCTTGAATTCTTCATTCAATATCAATTTAATATGATTAGGGAAAATACACGTTTGAAACGGAATATAAGATCCCAGGAACAGCAGCGCCAGATGGGACATGTAGCTTTACTTATCGTAGCACATCGAAGAAGAAAGGAGAATTTAATTCACCACGTTATCCTTCCAACTATCCATCCGATACAAATTGTTCTTTCGTTTTCCTTGCGACACCCAACGAGCAAGTGACGATAATTTTCGATCATTTTAAAGTGAAAGCTGACAATGCTAACACAACAGGTGGAGCATATGGGTGAGATTGATTATAAAATTAATCATCTCGACATGCTTTGTTAATCTATCAAAAATCTTTTCATTCATTCATTCGTATTTAGAACATCTGTTTGCTATGAAGATTGGCTTGAAATGTATGTGTTGTATCGAGATGGAACCGATCGATTCCTTGGTCGATATTGCGGTTTCACTGCCCCCGGTCCCGTCGAAAGCCCACGCGGTGCCGTGGGGATTCGTGTTGTGTTGCACACAGATCAAGAGAACGTCGCTAGCGGTTTTAAAGCTCGTTATATTTTCGAAGTAGCGAAATCTGTTTTCGGAGATTGCGGTGGCAACTTTACTGGTTTAGATTCTGGAATAATAACGTCACCGGGTTATCCTTCAAATTATGAAGGTCCTGGCAAAGGTCTTGCATCAAAATCCTGCAATTGGTACATCACAGCTCGAACGGGTTATAAAATTTTCCTTAATTTTGAGCTATTTGGTGTTGAAGGTGATCCAGCAAGTAAGTTCAAGTTCTGGTTTATTTTTATTTGGACGTCATAATTGATGATTAAACAATAGGTCGAGGTTGTGCAGCTGCAGCTTTAAGGCTTTGGCTTCTTCCCGACTCTGACTTGCCACCACTTGAAATGTGCGGTGAGAAAGCGTTGAACGAACATTGGCAATATATAACACAGGGACAATCTGCTAGAGTAAGTTTCACTAGCGCTGATAAAGCAATCGGTGCACAGGTAAGCTAAATTTCCGCTTTGTATACTTTTTAACTTTTAATCGCAACAATAAACTTTCGAACAGGGCTTCCGAATCGTTTGGACTGAGGTTCAAGACTCTGGAACTGGACCGCCTTCAACACTATCATTATTGTGCGAATCCACTTACCATTACCAATGTCTTGTTTCTGGTTATTGCATATCTGAACGTCTTCGTTGCGATGGCATCAAGAATTGTGGTCCGGACGATAATAGCGATGAAATGCACTGTGAGTCGTGAGTGAGTCGAACGGTTTTCAGTTCATTTTTTATCGTTTTTATTTAGTTTTCATTTATTTTATTATTTTCTTTGTTTTGTGGTTTATTTAAGGGAACTTTTTTTTGTGGGCGTTAAAGTTATTAAGTTATTCCTTCAAGGGTTTGGTTTTTGTTTTTATAACAAAAGATTTTTAGCATTTGAATACTTTTACTTTTATTTCAGTTGACTTCCAATTTCATTTTCATCAGTTAAATAAATTAAGTTAATGGCAGATCTTTCCAGAAGGTTTGAGCTGCTTCAAAAAGGGTTTGGGCTATAATGAGATTATTCAATGAAAGCGAAACAGCTCAAGGTTTCTTTCTTAGACAAAAGCCTTTCTTTAATCTTTTTTTTTAAGTATGATTTTCTCATTCTCAGTTCTTTTGTATTATTACAAATTAAAAGCAAAAAAAAAAACTGTAAACTGTTCAACTCTAACATTATTAAATTTAATTAATTAAGAATCGAATGAAAAGCTTAAAATTACCTTCCTGAACGATTAAATTTCCGTTTCTAGCACAATAAAAATAACTTTCTGAAGCACGTTTTTCCTTCTCAATTTCTTTTTGTCGTCGTTTTATCTTTCGTTTATGACACACTTTTTCCTAAAAGATCCGTTCGTTAAAAATGGGACGGCTATGATGATGAAAAAGTGATCACATTATATTTTGTATAAGTTAAATTTCCCTTTCGATTTATTTATGAAATGAAAATAAATTCCGTCTTGGTTGAATAAGCTGCTGATGAGAAAATTGAGAAAGAAGTCGATACTAAGATGCTTACGAACAGTGTACACGATAAAATTACAGCATCTCATATGATTTTCATTAGCAAGAAAGGCAGACGCTGGAAATTATAAGAATACTGATTTATTTATTTCTATGGCATTTATGACAACGTCTGTTTAAAATTATCTTCACGTCTCAATTTCCTTACCAGCTTCCAATTTTTTTCTTTTTGCATTTAACAAGATTCAATATTCTGTAGTGCTTATAGAAAAATAATTTAACGAAGCAGAAAATAATACTTCAACCCCGGCTTCCTAACACATTTCACAAGAGCAATTCATATTAAAGTAATTTCGTGAAGGAATTAGATTCCCCTGCTTGTTTTCTTCACTGGCTAATGGAAAAATTATGAAAACGGAGATTTTATTTCTCATCTCTTTTTTTCTTTCATTATGTGGATTTTCTGAAAATTTTATTTCAACTAATGAAGAAAAGCTTTCATAATTTTTTCAAACAGAAAACTGTTTTCGTGAATGGAAGGAGATAAAAAAGTTTTATTATTTCTAATCCAAGCTACATTAAAACAAAGGAAAAACCATTTCTTTGAGATTTGTCTCAGATATTTTTATTTTATTTTTGAGAAAATGAAAGAGAAATTCAAAATTTTCTGCCAAACTTGTGAATATTATTATTAAGCTTCTGAACATTAATCTGAGGCTTTTTAAAAGCGATTTAAAGTTTAAAATGTTATTTAAGAAAGGCTGATTTCAATTGTTTGTTTTGTCTTAGAAAAATATCTTAAAAAGCTTCAGTTTGTTCATCCTTACTCTCCGTTTTAATTAAAAAAAATTGACTTGGCTGTTTTATCCTTCAACATTTGCTGATTTTTCCTTATCTTCTCTTTTTTCTTCTTTCTTTCTTTCTATCCTTTAAACTATTTGATATTCGGATAAACACTACTTAATTATTATAATAAAAAATATGTGAAAATTATAATGGAACAAAAATAAACGCAGGTGGAAGCGACAACTTTAATGGCAGCAAAATCCTCATAGCATTTTCAACCTTCATTTTCCTTACAATTTTCATTCAACAATGAAAGAGAATTTAAGCCTAAAACTTTCATCCTTTAACTGTCACCTTTCTTAAAATCTCCTTTTCTATCCTTAAAAATTGAAAAAAAAAGAAAATTCTGAGCTTTTAATCATTGACAGAATTGTCGCATCTGCTCAAATATAATTTTGATAGCAGTTGATGCTCAAAATATCTTCTCTTGCCAAATCACCTTTTGACCTCCTTTCTTGCTTGCCATTGGGTTATCCACCGATATTATAAAATTCTACTGCGTAACAAGGCACCAGCAAATATCATAGTTAAATTTTAAAAAGAAACTCTAGAAATTTAGACACACACTCTCTGAATACAGTGATTGACTTAAAAGACAATTTTTACTGACAATGAACATGTGAGTTTAACACCAAGTAGTGAAAAATCGTTTTGTTCCTTTCATGTAGATGAAAAATCACTGGCGTTTATACTTTCCATGATTTATTTACAGTTCCATCTTTGCACGTAGATAGTTTCATTCTGCAGCACTTGTCAACATTGCTTTTATTTGCTTCTGTTTCAAAATTACCACAAAAATAAGCTTAGCATAACCAACTGTCATCACGAGTTGAATTTAATTAAAAGACATTAAATAAATTTATGTAGATCTTTTTTAAAATAATAATAAAATCGATATCCTGCTGAACATGTTGAACAGCTATTTGATTTTATGTCTTTAAGCTCGGAAATGTTTCAAAAGTTTGCTGCTATGAATAGCACAAAGCAGCAATTCCCTTGTCGAAATGAAGTTCTTATCAAAGTTAAAGTTTTAAAAGACTTTTAGAGTTTATTATGCACGAAAAGTTATTCGACACACTGTTAAACTTTAACAATTCTCCTTTCAACACTCGACATTCAGGGAATTACAATATCGAATAAACTTTATTCATCATTACATTTGGCAATGAAAGAAACTTTTCCCTGCTTTAATACCTGTCTTGTGAATGTGCTATGCTTGTTGCAAAATTCTAAAACATTTCTTATCTTTCATTTATTTGTATGTCCTCAGAAGAAACAAAATTTTTATTTTTGTTTCGACGGTAGATAAGCAACCCTTAAAACATAAATAAGAGTTTGTTTACCAAGAAAGACAAAAATGAAGAAAAAATCTAGAATTTCTTATATTATAAAAGCACACAAAACAAAAAAAAGAGCACACAATGCAAACTTCTCATCAATACGAGACTCAAACAGAAAATTCATAAAACTCGCCTCGCCTCGCTCGTCATGATTCTGTAGTGCTTCACGTTCGATTAAGTTTTCAATTTGATTTGACAGAAACTCATTCGACAATTTTCTTCCATATTTTTTCTTTTTACATGCTTGATGCACTTTCCACATGATTAGGCACAACCGAAACGCCAAAGGAAGATCACGGGATTCTGATTATCTCAGTGGTAGCCGTCGCCTCGTTCCTAACTTGTCTCCTATGCACCCTTTGTCATCGAAAAAGAAAACGTCGACACCATAGGCAATTACACCGAAATGCGCATTACGACTCAACAACAAGTGCTACTGGTAACTAAACTTTTTTCTTTTCCACAGTCTTAGAGTCGCATTTATGAAATGAAATTTCAGGTCTAAATTCAAGTAGACGCAACTTGCAAAGTAGTTTATCAGGAAGTGTTCATGGTATCAGCACAGGGTCACTTAGAATTCCTCCAGCACCTCCCGCACCAGCTAACCTCCCACCCCCACATGTGTGTATCAGTGGTGGAATTATAGACGACTTGCACGATCCAAATGACGATATGGATGATGATGATGACGATGATAATGATAATGAAGAGTGCCAAATACATTTAAATGACGATATGAACGGCATGGGCGGCATGAATGTCATGGATGCGGAATTGAATAATGATCCGTTCATTAGTATAACAAGCACACTGAATAATGCAAACAACAATGTTAATCATTACATGAATATCAGTAGCACAATAAATCCCAATGTCAACGGCAGCGCCAATGATTACTACCAGAACGTTATGCAATTGCAGAATGGTGAAAGCGTATAACAATAAACTAACATTATTTAAATTCATTGTTTTAAAAGCAGATTAAATTCTCTCTCAACTTCTTTAAAAATAAAACTGTGGGTAAACTAAGTTTTAGTTTAGATTTAGAAAACATAGCTGGGAGTAAATATGTGTTTTATGATTTGTCACGCATATTCTGACAAACTTGAAAGCGAATGAAGAGATTTTTATCCTTTGAATTTCTCTTGATGGTATCAGCTTTAAGTTAACACATCCCAGAGTAGTTTTAGCTCAAAAAGTTTAATGCTATTAAGCAATAAACAAAATCTTGAGCTTGAAATAACATCACGAAACATAATTACATCAAGAACAGAGAAAACACCACAAAGTATCAGTAAATAAAATTTTTCAACATTTGTAGGTAACTCATTTTAAATCTTTGCTCAAACATTTGAATTTTTGTTCCCTATTTAAATCTTTATCTAGAAGATGGAAGAACGAGAAATAAATTTTATTAAGCTCAAGTTGAAGATGGCTAAGAAAGAATGATAATATTTTAATCTACCAAACACTGTGTCTATTACTATTTACTGTATGAAATCACTTAATTTTCCTTCAACTTTGTAGTCGCAAATAAAATGATATCATAAAGCAAAAAAATTGAAACATGCACATTGTAGAGAAAAAAAGCTCAAATCACATAAGCAACAAACGAAGTAAAAATAAAAGTGAGATTAAACAACAAAGTAAAGTTTCCAATCTCTTAAAGAGATGATGGGGGAGGTATGAAGGGAAACATTCCTGAAAGTACATATAGTCGCAATATGTAATCAGAAAGTGTAAAGGAAAAACGTAAAAAAACATCTTTTTATCGATTTTATAATCTCCCACAATAGATGATGAAAAGAAAAATGAAATAAAAGAGAAGTCTCCATTCTCAAAAAGGGTAGAAAAAACTTGACTCACATATGTTGTGAAGGCAAAAAAATATTGTTAACATTAAAATGCAGAAAAGTTACACGTAAACTAGGAAAACAAAACATTTCTATGCATCTAATATTTTTTTCCGTTTTTTAATGTGTGCTCGTAGAAAAAGAACAAAAAATAGAAACATTTTTATAAAGAAAGACAAAATTGATTTTTGCAGGTAAAGTTGAAACATTAAACGTAAACGTATTTATAACATTTCCTTTTGTTCACTCATAAAAGCAAACGAATGGTAAGAAAAAAATATTACGCATAATTATTAATGCACAAAGATAATGATTATCATCACACAAATATGCCCTATAAGAGTCATCCATTAGATGCAAAAATAGTTAAGAGAACGAACAAATCACAGAACAGAAATCATCAATTAACAATTTAATGAAATTTATGTTTGAAAGTTTTTCAAGAAGAACACATAATTGATGCCATTGAAACCAGAATAATAAATGAAAAACGAAATCACTGCCTGAAGACAAACACACAAATACAAAAACACAAGAAAAAAAACCATGAAATTTCATTTAAGAGTAAAGATTGGAAAGTATTCAATTTGCAATCTTGGTCCACATCCCCAATAATATATGAAAGAATTTCTTTTCTTATTCCAACCACTCTTTAAAAAATTCATTCTTGCTTTTATATTTTCGAATCAATAAAAAACCGCAAGAATACCTTCCAAAGAAAGAAAATTAATCCAAATAAATTCTTCCCATGAAACTTTTAACTTATTTCGAAAACACATTAATGAATTGCAATTAACTGTAGTAGATAAATTAATGGTGACAAGTCCCAATTGTAATTTTTAAATAAATGATCTAGAGGTTCGTGAAGAAAATGTATGAGAAAAGTTTGAAGCGATCTATTGCTCTCTAATGAATGCAGCCTGGGAAATGAATCTCGTGTTTTTTTTGCTACAATTTACATCCAATACAGGGAAAATAGCAAATTAATTTCCGCTTTGAAGAAGCCCCGTTAACGATGATGTCAATGTATTAACAGCATCGAGGACAATTTCCTTTCAAACTTCTCTCATATAATGAGAAATACCAACAACAGCTAGCATAAGAACTAGCAAAAGAACATGTGTATTAGAACATTTTCATTTAAGTTCATAATCATTAGTAACGATGGTGGAAAAGTAATTTAATTTTTAAAGCGTAACCTAAAATGTAATTCCTAATGTTGTTTGTTATAATCCAAGATATTAAAATCAAATTAACGAATGACGGAAATGAAAATTAACACTATAAATTATCAGATCACAAGAAGTAAGAGTTGGTGAGTTGTTGAAAATTAAATTCTATGAAAACATAATAAAAAATGTCAAGAAAGAAAAATGTTAAGGATATTAGAGCTCATTTTGATATTAATGATTTAAAAATTAATAAATGAAATATGTAATGATTTAATTGAAAACCACACATATTGATGAAATAAACGAGTTAACGGAGAATAAGAATTATACCAATGTTTTTCACTTACCTACTTATTATCTTTTGAAACATTCATTTAATTTTTCCTAACTTTTTGTCATAAATTTAACGGTCGATTGAGGTTTGAAATTGTAGGGTTTTCACAATTTTAAAAAAATCGTACCCCCTTGACTAAAGCATGCGAATGTAAACAAATTTCTTAAAATGTTCAAATTTAATTTTAATAACGAAAGTGCTGAAATCGATGAAGAATTTTCAAAACAGTCACAAGATGTTCCTTTAAAAGAGTCTAAAAAAATTGAGTGGACACAAGAACAATACAGAATATGTGCTGACAACATCAGAAATTCCAAAGTTAATTGCTTTGTTTCTAATGATATCGAGATTGGATATCTAGATAGCACTTCAATGGTTGAATCTAATGACACAGACTTGATCCCTCGAGTTTATGAAGGTGGCTTTAAAATATGGGAGTGTACACAAGATCTCGCCGATTTATTTTCAAACAACGAAGGTGAAGTTGATTTTCAAGATAAGATTGTTTGCGATTTGGGATGTTCAGCTGGCGTTTTAGGAATTCTTTCTCTTGTTAAGAATGCTGTACATTTGGATTTTCAAGACTACGTAAGTATTAAAATGTATTGGCTTAAAAATTGGTTTTTATTGATTGTGTTTCAGAATGAAGAAGTTCTTGAAAAGTTCACGATGCCAAATGTCATCCTCAATTGTGAAGAACGATCCAAACCAGAAGATTTTCTAAAATGTACCTTCTATTGTGGTGATTGGACAAGTTTTGCTGATCTTACTTGTGATGATAGGAAATACGACATAATATTAACATCTGAAACAATTTATAATCCCGAAAGTTACTCAAAACTTATTGAATTATTTAAAGCCAGATTAGATAGGAAAGGAAAAATTTATTTGAGTGCCAAATCTTATTACTTTGGAGTTGCAGGTAATATTCTCGATTTTATAAAATATTTAGAAAAAGATGGAAGTTTTAATTTTGATATTTTATGGAAGTCAATTAATGGTGTACAAAGAGAAATTTTATTAATAAAATTTAAATGCGAAAAATAACGTCGAAAGGACTTTCCACATGAACTTCGAAATTCTTTTACATTCAAACACACACAACAAAGCTTTTTTCGAAATTCTCCTCAATATGCTTTCCCTTTCTTTCCAGTAGATAAAAAGTTTTCCTCCATAGAAGACATTGACAGAAGAAAATTCTTTCATTCTATTTTCACAATTAAAATTTGTTATCACTGTGAAAAAATAGATTTCATTAAAGTATTACAATAGTATCATCTAAGGAAAAGTAGGAAATCGTGGAATTGAAAGTAAAGTCAGGAAATAAAAGTGCAACTTTGATTATCGAGTGAAAAACGATTGGTGAAAACTTCCAGCTAATATTGATTTGTGCCAGCAGTGTTCTTGAATACTTAGAGGAGAAAATTTCTCTGCGTTTGGATTAAGGAAGGAGCGAAAAACAGAAGGAAAATTAACGTAAGACTTGATGACGACGTTTTACATAAAAAAGAAATCCACATTCATGAAAGTTTGTCACAATTTGGGATAAAAATATGTAATGTATTCAACGATGTAACTTGGAGCTATAGGGGGTGGAGAACAATAAGCGCTGAACCAAATTTTCTCTTTCTTTTGTTCGGCTGTGTGTGTACGAGAGAACACATGACATGTTAGTGGATGTGCCACTCGATTCCATTCTATTTTTCTCTTATCAAAGAGATGTTAAGGCTACGTCATCATAAAAGAAAAACCAACACAAATACGCATGTAGCGTGGAAATATTCAATCGTGCGGAACAATGTTTCGATGAAGAAAATGGGAAGGTTGAGTATGGATTGGAATTTTATCGTTATTTATGCGTTGAACGTTCAGACAATAGTCTTGCAGTCAAGAATTCTGCAAATCTTTTTGTTTCTTTTAAAAATTCCCTGATACTTAAGAGTCGATTACATTGAAGAATCGTTAAAGAAAATGTTGCATTTATGTTTGTTTTATTCAAGACCTAACTTCGAAATTTTTTCTCATCATAGTCTAAAATTTATCAAAGCTTTACGTGAGAAAATAGAATAAGAAAATCGATACGAACAAATTCATTCTTAAGTGTTTTTCTAGCGTGAAACATTTCTCAATTTTATTTTCGCTTTCACTTATATTGTTTGTTTCTGTAATAACTTGAGAGCCGTGAAAAGGCGATAAATATAAACATTTTGCAATTTAACATTCACGATTATCTTCTCTGGTTTAGATGTTTATGTAAATTTTAATAATCTGGCTTGATCCGTCAAGTGGAAGCAAAATTTTCATAGCAACATTTAAAAACCTACCTTTGATAATTAAGGTAAGAAATCTCAAAGGAAAAATTAAGAATTTTAATAAAACATCTTAGCGAATGTAAATAAATAAATACCTTTGACAAGTTAATTAACGTTTCAATAAATTTCATAATTATTTGAAAGAAATTCTTTCTAAGATACATGAACATATTTATAAAACTAGGTAAACGATAATGTTCTTGTCACATAAAAAGTGATTAAAACTTTTATAATCATAGTTTAATATTTAAACACCATGGAAAGTGATGTCAACTACTGCTTTATTACCTGCAATCACTAATAAATTTAACGACAGTCTGAATCCAAAGCTTTCAACTTCAAAGTTGATTATGAACTAAAGAAAAGCTTGACACAAACCTGTGGATCGTCATGAAAGTTCCCATGAGATTGAAAAATGCCATTATGCTTCATCATGCTTGTCTATTCAAATAACGATAAAAATAAGGTTTTCGTTTTATATGTTGTTGGTGTTTACTCATCCAAAGCTCGATGATATTAACGTTACTTAGAACTTTATTGTCTGACATTAATTTCAACACGTTAATATGTATTTTGAGTTCAGAAAACTTTGCAATCAACACGACGTTTCACATTTTATAGTGAAGGTATGACAATAAAAACGACACACAATAGAGCATAGAAAAGTTGATAAGAAAACCTTAAGGTAACGTGCTGGGAAAAGAAACTTCGAAAGTTTGTGGAACTTTACTGAAGTTAACATTGAAATTTTAATAATTGCCTAACTACCTTTCCATTCGAACGAATGAAAGGTTGGAACTCTCGTTGTTTATTGCGTGAGTATTTGTGAGTAAAAAAACGAAAGGAAATAAATTTTCACTGAAGACATTGCTGTTTTCCTGTACATTTTTTCCATATTTCTGCTGTTGCTTGTGTCAGTGTCGTGTTGTGGGTAGCGAGAAGTAGTCTGAAACAATACCCTTAGAAGGATTAGCTGACGAGTATTTTTTTTATTATCAAGGATAATATCATAGCGAATATCATAGCGAATTCTTGGTGCAATGTATCATGAAAACATAGTGAAGACAACAAGTGTCTTTAATGGATATCATCAAGTAAAGTTTAAGAAGCTTTATAACTTAATTTTCTTTCGCTTCATCTCTTCGAAATAACGAAATACCAAAAATAATTCTTACATTTCATGGAAATTATAAGCTCAATGAAACTTTGTTGTATTTCGCCTCCTTATAAGTTTTTTGGGGAAAAATCGATAATGTGTTGCTTTCCATCCATCATCACGGATGGAGATTAATCTCAAAAAAAGGAGAATCACGGAAAACGCTAATAAAAATATGAGTTATAAATGTTTCACGTTCAAAAAAAAGTCGCAATTAAATTAAACTTTCACTTTGCGGCCCAAGGGTTAAATCAGAACAATGAAATGATAAAAAAAATTACGTACAAATATTTACTGATGTGATTATGTTCGTTTTTAAAGCTTTTTCAATACCGAGAATCCAGAGGTTTTATGTACAAAAAGAGACTTGATAAAACGTGATATTATATATGGAAACTCTTTTGAACCCAAAAGTTTCTTTTTTATTGCTATACAAAGAGTTATCAAGTAAACCGCTGAAATTATTTACAATTTATCATCATGCAAATGCTTGTTATTACGCTTTTCATTTCATTCACCATAAATATTCTTGTTATTAATGAAACACTATTGCTGACGAATGGGGAAATTCAGAAGCAGATAAAGAAAAGTAATAGTGCAAAGCAACTGTAACAGTTCGTGACAAAAAAGTGAATTTCAAAGTTCAAGCTTATGCCCCTTTCACAACATGACGTCCCCTTTATGAATAACAATTTACTCCGAGAAAGCTCTTCTGCGTTGAAATGTGACAACCACCATAAGAGAGAGTATTAAAGCTTCTCATCATGTGGAAATTTGCGATGAAAAAAAAAATCTATTTCTTTGTATTTATGTCAGATCCTTTGCAGTCGTTTCACGCTCCCCACCGTAGAAAATTATTTTTTGTGGGTTATTTTTAGTCGTAATTCAGTTTGTCAGACCTCTGTCTAAGCTTTGACACGAGAGTTGAAATTTGGCGAAAGAAACATGAGAAAAAAATTAATTTATAAAAGTTTGTTTCAAGAGAATCAATGTTTTTGACTTCTCTTCTCCCAAGATTAAATACAAAAACTTTTAAGAAGCAACTTCATGATGGGAATTTTATGTCAAGTTTTGAATTTATTTTTTCTATATTATTTTTAGATGGCTGGCGGTGGCGACCCAAAATGGCAAAAGGATGCAGCAGATCAGAACTTTGACTACATGTTCAAGTTGCTCATTATCGGTAACTCAAGTGTTGGCAAAACTAGCTTCCTTTTTCGTTATGCAGATGACTCCTTCACATCAGCTTTTGTTTCGACTGTTGGTATTGATTTTAAAGTGAAAACTGTTTTTCGTCACGATAAGCGTGTTAAACTTCAAATATGGGTAAGTTTTGCTGGAAATTATGTGATGTCATTTATTAATTCAAGCTTCATGATGTTTGTCCAACTTTATTTTGTACATTCATTGACTGCGGTTCTTTATTTGCTTACACATGTACAAACAAACCTTGACAATCACTAAGACTTTTAGTTTTTATTTTCGTCAGAAAATTTCATTAACGACACGATAATGGCATGATTTGAAATGACTTTTATTTTGTTTTCATTTTTGATGAATTACCGCAGTTCATGTGAAACATTCCCGTGACAAAAAATGATTTTTCTGACCTTGTGCTAGTTTCCATCGACGAAAGCAACGTAATAATTTAAAGGTCTCGATGAGCTCTGTCAGCATAAAAATAAATATCTTAATGAAAATATTAAAAATAAATGATGAAAAGAATGTTTTAAACCACCCAACATTTATTTCCAATAACAAGGAAATTTAATAAAAGGTTCTTACATTTGATCTCAAACTGAAATGAAAGAAGAAAAAGAAAATGTTTTTCTATGATCAAAAAAGGGCCTTAGGGTATCGTTGAGGCTTCAGTTGAAACACAAAATGATTGTTCAAAAACGTTTTCTTCATGCATAAATTACATGCAACGCCTTTATGATGAGAAACAATGTTTCTTATATTAAATCATATTAAAAGTAAATATCTTGGTAATATTTACGAAACCTTAAAATAACTGCAGCATAAATCAACATTTCTAAGAACGTCTCTACGTTGAAAGCATATCAAAGCAATGAGATTCCTATAAAATATCTTTTTTAAATCAGAATTTAATTCAATTTAACAGAAGGTTGCAAAATTCATGCTGCTTAATTTAAAAATCATAACTAATAAGAAGAAAAATTTATCACTTTCGTGAAGTAAACTTGGAACATAAGATGTGATTAAATTTGAATAGCTTGAATATGAATGAAGAAACTCATCGCTTTACAAACAGAATTCATTTATTTATCATGACTTTGTAAATTCTAAATTGGAACTTGTTGCTTTTACTGAAGTTGAAATATCATGAATGTTTCATTTTTCGTTGATATTTAGGATACAGCTGGTCAGGAACGTTATCGAACGATTACAACTGCATATTATAGAGGGTAAGTCATGATTGTTTCTCCACATCTTTGAATATTTCATTTACAATTTCACATAATACATACAACAGTGCAATGGGCTTCATCCTAATGTACGACATCACAAATGAAGAAAGCTTCAATTCTGTTCAAGATTGGTAAATTATTTAACTATTTTTTTTTAAAATGGAAATTTAATAAATAATTTGATTTTAGGGTCACTCAGATAAAGACTTATTCGTGGGACAATGCACAAGTGATATTGGTCGGAAATAAGTGTGATATGGAAGACGAACGTGTAATATCATTCGAACGAGGTAAGCAACTCGCTGACCAACTTGGCGTGGAATTTTTTGAGACTTCTGCAAAAGAAAATATCAATGTTAAGGTAAAGAATATTTCTCATTAATTATTTCTACAACTTGTCTAATAATTTAATAATTTTCAGAATGTTTTCGAACGCCTAGTAGACATAATTTGCGACAAAATGTCAGAAAGCTTGGACTCTGATCCAACATTAGTGGGTGGTGGTGGTCCTAAAGGACAACGCTTGACAGACCAACCTCAAGGGACACCGAATGCGAACTGCAATTGCTAAACTCCAAATTCTTACTTTACATTTAAAGACTTTTTTAATTTTTTTATTCATTCGGCTGCATATTTAATGAAATGATGTTACTTTTTAATGCATTTTCTTCTGAAAATAATTCAATATTAACTTCAATACATTGATTGATAATTGATGATGATGATGATGATGGAAAAAGATTATTCAATCGATCTCACATATACACAAACAACATTAAACGAATTCGAACGTAAAGAAAGCTTTTATTTGATTTTTGTTTCTCCGAAAAGTAAACAAGGAAAAATAATTAATAAATAAATAATAATGTGTGGTGGAAAGTGGAAGTTAATTTCAGTGTAAAGGAAGTGGAACTGACGTGACTTTGAAAAAGTTTCTTGATTCGAGTAATGAATCAAGTTTAACGTGGAATCCTGTGGATTTACTCACTAAAATAATATTTCTTTCAATATTTACTTGTTCAGTGTCACTTTCTTCTCACTGAGTGGTTTTCTGCGTTCTTTGACTCATACTTATCCATAAAGCGAAAATTGCTATGTATTTGACTTTACCGAGTTCACTAATTTTAATTAAATTAGATTGGTTAACCGGATTGAGAAAGCATATCCGAGTAGAATTGAAACGTAGATGGCTTAAAGTTAAATTCACCCGAAATTCATAAGAATCCTGAAAATTATTTATATTTTCTACCCCATATTAGTTTCACGTTCACGTATGAAATAAATAAAATAAATATTTATCAATTGGTTCATTGATGTAAAAAATTTGTAAATAAAGATTTAAAAATATGCATACCAAAGGATTCACAAATGAGACATTTTAGAGTAAAAGTATATTTAAAAGAAATTCTAGTTCGATTAACCTAACAAAATTTAGTAAAAAAAAAGCGATATGAAAATATGGAATCTTTATGGTATTGTTATGTAATGAAAACTTATTGTTTTTGAAATTGAAGACGACTTATCAAATTAAATCAGACTCAATAACAGAACAAGAAGAACAAAAGACAAAAAAATGAAGCTTTTATTTATTTCGAATGAATTATTCAAAATATCTCATCATGAATGTTTATGAATGTTCATTCAGTATCGATCTAAAAGTATTTAAGGGAAAAATAACAAAATTACAGAAGACAAAAAGAAATATATTTTAAAAATGCAAGGCCAAATCACGTGGAGTTACAGTTGCCCATAAAACAAAACTAATGTTCCAAATTTATTTAAAATCAAGTCACTAGTTATTTAACAGCAACTTATTTCGAGATGGTATTCATTTAAAGCATTTGTCAAAACATGTGAAAACTTTATTGTACGTTAAAAAATTCCACATAACACATTGCAGTATTTCTCTTAATGCGTTACGACGCTTGTGTTCTTAAAAGTAAAAAAAACTGCAGGAATTTCACTTTTTGAAACAATTTCAAAACTGCTGTGTAAGAACAAAACAAAATGAACGTTTACTGATTCAGCAGATGTTTTCAAAAAAATTTCACTGAAACGAGTCTTATTGAGAGTTCAATTAAACAAACAATCAAAAAGTTATTACACTGTACGATAATTGAGTATCTGATTCATCGGAAAAGAAATATAGATGTTTATGAAACATATTTTATTCATGTTATTTGAAAAACCATTTAAAGGAGTTCTACTTTGACTTTAATTTTATATTTTAATCTGTACGCACATTCCTTACCCGATCGTTGAATTACTTCCATTCTACTCTATCTTCATTACGTTGGGTTCCAACTTAATGTTTTCTTTGAACTTCTCAACTTGAATCATCCTTCTTTTTCCATTAATAAGATGACGTAAAACATGAATGTTTAACACGTGCCTATCTCTTTCTGATATCAGAGAACGTGTTTTTAACATCAACGTAAACAAAAGCAACACATTTAAGATATGGAATCTTATATTTTGTCTTTATATTCTCTTGATTTTCTATCCTTCTTCCCAGAATATAATGTTGGTTAAGAATTAACTAGAAAAAAGCTCATTTGACATAAATATTCTATTATCTATTGCAAGATTTTATTTTTTGTAGTCATGAAGAGATTTTCTTAAAAAATATAAATTAAAGTATATAGAAATTGTGTGAGCACTGTTTCTGTCTATTATTGTAGTTTCAAACCAAAGAAAAGTATTAATATTTTATCTAAATCTTTTTCACTTCCTTTTTTGAACCTCTTTCATTTGTTTCAACTGCATTTTCCATGCAATTCAAAAAGTATTTTCAAATCTTTAAAAATTCAGAATTTATTTGAAATTTATATGATGTTTTAAATTGGAATGAAATTTTTATCTTCGTTTTTTATAAATAACTGTTTTACAAATGGATTGGAGTCGAAATGAATTATTAATTGTAACTAGAATTGAAATAACTAAAAATAAAACAAAGTATTTGAAATGTATGCGTATAATCTATGAAACAAAATATGGTGGCAAAAAAGGTTGATTATGTATCGATATAAAAATGAAGGAAAAGGAAATAAACAATAAAGACACTAAATATTATGACCTAAACTTCTTCAAGAGTTTCTCTATTTCTCTTAAAAACTTGAACAAAGCAAGGAAAATTTTCATAACTGTCAAAAAGTTTTGGCTTTAATATTTTTCAAGTTTTCCATTCAAGAAACTTGTACAAGTTATGCAAAAGCTTTCATTCAGTGAAAACATACAAAACTTTTATGTATACTCACTTCACAGTTAGATTTTTTTTTGCTATAGAAACCAAACCCTCACTACATATGTACTTGACTCAGTGCATACTAGAATCAACAAGTCTTCTCTCAACATTAATGATTTTTATGTTTTACATCTACTCATTCTTGTGATTTAACTACATGCAATTTTACATTTCATGTACATCAAATATGAAGACTTCTTCAGTTTATTCCTGCAGCTTCTGATGGTGAAATTATAAGAGTTAGTTAAACTGGAGAATAATTACAAAATTTTTCATATTTTTCCTTTTTGAAATTAATGAAGCCAAAGGAATCGTCAACATGAAGGCCATTAAAGCAATTGTATACAAGACATGTTCTTGACTTAAACATAGTTCATAATCTTATGCTGAGAATAACACAGATATTTCCGAGACATACAAACAGAGATTAATTAAAAGCAATTATTTTGCAATCTACATTTACGTTTCATGTTTTAATAAACTTTATACAACGAAATTGAGTGTATCGACGAGTTTGATGACTTCAAACGAACATTTTAATATAATTTTGTTTATCGATGCAAGAGACGGCTTATTTGAGAATCGAAAATGAACAAAATGCCCTTAAAACTTTCGACTGTATGAATTTATATTCATAGGACAAAATAAAATCGATAAGTTTTATGTTATTGTAGGAGGTAAACATGCAAAATATATTATATTATGATTGAAGTAAAATGAATTATTCAACTCATAATTTTATTCAAAGTCAACATTGAATTTTTCACATCAAATGATTCGAAATTTGTGCATAAATTTTATATTACATATTATAGAAGAGAGGAAGAAAAATGTATGGTGACTACTTGAAAAACTAAAACCTTAAAGAAATTTGGGAGGTCTTAGTCTTCTTAAGAAAGGACTCGGGAGGATTCTTCCTTGATTTAGATGTATATAATATCATAAGCAGGAAAATTCTTTCAAGCAACGTTGCTTTCGCTTTCATCTTTCAGATTCTTCATGAAACTTGAGTGTCATTAGTAGCAACCTTTTTGACAAATAAATGTTATCTCATTTTTTACAATGTCGTTTTACATGAAAACGGAAGCTAAACTTCAAAACTGCTTCATGAATAATTTAATAAGATACGTTATGATACAGAGCAAAGGTAGGTTGAAGAATGGAAGAAAATGATTCAAAGAACAGTTTTTCAGATAAAAGGACACGAGAACATATTCATGTCATAGTCTAACCCGCCTAAATAGATTCAGTATTTGATGAAGGAACGTAAATATTATTTCAAATAATTGAATTAAAAAAATCATGCAAATATTGTCAGTATTTCTTAATAATATCAATTTATTTCATTTTCTTCTCTTTCAAAGCCTCAAAGTTTGAGGAACACAAAGAAATTTCTTTTTTACTCTTTCCATTTTCTGTCACATTTACTTTTCTCAACGAATACAGATGAAGTGACAGGTTTATTCAGAATATTTTTTGGTGGTTCGTCAGATTGAATTCAGTTCCATATTTGATTATTTTCTGTTTCCTTCAAGAAGGAGTTCTTTAATGTATTGAAGTCATTCCATTGCTGATATGTTCAAATATGTCTTGTTTGTTGAAATAATATCCAACCTAATACTTGCTGTCAACGTTTCATAAATAATTAATTATAATTGAAGTGAAAGCGTTATATGTCCCTATATGTAAAACTTTTTACTTATTTTTAACTTGGAGAGTTTTCTGAAAAAATCCCATACTTTCAATTTCTTCTATCATGAATAACAAATGTCTTATCATGTTGATTGAGTTTCGTTTATTTCCTTTACTTAATGACATGTACATAAGTAAATAGGTTGGCAAGTTTCCATGAAACAATATGAAATCAATAAAATCGATCTTGCTTTTCACATGACAGAATCGCTTCTGTTAAGATAGTTTTGAAACTTATTTAACATCTTAAAAGCTCATTTGAGCTTTTACTCTTCTTTCATTCAATCTCAATCTCTTAAATTTTTCTCTCTCACATAATGATCATAATTCTCATTTTCTTTCTCATTTCATTTTTCTTCTCTCAGAATTCAGGAAAAAATGTAAACAGAAGAAAATGGTATTTTAGTTTTTCACAGCCAAGTTCAAATACTTTTTTGCTTTGAGTTCAGTTCTTTTTTCGTTGTGCTACCGTTTGGATGTAGTTTTCGCGAACGGAACGTTAAAAGATATAATAAAAAAGATAAAAGAAGAAAATTCTCAGATAGCTGATTTTTTTTCTAGTAGAAATTCGTTTGAGTAGACTATTTTATTTCTATCGTTTTGAACAATAAAAGCTGATATAAGGTGTTTAAAAATAGAAGTCCCAACGATTATTGGGGAGAAATGTTTGAGTGAATAATTTCTAATGTCGTTAATAAAATATTTGTGAGCTTGAGACCACATGAGCTACTGAAATATCAAACAAATGAATCTTCCAGTCTAAAGCATTTGATGATAAAATTCAATGGATTTTTTGTGATATCAATTGAGAGAAAGAAAAATATTAAATGTGTGTGCAAATAACGTCTTCTTAAAAGTACAAATAAAATTTAAACCGATTAATCGCTCAGATGTTTGACAAGAATTTGACATTTTTTTCTTGCAAGAAATTTTTTTTATAAATTGTCGTTCCTAAGTAGAACATCAGCTTAGTCTACGATCAAAAAATATTGTTCACACGAATTTTTATTCACGTAGCGAAAACGAGTCAAGAAAAACGCCTATAAAAATAGATCTCACCCACAATTTTTCTTATACTTTTTCAAGATCAAGAAATAAAATAATTTTTAATTTTATATTGCTTTTTTAAAAATGAAAGGAGATGGCAAATTTAAGGCAAAACTCTGCGTTGTTATGGATGTAATAAATAAAATATTGTAATTACATTTTTCTTTGTTGCTTCGTATTTTATGAACTCGTTGAGACTGTTTGATTTGAGAAGAAATTCAAAAATTATGACGATAAGAACAGAAGAAACATGTTTCTCAATGTGCAAACAAATGCTGAGTTTCATATATTTATATCTAAATGATCCAACTGTTGATTCAAGCATAAACTATTGCTGAATTTTAAAATGCCAAAAGGAGAAATACAAACGTTTCTTCTTTCCAAGAAACTTTTCGTCCTTTTTTCCATTTCCACACGACTTCAGTGTCAAAATACGTGCTGACTCGATATCGAACTAATAAATTGTCTCCTTCTTTGTTTCACTTTTATACTCTTTCATTGAGAAAGTTTTTTATATGCACTCAGCTTACACAATTTTGACTTTATAAAGTTTCATTCATTAAAGAAGAACTTAAATATTCTCAGAATGAGAGCAAACTTCATTTTGGAAAAATCAAAACACAAATGAATGTTGGGAAACGTGTGGAGATGAAATAAATTCCATTCTATTTATGAAATTGATTCCATTTACTTAATACTTTGAATTTCTCATGTAAATCAGAAAGTCATATGTAAAATCAAGCTCATGTGAATAAATTTCAAAAGTCGCGCAAAAAAATATTCCAACAATTTTCTTTTGTTTTCCATTTACATGAAAATTATTCTTGACTAATTATCTTTGCAAATGTTTCTTCTTATTTGTGAAAGTTAAACAAGAATTGGAAAGAAAACTTTGTCATTTCTCTTCAGTTTCTCAGAAATTTTAATTAAAATTAAATTCTGTTCGAGATTGTCCTAACTTTTTTGAGATAAACTTATACAAATATTAGTTTCCTGGGCAATTAATTAAGAAAATGTTTGTTTCAATGTTTTTGAAATGCAATCTCTCAATACAAATAAGTTTTAAATTTAACAAATTTAATGAAGCGTCTTCAAATGCGTTAGATGTGTACAGTGGATTCAATGTCGATAAAGTTAAATCATAATATAATGTCTTCCTTTTATCAGTGTTTAAAGTCTCAACAAAATATTTAATTGAAAAGTAAGAAAAAAGTTATGTGAAAAACAGGTGTTTGTGTTCAGAAATAAAACAGAGACTCATATAAATGTGGGTTAAGAACAGGCATGTCATAAACGAATAGAATGAAAATGAATGTTGATTCCCATCTGTTGCTAAACGATATAATGAGGTAATTTGTTGAAGCTTTAGTGTTGTGGATATTTTTGTTTTCAATTTTCATTTCAATTTGTGTGAAGTTCATCAAATGCTTTGATCCTTTAAAGCACATTTAGTGTTTTGTCTACCAAATGTTATGCAAAGATTAATCAAATCCAAAGAATTTAAATATCTAAGAAATATACTTTTAAGTGTGAATGCGTATGGGAGTAAATTCATTTACATACATCTCATCATTTTATGTAGATTATCGCCAAGAATTTACATTTAACATGTTGCGCTTAGATTTTTCTTTAAGCTATTCATTCGATGTCTGGGGAGTAAAAAAAACAAAATACATAAGAAGAACAATATTTGAGAAACATTAAGATATAAAGTCAATACGGACTTCATTACCTTCAGAATGAAAACATGAATACGGCTCTTGTTACACTGATAAACATTCATTTCCCTCGGTGGAGTTGGAAGCGGAAGGAACTCTGTAAGATATTTTTCGTTGTAAATTTCGAAACGTTTTTAAAAAAACATTTGTTAACTTCCTTCAAGAAAAATCATTTTTTTCTCTAAAGAGAACATTTCTGGTTACACAAGCTATTTACCAAAGTCTTCAAAGATTTTTCTTGATAACAAAAGTTGAGATAAAAGGAAAATTTCATTTCTAATCTTTACGATCTTCTAACGAAGACACTTCAACTTCAAGGCAAGAAAAAATGTTGAAGAAAATCAATAAAACAAAAGTCAAGTTCTTTCTTCATTGCCATGCCATCAAATTATAAACACATATATCAACATTCTTAACAAGCTATCGGTTTTAATGTTTCTTTCGTTTATGATATACATCGTGCTAGTTTTATTGTTCAGATTCTACTGGCTTATAAAGTAAACAATATTTTGATGTAGATTTATTTGAGTAACAAATTTTTCTATCTTCTCGATGAATTTTTTATAAGTCTTCTATCTATTCTTATTAATATGTGAAATTGAAATATATTGCTTAAAACAATGAAGAAAATGTTGTCTTAAAAGCATGTTGATTCCTTAAGTGCATTTACCTGAGGATTTAACGCGTCGTTCTCATACGCGAATTGTCTTATCGATTATTCGAAAGAGTACACGAAAGTCATTTTGGAAATTGCTTGAATACAGGAAATATTTTTCCAGTAATATCTACATAAATGTTTATATGTTCGATTTTTTGAATTTCGTAGGCCCGTTTTTGTATGCTTTAATTCAAGCTTTAATTAAATTATTTATTGGCTGAAATTCCCATTGAAATCGTGAAGTTATTCAATGTTTTCACGTAAACGAAAAGCAGAAAATAACGATTTGAATGAAAAAAATTCCATAAATTCTAATTCACAAAACATGTGCAATAATACTTAACAACAGATCTGAACATTTTTTTCATTTCCTTAAGTAGAGTTAAATTGGAGATTTCTGTTTCTTTTTTATTCATTTAGAATGAAAATTTCTTCAAACTTTGTTTCTTTAGAAAACAATTGAGAATTTCATGAATTTTTATTGGATTTTCATTTGTTTTCTCAAAGTTAACGTTGAATTTACTTTTATTCTTTTTCACATAAACTTTTCTTTGAAATGTTTATTCTAAATTTTTTTATTCACATTTCATTAATAATTTTAGAATACTCTTTTTGAATGTTTCCTAGCACACTCAACAGCGTAGTTGTTCCTACATTTGTCTAAACATTTCTCATTGTTTGATTTTGAATAAATCGATTTTGCTATCAAAATACATATTTTACTTTCAAGTTCATGAACTTTTTTAATTGTAAAATATTCAAACAAATCCATCATAACAAGAGAAATAAATTTAATTACATTCGCTCAGTCACAAAGCATTTTATAATTCATTTAATTAATTTTAACGACAATATTTATGGGACACTATGCAACGCAGGATAAAAAGTTCATGGAGTTAATGTCTTATTTACTTAGCTTATAAACAATACACAAGCAATTACCGTCGTGTAAACATAAAGAGACCGAGAAAGCACTACCTGAGTCGACCCTAATGATGTTCTTTTATTTGAAGCACCGTAATTTTTTTTATACTGACTGCTATGGAATGCTCTTAATTAAATATTAAAACTGTTGACCTTTGAGAGCGAGTTTTCAACGGGATCTAATCCCTTGTTGTTTGGACGAAAAAAAAGAGAGACTGACAAGATAAAAGTCAGCAGCGTTGAGCTTAAGTCATTGACTGCAAACATCCAAATTCCACAAGAACTTTATTATTTTTTTGTTTATGAAAGTTATTTACTTAAATAAGCTCTTTCACCACATGAACGCATGTTAATTAAAAAGTAAAGTAAAAAGTTTGTTACGAAAATTTCTTCAGACTGTTGTTCTCTGGGAAGCACGTAATATGATATTTTATGCACACAACTTGTTTTATTCTTCTCCTGAGTCGGAAATAAGCGCCAAGTTTTAAGAAATATTTTCTGAGTTGAAACGTTATCCATGTTTTATATACGTACAGATATAAATACTTTAATTCACAAGGGTAAGACGCGAAAACAACGGCGAAAGAGAAATTAGTGAAAAAGAAGGAAAATCAATACAACTTCGAAATTAATCACAATTGAAGCAATATTTTCCTTTACTCATTGCTTGAGTAGAGGGCAAGCCAACAGCAAAATTTAATTTTATGCTCCTACAAACGTCAAAAAGTTTTTTTCCCTTTGGAAGTTTGTGAAACATGAAAATTATTTTAAAAATTTTGCCATTTGCATAAAAGACTAAAAGTCGTAAAGAAAATTTATTAAGATTTTATTCCGTAATGGAACATAACAGAATGTTTTGACAACGGCATTAATTAATGTAAGATAAAATGAAATTGCTAAGAATAATGTGGGATAAGTAATAAAAACGTGCAAATTCCTGTAGAATGTTTAAAGAAAGGTTTAATCAGTGGAAAATCTAACACAATTTTCATTTATTGCTTGCTATTCGTGACAATATTAGATGTCATTGTGACATTGATAATGTAATTGAAAATATTGATATTCATGTTAAGCATAAAATAAAATTTCTTGTAAATTAGATATCTGTGTATTCATGCATAAAAAATCATAAATATGGAACTTGGGGGCTTTAAACCTCATTGGAGAGACGATTTGCTTATGTTATTCTAACTAGAAAAAGTAATGAATCATCATTTTCAGGTGAACACTCCCTGAAGAAATTTCTTGTCATTTTGTGAACGTGTTCAAGCACAAAAGTCTACATCGATCTAGATTACATACTTAGATATTGTATGAATTACAAAACGGTAATGCATAACATCATTGTCATCAAACTGGAAACGTTTTACAGTGCTTCGAATTTTATGTGTGATCAATAAAACATAAAAGCTTTTGCTGCACTCACAAGTGTATACATTAGAGATTAAATTCTCCCTCTTCTTAGAGGTTGCGAAGCAGAATTTATTGTCATCAGAATAACACATGATTTTTCTACAGTATTGACTCTCAACAACAATTCTTTCAAAGTCATTTTTTTATAGAAATTTAGTTCAGTTATGTCTTAAATGTCTTAGGAAGAGAAATTATATTGAAGATAAGCGACATTTATCACCTTATGAAGAACATTTTTCATCTCATCTCATAACAAAGTTTAACATTTCACTTTAAGAACAATTCTCAAATTTGTAAATCAACATTTAAAGCCACGTGAACGATTTCTCAAATTCGTATTTTTTTCTTTTCATCAAATAAATTTTCTTCTCGTTAAAAATATGCGAACCTCTGCTCAGTTTTGATCAAATGTTTACACAACCCCCCATAAGTCGGTGAGAAGGTGAATAATATTTTTAAAGCATCATTCACCACTTTTCCGAGGTTTTCTTTTACCCGTATCGATGATTTTCCGCTCAAACTCTTTTCTATTTTCGAGTCGCAGCTGTCAAAAACATAAAAATATTTCGCAATTGAATTTTTTTTCTTTCTTTTGACAAAACACATCGATTGATGATGGAAATATATTTCGCTGTTCAAGCCATGTCGTTAGTTATGTAATTAAGATTGTTCCAAAATATTTTCATTATCTAATGGAGAAGGTTGAATAATCCTAAAATCTATTCGAAATGCGCAAACGATGAGAATTCTGGAGGGGTCTGATGTCTGAACTGTGACAGAATGACGTAAAGAGCCAAATCAATTCTTCAAAGGAGCGAAAATTTTCTTAAATGAATTCAAGTCGTGATTTGTTTGTTTAATAATTTAAGTGAACTCGAAAATGTACTCAAACAGATTATCCTTCCGGAACTTGACTTATAAATAAATTAACAAAACAACCGAGAAATGTTTATGTAAATTAAAAAAATATAACAAAAAACAAAATTCTCTTTTTTAATTTGTATGAAATGGAGTTAGGAATTACTGTGGATTTAAACATTCATAAAAAAGCTTTATTTCACGTATAACGTAAAAAATATAATAAAATGATTAAATGTTTTCAAGCGAGAGTAGAATATCGTACTCTGAAAATTAGTCAAGCACTGAAATATTTTCAACACGTTCGTGAGTTTTCACATTGACTGCTTCTTATATGTTTAATAATAATAATAACAAAAACACAAAGAAAAACGAAACCAAAGAGAGAAATATTTGTAGCACTTTGTTGGTACAATTTGAAAGTTGATGAAGCAGAAAAGACTCCCCAATGATACACTCAATTAATTAGCAATTTAACCAAACCGTCTAAACGTGAAATGATATCAAATGAGTTCAATTCATCACAAATATTTAATAAATAATTTCAAACAAGCGTTGTTGTAGCAAAAAATGCGCAAATTACATTGCGAGTGCTTCATTACTTTGAATAATAACTCATAATATTCATAATATGACTGCAGACGAATGAATCGTAATATTTTTACCATCAGCCATCATTTGCTCATTTTTCATGATTTATGCATTTTTATGAGCTTTTTTTCTTTTTATTTTCAAAAGAATGTTTATAAATTATGTCAGTAAAACCTTCGATATTATGGAATAAGCAAGACTCACTGGATCCCAATCTTAAGAAAATATTTCTGAATAATACAAAATATGCAGTAAGTTAACATTTTACGTGACCTAATTTATAAACACTTTGAAGCTTTACTTTGCGTTTTCAGAGGTTTTTCCTTTAATGCAACTTTCATAATTTATTATTTAATTCTCTCTTTCTTTTCTCTTTCTATTATGTTTTATCTTTCCCAGTTAAAGTTCTTCATCAACAAAACTTTGTAGGCTCAGTTTTGACTTCGACACTGAGAAAACATCAGATCACGTCGAATGTATGATTTTATGTTGCACTTAGTGTTCTTATAAAGCAATTAAGTAAATTATAAGAAAAGCTTTTAAGTTTCTCGACATTAACGTTAACATTCTTTACAATATGAAACTTTTTAGTCCATTAAAGTGTCGTTCGTTGAAATTAATGGAAGTAAATTGAAATTAAGCCAGCTGTCAAAATCAGTATGTTCGAAAAATCGTAGCTTGTTAAATAATTTTTAGATATTTAGATAGTGAGAAGAATAACTCAATTAAGCTTGAAAGCATTTTAAGAGCAATCAAGTTAGTTGGAAGTTCGTACAACAGTTTTGGACGTTGCTTTAAATAAATCATTTTTAAGAAGCGAAGGAGAACAAATTCAACAAATATATTCTGGATCAGGCCTAAAGCTGAAGGCGCACCTGATGTCGCCATGCATCGTGGTGGAAAGGAATGTACGTGATATTTCCAGCCGATGAAATAATTCTATTATCATACGGTGCCGCACAACATACACGTTTTCAACCGAGACCCACTCTGGACAATTTGAGGGAACCAGTTGTCCCATCCACAGGCATTAGGCCTTCCATCACTTCCCACCTAGACTATTATTCAAACAATAATTCGATTGAAAGACGTGACACGAATCATTTGCATTCGTCAATAACGTCACAAACATCTATTAAACGCGATCCTAGTCCAAACGTATCGTTCGCTGACGATTTTATGAACAAGTCAAGAACGGGCGTAGTAGAAGAGAATGCATTTAGAGCAGATGATACTTTAAGTAGTGCAAACAATACGTTAGATAGGCAAAAAAAAAATAAATTCAAATCGCGAATATCAAAAATATCTTTGGGTAAATTGGGTCGTCCATCGTCTAACGAACAGACTGAGCCAGCATCATCACGACTACGCGAGGATCTAGAGATAAAAGTTACCAATCCTACATTCACTCACGATAACTTGAGACAGAAAAACTTTGATGCGTTTTTCGCATCAGGCGAGCCAGTTTATTCGCTTGAGAGAAAGGAAAAGCAATTATCAGACGCTTCATTACTTCCGTTGACACCGAATTCTTTTGCAACAACAATCGATACTCCATCATCATTTGGCCCTTATCCAACAACGCCGTCATCATTTGCATCATCGCCACTTACACCCTCATCAATATCGAGTGAGAAACCAACGAGAAAAGGATCAATCTCTAGTCTCTTCCCACCGAAATCTCCATCAAGACTTTCTCCATCACCAACCAACACTTCAAGCCGACGTCCAAAAAGCGCCGAACTGTATCGTTCGACAGAAGGCTCCGTGAAAGGTGACAGGTGCCCCATTCACAGATTTTGATGAATTATTAAATTTTTTTGTGTGGGTGTGTGGATGGTTTTGTTTGATGAACTTTTTTTTGTGCTGTGTGAAGCTAGGAAATATTTTAAAATTGTTTTTTAACCATTGCTGAGAGTGTTTTTCAATCTAACATTTGATATTAATTAAAAGTTTCAATTCCACTGACAAACATTTCTTTATTTATTTATTTATCATTCATTCATTCCTCTGTTCATTTTTCAGAGGCTTCTTACATTCTTTTAAGGAGAAATCATAAAGTCATTTTAAAAAATAAACACAATAAAATCATAAGAGTAAGGATGCTGTTTCAACAAGTTTATAAACTTCGGAATCAGAATTTGTTTGGTACAAATTTTAATAATAATTAATAAGGATTAAAAAATAGAAAGAAAAAATTTTTTTTGCCCAATTTAAGTTTCCTGGTTACATTTGACACCCAAGGTCTGGTAAATTTAATTAAATATAAAAATGTCTTTTCTCTTTTTTAAAAATGTTTTTGATCTAGAAAATATTTTACAAAACCAACCTTGAGCGTGATTTTGTGAGTTTACCGAATTGTCGAGTGTCATTGCTTGTCCAACTTTTTGACTTGGCACGGCATTGTTTGTATTGTTCGCTGAACTTTGAGTCGTCCATTCGACGATAAGTCATTGGATCACAAAGATCGGAATGGTTTTGGAAAAACTCTTTGTAACCGCCGTGAAGAAGATAAATTTCAGGAAAACTTAAGTTGGGATAGTTGGACTCGTTAATTTTTCGATCTCGTTCACGAAGATAACGCGATCTGTGAATTTTTTATTAAATACCTAATTCAATTTAATTTATTTAAATGTAGATACTCACAATTTTGGTCCGCGTTCCGATGAAAACTCGCAATGAAAAACTAAAATATCACGCTTTGTGTCATCAGCAACATCGGTGACGTCATTTCTCTTATGTAAAAGATCATCAAGAATTTGTTCATGTGTGTAAAGATTTATTGCACCAATAATGTGTCCACCTTCGTATTCGTAAGGATATCGACAATCAATGATCTTAAATGATCTCACATGATCATCAAATTCGCCTTTCATTAATCCACGTAATGTTTCTGATGAGATTGATTTCAGATCTGCATGCTTTCCTTCCATGAGTGGCAAACAATATGGCTTCGAGAGATCACCAATAAGATTTGGTTCTGATGAAGACAAAGTCAAAGCGTTGAGAATTCCAGCATCGTTTAATGACATTGATTTGCGATAAATTGGCCGTTTTTGTGATGAGTTGAATGTCAATTGAATGGCGTTTAAAGGAATTGATGCTTCATTCTCAGTTTTAAATCTTTTACTTCTTACTGGACTAATTGTTGGTTGTTCTTGTCGTTTGAAACCTCCTCGAAGTGGAGTAACATTGTCATTGAGTTGCTGCAAACATTGACGCTCTGGTGTTGTAATTAATGACAAGAGTGAGGCATTTGCTGAAGTTGTCGGACTAGTTTTCGTGCTAGCATCCATGATTAAACACTTTCTCACTTTGTTCTCTGGAGTTTTGGATGTGTTTTTGATTTGTTTCGTCATCAACGAACTCAGATCGTTGGAAATCACTGTCGTGTCCTCCAAACTCTCCATGTCTAATAGTTCCAGATCGAGATCTTCACTTAATGAATCAGTAGACTCCAATGAAAGCGAACGAAATACAGTGAAGCCTTTGGTGGGATTAAAGTTTAGTTTTGAGTATTTTGATGGTGTTTTCAATGTAGATGGCAACGGAGATGAAATTCCTGGTCGAGTTGGTTCAGCGAATTTAAAATCACATGATGATGACTCATTCGAGTTCAAATTGCTGTTCTCTTGAACACTTTCACTGTATCCGGACTCTCTTGATGATGCGTCATGACTGATTGAAAGTGGCATTTCGATGTTATGATGATCAATCATGAATGCAGGACTAGCACTAGATGAAAGCATACCAAGATTCCCATGGCATGGACTGATTGGACAATGCTGTGGACTTGATGACGGTTGATTTGATGTGTAAAATGAAATGTCTTCAAACATGTTGTTTTCTCTCTCAGGAGACTCACATCTGAGGTCAAAATTTGGTTTTATTGGTTCCATTTCCATAGGATGATGATGATGATCCATTGTAAGAGTTTAAATATTGCTGACTTATGTTTTCTTTCGAGAAACTCTTGTTGAGTTAATGATGAAGTAAATATATGCACCTAATCTGAAAATGCAATTAAATTGAATTACTAAAAAAAAATTTTTTTCCTGGAAAAAACAGCAAAATTAAAAAATTCTAAAGAAATTTGAGGACTTTTCGAAGAATTTATAAAATTTCTAGGAATTTACTCTGCGTCATTGAAGTAAACAGTGTTGCCACTAATGATTTAGCTCTCACAACTAACTATCGCAAATATTTATTTATCCAAAAATATTTATTTTTTTTGTGAAGGATCTCAATTTAACCGCCAATCAGTTATGCTGTAGTTTCGGAAACTAAATTTTCAACAGTTCTTTTCAGACATTTGACAGCATTTTATAATTTTTCATGTATCTTGTTCAAGATTTTAACACTTTTTAAACATTTTAAATGCTTATGAGAAGGTTTAATATCGACTTACTTATTAACCGAGCGGCTTTTAAAAATTTCTTTATTCTTTGTTGCAAATTTTAACTTCGATAGAAGTCTCGATTAATAAAATATCTCAGATAGATATGATGCTAAGTATTACTTCACTATAATTATCTTGATTTATTCACAAATGTCAGCAATATTATCACAGTAAAAGAGTTAAATGTAGAGTCCATTAATAGAGAAATTTGAATGTAAACAGCTTTTGGTCAGGCGTCTTCACACAGAATTTCTTAATAAGAAGAATGAAGTGAAGAGGCGAATTGGAGCGAATCAATTTGGCGCGCTTGCAATTGAGTTGTTGCCTCTTCTCTCAATGTGTGCGAATTAAGTATTTAAATAAGATCTTGTTAAATGCAAATAACGTGCGTTGATACTTGTAGATGAAAATTTTAGAGTAAATTAAAAATAAAACGATCATCAAAATAATGAACAAAATTAAACTTCCTTAAATATTTATAACACATTCATGTGCTACTTTTTATAAACATTTCACAATGAAATTTCATTTTAAACTCTCCTTTTAATGTGGCTTGAAGATTTGTCAAGAGATTTTATTGTTTGTCAATGAAAACAAAGAAATAAAACAATTTATTGTATATCATGATATAAAATATTTATTACCATTTTCTTCTCGTTCTGATTGAATTTATATGGCAAATAGAAAATTTGAGTTTAATAAGTTTTCTTTATTCATCTCGCATCACTAAAAATTGTAGTAGGTATGTAATATCAAAAAAAAAAAGCAACAATGACATCAGTAAAGTTACAATGGCAGATTTGTTCGCCTTTGTTTCTCCCAAAATCACCATTATGCCATTACACGCCAAATCGAGAACGAAAAAGCTGGTCCCCAGGCATTTCCTTCTATAAACCACGTATTGATGAAACCGATCTGAGATAACAGTAAAGATTCGTTGACTTTCATTGTAAGCCACAGATAATAATACCTTGATTTCGTGTTCCGGTTTTCAATTTGAAATTACGAGAACAGAATGCCGTCTCCTCGAATAAATCTTGTACATTTTATTTCGTTATCCATAACAAGAGGTTATAGCTTTTCTTAAATAAACTTTATATCAATTCTCATAAATTCGTGTAATTATTTTTGAGATTTAGATGAGCAGATATAGTTGGGAAAATTGGTAATAAATCAATTGATTAAATTCGTTTATGATTAATAATATAAAAAAGACTGTTAGACTTACCACCCACTTCTTGTAGTAGTAGCAAATCAAAATTAAATCATTTCATTTTTATTTGATGGGAAAAGAAATTTTCAAGTTCTGATTGAATCCGTAAGGTGCGATGAAAACATTACTCTTACCATGTTGTAAGTCGCGCGAAATAAAACTTTTAATGCTTCCATTTTCTGCTCTCTGCTTTTCGCTTTTCTCAATGGAATGTGAGATTAAGCTTCTTACTTTTACAATCTACCTAAGCCAATTTTTCAACAAATTGTGGCCTGAATTTGTTTTAAACAATTTTCTTTTTCTTTGAAATCGGCAACTTCGAAGTGAGTTTTTTATGTCTTGGACCAAGACGCAAATAAAAAATCCAATTTAATTTGTAGGTATACTGTAATTTATTTGCTATTTCCGGAGTGTAAGTAAATGGATTGCGCAAATAGACTTAGATTTAGCAATGCATTATTATATTTACACGAAGTGAAGTCTCTGAATAAATATTTGATAGAGATGTTTCCCAGGAGATCTTTTCACACATATGACAGCTTCAAGAGAAAGATTTCTATTCATCTTGTCAATGTCAAATCAAATCAACACCTTCAACTTCAGTTTCAAATTAAATATTGGAAATCTCGTTTACATTTTGATCAACTGAATGCTACACATTCACAAGAACCAAACTTAGATTCAGTGTCATGTTGCCAATGAACTTCAAAATATTCTTCGAATGTTTTTCCTAACGAACTTGAGATATTTATACTTAGAAGATGTTCATGACGCACAAGCTGTTTTTGTAATGTCATAATTTTATTCATTTCTTTCGTATGATTCTAAATTTTTAATTGGCATAAATGAACGTTCATTATGCCAACATGTGACGGGATTGGAACTGAATCATTCATGAATAAACATAAAATTCAGAATTCATTTTCCATGAAAATTCTCACTGCTAAAAGAAGGAAGTGATGTTTTAAAGGCGCTTCAAACACGAAAGCTACGACAAAAGGATTTATGGAGTTATCAAAAAGGGTTGAATAAGTGCTGTGTACTCTGGAGTAATTATAATAAAAATTTGAATTGCGAAACCTTTAATAATGTTTCACTTAAGGAAAGCAAAATAAGGAAAGAAGTGAAAAGGGAGGAAAAATATAAATTTAAATCTCAACCTTACACTGGCGTTTTTCCAATACTTCCCTTTTTTTCATTTCAATTCTCTTTCATTTCAAAATTGAAAAATTAAATTACAACATATCGAATAAAGAATATCTACATGCGAAGTTGTCAATTTATGTTGTTGCGGTTGATACAATTACTCAATGCAATAGAGAGTTGAATTCATGTTTTTGTACTGGGAAATGTGTGGAAAATTTTTATGAATATGCGACTTTTTTCCTACATTTTCGCTTCATCATTGCTTTGACATACATTCAGAATAACATGTTCAAATTAATTGAAATTATATATTTTATATGTGTGTACAGCATTAAGTTTTACTTTAACTATTCTACACATGAAAGTTCAACCAACCCAGGGAGACTCAGCAACAATGCGCAGCGTGTGAGAACGGATTGAAAGTATGAACGCTGACGTTTATGACAAGAGAAGTCAGATCAATTTCCGGAAATGACTGGAAGGCGAAATTGGAATTTGATTAAACGAAACTACGCAACTGAACATAAAAAATTGAATGAGAGAAAAAATTAATTAAAATGAATAAAGGTTTCGTCTTTAACGTACATAACTCATTATTGATGTATTGTTTGATCATTGATTAAATCTTTTCACGGGTGGTAAGATAAATAATAAGATCCGGGATACCCAAACCATCATTTTCAAGCGTTGAAAATTATATTTAAGTGTTCTTTAACCTTTTTTCCGTCTGTTTTTGATTTTGCTTCGAATTTTCATTAACTCGATTAATTAGTTTGATGATTTCACGCGAATTTTTTTGTTTAATTAATAAATCGTGCGTAAGAAAGATTTTTTATGAATGTTATTGACCTCTGCTTCTCTTCTCATTCTTTCAGAGCCGACAAAGTCAAATCGTCGAATCTTTGCGTGGCGAGGATTTAGTCCTAGCCCCAGCAGAAAAATGGCTGCATCATCCAGTGGAGGTGCACTCAAAGATTTAGTCCATCCAAGTCTTAATGAAACATTAAAAACACAAAACAGTGTAACATTCAAGCTAGTCAAAACTGGTGAGTTTAATATTAATCAAAAAAATAAGAAGATAACAAAGCGTGATGAAGCAGCAAATTCTACTGGTTTCCTAAATCAATTGTAATCACTTTTCAATCTAATCACTAAATAGAGAAACGTAAATAAACATGAACATGAAAAAATTCTTCGTGTAACTATTACCGCAGCCATAAACATTAAAACGATTTCTTGTCGACAACGCTAAACATTGACCTTCGTCTAGTTGAAGAAAAAAAAATCGTATTTACAAATTAGTAACAAGATCGCGTCAAGCAGCAGTGAAAATGTTTATTGAAGAAAATTAAAATGTGTTTAAAGAGGAAAAAAACAAAGAAGAAGAAAATATTTGATGATGACACAGATGGTGGGAAAAGAAGGAAATTTTCTTGGCTAGTTGTCAAGATTTTAGGGCACATTGAAGTGATGCTAATGTTTTGAAGCACAATAGAAGAGAAAACAAAATCTTAAATAATACTTAAGCCACTTAAAATTTTATCTTTAATTAAATTTATCAATTTCATATACAAATATTTAACTTTTGAAATTTTCCGCGAAAATGTTATAAGAATCAATATAACAACTTTAGATGAAAGCAGCCATGAGCGATTTTATTTCTATCAAATTTAATATCAGAAACGTTTTTCCTTTCCTTTTTCGTAGCTTTACAATCATTTTCTTTGGAAAATAATTAAATAAATTCTATTTCGACCCAATTGATTTTTCTTATTTTTTAGAAGAAGAAAAAGTTTTCAAGAATTAAACTTTAGGGATTGGCTTCTTCACAAATTATTTTAGGCCAAGAAACACGAGAAAATAATTGAAAAGCACAACCGCATTAGGATGTCTGAAAGGCACGATATGGAAAAGGTCTTCCCAAAGTCCTTATTGGTTAAAGTTACATTAATATGGGAGAACTATCTGTAGTAAAAGAGGAGAAAAAAGTTAGCAGACTTTAATTATTACTTTTAAATCACTTTGAACCTTTCTATTTTTTGCTTAGACATTAACGTAGGTCTCTTCAAGGCGAATGTCTCATCCTTGATGATAGAATTCTTTCACTTTTCGTAATAAAATTCTATGAATATCTCAGAAAAAATATTTCTTTTCTACTTGATACATATATTCAAAATTATTTCTATTCATTAGACGAATAATTATTCTCATTTAGAGATCAAACAGTATTTAAATGTAGTTCAATCAAATCAATAATATTCTTGTTTTCATTTCATTTATTATGATATGTATACAAACATCAGCAGTTTTTCATATTCATAGATTCCTTTCAAGATATTTGCAGATTTTCATGTCAACGACTGCAAAGAAAACTAATCGACTCAATTTCACATGAGTGGGTATAATTGGATTTTCATACAAACTTTGACAACGTTGCAAATTTTAAGCTTTGAGTTGAATATGTAATTTAACTGAAGCCATATCAGTTCGAAAACTCAACAGTTTGTTTGCATGCCATATTAAGATATGTAGAATTGAGTGAAATTGTTTAATGAGGCTTCACTATTTAACACTTTCCAATAATTTTCCACTCATTTCTGTTTAAGTATGTAACTTAATAAAAAGTGACGGTAATCAAACGAAATTTTGCTTGTCAGTCCGATGAAGCTACAACCATTTATTCTCACGAGTCAAGAGTTGAGGAAAGTTTTTCAACATCAGTTTGTAATCTAGTTGTACTCACGAATGCATTTAAGCAACATTATCAGTATACATTCATAATGAAGTTTAATGTTGAGTCGACAATATCACATATTATATAAAACTGGAACAGTGAATAACAAATAAACTAAATCGGTTTACAAAGTTTTGCTCCTTCCACAATATTAAGTTTATTATGAAAATACTTCCTTGTGAAAAATCCTTTTGAAGCAATTCAAAGACATTTCTGCTTCCAATTGCTGTGTTGAGTGGTTTGGAAAACTTTCTCAACAGTTTTGAGAAAAGGAAAACATATTGAATCAACTTCTACTCAATATAATTATTCAGAGTTATGGCATCTCATCTTTTATTTTATTTTCTTTTTCTGCGAACTATAGAAACAAAAACTACTTTTACGGTGGCTAAATAGATAACAAAATATTGAAGATGAGAATCTCGTACAACTCAAAACATCTTAAAATTTGAAGACCGCTATGGGGAAGAAAATTTTCAGTTTTATTTTGATGCTCTAATTAAACTTGAAATAGAAAATAAAGACAATTGCTTTAGATACAACTTTGCTCGTACGTTGCAATCTGAAATATGAAACACTGCTAGTACTTCAAGTTTATTGATTTAAGTCATCACTCATAGTTTTCAAGTTATTTTTGTAGAGTTTAGAATGTATGTAAAATAATACTTATAAGTATCATGAAAAACAGAAAATAACATTTAATATATTTTGTTAGTGAAACTAAACAAATAAGTAAGTAGCAGGGAAATGAACGAGAAAGGTAAACATTTAATCGTTTTTTGTACGACGAAAAGAAATAAAATCGGTTCACTTCCATCAAACAAGCTTCAGGCTTGTTGTTTAATGGAAATTCGCTGTTGCAATTAATTTCTTCTGCCACGTCTCAGTCGATTGTAACTTAATGACAATCACGGGATGTTGTCTTGCTACCTGATTTCATTCGAAATTTTCTAAAACTGTTCTACCAATAAATTTCTCCCTATGTGACACTACATCGACGCTTTGCGCATTTACTTCCAATTAAAGTTGTCTGCTGTAGCATTGCATGCGAAAATAAAATCAGTCAGTATCATAACTCATTAAGCTAGTAAGTTAAGGCCGAAATGGATCCAGAAGGTACAAATCGTTTCATATCAGTCAAATAAATCAGAAGTTTGACGATTGAATTAATCAGATCCGTCTATTGATTTCGATCGACATAAATAAATGATTTTTTAATCAATAGGCATACAACTGATAAGCGTAATAAAATTTATATGACGACATTGTTTAGTAGATTAACAGGAACGAAATTAGTTGCTATCGTTGAACTTACACGAGTTGACGTAACAGTAACAGCAATTGAATAATAAGTATCTTATGTAATCAATAGAAATGTCAAAACATTTGTCAATTTTACCGGTGAAAAGAGTACATCGATTAATTTCTGTATTGTCTGGGTTTGGTTTCAGTCTCACTCCAATATTGCAAACAAAATAAAACAAATCAAATGCGTACACGGAACTCTGCGCGTGAAAGGAAATCGTTATCTGATGACGACACTTAACCCACGCCATTAAATAAAAATATCTAGTTCACAAGCATTTCGTGGTAACCATATGCCAGGAAATAAAAATGAACGTTCTCATGTTTACATGAATTGATTGGGATGCAAAAAGAGTCAAAAATCCATAAAATGTTATTTAATAACTCCTCAAAGCAAAATTTACTACACAATGTTTAACGATCATCTGCATAATACTTCCACTCATACTAAAAATATTTCGACAGTTCATAAAGAAAAAAATATTAGCGTACAGAAAAAGAAAGTGTTTGAAGGTCGTCTCTGAAAATAGTCTGCCGGTCCCGCCTTACTCAAGTTATCAGTTCATCGTGTTTAAAAATTGATTTACAACTCAGTCGATAAATTTTCTCATTTTCGCATGTTGATGTGTGTGAAAACCACGTCATGACTGAAAAGATCAAAATGTTACGTATTAAAATAAATAAATATCAGTGGCTTACAATCAGAACTTAAAAATCCGAATATTAAAAAGTGAGAGAAAAAGCTTTGTTAAAAGAGCGAAAGCTTCTTAAACATCCTCTCTGACTCTCTCGCTTGATTTCTTTTCTCTCGGGAGAATTGGGATTCTTAATTTTCATAAAATATCATTAAACAATAATGCAGTTTTGGCAAATTAATAAAAAATATATTAAGCAGTCAAATGAAGGTGCAAAAAATTAACCACTTCAGCTGTTTTGTAGATATTGAAATAAAATAAATGAAGACATTTTAGAATTTTTAGATATGCATAAAACAAAGCGACAGGAATCTTGTATGACAAAATATCAAACAGAAAATGGCGTTAAGAATTACACCTTCATGAATTGTGACAACATCAGCTTGAAAATAATTTCAAATAAATAAATCTGAAAGAGATTGTAGTGATGCAAAGCAAAGAGTCTTTTTTTTGGCAGCCAGCCATGGCGTTTCTAAGCAAAGTTAGATTTTATTGTTGTTTATTTTTCGGCAAAGAAAAATACGGAAAGAAAGAAGAATCATTAAATATTACGAGAATCTATGTGAAGATCAAGCTTTACGACCGCTAAACACAGCAATGCTGACGCAATACTTTTAAATCACTCAACAAATAAAGGACACCCAATAGAAGTTAAAATAGGTACAGATGTTCATAAATTGAGCGTTAAAATCACATTTATTGTGTGTTATAAATTCACGATATTGCCGCAATTCCTTCGCTTAATTGTTTTTATGCTTTACGACTAATTAAAATTGAAAGGGGAAACTAATTAGCAGAGTGAAAATTTAATAAAAATTCATGAAAAGGAGGAAGGTCGAGGTCAGCGTTTCTCTTTTTGATTTATATCTTAACGTAAATATCTAGTAGATTTATGTACAATGAAATTTATAATGAAAAAATGAATTTAAGTAACAGCTTGGTTAATGAAAACAAAAAGAATTTATGTTTATATCTCTTTTTAAACAATTTCTATTTTTTGTTTTGACACATTGATAATATAATTTGGTACTGTATAATTTGACACATTGACAAATCACAGATCGAGCTGAATGCTTTTAAAATAATAACATTTTGTAGTTTACTCCTTCCAACTCACTTAACCTTTTGAGTGCAAAAGATTCACCTACGCAATTCTTGAAAACGACAACTAATCTTCTGTAAATTTGATCTTTTACTGATTTCTAGTGATTTAGGAGAGTAGGCAAGAAAAGATTTTCGGAGAAAAATGGTGTTTGCTTGCTCGAGTAATCTCATATTGAAGTTTTCTTTTCTTCATAACTTAATTAAAATCTTTTTAATGGATTATAAAGCATTTACTGAATTTTTTTTGAAGATCATTTGATTGTTGAGAGTTAGACATGTGGAAACTAAGTTCAACGCTTTGTTTTATGTGACATCAAAATTCATCTTATACTTATCTTCGATTACATGAGTAATCCTGAACTTTCATTATACCATAGCCTGACTGAATGATGTTTCATTCATGTAGCTTAAAGAATGGTGATTCTCGCAAAGTAAAGCACAAGTTTGACGGGTGATTGTAAATTAGTAAGATGGATTACTTGTGGCAACGTGACATCATTCCGCAATTTTTTAACGTTACATCTTTATCATAAACAAACACGTTTCACGTTGTGTCCTAAACTTTTTTTAGAACAGTTGTAAGCAAAAGTTCACTGTTATCATATCCTTTCCCAATCTTCTCCTTTTCGTTGGAAAGTTCAAGAAAGTTTCCTTTCTGTTGATTTACATTTTAAAGAATCATAAATTTTTGAACAGTGGCAAAATATTCAATTAAATTAACACGAAAAAGAACCAACATTAGAATTATCTATCATAAATTCATGAATATTTATTATTTTAAAGAACGCGTCTTTACTTGATTGGGTGTGTTGAAATATGAAATTTATTTAAATATGTTGTGAATTATCATAAATGTTTTAACTGAAGAACATATTTCTAACTGTGCGAAAGTTTTATGGAAATACAAAAGTTTTGAAGTCTTACATGATGCTTAAAATTTAAGAAATTTTCGTGAAAGCTTTTTACATCTCATATTTAATAAAGAAGCGTAATCATAAGGATTTAAACGAAGCGAATATTTTTTCACTGATTCCTGTGTATCATAAATAAGATAAAAAGTTTTACTATTCCATTTAATAAAATGGCTTAGCCTAGAAAAGATAAATTAAAGAAACGTGCAAAGGATACTCAATGTGATTAGACAGATAATTTGATAAAAGTTAGGAAATGTGAGAATATTCCTTCTAGGCTGAATATTTCATATGATCAATAAATTTATGTTTTTGAGAAGGAATTTATTCATAATTTATCAAAAACATTCTTCAGGAATATCACATAAGCTTTGAAAGACAACAAAAAAAAATCATGAAGTGATTGAAAAATATGATATGGAATGCTTTGAGTGAAAATCTTATTAAATTTTTATCATAAAAGCACGTATGCAGTGCCTTTGATTGATTCTGAAACCAAAGAAGCTTTTCTTCTTTATAATATCCTATCATGAACTAAATTGCCGCACTCCGATGAAATACTTTTAATACCTTCACAGTCTTATTATCCATAAGCTTTTTCCTTAGAATTGGTGTGCTAATCACGTCAAAGTTTACTTTTACGAGAGTTTTAATTCTTTGGTGAAAGTTTGTTGAAGGTTAAATAATTCCTTGAAAATATGAAGAAAGGGGAATCGTTAATTCACAAAGCTATGCAAGATTAAGATTGAAATGTTAAATGATTGATTTATTGCACAAACATACAGACTATTTGTGAAATGCAACAAGTAGCAAATGTACATAAAATTTCTCTTTTTCTTCTCTTTCATGTTTGTAATCAATAGTTTCCGACTTCACTGAATCACTAGCACAGCTTTATGAAAAACATGCAGAAGAGTTGCAAGTTCTCGTATCAAACTATCGAAAGAAAAATGGAGAACTTCGAAAAGAGGTAAATAAATGAATTATATAAATGTCAATGCTTTCAATGACTTTGATTTACAGCGTCCACCATGTCAGTCCAGTTTATTTCATGCATGGGAGACGTTCTTACAGGAAGTCGAAGTTGATTCACAATCAACAAGTGAAATGTCGAATTTATTGTCAAAGCAAGTAAGTCAGCATTTCCAGCACTTTGATCATAAATTGATATGAAAATATTTCACTGGAATCCCGTACCAAAATAAATGAAATTTCGTCAAGATTTAATCTCCGGAATTTTCAATGCTGAAAAGCTTTTAAATAATTAGTCGCTATTTGCCTTATGGCTAATGACAAAAAAAACGACGGGAAATTTCGTATTTATGGAATAATTAATCTCAGATTAAAACTTAACCTTTGGCAACCACAAATAGACTCAACTTGACAATGATGTGAATATATTTGACGATAATTTCTAAATGGAAACTTTTTTCTTCTCATTTTAATGAATTTCAAGTCTAACCACAACTGCTTTTAATTGATAAACAAATTTCTGTCGGTTTGGTTCAAGTTCTAAATTAAAAGAAAATGCTTTGTGGATTGTTCAGTACATTCGTAATACCTTCAGCGTTTCATTCAAAAAAACACGAATTCATTAAAACTTTCACTGTCTGGTGTCTATTGAAACCCATCCAACTCTTTCAAAGACCATATTTCCCTGTTATTCAAATTTCATTCTATTAAACTTGTGCTTCATGAAAGGTGGAACTAGAACAGAATGTAAATTCATTAAATACTTGGAGGGTTCATGTCAGCAGCTCTTTTATCTTTTGTAAAAGCATTTTGGAAACTTCTTTTAATTTGTTTCCTCGCTTTGAAGCAAAAACATTTCCATTGCAAGTGACCAAAGTCAAATCATAATTTAATAACTTGCAATGTAATTTCTCTTAATGAGAAATTGAAATTAAAGTTACTTCCGTTCTATATTTTCATATCATTCATTTATATTTCTTAAACTTTATTAATAAACATTTTCATTTCTTCTTTAGGTATCGCGACCACTTCTTGAACGATCCTTTCATAGGAAAGTTCAAAGTCGTAAAGTTTTTACTCATCGTGAATCATTCGAAACCATCATTGCGAAGACTGAGGAGAAGTTATCTAAATGCCGTATTGATTACAAACAATGTTTCACTGCCCACAGGCAGAATCCAACGCAGCATTCACTGACTCAATACATTGACTCGCATAATGCCTACGTCCAACAATTACATGCTACCAACGCTATGCTCGAGGCGTATAATTGTGAAACTGTGCCACAACTCTTGCAAGAGTTAGAGGAAATCTACAATGACCTTTGTACTATTGTAGCTGAAGCAATTGTACTCGGAGCAGAAGCTATTTCAACTCGAGTAAGTTAACTTCACGTTTCCTTGAATAAATATTACAAGTCAGCAAGAGAAAAATATTTTCATCATGACCTAAAAAAGACCTCAAAGACGTCCTTTTATTTAAACATCGATTAACATAATTATAATTTATTCAAAACAAATTTTCTCTCATTCTCAACATTTTTTTTCTTCCGCAAATTCAACTTCCTTAACATTTACAACTTCCATCTGAAAGTTTTTCTCCCGTGCTAGAAAAAACTTCACTTTTCCTTTTAACAACGACTTGGGTATGCTTGTATGTATATAAATGTACATAATTATGTTGTTTTGTGAGAAAAAAACAAGAGACAAGATAACGTTCCCTTATTGTTATTCTATTTGCTGGGTTTCATTGTTAGACCATGTTTATATTTTTGTAGCAACTCTAGAAGAGCAAAATTATGTATCGACATTATTAAGTTAAAGTTTAGGATACATTTGGTTACAACAAAAAAATAACGATAAGGAACACATATATGTACTCTTCTCGCCTACACTTTTATTTGATTACAACGAAGTAACAGACTGTTAGTGACATTTGGAAATGTAAAAAGTTTATTCTCTAGGAGTTTCAGGTGTTCAATGTCTACTTAAAGTCTAATGACATTTACTTTTCTATATTGAAATCAGCTTTTATGTTGCTGAATAAGAAGTTTCAAGATTTATAAGCGACAACGAAAACAAATGTCGTATACTTATAAGCGTTAAAAGAGATAATAAAAGTCTCCACAAATCTCAAGCGTGTCATATCGCAAGCATTTATCTCAGATATATAAATAAAATAGCCACAATTTTTTTCCTGCGCCCTTAATAGTTCTACAACGAACCAACATGAATATTTCATTATTTTGCAATCGTATGGGAATTGTTTTTATTATGTAACATCCCAAATAAATCTAAATGGCGTTGGAAACCTCTTGACACTCTCGTTGGTTGTTGGAAAATTGAAAAAGGAAATCTTGACCTAGTTTCAATTTACTTTTTATTTATACTTTGAATTGGACAAGGGTTCCATTTCCTTGTCATTTTATGTAGACGGAAACTTTAACTACTTCAATAACCACCTTGAAAAAATTTATATTCATTATTCAAATGCAAGCGTTAGGGATTAAAAGGGGAAAGAGGGAGTGAAGGAGAGATCAGTGATGGTTGACAACTTGAGGAAAACAATTTCACAAGTTTATGAATAATAACGCAAAGTAATAAAAATAATGATGGAAGTAAAGAGAAAGTAAGCGCCAGTTTTCCGTTTACGATGATGTTGTAAAGCACACAAGTTTAACGCCTTTTAGATTTATGAGCTTGGAAGTGAAAATGAAATTTTCGCCTAAACATTTGTATCGAGAAATAAATTATGAACTAGTCATAGTCGACTCCTACATATAACTTTATTCTAACGCGTTTTGTCGGGAAATTTTCTTCAATGAATAATTTATCACGAAAAGAAAAATTATGATTGATTTAGGATACAAAAACTCCACCTTCGTTCATTTATTGATTTTCACCCTTTTTTCTTTAATTTAATTGGAATCATTAATAATTCGTAGGCTATAGAACAGTCAAAACGATATGATGGTCTTGCAATCAACAGCAAGAGTATTTCTGGACAGCAAGATCTCAATAATTTTGCAAGAAACACTCCGATTTCAGCAAGTTTGCTGCGTGTGCCGAAAAAGATTTTCGCGCCACCTCATCCGCCACCGGGCGAGGGCGAAGATTCACTAGAATATAACGTAAGAGCTTCTAATTGTTATCTCTCTCAAGGTCAACATTAATTATTAGAATTTTATCTTTTTTCCCTCTTGTCTTTCGTAGGATAATTTACCTCCCACTTTTAAGAACGAGCTCATCATTGAAAGAGAAGCATCTCTTCAATTACGTCCATCATTAGAAGCTTTGCGAAGAGAGGCACAAGATTTAGACGCTCAAATACGACAATTACAGGTAAGAATTATTATGATGGTTTTCTATTTTAATGATATTAGGGTGAATAAAGTGAATCCTAACATAAAACTTCAACTTCAGTAGGTATTCAATTTCCATTAAAGCTTTTTATGTCAAATGCAATTACAATCAATTAGGTAATGTTTTACTTTTACTATTGTGAATAATTCAAGGATTCGATAGATGCTCTGGTTCGAAATCAACAGCGTGGCCTCGACAGTTCCCTTTATAACAAGGCCAACGAGCTGCAAGAGGATATTTCAATGAAAAAGTTTGACTTAAGAGCCAAACAAATTCATTTGTCAGCTGTTCGTGCGCAGGTGAGAATATAATTTTAGCAAACGTCATTCGTGCAATAGACATGTGCACAAATTGTACGTTGTTTGCCAACTACATGTTTACTTTCTGATTTATTTTAATTATTTAACTTGCAATTATCGTAATTGAACTATCAGACATGACATCATCGTTTCGTATTGAAGTTGAATCTTCTAAGTGAATTTGCTTTTCACATCTAAAAGGTTTTCCATTCAAGAATCTCGTTCCAGTTTCTGTTTTGTACTCGGTTCAATTTTTAATTCTATCTGACATTTGAATGCTTGAGAATTGAAGCACTTTTCTCTATTTTCTTTCGTTTGCTAACAGCCTCGAGAATTTCTCCATCAACCCATTCATGAAATTCTTACATCTCACTTTGAAAATATTTATTTCAATATTTTCTTCGTTTTCCTTTTTTTCCTTTTCCCATTTCGTTACGAATGTTGGTTGAATTAGATCATGTTAAATTGAGTTTGCACCTTTTCAGTTGAAAACTAAAATCAAAAAGCATTTTAAAGGAGTTATTTAAAAGGAAATTCAATTCTATTTTTCATTTAAGCATTTCAGAGGTGGAAAAGAATGCTCATAGTTTAGATAAATATTCAGATTTGCTATGCTGAGGCGTGGTGTCATTTTAACATCCTTAAATATTTCTTTAAAAACTTTTGTGAATATTTGCCCAGGTTCAGTTTTCAACCTTTGAAACTTTATCATTCAAGCTCTAAAAAGCTTTTTCGTTCATTTTCCCTTTTAAGTTTTAGAATATTTTCACGATGCAAAAGGTGGAAAAGTTAAAATATTTACGTTTTAAGACTCGGATTATCTTTCCATGAGAAAAAAAAGCGAATGAGAGGAAAACAGAGTGAAGTAATCGAGGAACACCTTGACGTATAACATGAAGATTTTATATTTACTTTATTCATTTGTTTGAAGGCAGAGTATGTATGAGCATATGTACATAAATATCTACATATATGTAAATAGTATTCACATCGAAGTAAATAACAAAGTCAATGTAAAAAAAAAGTACAAGCAATACGTTTTTCAATTATTCATGCACCAAAAAATAAAGGAAAACTTTTGCGTCTCAATTTAACGCTTCTGTAGATTTCAGAATGTTTAATATAGTCAACTTTTCTTTACTTAATGGATAAATAATTTTACAAAAATGTTTGTCGGTATTTTATTTGCAAAATCTGAATTTATGAACAGCAAATTCATTGTCAATAGAAACAAAAGCTTTTGCGTATACAGTGAGATATGTAGATGGATAGCATAGAGGAAAGTGTATGAAGACGCAAACTATAATTAAATATTAACAACATTTGAGGACAGAAAATTGTTCTATGAATAAGTATAATAAAAGCTAGAATGAAGTAATATTTATTTGATAAATAATAAATGGTTTCTCTCTTCATCACATTTTCCTTGAAATATCTTTCCATTTTCATTTTGGTAAACAAAAATTATGTCAATCCTCTTAATATCAGTTAAGCTTATAAATGATTGATAGAAATTAGTTAATAAATGTTGCGGCGCGTCTTACCATTAGACTTTTCGTTTGTGCCTTAGTGCTAATCTTGAAATAATCTATCTTAATATAGTATCATGGTATTTAAGGATTGCTATATTGCGTGAGTGTGGAAAGTATCAGCTTACAAAAGTTAGAATGTATGTTCACGTTAAATATCTAAACGAAATCTAAACGAAAAAGAAAAGAAAAAACATTTAAAGCTTCAACAGCCATGAAAATCAATAAGTCAAATTCAAAAACATAATTAATAATATTATTCGAATCGTAGGATAATTTAATTATCATGATTGATTTTATTCTCTTATGGGTAAAATTTTCTTTCTTCCGATTTCAATGAACGGAAAGGAAAATCAATAAAAACTTATCAACAGTCTATTATCTAATGAATTGGAATTTTTATCACTTTATTGTAATAAAATTTTTATTGCTATTATTGAAACTTGTTCTACGAAAGGAATTTATGGAAGTAAAAAAATTAAGAATCTTAAGAATTATTTATTGAAGTGATAAAAATGAGCTCAGGTATTTTTTATAAAAGAAAATATTTAATCAAAAGAATTCCATGACATTTTCTCGTCCCTTTAGAATCATTTTTAAATTTAAATACCTATGGTTGATAGACTATAACATTTCTTAATACTTTGAGAGTAAAAGCTTATCAAATTGAGAATATCAGTCATGAAGTTCTTAGAGAATAAGAAAAACGCTTTTCTTTCTCCATTGTCAAGCGGAAAGATCATATTGAATACAATTGAAAAATAGATATCTAATCTTCTTTCAACGATGCGGGCTGCTTAAGAAAATTTCCTTCTCAATTTCATTCAATGCTATCTTCATTTACGCCCGCATTTCAAAATATAAAGTTTCTGATTAGTTTAAAATAATATAATTAATTCTGATTCACATTGTATGTAATCGCAATCACTTAAAGAATTTAAATTCAAAATCAGAGTGAAAGCTAATGAACTAGATTTTCATTTTAAACATTCTCTAAATAAATTTCAGATAATTTCAGATAATTTCAGATAACTGCTAAAATATAGTTCAAAGCTTTTAAATTTGAAAAGCTTCTTCTAGTTATTTCATGTTTATCTGGAATAGTGCAGAAAAGCTTTCACCATAAAGTCATGTACATTTTAAAAAGCTTTCTGTTTGTGGGAATGTTTTCCACATGTAGAAATATTTAAAACATGTTGGAATTATGCTGGATTATCTATATGCTGTTAAGAAAGCTTTCGTTTTAATTTAATTTGAAAAAGTTCTACTTCAAACAAAAATTAATGGCGATAATTTAATTTTCGTTTGATATAATTAAACATAATAATTTGGTTTCCAACATAAATCAATTACTTCAAATTGCATTTCACATATATTGGTTCAAAACATGCGATGGGTATTTCCCCGCTTCCACAGCGTGACATCAGGTCTTGGAATGCTTAAAATTATTTCATTTCGACATTCATGCGCAGGTCTTGAATTGGAAAGCTCGAAATATTTTAGTATGGAAAGGATCCTTGTCAACCAAAAAAACCTTTACAATTTCGTATGATTCAGTTCATCGTTTTCCATTGCTTGGTTAAGACCGTATAATATCGCGTACGTTGTCGGTATTGTGTGAATGGAAGGAACAAAATATTAAGGAATTAAGATGAATTTTAACAGTTGTGTGTTAGGAAACTTGCTCAGTGACATGATTCAAAGTTGATTTAAGGACTTAACTTACAACACACAGTTAAAGCTTAGTAGTGAAATTAAATGTCTTTGAATTATCCAAGATATAAGTGAAAATTTAGTTTCCTTTGTACGAATTTTCCAAGAAGCGAAGGGAAATCAGACGAGTAAGAGAGACAACATTATGTGAATGTGTTTGTGATTGTATCGAATGCAACTTGAAAAGCATAAAACGTGAATTCACGAAAACGTTCTTTCACATTTCAATTTGCCATCCATATCGAGAGAGTATTTCGCTCGGAAATTCGGGTTTTGTATTGAATAGACAATTAACACATTTAATGACATTCACAATTTCAATACGCTATTGAAGTTGCAGGTACCGGTACGTACTTGTTTATTGTTTGCACAGTGATATGAACTCTTTCTAGAAAAAATTTGCACAATTTTAGATTTGAAGCAACGAATCTGAAAGTTTCTCAAGTGATTTTAATGATAAACTTTAAGAGCTAAAATTATACGCACAAATTAAGTTTAATTATGACAGATTCAATGATTAGCTTCTTTTAACTATTTTATAACAGAACCATCGAAAAGCTAAGGCAAGTTACATAAATTTTAAAGCAACAATTCTTGAAAGCAAGTTCAGTGAAAGGAAAACCAAAACTTTGAAGGAAGAAATAAGTTTTTTGATAATAGAATATCGTGAATCAGCTTGAACAGTAGCAAAGTTTTTGAAGTCAAATAGATAGTGGAAGATCAACTTCTTATACCAAAAAGTTTTTACGAAACAGACTTTTTGCAATATCGATGCAAGTTGCAGTTCGAAATATTTTTCAACCAGCACCAAGCACAAAATAATCCAAAAGTTTTTACCATTCCACACTCTGTGTATTTACCACAAATTTTTCAATTTAAACACGACTTAAAGCAATGTTTTTGCATTCAAAAGTTTTGAATGCATTTCGCAGTTGTTAACAATTCAAATTAAAGTTTTTCTCTTCTCGTAGACACTTCACTTTTTGCATTTTACTGTCCAACGAATAAGAAGCAAGTTTTATTGTTGAAATTGTGAAGACAAAGGAAAACATTAAAAAAGTGCATTCTTAAAACTTTGTAAATTTGTCTCTTAGAAGTTTTATTGTTAAGTGCAATAAAGAATGGAGAACTCTTTAGTCACATATCCACTTGAAGTTTTTGCTTTAAGTAGTCACTGAGCAAATAATTCATCACTCAATTTTAAATAGTAAATGGGTTTTATCACATTGAAGCGTAAGATTGTAAGTAGCACCTCATTTATTATAAAATTTACAAATTAAACATAAATCAATGTGAATTGTGTGTTGTAAAGATTTTAAGCATTCTAAATTAAACATAAATTTAAATACCAATTTACCCTCTTCAACATTCACATGCTTTTCAAAGCTGTTTTTTATCAGTATCACCATTAAGCAAATCAAAGAAATAAACATAAAAAATAAAGGAACAACCCATTTGAAGTATCATTAAAACCACAGTCGTATTTCAATTCCATACTGTGGTTTCAGACATTCGTTGCAATTTACAATAAATTATGTTTACGATTTTGAAAGGCAATTTACAAACACGACATAGCTAAACAGAACAATACTTAGTACAAGAGAGACAGTTTGAAACGAATTTCAGAGTTATAATTAAGCACAACTATTCCGCACATTCGTTAAACACCGCAATTCCCGATGGGATGAATGTAGAGCACTTAAATAAATACCAGAAATATCATTTGGCAATCCAAAGTTATCGCATCATTTCAGGATAAGTGCAATAGCATAATAACATCCGCAAGCTGACTAAAAGAGATTCATAAAAAGAAAAAATTATATGGGGGCACAAGCTGCAGATATTGCAAAATCCTCAAGCTGTGAAAAGCAATAAAATTTACTTCTTCATAATGGCAGCCCCTTTTTGTGAAATGTCAAACGTTGGTTTCAATCTGATTAAAAATGAATGCTGAAAAAATAATACGGAAAGCTCTTTTTTCATAATCTCTTAACTTTTATTCCCACGCACATTTAACTGACATAAAAGCAGCATCAGACACGACGAGGAAAGATTATCTTAAGTGTGATAGATTTTGAGGATTTTTTTAAGGCTTCTTCACCATTCTGGTAGCCAAAACTAAGATAAATTGTCTGTGGTTAACCTATGTATCTTGCTATTCTTACATCAACCGCCTGCCTTGCGCGGAACAAAAACTGGAAGAATGAAAATTTTCCGACAGCACGAAAAAAAATTCCTTTCTTTATTTTTTATCTCTGCTTGTCCCTTCTGCGTATTGCAGTTTTCTTTTCGTTTCGATAATCTGCTCCTGTCTTAAGTATTCACTCACATTCATTTCTTTTTGCTTTATTAAATTTCATAATTCATTCTTTTGAAGCCGCAGATGGACAGACAAATTCATCTTTTTGTTTGTCCTTTTTGCGGTTCGTTCGTGGTCAGAGCAATAGAGTGAATGGATGAAATATTTTGTAATCCCGGAGAAACTTTCTACTTTCTATGAAAACGGCAATAAAATTGTAACAAAAACTCATGAGTTGAATACTAAATTGATAAATCGTTTGATGTCACTTCTTCATACGTTAAAAAAAAGCTTTCTCATCATTTTTCTTTTTTTTATATTTTCATTACAGAAAGAGCTTTTCTTGAGCAAATTTGAACCTGGTTCACCCAATCCTGGTGAACGTAAAATGTCAACATCGTCATCGTCATCAATGAAGACAAAGTGGTTAAAAGCTTTCAGAAGCCTTAAACCGGCAGGTTCAGGAGCTTCTGGTAACGAAAAGTGAGTTAAAATTTTCAACTTAATATTCAGAGAACAATTGACTGATTTTACAAGCTGACAAAGCTATGGAATGTCGAGAAGTTCTTCCGTCCATCCATTTATGTGAAATTAACATAAATTAAATAGCATAAAGTTTTCATTTCATTCAATTTATTATACATTTAATTTTTCATGAACTGCTTGTATTTGCTGAAGATCAGATTCCGACTGAATTGTAATAATTCTTTTGTCTTTTAAAAGGGCTTAAAATTTTCTGGCAAGCAGACTACATGGATATTATCTCTCTAGAAAATGCTTCTTCATATCCTTGTTGAATTTTTGAACATTGTTCACAATAATAAATGAACTTTTAAACGCAAATGGTGTTAAATTATTAGACATTTGAGGGCATTTGACTTCGTACTTCATCTTAAACTCCCAATTTGAACAGTTCAAATTTTTCTCTTTACCAACATTGAGAATAATGAAGGAAGGAAACAAGCTATAAATGTATCTGAAATGATTACAATTTCACATGCGAAAAGTTTGTGTGCCAAGATGAGATAAATATGCGAACGTTTAAGAAGAATTATTTTAGAGGAAAAGCAGAGTTATAGTTTAGTCATCGTACTATGTTTCACTCAACTTAAGAGATTCAGTTTCCTTTTATCCTACTTAGTTTTCAAGTCAAGTCATGAAAATGGCATGAGGCACGAAGCGCAAATTTTAACAATGACATGAAAAGAAATTTGAAAGTGTTAGAAAAAAATAAATTGTTTGCCATAAAATTTGACCGAAGGAAAGGAAAAGGAAGCAAAAAAAATCACACAAAGGAATTCTTGTTTAAACTTAAGATAAATTCCAAGTTCATTCGAACGAACAAAGCGCTAAATGATTTATTTGAGTTTCGAAGTATTGACGTCTCCGTGGATGTTTTAACATTTATTTACAATAAATCTATTACTTTAACTTAAGCATACATTTTTGAATATTTAATCATTTTGTTTTTTCCTTATTTTCTCACTTTTCCATTAAACTAAAACAAAACTCTGACATTAAATCACACTAATGTCGTTAATCTTCACTGTCAAAATCACTTAACAGTGTTCCAAACAGTAACAATAACAGACCAAATACAAATCACATGTATCATGCTGTCTCTACCGTTCTTAACATGAGGTAAATGGTAATGAATTTCTTAATGGCAATTATTGCAAGCATCCTGATAATAAGCTAAACTTCAATCTAACAATTGCATTTTTAATATGACTATGACACATGAATTCAATGAATGTTCTGCTTATTTTTTATAATGTTATTCTAAATTGATGCAAGTAACATCCTATGCATTGACACGATATTGCAGTAGGCAGTATTTATTTAACTTTCCTCTATCCAATGTACATATTAATAATTAAATATTTCATGCAATCCCTTTTAAGTCAAACACACATAAATTAATGTTCCCCTTTATTAGATAGCACTCGCTCATTAATTACCATATTTATTAGTTGACTTTTAAACATTTTCTTTATGTTTGCACTGAAGATTGCTTCATGTATGAGCTTTAATTAAAACATAATTTTACACGAATAAATTATAATATTCATTTGTCATTTTTGGTATTAAAACAAATTAAACATTTATTTGAAATGCATCACTTTTATATTTAGTGTTTAAAATTTCAAATCGGCTTTTGTGGAAAACCCTTGCATAGTGTAACATCGTGTCGTACAAATATTCAGTCAAAATGACTTTTAAACTAAAAACGGATAAACGTGTCATGAATCATGATCTCCAGTTATTAATTCAGTCCGGTCAATTAACTTCATTTTGTTTAGCTGTAATAACGCTTAAGCTGTACTTAAATTTATTTATATCATGCACATGATAATGAATATCGAAATTAGTCTGGTTGCGTAATGTGCTACTTGATATCAAAAAAGAATCATCATAAAAACTTCTCTAATAATTTAAATTGTAGAGAATAAATCTTTTAAAGCCTAAATGTCATTATAACAATTTCAATAATATTTAACAATCTTTAGGGTGGAGAATCTTTACATAAATAGTTAAATACTTCTGAAAGACAAACTAGACTTCAATGTCTGTCCTAAGTGGATCATCAATTTCCCAGTCTTTATAAATATTGCCAATACTTATCCCTTCTCAAGCAAGGAATTTTTGAAAAACTTGTAATTAGTGTCGAAAATATTGTAGATCAACTTTTGTATACCCCATAAAACAGGATTATATTGTTAAAAAAGAGATAAAAGTTTTATAAAGTTTCACAACATTTATGATGTGAAGATTAAAATTTACTGCAATTTGTTTCATATTTAAATTGAGAAACTTGTCTTCATTGTTATGAAGTAAGTATTTAAATTGTTTTCGAAAGAAGTTTTAAGTTTTTTTCTTTTGTGTTTTTAGACGAGACAGGAAAAGTTCATATTTTACAATGGAATTTCCATTGGGTGACATTAAAGATATTTACATATCACTCTACGTTTCATTGCTGCAATCAAATATTAACATAAACATCACATAAATATCAAGGATTCTGACGTCTAATTCCTTCTTTATTTTATTTTGGAATGAATGTCTCAACTACACGAAACGGATTTGTTTTCCATTGGAAAAGCTTTTATTCAAGTTCATTTCCTTTTAAATAATGAGTATGACGTGGGTTAGTCCAATGATGTATTAGATTAAGAAACACAAAAGAAGCTATAAATACATCAATAATGCCGCCATGAGAAAAAATACACTTTGCTTTATTTTTATTGAATATTTGATGGTTGAACTCTTCTTTCGTTCTTTTTATATTTCAATTAAGAGATGTTACGGATGTTACGACAAAATAAATTTTCTTAGGAATTCAAGATTTATCTGAGATGTTAAAAGATTTATAATTTAAATACTTTTCTCTTTTTTTTATGAAAATCCGTTTATGCGCTGAATGGAACTCTGAATTACTCGCAAATGCTCAAACATAAATAGCAAAAGCATGTAAAATTTATGTGGATCTTAAAAGATTTTATTCACTTTCATTTTTCTTCTTTAGATTTCCAAGTGTATCTAGAACTTTATTTCTATATCAAATCAAATGATGATTCTATAGACTGACATGTACACATAATTTTCATACATTTTTGAATAAAAATCACAAATTTCAATCATCTGGAGAGAATAACAAAAATTGAAATATTTACTACGGCATCTTATGAATCACGTCAAAAAATGATGAAAGAATAAAATATTTTTGTAAGGAAAATCAAGACTTTTGATTGACATTCACAAAGAAAAGTGATGAAATGCCTATGCCGTATTTTCTAAATACTTTTACTCACTTCCAACCACATGGTTGTTTAACCAAACGCTCTAAATATTTAATGTTGTTTTTCGATGTTTGATATAAAATTTATTGATTTTGTGTATATACATCTGTCCTTTCTCCCTCTGTATAAAAATAGCATAATAATACTATAAACCAAAGCAAAAAATTCTTATTTTCAAATTTATGTACTGTTCACCGCATTTAGTAACTAATTAAATGCTAATTTTACATCATACAATAAAATATCAAATTTTTATCATGTTNNNAATAGCATAATAATACTATAAACCAAAGCAAAAAATTCTTATTTTCAAATTTATGTACTGTACACCGCATTTAGTAACTAATTAAATGCTAATTTTACATCATGCAATAAAATATCAAATTTTATCACGTTTCAATTTGTTTCTCACAGGAAAAATGGTAACGCAACCGCAAACTCTCAGATTCGCATAGACTCGGAGCACAATTTACAAGAATACACCTACAAGAAAATAACACCTTGTGATGTTTGCTCTCAAGTTTTAAGGGGTGAGTCTTTGACCTAAGAATGAAAACACTTTACGCTTTCAAAAGCGTGTTTACCTGATCTTGCTGATTTCCCTTAAGGGGAAACTTTTAATCATTTTCAATATATAAACAAGGTAGACCAAATGAAATTTATCTTCCTAAAGTAGGATATTAGGACGACTAGTGTTGATAACTTTCAACAGCCGTAGATTTAAAAAATGTTTCTCTTATGCTTAGAAATTCTATAGAAGACTAGAAAGTTTAGTATTTGTTCAAAAAAATCTTTTTGTACATGAGCCTTGAAATTGTTAAAGAAAAAATCGATAAACAACCTACACAAATTTTTCTTTTCAACCAAAGTTGCTGAACAGTGGAAGTCATTAATTTTAATAGGAAGTCAAACCATCCTCGAAACCACAAATTATATTTTTTATTATATAAAAAGTCCTGTATAAATATTGTTCACAGGAAACTTTGAAATTCTTATCTTTCATTTCAACCACAACCTTCTTTCCGAACTCTCATAGGACACACGAGACAAGGCCTCAGATGTAGAATATGTAAGGTTAATGCTCATGCTGACTGTGCATCGCAATTACCAAAATGTCAAGTGAAAGCAAAACTTTTAAGACGTCAGAAGAGTACTTCGGAGATAGAGAATAGAATAGAACAGGAGGAAGAAAGTGAGTATAGTGGGAGATGAAACCTTAGCATACCAACCCGATGCTTTCAAATTGATGCTGAAATTATTTTTTAATGGATTTCGGTCGCGCTATAAAATGAGCTTAAATTATTTTTGTTGAACAATTTATTTTACAAATTTTCCTGATGCTGGTCGATTAATATGAAGCTGTCATGGAATCCTTCATAATAATCTTGAAACGAGACTCCATTTTGTAGTGAAGTTATGAAAATTGGTCACGCTTTGAATTCCTCAAAGCATGCATTCAAATATTTCCACTTGAATGTTCCTCATACTGAACCTCAGACACATTGATGTGTGAAATAAAAGCAATGCCAAATTAAAAGACGACAAAATGTTTCCTTCGGACGTGCCACAGCTTTTATTTCCACATCTCCGAGTTCAATCGCTTTGAAGAGCGATAAAACTTTATGCTGTTTTTCCATTTTCCTTAAAATTGACCAAGCAAGAAAATGAAAAAATGTTGACTGCGTGGAATGAATCGAATGTGTTTAAAATCCTTATAAATATTTCCTTCTTTCCTTACAACAACAAAAAAAAATCATATAGTTGAAGGCCCGACGCTATTGTCACGTTTCATAACAAATCGGGGACCGCTTGAGATAGGTTAGAAACAACATAAATTTATATTCTGTTTTGGTTTTGGATTGAAGAAAAGACATTTGAAATGTGCTGGGTATGAAAGTTTCGTGTTGCTTTTAAGTGTCCAAATAATCATAAGAGCGGATTCTATATCAGTTGCTTTAATATTAATAAACGTAATAAAATATGGAAACAAAATACCTCAAACAAATTCAGTGCTTCAAGCAATGCTTTGATGACATTTCATACGAAAATCGCACGCTTTCATTATAACTTTTCATTAACTTTCAAACATTCAGAGCCGAATGATCTCGACACAATTTATAAAGTATTGAAAAAAGCTGGTGAAATATCAGCAGCTACAGAAAAGAACCAAGCAAGTGGTGGTGCAAGTCAGCCAGCAATGGACATTCCAATCGTAAACATTCCCGATTATCCGGATCGTACACCACGAAGGGGACCACTGACATTTAAGGGGCCATTGACACATCAACAAAAACAGGGATTAACAGCACCATCAGCCGCTGACGTATCTAGTTCAGGTCCGAAAATGCAGCAATTTTGTCAAGCAAACGATTTTTAATTCACTTAATTTCCTTTGCTTGTGAAAAACTTACAGAAGCCGTCTTTATTCTCAACTTATTTGATATTTTGCATTACACCAGTTACACCTCACATTACTTCCTTTTTAAAAACAACAAAGTTTATTGCATTGACCTAGCTTTATTACAGTTTACTTAAATATTACTCATTTTAGCTTAAATATTTCATAAATACAGAAAGTTGAATGCGAAAACTTTTTCCTTAGAAAGACATTTGAATTTAGATAAATATTTATTTGGATGTCAATATTGGAAACAGTTTTGAAAGCTTTTAATGTCTTATTGAATTTGGTAGAAGCTTAAAAATATCTTTTTAATGTTTGAATAAGATCTAGAAATTTTTATTTCACTTTAGTGATAAATATTAGAAGAAAAATTCTGCAAATGAATGGCGTTGGTGGAAAAAATAATCAGCATTGATAACGACACAATTTTTTGCTGGTTTTTCTTAACGTCATTTAAAAGCAAATTTTTCTTGAATAAATATTAAACTCATGTTAAGCAAGTTAATTTTTATTAAAAAGAAGAAAAAGAAAATTAAAATTTTCCACAAAATTTTATGAAATTTTCATGAAATATGAAGAGATTTGTTATTTGAATTTAGAAACCTCAAACTTTACCTTCATTTTTCATTTTTTATTATTTCCCATTCTCATTTTGATTGCCTGTCAAATATTTCCCAATAATTTGTCATTGAAGTTGGTTGAAATTATTGAATTGTCACTCAGGAAATCTGCATAAGATTTTTCTTTCTTCAAAAAGCATAAAAGAATGAAAGAAAGAGAAGGGTTACGGTTTTGCACATCGCAATTTATTGGTTCATTTGTTTTTATTGCCGAAATCTTTTACGAAACTGAGTGAAGATGAAAAGGCGGTTAAGGATTTCTAGGATTTCATAACGACGAATTCAGAGAGTAAAATATTCAGATAAAATGAAATAGTTTTCTAGATCCAATTAAAAGCAGTTATTTGATCTCTTGCATACTAATTCTTATAATAATTCTTAAACACGTTAGACCGACAAATTGGCTCCACCACATCAACCGCAGCAACCAGTCAGGTTTACGATCCTGGTGTTAAACGACGTTTATTTGCTGGTTTCCGACCTCTATCTGGATTTGGTCTCTTACGAATGCGATCGTCGCAAAATCGCTCGATATCATTGCCAGAAAGTAATTTTTCTTATTTGATTTAGTAGTACAACAGTTGAACAGTTTTCTTTATTTTATTTGTCTCGTTCCTTTATGTTTCTCGATGCTCGATTTCTTTCTTCGTTTTATGTTTTTACTTTCTATCTATTTATTTGTCTCTCCCAATAAATATGATTTCGTTTCCAAGGAAAAATCAATCTATTTAACAATTTAATGTCATTTACTTTTTTCTCTCTCTCTTTTTCTTTCTTTTTCTTCTGCTCATCACGTGTTTTATTTGAAAAATAAAAAAATTTCTCTGTTACGATCTGAACGATTTACGATTAAAAACGAAGGGCAAAATATTGCTGCCTCCTTTGATGTTTGTACGAATGATAAAAACTTTTTAAAATCATAAATTAAACACTTCAAATAATAAAATGAATGTTAGATAACACAGTTGACCCAATAGAATCATTGAATATTAGGTAGATGTTGAAAATAGAATTCTTTAGTTGCTTTATTCACCGTAACATAATTGAAATTATTTTAGGAGATATGCAAACATTATTTTGTGAATAACTCGTTTTCAGTTTTCGAATTTAAATCCAAACCAATTATTACCGTAACTATTTATAGTTGAAACACATTTAAAAAGTGACAATAACTTAATTAATGGCATCATTATTGTTAGTGAAAACAGAGATTCTTTCATTTTATTTAAATGTGAAAATTTATAGTCGCCTCTTTTTTGTAAATATTTGCAGAGGTTGTTGCGTCAAAGTTTTTAGATGTAGCGATGCAATTATTGTATCCCGACCGACTATAACTTTTATCTATGCTCATCCATTTTATGTTTCCATAAATTTTTCATTATTCCTCCGATCCGATAGACAGTTCAGACAAGCGAAAGCAAGTAACAACATACATTTAATTCCACATAAGTTTCGCAACACCGTCGCCCTAAAATTTATTGTCATGATGTTCAACGTTGTTCTCTTTTCCATACACATTCAACTGACTAGAAAAATAGCACAGAAAGTCAGAATATTTGCGAAAATTTCATGAAATTGGTAAATAAATCAAACTTAAGTTTAAATACATTGCTATGGCCACATTTCAAATGAGGTTTATGGTAGCTTGTGTAAATATTTGCAATTTCAAGTAATCGTCATTCATTTAAGCGGAAATGAAAAAGGATCCATTTATGCAAATTTCGTTCAATAGCTGGCACTCTTTGACATTTTGGTCATGAAATGTGAAGTCTCAACTCAGTTTTATATCCTTAAATGAATTGAATTTTCCAAGCAATCATTTCAAAATCCAATTCTAATAGATTTATTGTTTTATGATGCTTTTATGTAAAGCTCAATATAAATGGTGTTGGAAATGCATAAGAATGAATGAGACTTATTTTTTTATTTATAAGGAGCTTTTGAAATATTTCTGGAATTATATAATATTTTATATTAAGCAAGTCTCGAGAACATTCAAATGATGATTGAATAATATCACATTTGTTTTGAAACTCTTTCCGAACCAGATTTATTTTCTGTTGAATTCAATTCCTTTCAAGCTTGAAGGTGTTTCTCGATTCTCAATGGAAGCATGTTGTTGAGAAACCTCCAAAAGTTTAGTGTTGTTTAATACCTCAGGAATAATTTTTAAATCATCAGTTTAATTTTCTACTCGTTCAAACTAAAATTTGTACGAATAAATTGCTTACTCATGCCAATTTTGCAACATTTTTCCATGAATGAGCTTACAAATGCATAAATCGGATTTTCATTGTTTTTACCAGAATTAATAAAACTCAATGATGTGCCAGCAATTTAATATGTGAATTCAGTTTTTCATCTCCAGACGTTTCAAGGACGATGAACATTTTCAATTCAGTTTTTTCTGTTGTGGTCTGGTAAGGGTGAAATTGATCAAGGAACTGTTTTGTTTCTTCAATTTGATCGAAGAGAGAATGAATTGAAATCTATTCAAGCGAATATTCCCTGACTCACCCATTTCATATAACCTGACGGTTTGACTTTTCTTAAAAACAAAAGCCTCAAGTATTTATAATAATGAATAACAATACTCAATTTGATTCAATTTATTCTGAAAATGGCCCCAAAGCATTCATCCTCTTATCAAAAATTTGATGCAAAGCTTAGCAAGCTCAATGTTTCCGTTTTATTTTACTAACTTAATTTAATTAAATTTAATTTTAAACAAGAGTGAAATTGTTTGGCATTATATTTATTTATGATTTGTGAAGCATAGAAAGTCCTGATTAACAATAAACTCTTTCAGACCTTTTTTTCCTTTTTCATTGATGCGGGTTGAAGATTCAATTTCTTTCGCTTTCTAAGGATTTTTCTTCACGAATGAATTTGTAATAACAAACGAAGAGATAATTAAAACTTTTCGGATGGTTTGATATAATTTAAATATAAAGAGAAATTGTTTCAAACTGATTTTTGCCTTCCAAACTTTTTTGTCTTTGTTTTTCGTCACAACTCTGAACTTTATTTCATTACTTTTCTAAATTAGATGAAATGACGTCAAGACCCTTTGGTCAACCTTTGGCTTTGCGTGTTGGAAGTGATGAAGATGACGCACCTGTAAGAGACTCGTTTGCGCGAGGCGCTCGACGAAAGAAATAAAAAAGAAAAGAATTGAAAAAGTTTAATTGAAAATCAAGATAATTGTTAACTGGATTATTGTTTTTAAGTTATGCCACAAAAGCGTTCAAGATTATATAGATATCAATTTATTTTCACATATTTTACTTGTGTAATTTGCCTTTTAAATATTTAATTTCCAAATTAAATTGAAATAAGAAATCCAAAATAAATTCATGAAAAAGATTATAAATTGGAAATTCTAAATGTTTAAATAAAATTGTAAATAAATTTCATTGATGAAGAACAAAAGATTTCATTTTTGAATTCGCAATTTAATGACATTATTGTATTGAAAATCCTCTTCCGATTGAAGTTGAACGTCCATTTAATAACTGCTTGTCATAAGGCAATAAAATAAGAGAATTTAATTTCCCCCAACTTAAACTGAAAGAGGAAAAGGCGAATCGAGTAAAGCTCGTGAATTATTAAACTTTTATGACGATTCTCGATTCGGAACGATAAAATTACGAAGTCATATGGAAACTGGTTGAATGTGATGTCGACATCGTTCCACTAAAACTTATATAGGGCAAGCGTTATGAAATTAAAAATCGAAATTCTTTTCGAGATGAAACCAGAAAATGACTCTTTTTAATAGCACTTTTTATTTTCCCCCTAAAATTACTTTAGATCCAAGTTGAATTTTATGTTTGTATTTAAAGAAACTTTTAGTTGTCCGTTCTATGTTCAAATTGCGCTCGACTATAAAAGATTAGAAACTGCATAAAAATTCTCTACTCTCTATAAATGTTTTATGTTCTTTCCTTCTGTATGAGATTAAGTGGTAATATATCGATGGGGAATGTAAAGTTTAGTTTAAAACTCAAGATGCTACTTTAAACATATCTATGATGTCGCTGTGCATTTGAAAAATATTTGATATAATTGTGCAGTAATGTAGAGTTGATGTCAGCACTTCAAAGTTATCTACTTCCTTTATGTCGTGAGTCTTTCTTCTTATTTCAAATTTTATTACTTAATCTATTGACTTAACAAATTAACAACGATTAACAATTCAATTTTCTAAGCTAGAAAATAAATCTTCGTCATTAGCAAAGAATGATTAAAAGCATCATTAAAAGCACTCAATAAAAATTTAATCCTTCCACAAGATCACAACCATCATATCCATAAAAAGAGACTCTTGACTTTAATTGGAAAAGTTTCCATCATAAAATCTTGCTTTATAGTGATCATCATCATTCTCTTGATGATGGTTAGAAATGAGATTCTCATTTAAAGTTTAAAGACATCATTAAACCTTAAATTTTTTTTATTTGCATGCATAAAAAGTTAAGCTTTAAATCCTTCTCAGTCAACCACTTGCAATAATTTAAGTAATTAGAAACTTCCGCTTGAATCGAAGATTAACGACATAAATTGTCTACAGCAATTAGAAATAGAATTGAATTTAGTTATTTACCACCCACACATATTTTACATATTTAACACTTTAAAAGTAGAAAAGTCACTTTTAACTCAGTTGATTTGCTTTTCTCTTTTTAATGCTTTTCACATAATTAATTTTCACTGTTAGTCACAACATAGTCTCTCTCACTTCTTTTTATAATTCATTCAATTAAGTTGATGATGAGCACAACGTTAATAGACATTTTACGATTTTCATTTTCCAACACAAAAAGCAGCACCACATTCACCACGTCGACAAAAGCTTAATTTGCGAATGAAGTCGTTAAGCTTGGATTCACCGGAATCATCAGAATTGCATGGGAGAGGAAGAAGATATCCGCCAAGTACATCAACAGGCTATCATCATGGATCGGGGGGACATCTTGAGCATAGCACTCCACCTTCTAACAACAGTCGATTACATTGTAAGGATCGTTGCTTAAAAAGTTGACGAAAAGTTTTAATTTAAAATTAATTGCTTTCCATCAGCACCCTCGAGTCCGTCGTCAAATCAGCGGAAACTTTTATACGCAAACCGTGGTCTGAAATCAGGTTCAGTGGACTTGCCTGACGAGGTAGAAAAGAGCTTATCATCAGCTAGTACTTCGCCGTGTCCATCACCCGTAAGACAAGTTCAGGTGCCAAGCGATAAAGCTTCTTTTCTCACTTTAATCTGGAAAAACTTTTCACTGATCTTATAATTTCAATGAAAGAAAAATTTTAAAAAAAGTTTCCTTTTCTTATTGCACGCTATCGCTTCGATTAATAAAGTCTCTTCTTCCACAGTTTATTAATGCACTTAAAGTCGTTCAAAAAAAAAGACTAGAAAAGCCAAAAGTTTCATTACTTCATTCATTTCACAAGATTTTCTTCATCCTTCGAAACGAAAGAGAAGAATTCATTGAAAAGTTTTAAGAGCTAAAAGCTTTTAGTAATTTTCGTTTCGATCTATTTGGAGAAAGAGAATCTTAAATATATTTGATTGTGCTGTCAAACATAACATTGATGGAGCCTTTAAAGACTCAATTTTTCTTCATTTAATTTCTCTCTTTCCTTCGCATCGTAAATCCATATTGATTCATTTGTACAACATTCAGAAGCCTCAACGATTACTCCCAACAAACCTATACGTGGTTTTATACAACTTTAAATCAAGACATCAAGACGAACTGGATCTTAAAGCTGGCTATAAGGTGAAATGAATCAATTTAATAAATGAGATTAATAATTCTGACATTTATGTGATTAAGGTGACCGTAATCGATAAGTCAGATCCAGACTGGTGGAAAGGAAAATGCCTTGGAAGAATTGGATACTTTCCATCAAAGTACTGCTGTAAATTGGCTGCGGGAGAAAAACCATTGCAAGTCACACATAATCTTCAAGTTTCGGATGGTGAGAGAGGCGAAATGACTCTGTTAAGGGATCAAATTGTAATTCAGGTAGGTTTTCATAAAAGATTTTGTGTGTGTGTGTTTGGAAAAGACTTTCTAGGGATCAAGTTATCTTTTCTCCGGAAAGTTTTATTAACATATCCTGGGAAAGGATGAATAAATATCAGGGTTATAGTTAGCATACAGATATACCGTTTGTTTGTCTAACAACTCAACTATTATAAAGCACGACGACGAGTGTTTCATGTTACTTGATATGACATAAGCTGGGACGACGAAACTTTTTTTTTATATGGTAATTACCGTAGACACTTCAAAACATTGCGATTCCCAAGAGAATAAACCCAACTCGGAAACAACGAACTTAGAAAATCGTGAAATAAAGTGATGGTCGTGTAATATCTCGCAAACTGGGAAAATTTCAAGTCCAAACTTTTCCCATTTCACTTCAATCTGATTCGGGACAACAAAAAGCAATTTGTAATAAAAGTCTATAAAGAAACTGGAAATTCTTTGCTTTCCTTCTCAATTCTTTCATTTTTTTCTCTCTTATCGATTATGGATCATTTGTCTTACATATTTTACGCATATTTTCTGCATATTTTACGCACATTTTATGCAAATTATGCATATTTTATGCATATTTTATGTGTATTTGATGCAAAAAACTGCATAAAATGTGCATAAAATGTGCGGTCCTGTGTCTTACATATGCAGAATTTATGTATATTTTATGTGTATTTTACGCATATTTTATGCAATATTATGTAATAAATATGCGTAAAATACGCATAAAATACGCATAAAATGTGCGGTCCTGTGTCTTACATATGCATAATTTATGCATTTTCTGTGCATAAAGTGTGCATACGATTATGCATAATTTATGCATATTTTATGCAAATTAAGCATATTTTATGCAAAAAAAATGCATTACCATAAAATATGCATAAAATATGCAAAAAATATGTAAAATATGCATAATTTATGCATAATTTATGTAAGACAAATGATCCATTACCTCTCTTATCCATGGAATTGCGGAAAGCTCTACCCGAAAATGATTTTGTAAATGGGGAAAAAGCATAACATCTGATATGGTGAGATGAATACAAGAGAAGAGCGTGGGATGTTTATTCAAAAGCTTATATTTATAGTCTCACTTCGCTAAAGAAATAAAGTTTCATGAGACACTTGTTGCTTTGCCTTTTCTTTTTGTCTTCTTTTTGCTTCATTCGGCGACAAAAATAAGTTAATCCTACTTCATTGGAAGGAGGCGAAGCGATGTAAAAAAGAAGAAGAAAAATCATTGTTTGCGGAATTAATTCGGCCTCGTTCTGAGTTGAAGCATCAAAATTTCGACCATGAAAACAGTTTGCTATCATATGTTATATTTTATCTTTTGTTTACTCACATATTTAGATTGGTGAAGAGATAAATGGAATGATGATGGTACGCGCAGCAGACAATCGACAAGGCGTCTGCCCGGCGAAATATCTTCAAGACGTCTGACAACCGGAAGACCAAAAACTTGATAGAGATCGCGATAAGAGGGCCACAATCACCTCAATAAAGCCCACAACCTCGAACACAATGAAGAAATCCAGCAGCTTTAGCTTTAGTCAAGTTGCTTCAGCAGCTTCAAATAAAAATCTTAACTTAAATATGGCTGCAATAGCCGCCGCAGCTTCAAGTAAAAATAAGAAAGCAAATCTCACAAAACAAGCTAGTCATGGAACGAAAGACGGCACAAGTACAGATAGAAGTTATAAGCAATGGGAAGAGCTTCGTATAAAGAAGCTCGAATCATTGAAAAGTCACAAAGCGAATGTGGAGAGACGTCAGAAGGCCGATGACATGTCGTTAATCAAGTACAATCATCACGAGAGTATTCAACCACCGCAAATCAAACCCCGAACCAATCTTAATCAAAATAAACCCACGCGACAGCAGAGAGAGCGAGAACAGTTTCGTGAACATGCTCGCTATCCCCATCGTCGAAAGATTTCATTGGATCCCAATTGGTATACAGATAACATTTACTCAAATCAATCATATGATGATTCAGATTGTGACAGTATGAAACGACCCTTGACAACATCCGCTTCATTCTCGCATTACACAACGAGAGGTAATCGATATAATTCACATAAAAATAGCTTTCATCGTTATGATTTCAATGGCAATAACAGAGCAAACAACATAAATATCAATATCAGCAATACAGCAAACACAAAATTGCACGCTCATTCATCATCGTTTGATGATGAAGCGTGTGCTGCTTCTTCGCCTTATTTCGAACGTCGTAGAAATTATCCAAAATCTCATAGTTGTAGTTTTGCTGAGCGTTATCGTCGAGATCCCGACATTAAGGCTGTGTCTGAGTCACGGTCTCGAAGTGTTCCAAAGTCACACTCTTTCAGCACAAATCGTTCTGTCATGAGACAACATGATATGGATTTAATAGAATATCAAAGGTATCGTCGAATGATGGCGCAAAGATATCGTGAAAGAGTTGCAGATATGAATGATCCGTATGTACGACGAATATGTGATCGCGAAGGATGTTTCAGCGAGACTTGCCTCGTGAAAAATGTTAACAACAGTCAAAACATCAGTATCAACAACAACATTATAAATAATAACAATCTCAACTCGACTCGAATCATTAACGAGTGGGATTTGCGCAATAAAAGCAGCGTTTATCACGACGACGATGATGACAGGAGACGCCATTTTCCAAGAGAAACTTTGATTGATGACATTGATACGTTTGACGACGACGATTTTATATTCAACGATGGATTTTCGTTTCAAGAATTTCCTTGTCAAGCGTCACGACCAAGTCGTCAAAGACCGTATCGAAATCCATATTTTTCATCGATGCGATTCGCCAATTTTTCGGATCATTTTCATCGAAGAAATCGAATTCATGATCGTGATTTGGATGACTTGTTTCGAAGTGAACGCTCAAAACTTCTCATCCGAAATAAGTTTGATAAGTTGAATAAATACAGCGACGATTTTGCTGATGATTATCAAAAGTCATTCGAAGATTTGTTTGTTGAGAATAGAAACAATCATCATGGTCATAATCTGAAGCCTTCGAAAACAATGTTAGAAGTCAAACCACCAGACAAATACGACGACACTGAATCAGATTCAATCGATTTAGATTTGGATGACTTCAATCTCGATTTCGAGAAATATTGGGAGGAATTAGAAGACAAGAATTTGTCAACTTCATCGACATTGGAACTTATAGAACCGAATGACCATTTCGACACAAACAATAATCACATTGATATGAAATGTCCGATAACTAATGATGCTAACAACAATCCTATCAACTTCATAAATGACTTTTATAAGCCTACGAAATATTCGCCCTTGAACTCGAAACAACACGATTATTTCCGTAAAATTTTACCACCAAAGAAAATGAACATTCCAAGCACAACAAGACCATTGGGCATTGTGACGACACAAGAAGATTACATGATTTCAATGAAACGACCACTTACGCTTAACAATATAATCGAATCGCCATTGGGAACCCCACCCATTCACGACACATCATCCTTTTATTACGATGAGAACATGGAAACGGCTAAATTCCAAATTATTCCTAACAAGACTGGTTTAAAGATTTCTCCTTTATACAGCTTCGACCACGACAATTTTCACGGAAATATTCACAGTCCCAGCAATGTTTTCTATGAAAATTGTCACAATATTATAAACAAAAGTAAGAATAAGTTGAAAAGTACAGCACGACCGCTACTGTTCTGGTGATTACTTCTGAACGCTGCAAAAGAAATTTTGTGAGATTTTCCAGCGAGCTTTTTTATCTTTAAAAGAAACTTTCAAATGAAATGCTTTTCATTTATATAAAGAAAAATAAGAATATTTGCAAGAGATATAAAATTATACACAAATACATAATAAATTATGTGATATTTTTGTGTTTACATGTGGAGAATGTTGATGTGCTTAGACAAACCAAATTGCAACAAAAAAAAATGTCCAAGGAATGTTTTTAGTTCAAATTGCACATTGAAAATTTGGATATTTTGATTGGTCGACAGAAAAGAATTCTAGAGAAAACATGAAGAAAAATTCTTACAAGCACCAAGTAGAATTTATCAAAATTTCTGTTGGCTTTTCCCACCACATGGTTGAGAATTTTAGAATTGTAGCACTTTTAGCAATTTTTGTTATCTGAAATGATGTTGAATTTTTTACACATCGGAGCATATCTTGCGCAAAGCTTTCCCTTAGAAAACTGGAAAATTTCTAAACAATTTCCAAATTTTCTTTCAACATAGAACTAACATCTAATTAAGTGTGTAGTAGACGAAAATGCATCTTTGACTAAAATAGTATTTTAATGAATGACAAGAAAAAGAGAAAAAATCTTTAACAATGATTAAAAGTATAATTGTGAAAAATTATAAATTATTACGCCGGATCTTATGAAAAAAAAATTGAAAGAAAATCTGTTTTGTAATTGAAACAAGGATTAAATATCAATGAACAATGAGAATTTTAATGAATGATGAAAGTTATTGACGCAACATAAATAGAGGATGAAAGAAATATATTTTAATTCTATCGCTTATTTAGTTAACCTTGAAAAAATAGATCAAAATCAAATGTGCATAAGCTTTGAGTCAAGAAAACCCTTAGACATTAGAAACTTATTTTTAAAAAAAATAACAGTAAAGAAATAATCAAATTAGCTTGATGATGAAGCTTTAAAAAATTATTAAATTTTTAGACTAAAAGAATCGCAACATTTTAGAACATAACAAAGACCAAATGCTGCTGCTACAAGAATGTTTTAATCATGTCTCAATTATGCTTTTATGTTAAAACTTTTTATTGACAAGAAATTTCTCATGCAACAATTTCTTTAGGCCAAAATTTCCTTTTTATTTGTTTTACTTGAACATGATTATAATTAATTAATGATGTTTCTTGTTTTAACGTTATTGTAAAATTATAATGAATGTTGAATATTTCTTATTACTGTTGAGACATGAACCTTTGTGTTTTAATGTCGTGTGATTCATCGTGAAAAAAGTTCAATGTATAATAAAGAATCAAAAGAAAAAAGAAGATAAAAGATAAAGCACCAAAGCCTTTCCACTACATAATAGAAAATCTGATTATTTTCGCGGGATATTAAACCGTTAACATAAAAACATTCATACCTACCATTTATCTTACCGCATCAACAAAAGAGAAGAAGTATTAACACAAATCCTTAAGAAATTGCACCTTTACGACCTTATCGATACGTTAATGTAATCTTTAAGCAAATTGAATGGAGAAATCTTTCAGAAAAAGAAAAATTTTATATAAAATTTTAACATAAAATTCTAACGAAAAAAGGGAAGAAAAATTATTGAAAGACATTTTCGGATATTTAATGCTGGATAAATATTTTATCCTAAAAATGTTTCATCTACAGAGATTCTAACTTTTTTCTATCCCTTCAAACACAAGACGTCACTTTCCAAACTAATTAGAGAAACCTAAAGCTAGAAAATGCATTTTATGTTAACATAAGAAGAAATTCAAGGAGCATGAAAAGTAATTGAGAAATAAATGGCATAAATATAAAAAAAGGATCATCTCAGAATTTTCAATTTTTTTATTTATTGTCGCGTCCTAATTTGATTCGAATCATTACAGAAAAAAGTTAATTAAACTAAATATATCACAATCAACAGTTTTGGTTACAGCATTTCTGTCTGCTGATTTCATTTTCTCTTTCAATTCTTTCACACCGTCGATCATAAGTAAGTCGAATAATTACAATTCTAAGTTTTTATCTTCATCTTAAATTTTTACTAAATAAATCAGTCAAGTTTTGGTAAGTGTTGTATGGTTTAAAGCTTCTTGAATTATGCTGGACTTGAAGATGAATTGTCTGAACTTACTCTTAAAGTTCTTCGACTCTGACTGTTCTGAGGTAGTTGAGATTGAGCTTCTATTGAATTTGGTGATGAAGGAGCTGATGGTAAGAAAGCTGCCGATGAAGCAGTGAAATAAATCGAAGGTGGAGCAGAATTATCTGAATTACTTGTCGACGTACAAAAATCTTTCGCTAAAGGAAAGAGAGAAGAATAAGGCGGGGGTGGATCATATTGTGGACAATTATTGTCTTCATCTCTCTCTGTTGACATTGTCTCCATGGGTTCTCCATTGTTATTGAACTGTTCAAGTACGTCATTCTTCTGAACTCTTCGAATGCATTCCCAAATACCGCACATAAGTAAGACAACTGAACACATCAGCATTCCAAGCATCATATATCCCCATGAACCATAACGTGATAAACTATTTTTACTCGTATTTCTACGTGGTGTCTTAATGAACCTCATCTCAGGAGGTTCAGGATTCCTTATTTTCGGCTGCTGATTATTTATGTTTACTCGTTCATTCATTTCCACATTTCTGAGATCATTGTACAAATGAGTAGCAAGAGTTGGACGAACGTCTGTGTCTGGATGTGATGGCAATGGATTTAAAGCTGCCATTGCTGATGTCGACTCAATTGAACCGAAAATGTTTTGAAAAATTCCAAGTGTCAAATGTTGCCAAATTGAAGATTTTTGAAAGTTATTCTAAAAGTAAAGAATTAATTAAGCAAAGAGAAATGAAACAGAAATTCATTTTCTCTTACATTTCTCAAGTCTTGGTCATCAAATCGATGTTGTCTGCACATTTGTACGTCTTCATCGTCAAGCATTCCACTCCCAGTTGGACATTGTCTTATACCATCACATATTAAGTCGTCAGATATGCACAGCAATGGCTCATCACTGAAATAATAAAAAGAAATGTTTTTGACATTTTTAAAAAAGCATTTAAATATTTTATGTAACTTACCCAAATTTCAGACAAGCGTGTTTGCTTCTATCTCTACAAGCGTCATTTTTTGACACTACAGTGACGCTTAGTTTGTAATTTGGATGATTTGATCCATGAACCCAAAGAATCTTTACACGACCCTGTAGAATTTTCGTTGGCTCATCATTCGCCTCCATCTGACAAGGATCGAAACGCCACGGTGATTGATGTTCATCTCCCAAAGGAGTCTGTAAATATGAATAGAGAATAAATTTCAATAAAAACGAGTGTTAATGAGGAGAAAATGTAATTTTTGCTGATTTTCACACGGACAAAAATTATTTGCGAAACAAGAAACGAAAAATTCCCCAAGCAGATTAACTAGCAACCCAACGTTCTAGCGTTTTAATTTATTTACGTCAGCAGTTTAATTTAAATATATATTTCAGCTTCTTCGTAGGGTTATTTTTTAGGGACATAATTTATAGCTTAAGGAGATCATTATCATGCTTATTCTAATTGAGCCTTCGTGTTTTAAATACGTTTAGAAGAAAACGACAAAAGAAAGCAGAAAAATAAAATTTTCATCATCTTAAAGAGAAATTTGAAATATTTTTAAAGCTTCATGTTGAACTTACAATACTTATTGGACAATATTCTGTGATGTTGTGTCGTCTGAAGTTCCTAATTGCATCATGTGCGGAGTTATTCAATCTAATTAAGCGGATGAACAATCCAGTTGAGTCTGGGGCAGTGAAAAATCGCTTGCATGAGCTCATTGATTTTCCCGGATCTAAATCCATAAGTAAAGTTGATTCAGGTCCACGATCCGGGAGAAATTTGTCTTGTTCCTGACTATTACAAAATATCTCATTTCTTGTGGGTGTCAGTAATCGATCATTTAATGGTATTGTGTCGATGTCTGTAATAAAAAAAGGAAACATTTCTATAAAAGCTGTCAATTCATTTTAAATGGATGACAAATAAATAAACAAAAAAGTGAAATTAAACGTGAGAAAACCATGAAGAAAAAAATTGTTTAAGTGAGTCATCGTCATCGACGCGGAGAATCACTTAAAAGAGAAAAGAAGCAATTACCAAAAAGTGGCAAAAAGTTGCTTGCGGATTAACTGTTTAGCTTCTTTTTTAGTTTTGAGCTCATCTCGTGGATAGTTTAATGTTCAACCTCCATCGCCAACGAGTCGAAGATAATTACGTGAAATTCACTTGAAGACAATAACTGTGATTATGGTAGCGAAACTGTTAAACTATGGCACCGTAATCGAAACCAAATACGGCATTGAATTTGATTTATTAGCGAAAGAATCTAATTGCGTGATTCATTAACCATATGTTACTGGTTGTACTTAAATATTCGATAAATGTTGTAATGCAACTATATAAATAACTAACAAGTATAAGCGGAATTTGCTTTTAGGTAAGTAATCAGTAATGATTTTATGGCGATTACGTTGCAACGATGAACTAACAAATGTCTGAATAAAATAACTAAATCAATGAAGCTCTCAACGATTTATTCGGCTGTTTGTTTTCCATGAAGAAGGAAAAATTCTCTGCGTAAGCTTATAAATAAACAAATGAATTGATTGGAGGTCATTTTAATCGAATTTATGACGTAAAAAATGGTTGAAAGTAAGCAATAAAACAATCCTAAATTTAATTAGCCCTGAAGAAACAACCCAAAATAAACTTTTTAATTTTTTCACAATAAATGTTTTTATTACAACCGTAAATCAGCTGACGAAACGTGCCATTGAAGTGGCAGCCGTTTGTTACTATGTGAAACATGAAACGATGTCGAAGCAAGTGGAAAATCGAAAGTTCATTGACGTTAGTCACGTTAAGATGGGAAATTTATGTTTTACACTTTTCACTTCCCACCCACTAATATCAGAAAGAGCAAAGAGTGGAAGCGAAATTAATTTTAAGTGCGGTTTCATAATATTCAGTCACAAGGGGAAGAAGAATTTTTTATTTCATTTTTATTTAATATTTTAGTGAGAAAAACGATTATGGTGAAAACATGAAATCAACACTCCCTACATTACATATCGAAGAAGGAAGTTCAACTTTTCTTTTCCATCATCGCATTTCTGGTTTAAAACCAGATCCCGTTGATTATGTTTGTTTAGTAACGTTTTAATTTAAGTGTAAATTTATCTCGATGTACAAAGAAATCTAAACGCTAACAAGAAGCAAAAATTAACGTTGCTAAAAATAAAACATCCCTCATCGTTGATAAGTGGGAATTATTTGCTTCATTCTCAACACAGAATTAAAGATTCAACGTCGTTGTCAATTGTTTCCGCTTGAGACTTATGGTTCTCTTCGCAAGCAAGTAAATTCAAAGCAGCAGAGAAGAAAAAATGAGAATACGAACAATGTCGATGTCTTAATGGGAAGCAATTTTAACGAATGCTAACAATCAATTCCAATTTAAGTTCACCTTCTGTTTCATTGTTTTCAACTTCTTTATATTCTCGTTCTATCGATTTAAATAAGAAAGGGAAGTTCATAAAAACAAACGAGAATCACATGTCGCACTCGCACAATATGTTTAATAATGAGGTCGTGTTATTTCCTTTCTTTTGGCGATCAATAGCTGGGGTCGGGTGGAAATGCAAGCTTATTCTTTATTGTTTTATACATAAATCTGAGCTGTGTAAGGCACGAAAATATAATAAAGTTGGAAACACGTCCTGCTGTCAGAACTCAACGCAAGAAACGATGAAAAAAGCTATCAACGAATTTCCGGTTCTCGGCAAGTATTTCCAACCGAAAAAATTAATGAAAGAATCTTTGGGAGGTTCCAAAAAGCCGAAACATGAAAGCGAAATCAGCGGTCAGCAACAGCAAACGAAAATGAAAACTTAAAAAAGCACCGAAATCGATTTCTGAGATTAAAACAAGATTTCAATATGTTCAAGTTGAATGCTCCCAAAGCTTACTCATCATCAATCGGTACGCAGCAGCGAGCAAACAATTTTCTATCGTCTGGCTAAGCAGATTGAAACACTGCAAGAGGCAAAACCTGTGTGTGATTTTTTCTTATTTCAAGGGAAAAAATATTTATAAGAAATTCATGACAAATGCCGGTTGTGCCGGTAAAATGTTCACACGAAACTATTTGTCGCTTGAATATTTGTGTTTACTTTAAAGGCACTTGCTAAAACGTAATTAGAAGCTGAAACGATTTAATATATAATCGTGGTAATTGTGCAACTTATAGCTTTGTTTTTACGTCAATTTCTGTCTGAAACTTTCTCATGTTGTGTCTCTGATTTCCCTGTTTGTTTATTAAATTCCATTTAATGAATTTTATTTTTATGAAACGTAATTAAATATAGAAAAACAACAGCTTATGTAAACAGACGGTAAATATTTCTCGATAAAGAGATGATCATGAGCAGGTTAGGACGTAATCAAATGAAATGAGTCATTTAAAATTATTTGCAAAAGAAGAAAACAAACTCAAGGCCAATCTTAAAAAACGTTACGTCGTTTCGAACACTGAAAGGCTTCTGAAAGAGTAGGTGTGTCAATCTCTAAATGAATCTCGACTTATGAATCCCTGAAAGAACAGTTTACGATCTAATTTCTTCTATAATAATGTTTGTGTTACTATGAAAATAGCTGTTGTCGATTCTTCTCGTTTGACGAGTTTGTGAGAAAGTCTTGAAGTTCTTCTTTAACTTTGATCACAAATGAGTGTGTTGCAAGAACCGCTTCGTACATTTCTTTCTTATTATTAATGGATTTTTAACTCTGTTGAGTAAACGAGAGAAACTTTTCATTGAACTTTAAATTAGTGCCGTTGAAATCACGTAGGCTTGAGGCTGTTTCTTTTATTGTTATTTCTCAAACTCTGAATCTAATGAGAGGAAAAGATGTTGCGCTACAGACGAAAGCTATTTTTAAACGATAAGATAATTGCGACGCTTTTAAATCGATTAACCAATTAACGAGTATGTTTTTTTTCTTTATTAAAAGATTATTGCGATCTTCACACTTATTCACTCACTCATCATTTGACCTACATTAATCACAAACTGCATTAACATTCCCTTAACATTCAATTGCAGAGAATTTCATCATCAATAGAAACTTTAAAAACACAAAAGTTATTGATTTTCATTTTTCAGTCTTTGTTTTCAATCAACACGATTAACCTTCAAGGCTTTGAATGGCAGCTTTTTCATAGAAAAGCAAGACCGTTTACATAAGCAGCATAATCATATGAGTAACAAATTTTTTGATAAACATTTCCAATTTTTTAATGTTTACATGCACGTACGCACACTATTTGCTTGTTCTGTTTCATATGCTCTCACGTTGCTAAAGCAATCAATTCAGTAAACAAGTAAAGTGTATTGTTGATCTATTAATTGAGACGACAAAGAAGAAGCTGCTGTGAACATAAAACATAAAAAATGGGACAACTCAAACATAAGTCGGTGAAGTAAGCGACTTGAATGTGAGATTACTTAGCGATATAAGTAGCTGAGACAGTTATTAAATTACAAATGTTATAACAACACTAGATTAAAAAGCTTTATAGGTCATGTTAATCTTCATTATTAGATAAATGATTCAAAACATTCAACACCGAAAACATTTCGCTTCCTTCGCGTGAGTCATAAAATTTGTGCTTGACATTATTGACAATTCAGCATGTCACAAAACACCGCAAATTTAAGTGGATAAAACAAGTATTTCTGTTTACATATGTTCGTGAAACTTTTTTAACGCCACTGGCATAGAAAGCGCACTACTGGATTTAATTTACATCATCATCACCACCACCCAACACATATTCCATATTCATTCAACAAACACAATTTATGAAAACTCTCAAATGGAAAATTTGCCCTACAAACACTTGAGCGCAGGTCGATGGGCTTGCATAACAATCAGCCCGAAAAGTTGCTTATTTCATTTAATGCTTTTTTTGTGATTTTAATATGAATGCTGTTTAATCGCAGTATATTTTTTAAGCTCGGTCATTTTTTTTGTTGTTTCGATTACCATGTTACGGTCATGAAAGTGCCATCAGCATTGACATTTTAAATTTCACAAATTACCGTAAATCTTGCTTCATCAATTAACAGCTTGAAGCCTTTATATTCATATTAAACCTTTATCACAATTTATGTAAAAATTAATAAAATTTGATGTTATTTGTAACCCTTGGACAATCATAAAACTTTTTTCATTATATTTTCATATTAAATCGTCATGAAAAGCTGTGCACATGACGAATCTAATTGCATGGTTTTGGTTTTACTAACGATAGCGTTATTCAAAAGAGTCTTATGAGAATGATTACTTACATCATAAATGATCTTGTAAATAAATATGAGAATTTTTATCAAGCTTTAATTGGCTCAATTAAGAAGGTTCACTTCACGGTTCACCATTTTATAAATAAAATACAATATTGCAAACTTGCAATAAAATTTCTTGCCTTTAAAGTTTAAACTCATCAACATGAAACAATTTATCTTTATTACAAGGATTATCTATTTCCATCATCAGTTAACAATGTTTTAATCAGTAAAAGATTAATTTCTTTATGTATCGATTTCAGTTAGATAATTGGACAAACATTTCTTTAAGAAATATAAATGTAAGCATTACTTGGAAAGTAATTTGAGCTTTTGAATTGATGAAAAATATTTACATATTTGATCTTCTTTACTTTTTCGACAATATGAATTATGATGATTAGAATATGCCAAATTAAACGGAGAGTATTAATGAAATCAATTAATTACAGAAACATGAACTTGAAAGAATTCCCCAATTAAAAACAATGAATTTCTTAAATTACAATTCTTAAATGAAATTTAAAAAGGGTTGTGAACATTTTAAGTTCATGATAATTAACTTGTTTGCATAAACAATAAAGATATTAACAATTCATAAATAAACGATAAAAATGGGCACGAGAACACGAAGAGAATCTCACAATTAAATCATCAAAGTTAAAATGTTTTACATGAAATAAAAATAAATCTAAAACAACATCAAAGCCTAAATAAAAACAAAAGCAATAACTTGATTGATTTACCAATAATTAAATTTTTTTTGGCATGTTTTTATTTTGTTTTGGAAAGTGCTCGTAGATATTTAAAGCGCGTTCTCACAACAATAATGATGCAACAATATGACCAACTGTCGATGAGGGAAATCGCAAATTAATTGAAACCTTCAGTTAATTAAAACGGTTTTTAAGGGGTAGCTGTAAGTATGAGTTATACAACTCTATTAAATTTATTAAGGGTTGCCAGCTGTTGCCGCATGTAAATAACATCCGTTCGCAATCATGTTGAGGGAACTCAAACAAGGGAAATTTGCAAATTAAAACCAACAATAGTCAAAAACGTGAACTCTTCTACAACTATTTCCGCTTGTTTCTTATTTTATTTCTTTTTTTTCGAAGCCGAAGCTTCTTCACACATGAGATAAATTTGTACCGTACGAGTGATGTCATCTGAAAGATCCGATATTTCACATGAAGTTGAGTTGATGTTGAACATAACGAACGCTTTGTGATTGAAATTTTCCGCGGCATCGAGCTGTGAAAAACTTGAGAGCGATATTTTTTATTTTTATTTGTTTTCATTACGGTTTGATGAGTTTATACAACGGGAGATGCAGTGACAAAATATAAAAAAAAACTACACAAGCAAAAGCGAGTACAAAGAAAGCAAGAAAATGCTGAATCACAACAACCTGAGCTTATGATCTCACATATCTCATTGTCTTCGCGACAAACGGAGATGGATTAATAGACTTTTCCATGTTAGCATTGCTGATTGTTCTGAATTTTTAAAGGTCGCTTTGGGACAAGGTAGCGAAATTAAATATTTAAGCTTACTTTTGAATATAAAACTATCTACAATAGTGGAAAACTTCATTCATCAGCTACCAGCATAATCAAAAATTTTAGTTTTTCAACCTTTGTAGAATCATTTGAACAACTGTTTAATTGCTTTACTTTATGGGCGTTGGGAGCTCGTAAAGCGACAATTAAAAAAATTCTAAATAATTTGGGGATTATAAACCATTATTTTGTGTTCTGTTATGTCAGTATCCCGCATGGTAGTGAATTTTAATTAATTATAGCACATATTGTTTGAAATTGCGAATTTGTCAGATTGTGGATAGTAAAATTGTAAATTAATTGCGAATTAGATACTTAATTAAACGAAAAGAAGAACTACATAAACAACAGCAACTTTGTTGTCATGGATGGAAGTTTGAGATAAATTTCATCCAAGACAACCAATTTAAACTTTAATCGCAATGCAGTTGGTAATCTAGATGAACATTTTTCCGTACGAACTCCAATGCTATACAACGCACATGTGAAACCACAGAATAACTTTGTTGTAGAACTTTTTTCTTTCTTCTCCATGAATTTGTTTTTTTTTGAAACCCCATAAAAAACAATCTCGATTTCCAATTAAAAATTGTGTTAAAGTGGAGAACATGAAAACTAGAGCATGGATGTAAAAGCAATCAAAGTTAATTATGGATTACATACAAACTAGTCCCTCTCATGTTAAAAATAATTTTTTTTTCTTCCTAAAATCAAACCGAAAACGATGAGAAAACGAAAGCGTAAATGTCGAAAAATCTTAAAATATTTGTTTTGATGAAAGGCAGCTCTAAAAAAGTTTCATGTTTCACTACAAACAGAGAGCTGTGATGGAAGATCGAGAACTCATAAGTAAAAAATCTTTTCGGAAGTCAAACTATCATCAATTTTTTACCAAAGAGAATATTTAACTATCTAATGAACTTTATGATTTATTTACTCTTTGAAGCAGTCAACTGAGTATCCCGGTTTTGAAACAAAAAAGGAAGTTGAGGTGTTGATAATGTAATCTTTTTTCACTTTCTTCATTTCTTTAATGTATTAAAATATTTCCTTAATGGAAACTTTATCAAAGACAGTCGGACGCCCCGGAAACGATTTTCGTTTCGGCAACGAAAAGAATTCTTTTGAATGATAAAACCTTGAACTTTCTATTTGTCCGAAGCGAGCATGTGACCATTTTATTCAAAAGACAATCAATTATTCACTCAAATGACTCTGCAGGTCTTCTCGGTGGCAACAAAAATTCTCAATTTTCGATTTTCTATGGAACGATTCTTTGTTTTTTTTTCTTTTAAACTGTTCACGTTTCGGTGTTGAATGACTCAATGCAGTTGAAGCAAAGGAATAAACAAGAACGAAGAAGCGTTTAAAAGATAAACACATGAGGATTATTTTACCAGTTTACCATTCATTCTCTTGTCTCCATAGCCTGCCAGTAAACGCTTAAAATGTCTTAATGTCAAAAAGAATGCGTCTTAGTTCGTTCATGAAAATCTGCCTCCTACAAAAAGCTGTAGAACAAATGAATCACATACATAAAATCATTTCTTGCTTGAAATTGAGAAAGAGAAATGAATCGGAAAGAATCTTTGTGCTGTAGTGTATATGTCAAGCGTTCAGAGAATTTATTTTTGGTCACAACACCGCATGTGATGATTTTGTTTATTCAGTATGTGAAAGCGATCAACGACGCTTTGCTGGGGACTGAACTAGATCTATTTACAATAAATACTTCACCCTCACAGTTGACGTTGTGTTTTTAAAAACAACTTCACATTTTCATATGTTATCTTACTTGTAAACGATAATTAATTACTAGGATGCGTGCATGATCGACATCAAACATAAAATTTTGTTGCTCTTATGCATAGCAAACGATCATAACGATTTGGTAGTTTTACGATTTCTTCTGTTTTATGTCTTTTTTTTCGGCAGCATCAGAAACATTTTTCATAGAAATTTATGTTGAGAATTTTCCCATGAAAAAAAACCGATAAATGGTAGAAATTCAAGAGAAATCACAACATGGTTTTTCAATTTAGTTCAACTCACTTGAATAAATCGATGCACAAAGAATTAGTTGTGTTGACAGCGTGAAGATTGACCAATGAAGTACCATTGATTTCATGACTGCACTTTTTATGTTTTTCGCGATCTTTTTGTTGTTTTCACTTTTTTATCTGCTATTTCACGATTTTTCTTCTTTAAGTTGGAACTAATTTTCCAGTAAGTGTTTCATAATTCCGTAAAACTATCCATGGCAAAATTTTTTGTTATATTTTCAATTATTTCTTCAAATATTTGAAATAGATGAGTAATTCAAGCAATTATTTCTTTTTTATATCCAGGTAAATGTTTCAACTTAATTTATTAATTAATTAGCTTAGATATTCCCCAAAATAAACAACATCTAGACTTGCACTTTATTCCTCTTTAATGTCTTGAAATTTTCACTTGGTATTCTTTTACACAAGCCGAAGACGTTAAACTTAAACAAACCGTACAATCCAAGCTCAGAATTTAAACTGACCGTGGTGGAAAAACAACATAAAATCACGAGAGATCAACAAAGATCACTCACACTACCTTAAAGTTATACTTGCGAAGAGAAAACAAAGAGAGAAATGAAAAGAGAAGAGAGAATGATTGATCATATTCAACATAGACAATGCTACTTATCTTTCATGATCAAAAGAAACATCTGTTAATTGAACCGTCACTAAGTTGTGTAAAAGTTTTTTTTGTTGGATCTATTTTCAATTATTAAAATTTCGTATGCCTTCTCTCCTTTCATTTTATTTTCTTTTCATTGTTAAAGAAATCAGAGATGTCTTATCCATCACATGCAACTTCTTTTTTCTTCTTCATTTACTTTTTACCAATTTGATTTCAACACTAATGTGGTGAATTTTAATTTCATTTCTTGTAGAAACTTAAAAATCTTGAAATTTGTACAAATTTATTTTAGAAAAATTTCAACCCATAATCCCTCGATAAAGAAGGTAAACAAAAAGGCAAGAATCAGTCATGGGCCAATTTTCTACCTGAAATCATTTCATAAAATATCTTTTACTATGCTCACAGGGCAGACACAATATCGATCAATAACAATGTGTAAGAAAATAAAAATTGCTTTAAATTTTCTCTTATGAAAAGTTTCCTGTTACAGAAATCTCAACAAAAGATTCATAATCAATAGCTAGGGTCAATAAATATAGATCTACAAACTGAGTTTCAGTCGATTATACTTTAGAATACTTACAAAGATTAAATGTTTATAAATTCAATTCACAACATCCTTAAGTTCAGAAATATTAGCATCAGTAGTTTGTCCGATCGTATCTTAGGAAAGTAAATAAAAGTTGAAACGGATGAAAGAAAATTAAATTCGATATGGACAGAGAACATTCAGTCTATTTAACGCCTTTAAAATGTCAATCGAACAGTTATATGAATCAATAATCAGTTTCAAGCAAATCTGATTAACACAGTAATCGAATTTAAACAGCACTCTTTCAACATTTAAATCCAATTCGCGATGTGCAACAAAATATATTTAAAAGAGAGAACTGGCCAAAATCCAAAAAGGCGTTCTGCGATTAGTCAACAACAAAAAGCGTTTATTGAATTGAAAATTTAATTGTGCGAAAAAAATCAGATTTTCGATTGCGTCTGTTTTTTTAAAGGCATTTTATTTAATTCGATTCACGTTTGATTGTTTTTTGATCAATTTCTCGATTTTTTTCGTTTCAAAACGCATTAATTCGTGAATGAAGCTTATGACAACTAAAATCTACGATTAATGTAGAAAATTGAGACAAGGTTGGGACTAAATAATGGATTTTCTTATGTTTCTTCCAAACCTTGACTTCAAAAACTACTTTTGTTATATTGCTTAATATTTCCTCACCTAACATCGATCAGATATTATTTATTCAAACAGGAAAATTGCAGATTTTCGAAAGTTCCAATAAATTGAACTCTTAACAAGTTTCACGACTCATTTCACACACGTTTTTGTAATTGATAGCTTAATTGTTTAATTTGTAAAATGACATCAATCAACATAACTTGAGATATGTTTAAAGTGTATTAGTGCATAAGATGGAGCATAAATGCATTGAAGGTATTAATTTCCGTGACTATAATTTTCTCTCAATTTTGCAGCATGCATCTGGCTTTCAATCAAGACATTATTAAACATTCAAGCGAATATTACAATGATTCAACAAAAGTCTTTGATTTTGCTAAAACCCATCAATCATAATATTTAATCCAATAGCAAAATTTATTGAAGTTTCATAAGACGAGGTGAAGTAAATGAACATTTATACAATAAAGCACTAAATTCTAGGTACGAAGATTAATCAACTTGAGAAAAACTTGACTTTATTAAGAGCTGACACGAATCTTAATTCGTATGAGATAAATCATTAAAGAAAATTAGAATTACATGTCAATTGGTTCCTTATTGTAATAAATGAATCATTTGCAGATTTAAACTCGAATCTACCGTGCGAACAAGTTTTATATTTATAATTTCAACCTGCAATCAACTTAGTTTCGGGTTTCTAACAATAACACGAAATAAAGATGAGAAAAATAAATTTAAACCTACACGAAAAATAAAATTAGTAAATAATTTTGATTTTCTTTAAATAAATATTTTCATCCGATATTTTTTTTCCGACTTTGTTTTTATCTTCATAAGAAACTATAGTAATATGAATAATTTATCATTTAGGAAGTAGATAGTAAACAAGATCATATATTGCCAAATGAAAAGCTTCCCATCACTTTGTTTGTCAGTGTACATACTTATAAGAGAAATGATTCATTCATAAATCTTCAGATTTTCTGCTTTTGTTGCTTTATCATCAATAATTGAATGGTTGAGTCATTGCGCTTTCATGGAGATAAATCAAGCAAATTGTATAGAGAAATGAATTTGGAAGAACTTGAGATGAATATTTCGAAGATATTGTAGCAAATAATTTTAATAATCTAACACTCACCACATCATTAAGATCATTATAAAGCATCGGAAATATTTATTCTCAAAATGTTAATAACATTTTTGAATGAAGCGTAGAAGATGGTAAAGCGATTGTGACGCAACAGGTGTCTGATAGGTACATAATCCAAAGGTTTTAGTTAGGAATCAAATCGCTCTCTATTAGATTTTTAATTCACACTCGTCATTGTTATTGCAATATTTTAATCGGGCCACGAACTACATAATCAAATGATGAGCAAGAAGAGAAACCAGGAAGTTAATTTATCGAGACGAAGCTTAGATTGTTAGTATGATAATGAATCACCGTTGCATGAAGGAAGAAATAAAAAGTCAGTACAAAACTCCATATGCCATTAAAAAGGGCAAAAAAAGTAAAAAAAAACTTCAAACTCATCCGTTGTGAAGCAGAGTGAGAGTGTGAAGAAGAAAAAAAATTGCAAATCATTTATCTCAATGGCAATTTTAGAATACAAAACTGTATTATGGTAATGCTTACAGCTTACACATGTAGCGTCGTTATAAAGATGAAAATATAAAAAGTTCTTTGCAAATATCATTTTTTACTGTAAATATTTTTTTGCTACACCATTTTGATTGACGTGTATGATTTTCAAGATATTTCATAAGAAAATTATGTGATTTCAAGCGAGTGAAATGAATAAATATTTTTGGAGAATTTAAAGCGGCGTTGATGGTTTCAATTCATCTTATGCCGACAGAAGCAAGTGCATCATCATCATCATTTGTTCTATGATGTCGGTTCTACTTATTTGAAAGAATTTATGAAAACTTGACTGACCAGTTTCTATTTTGGTTTCTTTTAAAAATAGAACATTGCCTTGATCAGTTATAAATTATCTCATAGACCTCAATTGCCTCAAATATGATAAACCATGAAATTTTCTCGACACATCTTTCCGGAGTTCTTCCATGTTAGCAGAAATTTCTTCGAATTTTGTCACATTTTGCAGTCAACATTGTCCCTCATATCTTCAAATCAATGCCACACATAACTTGCTTACTGATATTTCTTCTGAAAATTGTCTATCACTCTCTTGTATCTTCTACCTGCTTTTTCTAAACAAACGAATGGTTGGAACTGCTCATAAATAAAAAAAAATTACCCATTGCTTCTATCTTTCAACCAGGGAACGAATATTGTGCAATAAAAAGTGTCTCGTTTCAAAGAAAATCCCTTTTTCATCAACTTCATCCTTCAACGATATGAGTACAAATCTTTTAATATGCTGTTGAACATACATTAAGTTGAACTGAAAGTGAGATGGGTAATTTTAAGATAAACGGAAAGTGGTGTTGTCTTTCCACATAGATTTCTTTCAATTATCCATCTATCTCTCAAGATAACGATGGTGCCATTGGTTTGAAGAAAAGTTCTTTGTAGATATTCTGTAAACAACGATTGAAATAAGACACTAGACGATGAAAAAGAAAAGTAAACAAAACACTTGGAAAAAGTCAATAAAGCTCCAAGCTGTAAAAAGGTTGCACATCCTTCTAAAAAATCTTAAATTCTTAAAGCAAAAACACATCGATCAACCACCTCTGTCAGAACCGAGAACTCGCAGCAGTGTAAAATAAGAAATTAATAAAACAAAATCTCTTTAGCAATTTTAATCCGTTTGTCTCACTTCATTAATTTAACTTTATCCGCCCAGATATTTTTGCCACATTTTGGTTTAAGTATTCTACTTATCAAGATATTTTTAAACACAATTTATACAGTTCAACTTCCTTCAATTTCAAACAACGTTTTATTAGTTTTTGTTTTTCTAGAAATTAATTAACCTACGGTTGAATTTTGTACATAAAATTAAATTTTAACATTAATTGCAGTCTTAGATTTTTAAACATCAAATAATCTAATTGCTCTCATTTAAATTCTTTACAAACATTTTTAAAGAGAAACATTTTGCACCCACAATTACGATTTTTGGAGCTGCAGGTTAAGTCGTTATGTAAATTAAAATGATTTTTTTTCCGAGGTAGCGAGAATTCAGGAGTGCGACTTAAATTAAAACTTTGACCTTTTTTTCCATTTTAACTTAATTTTTCTGTTACATCACCTTTATACATTACTGGCTTAAGCACGTCTGACCGCTTGTTTCATATTTATTCATTCATAAATTATAATCGAAACCAATTTTCAAGATCTTTTAATTTCAAATACAAACAATTTTTAGGTGAAACGCTCCATCAATTTCCAACTTAATTATATTAACGACGTAAAATTCGTCACATTTTAACAATTGCGTCTAAATCTGATATTGCTTATAAGCAATTCCTGGTACATAATCGATTTAATTATTTTAAATCTTGTCATTTTCAGACGCTTCAGAGAAAGCGTCTTGTCACGGTCTGGGAATTTTAAGGTTTTTTAATTAATTCTGCTGAATTATTAGGTAACTGTCGGGGTAAATGTCTTCATTGCATTCTCTGTTATCAAAATAATTAATGAATTCTGTTTGATATTCAGAAAATTAATTATTAATTGATTTCAGTCTCCTGAAATGTTTTTTTCCCATTCAAGTTGAGTTATTTTTTGTGTTAATTCTATTTATCCATCATCGTAATTGTTTCTCAATGTCTTCCGCGTTTGAGTTCAAGCGTGGTCATTACTCGATAGACCTTGAAGCAAATTCTTTGTTATCTTCATTTATGTCATTCTCTTTTGTCTGTTGACTACAACAAAGTGTCGTTCAATTCCAATAACAGACTTTCGTCAGTCACTTCCAACTTTCGCGCAAATATTTTCAATTCAATGGCAAATAATTGTTAAAATATCTTAAAAGTGTCTTAAAGATCTTAATCGCCTGTATTAGGAAGCTTATTTTTGTGTTGCTATCTCTTCAGGCTTTTCGATATCAACAATTGTTGTCGTCGCTGAAACTGGATTTTGTATATTGTTATCAGTCACGCCTTGATTAAAAAAGTTGTTATTTTCATGAACCGGCACGATAAAAACTCGCGGATTTTTGTACTTTTTCATCACTGAATCATAACTTGGTGGTGCAAAATGTTTGTAACTTGGACAAGGTGTTGGCGGACACGTCCGCTCTGTTGGCTTAGGGGCATTTCGTCCGCATGTTTTTTCTGTGCATGCCATTACAATAAAAAACCCAAACAATGCGGTGAAGGTCGTTAAGTACCAAATGATTGTTAGCGAATCCATTCCTAAGCCTTCTTCGTCTGATGCTTTAAAGATTCGTGGTCTCTGAATTGTCTGTTCAGATTTATCACTATTTACAATTTCTTTGCTGCTTTGAATTATTTCTACAACAGAAATGTTGAAAGTTATTAAAAAAAATTGATTTCATAAGTATTGACAATAATTACCATTCGATTTGTCATCCACTGTCCTCTCAGCACCTTCAACATTCAGTTGAATCTTATCCAAAATCTCTTCTTCTACTGCATTTATCTCCAATGACAGGAGACATACAATAACCAGTACGCAGATTGTATGATGAGCAACTGTTGATATATGAAAAGAGTTAATTTTATATTTTCTTGCCGTGATTTATCACAGACCTCAACGTAACAATTGGAAAATAAATTTGACAAATGAAATTCTGCGCTCGGTTTTTTCACGCCTTTATAACTATTTCATTATCAGCGAAATCCCTAAATGCGAACACAACTTTAGCAGTCGGTGATAACGTTTTCAATAATTATGTCAGTAAACTCACACTCTGCTTTGTCATTATGACGATTTAAAGTTTTATCAAATTGATAACAATGCTCGATGACTTCCCCTAACTGCATCTCGTGCTTAGTTATTCGAATCTTGTTTCTTTTTAATTCTTTTTCAGTCAGAAAAGATAGCGCAGTCAAGTGTAAAGAAATATTTTCTAGTTTCTTATTTCTTATTTATTTGTGGTTTGTCAAAAAGTAAATTGAAAGAACACTGACATTGACATTAAAAGTTTTAGAAGAAAGTGGAACGAACTACTTTAATCAATAAATTTATAAAAATGTTCAAAGATGAAAAGCATTCGTTGGCATTTTTCAAATCTTATTGAAATTCAACTCATGGTAGTGCTTTTAAGTCATAAAAAGTTTCAACAAATACATTAACTTTGATAGAGTGCACCGTATGAGGTTCTTCAACAGTAAGAAAATCCAATTTCTTTATGTTTAATAAAGTTTATCGTTCTTCTCATCATCGTCGAACGGTTTCAAACACTTCTCCGTTTATGGAATTCTTCGGACTTTTACGAGCTGTAAGAGATTTTCCCTTCTTGGTATCTGCTTTATTTAATTACAAAACTCCAGTTTTACAAATTTCTTCAAAAGTAACATCCATCTACATATTGCGGTTAAATGTGAGAAACGTTCATAAAGTTTTTTATTCTTGCATTTATCATAATTCGATTAAAATAATAAATAAATGGAAGCTTTCAAAGATATAGAAAAGAAGATTTAGATAAGTAAATTAAGATATCAAATTAGTGGTTGATTTAAAAAACGTGCCGAGTTAAAAATTATCAAAGCATCTGGTTGACTGCGGACAAAGAAAATTTTAGTTTATATTTTTGCACATTTCAACCCATCATGATTGATTTATGATATTTACTGATAAGATTAAAAGAAGTTATCACAAAATTAGTTAATTAAATAACATCCTAGATTAACTTCTGAATTCCCGACCTAATTCGTAAAGTTAGTCTATAAATAAATCTTCCCAGTGCAATGGCATAAATGAACCGATTTAATTACAATCAATTTCATTCCTAGATAGAATTTGCGTTTCTTAAGTTAATCCAAAAATGAAGCAAAATCGTACGAGAAACAAAAGGAAGAATAACCCGATGATCATAGAATATCAATCAGTCTTAACTCAAGATTGTATGAAAAGAAGGTCACTTGAGAATTATCATAAATCCCAATTATACATTAGAATTCTTCTCACAGAAAAAATTAGATTGCTAACTGAAAGTTTCATTCCTCGTCGTCTTCTTTTTCTTCTGTTTTACCTTTTTGCGTCATATAAATGCCATAAGCAATCTGTCATTTCAAACAACCACGTCTCCGAAAGTGGAAAAAAGGTGCGAAACAAAAGCTTTTGATGTGCATGCCCCGAGAAAGACAACAATGCAAGAAAAAATTCGCTTTCAATGGAAAGGCGCGTGGAATTTAATCAGAAACAGCTGTGGATGAATGAACATAAGAAAGCATAAATATCCAAAAGAAAAAGCATAAAAGCTTCCATAGAATTTTGTTTTTGTAAATGTGAATACTTTATACGTTCGTTCACAGAATCGTAAATTAATTTAAGAGTGGATGGAATCATGAACAGCTATATCTAATTACATTTCGTAGACTCTTCAAATTGATTGAAATAAGTAAGAAATGTAATAACGGGGAAGTAAAGAAAACTCGGAAACAATTCAACAGAATATTTATTTTTTATCCACGCATTCAAGTTCAAGTTAAATCTTTAACGTTTGACTTTGAATTCTTATCATAACAACCTGAGAAAGCTTTTTCCACGTAATTACGTTGAGATTTATTTCTTTGTTATTATTTCACCGCATAAGCCATAAGTTCCATAAAATTACCTGTTTGCTGCTTCTTTATTGTCATCACTTCTATTATCATTGTAATTCTTTGTGATTTATCTTCCGTCCTTGGAGCAATTATTTGTTTTATTTCTCTTTTTTTTTTTCAATTGCTTTTTAGCATCACACATGAAAGTCAGCAAGACTTCCGAGATTCTTTTAATCACTTTTATGAATTGCACACGAATTGTTCACTCTTTTTATTTGGTTTCAATATTTATAAATTCAATTAAATATTCTATTCAGGTTTCTTTTAGTAAACGATAATGTCGAGCTATTCTAGAGGAATCCACGCGTTTGACTCAACAATTCAGCATCAACTGAAATCTACAAACAGCCGTTCTCAAATCCAAAGCGAGAGTGAATATGAATACAAAAAAACGGCAACGTGATGAAAACGCAACAATAAGAACCTGAATTTTTTCTCCTCTCTTCTGTTTCACTTTTTGTTTCAATTTAGTTCGGATATTTAATTGTTTTTGCCTCCTGGGTGCCAAAACTGACCGTATATACAATTCTTTTATAAATAGGTACAATCGTCTTATTTAATTTCGGATTTTTTTCAGGTCACACGGGTCATAAATTGTAACAGAATTTTTTTTTTAACTCAGCTTAAGAAGTTTTGTTATGTGCGGTATGCCTTCCTCTGCTTAGTAAATGAAGAGTTGAAACAAACAAGAACTTATCTTTGTTTTGAACAAACATTTATACTTACCTTACTTTCAATAATAAGTTGAGAGATATGATAAATTTTGCTATCAACTTGAAGTGTTTTTCGGAAAACAAGCAATTAATTTTTTTTTATTAATTACACGTATTAAACTCAAGAGTTTAAAATTTAATTACTTCTTATCTGTCAAGTGCCTAGTGATAATCTATAAATATATTTTTTATCAAAGAACTGCCACGTGTTGAACACAGTCAGATGATCACAGATAAGAAGTTTATCAAGTTAAAGTTGATTTAATTACCTCTTCAAAACTTTGAATTTTATTGTTAGTAAAATCCAAACCTCTGTAAACAGAAACAAAAAGCGAAACAATTGGAAATATTTGACCAGTAAATTATTAATTAAATATTTTATTATTAATTTTCCTGAAAGTCTATTCTTTGAAAATAAGAAGTTTGCGTAACATCATCACAAGTAGAATAGGAATTAATTCCAATATCAGTTTTTCTTTTCTTTGTTTTGTTAATTTCTTGAAACGTGAAATCATTCAATTTCTTTATATTAATAAAGTTATCATTTCTTAATTATTTTCATCAGTTAACCAACGTCTGGCTGTTTTCTTCTCTATAGGAAAGTTAAGCAAAAACTCACATTCATTCATAAGAGAAAAAAAAAAAGATTTCCTTAAGGAATAAGAATTATGTTTAAATTATTAGTTAACTTATCTCTAGATAAACGTTCACTCTTTAGATTATAAATAAGTTTTGTAAATTTTCTCGATAGAATTTAGATTGAATTTGTATATTATTACTATTTGAGCGAAATATATTTGTGAAAACCAAAAAGTTTTTTTTTGCGTAAAACGAGATCCACAAATTGACTTAACAGCTTCCAAAACTGTTCACAATGCAATGTAACATTTCGCCTACATAAGTTTCTCTCATTAACAGCAGGTTAAGAATACTGCAGCACTAAATGTAAAATAAACTCTTGTGACTCGAATAAAATAGAAAAAGCTTTCTTCTTGTCTTGTGTTGAATACAAGGAAATCCCGTATGGGATCATGGATAACTTCATTTACATAATTTACGCCTAAACAAATTTCTTTCCGAATATAAGTAAAAGATTCTTCACTTTATCATCTAATAAACTTCAAGATTCAATGAAATTAACTCTAAATTTAAGTATTTACTGCTTCTTGCTTCGGACCCTCTGGAAAAAGTGCATCATATGAGGGAGGAAGATCATCTTTATCGAAATTTGGTGGAGCTGTTGGTGTTGAATTTGGTGATGAAGATGTTTGAGCGTCTCCATCACCATTTCTTCTTCTTATCCCTCTTCTATGAATTCTTGTTGATGTCTGTGAAGTTGGTGGTGGATTCGCCCAATTCTTTAACTTTAAAACAATAAAGAAACATCCACCACAGCACAGCATCGTTAGAAGAAGTGATGTAATGGCACTTAAGAAAATATGTGGTAAATTGTTTATCACTGTTGGCTCTTCCGTGACGGATGATAGTATGGACGATGTTTGGCAGCCATAGCGTTCATCGCTACAACTCGGTTCAAGGCAATTTATAATGGAATCATTCACAAAATTACTGCTAATACAACTTCGCTTCATATTTGGCTTGCAATTAAACTCGCGATTGAAATTTTCACAATCTAGTGAGAAGAAAAGTAAAATTTAAATAGTTTTTCTAAACTTCAAGGCAAGGAAATATTTATTTACCTTTGTAAGCTGTCGCTGCGATTTGAAACTCTATCACTTCGTCATCATTGAGAGGACGACCTCGATCTATACTGACAGTGATTTTCACTTTCCCTTTAATATCTTCAATTGATTTTATCTCTCCTGGAGGAAGTTCTCCGCAATATCTCTTTTTAACATCATCATTGTATTTAATTGTTATGGAGTCGATGCAAACACCTGTCAATTTCACTTGTCGTAATCGCATTTTCAGTATGTTAACATAAATGCCCGAATCTTTTGAGAATAGTCGCGTGTCGATCTTGAAAGTGCAGTCACTTTGTAACCTTTTAACTGCAGTTGCATTAAATCTTTTTTCAAGAACGACTGAATTCACTTCATTATTGAAATGAATTTCATATTTGTTCATTGTTTGTGTGAGAAACGTCAGAAGTGTTCGTTTATTTCCGCAAAGATTTCCATCAAGTTGTTCTTGGCGATCTAAAAATAGAGAAAAGAAAAGGTAAAAACTGGAGATATAAATGCTGAATCTTTAAATAATCAAATACAAATTGATTGTCATGAGTCACGCCAATCTCCGTTATCTCGTTTAGAAGAAAAAAAAATTATTCGTGACATCGCGAAAAGATTTTGTTAATTAATGACTCACAATAACGTTGACAGGAACATTCCAACGTTATCAGTAGCAAAATGGTGCATGTAGCAAAATATTTCATCCAAAACTCCATTTTTATCAAAACTTTTGCATAAACATAAAGTCGTAAAAGCTGTTTTCACTCTAATTTTGGCACTTGCTGAAAGTTACATTGTTTATTTAATATTAGCGAGAGATTCGTAATTATAAAGCAAAGTCATTAGATTTGTGAAAACACTTGCAAACACTTTAAATAAATAAAAATATTGAAAAACACTGAAAATATTTCTTGAGTTATGCAAAACTAGTACAAAGCTCGACAAAATTTTGAGTTATTGCGAAATATCTCGACGAAGTTGACTTTTAACATGATTTTCGAAAATGATTTAAAAAAACCCGTTGCGAATAATCAATGTAAAATCAGAATATAGTCAACATTTTATGGAAAGTTCTTCTTAAATGATTAGTAAAAGATCTCTTGCATCTCTTATTTTCCAAATTAATTCAACATATAATCAGGCTTTTGAAGTTATGGCTCACTTCCGAATATGTTTTCTGCGCATTATGTGCGAGAAAATGAATTTCGAAAATTCTTTAACGAAAAAGAAGAAATTTGTTTATGTTTACATTTGAAAATAATGGAAATTCGTCCAAACAATATTAATAATCAATGTTCCTTGTGTGGTAATAACGGAAATGAGATAGAATTAACTAATATTGAGTTGAACTCACTGAAATGTGGAAACAATATTTTGGAGTTTTCAAGTTTAATATCAGAACTTCTTTTTTGTAATGTAAGTAGAATTTTAAAAGGTCAATTGGCATAAATCTCATACAATATCCATCAATATGACAGCTTCCTCATGGATATGTTTGCTCAGAATGCCTACAGCGGTTGGTAGAATTCTACTTATTCAAGAACATTGTGGATGCACACATTAAGAATCCAGAAATTATTCAAAAACTTCAGATAGTCAACAAACTGAATTCTTTTCTAGACGATTTTGAATATGAGGAAAAGTTTGCAGTCTTGAGATACAATCAATGTTTCACAGTTGTTCCAGAATCTAAAAGAAGTCTTATGGAGAATTTTCAGAACTGGCAACCGCGTGTGATGTTGCAAAAGAACCAAGATGAGAAGCAACGTGGGTTGAAAGATCAAAAACCAATTATGAACTTTGAAATTAAGTCTGACATTAACGACTATGAAGAAGTAATTTATTTGGAGGAGAATTTTGATGAAAACGTTTTAGAAGAAAAAGAAGAATCACTTAAACAAGAAGATTCAAAAATCGTTATTGAAATCGACAATGAAATGAAGACAAAAACACAAGATCGTCAATGGGCAAACGAAGCAACAAAATCTTGTTATTCTATAAAAGAATCAAATGACAGCATCATACCAATCTGGACTTGTTGTTATTGTAGGAAAATTTATCAAAGTGCACAAGCAATGAGATTTCATCTTCTCGCAAAACATCTGCAAAATATTAATGAAGGTAAAAATAAATCAAATCTTCAGACCAACGAGGAAATGAAGTGGATTAAAAATGAAACTAACTCTCGAAAAACAACAAGTGGTTCCTTCGAAAGTCATTTGAATGAAAGTCATCTCGAGAATGTGCAATCAAATGTTGGAAAAATTAAGAAAACCATGCATGATCTTCGATGGACATGCATCGAGTGTTGTTTTAAGTTTTCATCTCAACGAACTTTCAATTCTCATTTGAAACTACATGAAAAGCTTAAAGGATTGATTAGTTTTACTGAAATATTTTATTGTGAACAATGTCAAATGTTTTTCCGTAATACGAATGATCTTAATTTTCACAAAAGTGCCAAAAACCATGAAGATAGACAATCAGTTCTCATTCCAGCAACAGGAATTGCTTTACAAAAAACGATTTCATTTAAACGCTTGTCAACTTTACCAGGCGTTGACAACAACCAAGGAGATTTAATGTGTGGTCATTGTGGGAAAAAGTTTTCTAATGAAAATAGTAGCAAAATTCATCTTTTAATTCATCACATTAATCCCTTGATTTGTCCAAAAGATGGTCGTCAATTCAATTCAATGCATCCATACTTGTTACATCTTCAGAGAGCACATTCGGATTTGTGTCCCGAATTTTTATTATGCACACATTGCAAATTTTCTTTTGACAACATTTATGAAAAATTGGCGCATATGAAACAATGTAACGAGAAAAAGTTTTCGTGTGATCATTGCGACAAAAAATTCTCTAACAAAACTTATCTCAATAGTCACTTAAGAAGAGAAATGGGACTTTTAAATGTTACTTGTCAATATTGTGACAAGATCTTTAAAGGAAAAGATGAACTTAAAACTCACATGCGATCACACACCAAAGAAGTGAGTAGAATTTAATTTAAAGGTTTATTTCTAAATTTGATTTAAAATATTTCAACAGAGACCATACAAATGTCCAATTTGTAATAAATGTTATACAACAACATCGGCGAGATCATCTCATATGGAGACACATAAAAATACGATGATTCAATGTGAAATTTGCTCAGTTAAATTCGTGGCACGACGACATTATATTCTTCATTACAGGAGATATCACGATGACAATTATAGGCAAAAAAAGCTTCAAGAACAGACGTGTCAGTATTGTGGAAAACAATTCCTACGAAGAGATCATTTTCGAGAACATTTACAAAAATCGCACAATAAAGAAATTTAAGAAATTTAACGGATTTTCCCGCTTTTGTTCAAATTTTCGTATTTTTTCTGTGCTGTCCCATTTCAGTTTTCAGTGCAAATCTCCCTTTGTTTACATTTTTTCGGCTCTTGAAAAGTGTTTCTTTTTAAATAAAATGATGTAAAATATTAACATTAAGGTCATAAGTGAAGTAAAATGTTCAAGATTGAAAATTATATAGCACCATTGATATTGAGTAAATTAGAGAAATTCGTGAAAAACATCGATCAGAATGAATTTCAAGTAAATTTCAATTTTTTTTAATGTTGTGAAAATTTGATAATTTTTTTATCATTGCCACGTCTTTTACAGCTTTCATTGTGGCAAGGCGATGTTATATTTCAGAATCTTGAATTAAAGTTGGATGTGCTTGAAGATGAACTTCAACTTCCTTTTACATTCCTTTCTGGTCACATAAATGACTTAAAGATTCAAATTCCATGGACAAAGATTGCGTCAGAGCCAATTATTATCACGATAAATACGATTGGTGAGTCATGATACAATTTTTTATTCACTTTTTCTTATCACTTTATTTTTTCTTTTCGATAGAACTCGTCGTAAAGCTTAAAGACTTTTCTGCTGCACCAACAGTTACGAAACCAAAATTGAAGAAGAAAATTTCCATTGATGAAGATGCTCAAGCAGGTTACATGGCGAGTCTTATCACCAAGATTCTCAACAACATTTCTGTGATATGCAACAACATTGTGTTAAAGTTTATCGAGGAAGATATCGTCATTTCCATGAATATCCAACATTTATCCGTCCACTCAGCTGATCATCGATGGAAACGAGCATTTATTGATGTTTCACCCACGAATGTTCTATTTCGAAAGCTTATCAATATAATTGATCTTACAATTTGTCTCGACAAGCGAAATTCATCAGGAAAGATTGAAAGTGTTCAAGAACCAATTCTTTACAAATGCAGTATGGAACTTCGATTGTATCGGAAGTTTAATGCAACAACACCAGCGAAATTGTCATTAACACGAATTGACATTCAAACCAACGCTCTTAATCTCAGTATTAGTTCTCAACAATTCCCAATGTTGATGCGTCTTTACGACATAATTATGGCGTTAAAGTCAGGAAGGTTGCAAGCAAAATATGCTGAAAATCTCCCAACACAACCAACGAATGATAATCAAGAAGCAAACGACGATGAATCGTGGTTGTTATGGGCATGGAACATGATTCCAGCAATTCTCCCCGATGAAGAATCCAACGAACCACTTGAAACAAGTGACAAGAAAATCTTTGAATTTGGATTTTATGCTGAAGATATAAATTTGACTTTGAAAGCTCAAGAATTTCTCACCGATCCAATCATTCCATCAACAAAGAAAGCAATTTTTAAGCCTCTATTAGGACTTCATATCCAAGAGTTTTACAACATAACAATCATCAGTGGAGTGCGTAAATTTAATGTGAAGTGTGGTGTTGGATTTGCAGAAGTTTCAGCAATGGAGGAATGTGCATGTGGCGTGTTTGTGACTGAAACACAATTAATAACAGCTGGCAATAAAGAGAAGAGTGGAAATTATTTAAAAGATTCTTTTATGGATAAAACAGCTGCGTCAATGCAAGAGAAGTATGAAGACATTTGGTCGAATTATTACGAGAAAAATAATGAAGAAATTATGTTGTCAAAGACGACAGCACTTGCTTTGGATATTTTACATTCCGTTGAAATTCCCGACGATGCTCGAAGCTCTGATGTTGGAAGTGATTTAGAATTCAGTAATTTATCAGAATCTTATGTGATTCGTGTGTTTGGAAGTGGATACGTTGTTCATGCTGGAGCTGATTTGGTTCATCGTATTGAAAGAATTGTGCAATATTACAAAGACTGTGACTTCTTACCTTACGTTGAAGAAGAGAAGCCATTAATGAAGAATCAATTAAGTCCTGCAACTGCTGATGATTATGACGCTTTGATCAATGAAGTTCCTTTGAAGATTGTGCAATTGAAATTGAAGAATTTGATGCTTGTCATCAAAGAATGGGATCACGAGAAACCATCAAAAAGCATGAGAAAACTCACAAATCAAGGAAGTTTTGTTGGAATAATTCAGAAGAAATCGGTGACATTAGAGATGAAAATTGATGAGGCAACGATGGAATTGAAATTGCCACTTTATAGGAATCGTTTGATTTACACAGCTTGTCAACTTCCTGATGACATCAATAACGAATTATTCGATAAATGTTTCTTCATGTTGTCGGTTGCTTTGAAAAATATTAAAATTGACATGAAATATGAACAATCGAAACGAATTGTGGAAGTTTTAAGTGTGACGGGACGAATGAGACGATTAATTTATCCTCATTTATGGATTGATAAAGACATTCAAGAGAATCTTTATGAAGTTGGTGCTGATGGCTTCTCATTGATGATAAATCCACCTCAGCTTATAGCACTTCAAGTCATTATTAGTTCAATGATTAAGCAAACAGTTGAAAGGGAATTAGAAAGAGATGTTCTTAGAAACTTGGGAAAGATTGAACTTGTGGTGTTGCAGCTTTCGTTACAGAGAATTAAAATGAAAGCTGCTGAAACAACTTCATGTTTGTTTGTGAAATTTGTAATTTCTGATTTATTGGGAATTGCTTGGAAATCAGGAACGAAGTCATTGATCATTAATTGGCCTGACAATTCGGAAAAATCTCAACTCAAACCGAGTAACACGAAGAAAAAGATTAAAAAGCATAATGAATTGATGATTGCACAAATTCAATACCCGAAAGTTGCTGTCGAGTCGAAGCTTTTGCCAGTTCTGACAATGAAATTGTCGGAAGGTTCAATAAACTTGGATCCACTTTTAAGGGAATTTTTATCATTTCAAGTCGTTGCTGATGAGCCGAAGACTGAAAGATTTGCAAGAACAATCAGTTCATCAACGAAACTTGCAATCAACAACACAAGTTCAAACAATAATCAACTTCCTTCAGCTCAATCAAGTTCAGATGGTGATTTAACGATTTGTCCCGTCACTGTTGTTGTTGAAAAGGAAGCGGAAGTTGACCGAAAGCACTTCAATGATTTGATTGATTTTACGAGAAATTTAATTGTGAATGTTGAAGTGAAACCATTGACAATATTTTACACGAAAACACTTCTCGAGACGTCAAAGCCAAGCGACTCACTTCAAGCACTTTTATCGAAAAACGACGATCACATGATGATTGTTAAGATGCCGACAGTAATTTTCCATTCTGTCAAGAATCGATCAATGTCAGAAATGATTTCACGTCATTTTACTGCTGAACTTCCCTCAAGTCTTTGGGGAAATGAGAAAGCTTTCACCTGGAATTTTCTTTTAAGTTGTTTGACAACACAAACGAGAGAAAATGGAAAAGTTTTCAATTTAATTGAAGATTTTTCTCTCAATGTTTCAATTGCTGATGAATCAACGTCAAATCCAGAACAAGAAAAGATTTTCTTTGGAAATCTTCTGATTGAAACATCGCCAGTAATTGTCAGCATGTACACGAGTCAATTAAGTTTAATTAAAGCTGCGATTGATGAGATAACCAATCTTCATTTACTGTTTCAATATCATAAACTTAAAACTGTCGCAACTGCTGTAGAGAAGCCACTGTCAGTGATTCAAGAAAGTCCACAAAACACTTCAGAAATCAAAGAATTTCTTGGACTTGCAACTGGATCAACAACAACAAAAACTTCACATGGCGATGATAAAAGTAAAAAAACGAAGACAAATTACAGTTTGTACCTTCAATGGATTTGCTCAAAAATTACTTTAATTCTCATCGCTGATGTGACGTCATTTAAGAAGAAACTTGTACTGGAACTTGACGAACTTCTATTCAGTCTTCATCAACACGACTTTTATCAACTGAAAAGTAAAATCGCTTCAATTTCTGGCAACTTTTATGAGTGTAATGATGATAATGATGTGTGGACGAAGAACATAACGCTTGGGTTGAATATTCAATCAGATGAAAACATTTCTGACAATGCCAATCGATTCCTTGATGTGACAATAACGAAAGCTGAAACTGTGAATGTTCATTCACGATGGAATGTCGGACACAAGAGAAATCGTTTGTACAATGACGACATCACTGAGATAAATGTTGTGATTCAACCATTGGATGTGATTGCAAACTTTGACGAGTTGATTCATTTTCTTCCAATTTTCTCAGCTGCGACTTCAATCAACAGTCAAAAGAAAGAAACATCGAAGAGAGTGGAAAATGTTGAGAAGGCTGGATCGGATCTTCCACTGATTCATGTCATGTGCAGCGGTTTTAGAATCTTCATGCCATGTTTAAGTGACAATCAATCGTCACAAGATGTTCTCATTGTTAAAATAATCAACGTTCAAGTCACTCCAACAGCTGTCAACAACTTAATTCGCAATCAAATTCTTCGTCCCGACATTCACTCCAAAGCTTGTTCTTTGGGAATCCTCGACTTGGCTGGTTCGAAAATTGAAGATCGTCAATATCAGTTGACAGTGAAAGGTGTTTCGTTGAGTACATCAAATTGGGAAGCGTTAGCAGCATTGATCACTGATAAGCCTGTGATTGAAAGCCATGACAATCCAGCATTTGAATGGAATAATCTTGAGAATGGCCCAAAATCACCAAACTTCAAACTTACGACAATCTTTAAAGATTCAAATTTCTCATTCATTTATGCACCTTCGATTCGTTTCAAACAAACACTTGTTGCTGGAACTGCAATGGAATTCAATTGTGTTAATGATATGAACATTGAAATGACATTGAAAGATGTTGCTTTGCTTATGAATCTTTCAGAACGAATGAGAAAGATTTTCAAAGTTTTTCATCCATCAAAACCGTCAGCAGAATCATCGAAAGTTTCAAGTAATGACAAAGAAAGTAAAGAAAAGGAAACTGTCGACAATATTCCAATCTTTGAGAAACGAAAACCATTTGAGAAGAAGTCACTCGATGATTCCGGTGTCGGTTCAATTTCACAATCACATCGTGCACATGAAAGAAAGCTTTGGAAGAAGAAATCTGTTGGCGCAATGAGCGGAGATGATTCAACGAATGTTCCATTTGAATTCACATTTACAAGTAGCAAGTTTAAGCTCAGATGCACATGCGACGATGAAAATGAACTTTTGGTTGTTCTTGACACGCCAAACATTTTCATCACACAAGATAAATATGAAAAATCGATGAATTTATCACTGCACGATTTATTCGTCATGCATGGAATGGAGAAAATATTTTCAACACGTGATGGAATTCAAGATTTGTCAGGAATTAAACCATCGCTGGTGAGAGTGAAGTTTAGTGAGAAATCGATGAAGAATTTTGATTGTGATGTGAACATTAAACGACCGATGGCGATTGAATTTTCACATGAAAAACTTTCATCAATTTTTCATTTGTTTGAGTTGTTGAAGAAAAATTCGATTGTGAAGGAAAGTGAAGTGAAGAAGGAAGTGATTCAAGTTAAAAGAAAATCAAGAAAGTTTGATTCAATTAAATCACATTTCAATGACATTCGAACGCTCAACTTTAGCACGAGTCAAATGATTTGCAACGTCACGTCACTTGAATATGATTTCAAATTGGCAGTGTCGGAATTGAAAGGAAAATTGAAAGTTTTTGAACGTCCAGAAAAAATTGAAGCAAATTTCGATGTCGTCAACTTTATGTTAATTAATCGATCGAAAATTATTTTACATCCTTTAAGTGTTCAAAATCGTGTTAAAATAATTCAAGAATATTGGAAGAAAGATCCAATGATTCACTTAAATTTAAATTCAAATCTTATTAGAGTTGATGTTGGTATTGATGTCATTAAAGACGTAGAAACGTGTCGTTATTTATTTATGAAAGTTTTAAACTTTAAACAAAATGAGACTGAAGAAAATTTGACGACGAAATCTTCGGAAAGAGTTGAAGATAGAAAAATTCCAATTCATCAAAATTCATTGACAAACAAAATTCATTCAACAATTGAACATTTTCAAGACGACCTTAGAAGTGGCGCTTTTCAGTTTGTAGAGACATCATCGTTACGTGATCTTCCACTTCCTTATCAAATACAAATTATCGACAATGAAGTTGGAATGATTTGTTGGCGTTATCCATTGCCACGTGCGTTACACAAGATCAAAATCTTTCCTGTGCCTTTTCAAACAGCAAATCAAGTCACAATCATCTGTAAAATTGAATTCTATTCACAAATCAAGTCGAAATTTGAAGAGTATTGTGAATTTACTTTAACCGAGAATGAAACAAAACTTTTGGATTTGAAACAAAATCGACCGTCAGCAGAAGTTTGGCGAATAAAAATTCCGCGCGTATTTTGTAAGCGTGACTCGGACGATGACGATGATGACAACAATGGTGATTATGAGTTTCAAATGCATCCAAAAGTTCTCGTCGCTTGTCTTCGTATTGACTCTTATTACGTTTCGAATGCAATTCCAAAAGTTGACGCATTCGTTGAAGTATCGCATGCAGAAATTAATTTGATGAATAAGATGGAAGTTGTTGAGAAATTACCGGAATTTTTATCAAATTATCATTTTATGGATGATCGAGGCAAGGAACACGAAGCAGTGAAAATGTCAATGAAAAACATTAAAATTTATGGACAATTTTTTGATGAAAATTACGAAAATTTCGAATTTGATTCGATTGTTGGCTTGAATGTCATTGATTATGGTTGCGGGAATCTTGTGCCTTTAATCAGTGATTTTCGAATGAAAACTCTCGTTGATCATCATCTTAATGACGTTAATTTAAATGTGATGACTGATAAAATTGACTTAAAATACGCTCCGGCGATTGGACATTCATTGATGACAACGACAAAAATTTGGACACAACAATTGAGAAAAATTCCAAATCAGAATCTCGTCATTCATACAAAGTTCGTCATTTGTAACAACACAGCAAATCCAATTGGCATTAATCAATTTCAAACAAATGAAATGATTTGTCTCATGCCACAAACTTTCATTCTTTACAGTTTCCGCACTGATAAACTCGAACAGAGTTTGCAACTTTGTGTGTGTTTAAAAGGATTGTGGTCATTGAAGACGAAGCCAATGAAGATTCATCAAGATGGAACAGAATTTGTGATGTTGGAAGAGAATCAATTCTTTGTGGTGACTGTGAAAAGTTTGACAAACTTCCAAAGAAAAATTACAATCGATGGAACCGTCGGAATCTTTAACATGACTAAAGAACTCTTTCGAATTCAATACAAGCGATATGACAAAGACATTGACGCTCCTGATAACAGTGAAGCAATTGAGTTCGATATTGATGGACATCGAAGTGGATCCGTGTTTGGAACTTGCATGACGGACTCACAACAATCGATTCGACTTCGACTGGTGAAGAACGAGAAAAAAGTGTTTTCAGGCGAGATTCCATTGCGTGAGATTGTTGTGAATAACAAACCTTGGTTAGTGAAAGTTCCATCAATGGCAAGTTGCGGTTTCACAAGTTATTGGGTGAGAATCATCAGAGAGACGAAGAATAAAATTTCTCGAGTTCTCGTCATGATTTGGCCGATGTTTGTCACCAAATCTCTTCTTCCAATCAACACAACCGTCTACGAAGCTGAACAAAATCAAAGCCATGTAATTATTGGTCGTGGCGAAACAAAAGAACTCGACATGTGTGGAACGCACGAAGACGAACATGAATTGCTTTTGAAAGGAAATTTCTCAACACTTGATGACGACGTTAATGGTGCCAAAGTTATGTTGTCTTACAAACTTATCAATCGAAATTCGTTCTTTAAAATTCCCGATGAGTATTCTGACATTAATCGTGCTGTTGAGAAATTTGAAACGACATTTGATGAGAGATGGCCTTGTGGGAGGGATGAAGAGGTGAGTAGCATGAAAACACTTAAAATTAACTTCACTTAGACAGTTTTATTATCAGATTTCATTGATTTCACAATTCCATGAACACTCGTTAGTTGATCGTAAATTTCGGCCAATTTAAATTCCAATTTATTGACTTTCATTAATGTTATCTTTAAAGTAATCATTAAATCTTCATCAGTGATGTCACTGCAACGATCAGCAATTTCCAAGCGAAGTTCAGAAATTCCTTGTTCTGAATGCACGGCTTGTTTGTCGATGCAAATGTTTTTGTTGAAGTAAGCAGTTCTCAATTTCTTAAGCGGTGTGAGAATCTTTGATCCGACATGTTTCAAATGATTGTTGTAGAATGAAACATATTCAAGTTCGTTGTTGTATTGAAAGACGTCTGATTGTAAGTTTTCCAACAGATTACTGTAGAGATACAAAAATCTCAACTTTGTAAACTCCTTCAAATCATTTTTCTCGAGATATCTCAATCCGTTCATTCCCGCATGAATTGCAACGACATTGTCGAAGAAGTTCGTGAACCCTCGCGGAAAATATTCCATTCGTTGACGATATATGTGAAGCTGCGTGATGTCGTCGTCTGAATGACTAGACAAGTGGCCGCCTGTGACGTTTGTAATGTTTCGATTACTTGCATTCGTTACCAAATTCTTTGCTGTGCAAGTGTACGCAACTTTTAAGTCATCAAAGAAAAGCTCATTGTCGTAGAAACAATCAATGATAATTGCAGATGAGCTTGACACAAACCACACTAGAAAAATTGAAACGTTCAAGGAGAAAACTTTCATTGTCTTATTTATGAAAATCTTCTCAATGTGAATGCGACAAAAGACAAAATGAAACTGGACGACATTCTCGTTGTTGAGGAAATGAGATTAAGTGACTAACTTTCTCTCTCTTTCTCTCTCTCCTTATGCTTCTTTCTTTATGTAGCTGAAGGCCAATTAATGTGTGCGCTTTTTTGATCTAAATGTAAATAAACAACAACGAGAAAAAGCTTGCGAGAATTTATATTTTTTAGAAAGTTTATGATAAGCAAAAGTTTTTGGGAGAATTTTTTATCACAAAATTGTTAACAAAACATGGAACGGAAGAAACGTTTTTAGAACATTTTTGATAATTCACTCGAAAGCATTTAAATCATAAAAATGAAAATTCTTCTGTTATTAATTTCAATTTTAAATATTTCGAATTGCTTTCTTATTGAATGTCAATATAAAAACGATTTCATTCATAGTTGGGGTTATCGATATTCATGTCACACAATTAAAATAATTCCCAGTAGTGATACGAGCGTCGTCGAGAAAGTTTCGGGAAATCATTTGAAGAATAACACGATCGACGATGTCACACAATATTTCGCAAGGAATTTGAAGATTGAGAAATTTCCAAAAGCTTTGGGTAATCACTTTGAGAATTTAGAAGTTTTAAGAATCACGACGTGCAACATGCGCTTGTTGTTTAAATCCGACATGAAGAGCTTAAAGAAGTTGAAGTATCTTGACTTGGTTGGAAATAAAATTGAGAAACTTGAAGCGGAAACGTTCGAAAACACTCCGAACTTGCTTGAAGTTATTTTAAATAATAATCGATTGAAATTTATCGGAGCCGAACTGTTGGAGCCACTAAAGAACCTCGAATACATTAACTTTGGTGGCAATCCTTGCATCTCAAGCTTCTCGACAACCACTGAACAACTTCAAAGATTGAATATTGAAATAAAGTTGAAATGCAGTGACATCAGTTTCAAAGATTTGTTGGTGAAACTTTCTGAACTTGAAGGGAAAATCGACAAAATTCTGTCAAATACTTTAAGCAATGAAATCTGAATGTTGTAAACTTTCATAAAATAAGTTTTTAATAAAAGAAAAAAACAATTTTAATTAATTAGTTTCGAGTACTTCGTGATGTCACATCGAACGGTCCAACACTTCCAGTTTATCATCTGTCATCTCAAAATCCTGAAGATCTTTCATGTTCATTGATGTTGACTCTTGCTCCATGGTGTTCGATCATCAACTCGTCTGGTTATGCCATCAAATTGATTAATTTTGTTACTAAGGAAGTTTGTTCGGTTGACGTCAATGCAGTTGCGATGCCATTTTATATCAACGTAAGAAGAAAAACTTTTTTCCATCAATTTTATTTCTTTAATTTTAATTTTCCTCCACATTAGAACTCATTTACACTCAGCATTGAAGTTGACAACGATCACGTTGAAAGTCAACAAATTTTCATTAACACAGACGTCAAACGTTCATCTGCGAATAGCTCCGCACTTCCAATTGAAGGCCAAATTCCTGTTTTTCTACAAACAACTTCGGAAATTATTCAGCTCATCATCACATCATCAATGGAAAATAAAATGCGATTAATTATAATTTCATCATTGATTGTTGTAACAAATTATTCAAAATATGATTTAAAAATCTTCACATTTGTTGCTGATGTTGGTGAAAAGTTGGAAAATGTTAAAAGAAATGAAATTCATGTTAAGAAGTCAACGTTGGTGACATCGCAAGTGAATATGAAGGAAAATGTGTTGGGACAACCAATTGCAATGTTTGGTGATTTGTTTTCGTCATCAAAGGGAAAGCGAAAGATCAACACAAACTTTTCCTCGTTATTTGCTTTAGGAGTAAAAGACGATGAGATGTCAATGCCAATTAAGATTCAGCCAACGCTTAGAAAATGTGTCAACGTTCCCAACAACATTCCAATCAGTCTCTCAATAATAAAACATAACGAACAATATTTCATATCAATCTTCAACGACACTTCACCGTTCATTTGTGTTAACAATGACACTGACTTTAATCTTTTCATCGCACAAACTGATCTCTCTAATCATAAATATGTTTTACCGCACAAGGAAGTTGCTGATGAAAGATTCAGTTGGTTTCAAACGATTCCATCGAAGCAGAAAGTTTTCTATACACCGCCAATCGTTAATGAACATTTTCCAGAAATCATCAACCAAGAATTTGGTTTAATTTTTGCTTGTGTGACGGGCGATGATTTTGTTCGATGGTCACAACCAATAAAAATCGATGGAACAAAAACGATGATTATTAACGTTCCGTTGTTTGGTGACATTAAACTCAATATTGACGTTCAAGAGAAAACCGTTCAGTTGTCAATTTGTTACATTCAAAATGATGGATTGACCTTTAATCGAACGGAATTGTCGAGAGATTTCTATCGAGCAATATCCCAACAATCATTCTTGGATATTAACAGCAATTATCAAAAGACATTCAGTTTAAAAAAGGCGACCACAAAACGAGCATTCAATGTTAACTTCTACTCAACCGCAATCAGTTTTACAATTTACAAGGATGACGATAAAAAGCGCACAGATTTGATCTCATTAAATGCCGATGAAATTTGCTTAAAATATTCCAAACTTGCTGGCCAATTGAAGATGAATTTCACAAAGATTCAAGTCGACAATGAACTTTTTCCTGGTGGTGATTACGACTTTCCAGTTGTTTTATGTAACAAAGACTTGCCGAAGATTTCCAATCACATCACAATTAGTGGAACGTCAATTTGGGATCTTGACGAGATTCTCGACAGCCACACGACTAAAAATAATTTCACAATCGATGTTGATCTTTACAAAAATGGCTCAATGGAAAACATTGTTGTGAATCTTCAACCAATTCGTGTTTATATTGAAGATACCTTCATTAATGTTCTTCTCGAAATTGTCGACGATTGTCTACCAACAAATTTAATCGAAAAATTCAACAAACAACAAAATTTAAAGCGAATTAAATTGGAAGATGGAATGGTTCTCATTCCAAGATCAGTTGTTGAACAAGTTCAGCATCTTTCAGAGCCATTAAGACTTAAATCGATTCGTTTGGAGCCTTTACACATTCTGCTTTCAGTTCACACTTGCATGAGGTGAGAAATTTTTAATTATTTATAATTTCAAAATTAATTTAATAATTGTTCCTGACAGAATGTACATCGCATTAGACCACAGTCCACTGGATTTTTCAGCTTATGAAAAACTCGACATTTACACACTTCCAGTTAAGCTCGGTAACAGCATGGGAATGCATTACCTTTCATCAGCAATTTTTGGTGCTGGTTGGGTAGTTGGATCACTTGAGATTCTTGGAAGTCCCAGTGGTTTAGCACGATCATTCACAAGTGGATTAAAAGATTTTGTTTCAATGCCAGCTCAAGGTTTGTTGAAAGGCCCGTGGGGATTCTTAATGGGACTTACACATGGTTCAGTTTCATTGGTTCGAAATGTCACCACTGGAACTGTCAATTCTGTTACAAAACTTGCAACGTCATTGGCAAGAAATCTTGATCGTCTTACGCTTGACAATGATCACATTCATCTCAAGACAGACGCTTCACGACGACATCGACCGCAGGGTTTGACGGAAGGTCTTCAACAAGGATTGACAGGTTTAGGTATCAGCATTCTTGGAGCGATTGGAGGCTTAGCACGACATCCACTTCAAGCCACATCAACTGTTGAAGTGTTCACCGGTGTGGGAAAAGGAATTGTTGGAGTGTTTGCGAAACCAATCAGCGGTGCTGCCGAATTTGTTGCACTCACTGGCAGTGGAATGCTTCAAAGTGTCGGCTACAATCTTCTGCCACTTCCAATTTCTCATCATATTGAGAATCGTTTAATGCATCCAACAGCTGATAAAATAATCAGCAAACAGTTGTCACAGCATGCATCAACAAGTTTAGTTCTGTTCACTTGTCATGGATCTTTTTCACGTAAAAATGACATCAAGAATTCATTTATTGTTCTCATGTCAAATATGATGGTTGTGGCTGATTTAGATCGTGATACAGTCATGGATGTTATACCTTTGGAAAGAATTCAACCTGTCACTCGATCATCGAATGTTGATAATTTATTTGTCTTTAAAATTAAAGATGATGACGAATCGTCACCGACTAATAATGAGGTAAATTCTCAAATTTATAATTTTAAGTTACAAATTCATTAAAATCCTTTCACAGCAAAAGTATTCAGTGTCGAAACGAACTGTTCAATATATTCAACAATTAAGTGGAAGTCACATAACAATCGCTGAGCGATCGTCAGAAGAAAACAGCGAAGAAGAGACTCGACCTGATTCAGATGATGTTGAAAGTCTTAGTGCGATTGGAATTGACAAGAAAATTTCTTTCTACATGGATGAAGTGACGGGAAAGTATCTCTCGTCATATGTTAATCTAATGAAAAGCCAAATACAGTCAAGGAATAATTTATTTCCTTTGTTTGAGAGTTAATTAAATTAAATCTTTAATTATTTTTTGTTCATGTGACTAAATTTTAATAAAGTTTCGATTTTTACAAACAAACAAAAAGTTTTTCTTTTCTTCTCGTCCAACAGAAGCAGAGAAGGCAAAAGTTTAATAAGTTAAAAAGTAAGCGAAATCAATCAATTTGGAATATCAAACTTTTCTTTTCACTCGTTTTCTTAACAACGTTGTCGTTAAAAATGTTAAGTTAAAAGATCAATTGACGTAATTATATGTTGACCGATCATGTTTGCCTTATGAGGGCTGCTTTATGTTTGGCGCACTTAACTTTGTCTCTTAGTGAAGTTTTGAGTGCGTTAAGTTGACAAAAAAGATTGCAAAATAATGAAGGTTAAGTATTGACGATAATTTGACGCGAGTCGCGACAAATTGTTGGTTTTCTTTTCGATGGAATTGATAATTTGTGATCACTTTCGATGACGGATCTCTTCAATGTACGTATAAAAGCAGATGCAGCATAACATCCTCGATCACTATGCTTTAAAAAGTTGATAAACTGATATCATTTTAAGAGTTAAAATGTGGAAATTGATTTTTATTATTTTTTTCAATTCAATTTTGATTGGAGCGATTTCTAAAGATATAGAAAGAATGGAAAATCTTCTCAAAGGTATTTTTGTATAAAAAACTTAAAAAATGTTATGAGATTAATATTTCTCTAAGATTTTCAAGTTAAATCAATAAATTGGCAGCCAGTTGAAGTGAAGAAAAGTCAAGACAAACGAGGATTAATGGCAGCAACAAAGATTTCTGAATGGATTGAAAAAATTCGTAATAAGCGAACTACGACAACTCCACTGCCACCGTCATCATCAGCTTCATCATCAGCACCATCGACATCAGCATCACCGCCAGTAACATCGTCGTCACTGTCACCACCGATAACATTGCCACCAATAATACAATCACCAACACCTGATACAAGTATATTTGATGGAATAATTTCAAATGCCTTGTCGTCAATTCTTAACAGTAATAAAGAAGTGAGTCAAGAATATTCAGTGACTCTAAGTCAAACATCTTCAGAAATTCTCAAACAAATAATTGAAAATAGGGAGAAAATTATTTTAACTGAAGGAACTTTGGGACAACTTCAGTCATTAATAAATCTCAGTAATGAAAACATCGATGAAGTGAAACAACTATTGATGGGATTTAATGATCATTTGTCTAACATTTATAGCATTCTCTCGCTCCTACTTCAACCAGCATCACCAGATAAAAGACAAAAAGTCAATTCTGTTATTTACACAATTCAACAAAGTCAGGATACAATAAAGAAGAGAATTGATGTTACAAATTAAAAATTTAAAATAAAAAAAGAAAATTAATTAAGTAGTTGTTGTTTCTCAAGAATTTATTTGATTTATTTGAAATTATTAATTATTACTCATTAATGATCAATTCATTAAGTCAACTTTTTGGAAGTTTATCTTCTCTTCTTATTAAGTAATTGTTATCGTATCATGCCTTGAAGTACTTATGTCAATTTTTGTTTTTCAATGCTAAGCAAATAATTGAACATGTTGTTCGAATTTCTATTGACAATTATTCAATGACGTTATTCCTTTTGTATGTGTCAGGAGTTACGTGTCTTCTCGTGATACCTTGACTAACACAAAAAACAATAAATTCCAAAATTCATTAAAGATAACGAAAAGAAAAACATCCAATGAAAAACTGTTTTATCAATTTGAATAAAAATTATCGCTTCAAAATCGACCAATAAAATTGTATAAATAAAAATTAGTTTTTTAGGACACACTTTTATGTGTTTAACTGTTATTTAAATTACTTAAATCTTTAAATAGCTTTTTTCCAAGGCAAATAGATGTCAATTCAACAACTATTCGACTATTATTGTCAGTCAATATGGTAGGAAATGTTTTTCAAATCGATCTTATTACACCAACAACAATAACGATTGATAATCAAGGAGCAATAAATAAACTTGAAAACAATGAATTCAAATGTAGAACAAAAATTTTGTTACAAAATATATTTCTGTCAAGTTTCATTTTATTCGCGAGTCGCGACTGCTTAAGAAGAAAATTAATCAAGTTCACCTTTTGTCAATCAGACAAAAACATTTCCGATGTCAACAAAACCACTTTCAGGAATTAAAATCAACAAATCAGGACATGCATCTGGAATACTTGATACATATAACTAATCTTAATTTAAGAAGCTCTTTGATATTCTTCTCTAATTCATGTTGATAATAGGTATGCGAGGGGGCGTGTTTGAACGCCTTGTGTTTGGGATACGAATGCGCATTGAAACATTACAACATTCCACTAACACTACTCACCACACGAAGCTTGAGCCTATAAAAGCCCTTACATCATTGAATTGTAATTAGTTAAAATCTATCTATCGAGAAATAAAATGCAAATTGAATTAATTTAAACTATTAAAGTTTCTTGGTTTTTAACAGGTAAGAGTTGTAAAGAGACCTGTTGGAAATATATGAAAAAGAAATGTTTTTCTTTTAGCGATGATCAAATTTTTAAAATTTATAGTGAACTGATCTTTATTGGTGATTTCATGAGAAAATTATTTATTTATTTGTGTTTGAGCTACAAAATCAAATGACTTCGAAGAATTGAGAAAAACTAAAGATGAACATAGATTTGTATATTGGCTCTTTCAATGTTCGCAATTATAGACCAGTGCAAAACTCTAAAGTTGGAATCTTTGGCTGCAGTTCAAATAATTCTAATTATTTCCATGTCATGTTTCAAAGTATGTAAAATAAATGTGTATTGATGGAAAACGAACTTTTAAAGGATTATTTGCTTGAATGTAATTTTGCTTTTTTTTGTTTCTTTCTTTTAATGTTTTGGAGATGATATTTTAGTAAAAATTGTCCATTCAACGTTCAATTAATGAGAGATCATAAGTCACTTGATACGTTACTGCTTCCTACCACGTAGCAAAAAGAATTTAATGAACTAAAAAATAAAAAGAACAAATTGCTTCAACTCTAATAAATTTAAATGAATATCATTTTCAAATTATCAAAAACTAACAGATCAATACACAAACATTTTGCTACTTGTTTATACATAAGTTGGATATTTTTGGACATTTTAGTTCCTTTAAATTTTATTTACTTTTTATTGCGATGAATTTTTTTCATCAACTTGAACAAAACTGAAAAAATACGAAAGAAACCAATAAAAAAACATCTTAAGTTTCCCCTCATGTTCATTCAACAAATGTGATAATTTTTTAAATATTTCAAGTTTCCATGTTTGAGCTTGATACCTGAAGAATGAATGTGCATTAGATTATATGAATTTTGTCACAGGTTCTTTTCCACATCCTGGAAATTTAGTCACAAAAACGTCAAATCTATTCACAATTCTTGATATTGTTAAATATACTGACTTCAATTTCTTAAGCTATACATAGGTTTTCATTAAACAATTCTTATTTGTGATGATAAAGTGACGTGGTTGGTTTCAACTACACCTTTAAAAATTTCATCACTTTACTCAGCTGAACTGAGAAAGAGTAAATTAAGTTCTGAGCTCATCATTCAAGAAATTATATCGTCCGTAGCTATTCAGGATATTTGATCTTCAGTGCAAAAGTTTAGATATCATAATTGAATAATTCCAGTTTCATGTTATGCTTCAAATTGTATTTACAGATATTTTCTGAAATGAGAAGTTAAAAAATATTTTTCCAAATAAATTTATACCGCAATTTGGAATTTATTTGTCTACCGTAATTTTACATAACCTTACGCATTGAATTATATTTTTAAGGTCCAGGTCAGTTTTAATATCAAAATAATTCAAATTTAATTTATAAATTATCACACGTACATAAATGACAAACACGTCGATACAATTAAGTCAAAAATAAACTGAAACGAGCTTTCAATTCACTTTCCCACATGATTTTCTTTTTTCCTTCATTTTTTCAGACTTTTTTTCAATCGTTTTCAATCATTTTGTTTTTGCCTGCAGAAATATCATATAAATAAATCTGATTTTCTACTACAAAATTTAGTTAAATTCAAAAGTCAAAGAATTGAAGTTAGGATTGGTTAATCGTTTCATTTTTTAAGCTATTTCAATTAAAATTAAAGATGTTCCTGACGTATTTTATTTTTCTCTTATGTTTGAATAATTTTGCACACGGAACTTTTAAAAAACATTTGAATATCTGTAAGTAAGTGAAATATGAAGAACTAGAAGTTTGATGAATAAATAATTTTTCAGATGATCGTTTGAATAAATACAATACAAGTAAGTCAAATGGATCGATAATTATAGTTTTTATGACTCACTGTCAAATTTTATGAATAAAAAATATATAAAAAAAGAACATCCAAATATTTTGGAGAAAGGAGACGAAAGTAACATTGAAAATTTCTCGTACGATTATTCTGATCCATTTGGCCCACGTAATTGGGGAAGACTCAGCAGAAATTGCGATGGCAACCGGCAAAGTCCCATCAATCTTCCGCTTGGGATTTTAAAATCTCGAATTGGAAAACCATTAACCTTCAGTGATTTTTCAACAACTCCAAAATCCATTAAAGTCATTAATGATGGACATTCTGTCAAAGTCGAGTTTAATTTCCCAGGGAATGATGAAGCTACAATTTCAGGAGGTCCGCTGGTGGGAAAATATAAGATTGACAATGTTCATTGGCATTGGGGTGAAAAAGATAATTGTGGAAGTGAACATTTACTTAACGGTCGCAGATTCTCAGCAGAACTTCACATCGTCACTTATGATTCAAGATACAGTACCAGTTATTAATTATCGAATTTTATTTTAAAACTGAAACTATTAATTTCTTAGATTCTATCAATGATGCAGTAGACAAAAGGAATGGAATCGCTGTTTTGGGATTCTTTTATGAGGTGAATTATTTAAATTTATTTTGAAAATTTCCCTCAATTGATTAGATATTTTTACGACAAAGTTAACCACTAGTAATAGAGCGTCAGATTTTCCTTTGACAGACAAGATTCAGGACGTTATTGAACCAGAAAGCTCTTGCACAGAAACATCCGATGTTTTTACATTTCGTGATCTTATCAAAAGTACAAGATTTGATTATTTGACATACAAAGGTTCATTGACAACTCCCACATGTGATGAGACCGTTACTTGGATAGTTTCAACTAATCCCTTAAAAATATCGTCAAATGATTTAGGCGAATTGAGAAAGTTAAGAGATAAAAGAGGAAATTTAATTCTTCGGAATTACAGACCAATTCAGAGCTCAAAACTTCGATTGGTTGAAAGATATCGTTCTACTTAAAATTCATACTTTTAATTATTTTTTTCTCTGAAGGTGTTAATAACATTACAAGAAGTGCAACTTCATTTGTTTCTTCTTTTTCACAGAAATATTTCGATTTACATAAAATAAAAAATGGGTCAACATTTGGTTTCAATTTAACATTTCGAACTCCGAAAATAAAGTAACAAAAGTAATTATTTGAAACTAAATATTGACTTGTTAATTGAGCTACTACCTTGACGCATGTTTCATTAACAAACAATGAGTTGACAGCTACAGCTGTAATCTTTAATTACAATAAAAGTTTTAATAATTTTTTGATGTTTGAACATAAACAAATACATATTTTTAACAAATACATATATTTCGTTCAAAGTGTGGCGTGGTAGGAAGACAGGAAAAAAAATTTAAAACAATTAATTCTATGTTTAGCTCAAGATTCAAATATGAATGTAATTGAACACACGATAAAGCTTCATGTACTTATGATTCAACCAATAAGATGATATCGAAATTATTTAAAACTTACGCTGAATATTTTTTTCTTAAAAGGGAAGTGAAAGTAACCAAAATAAGACAACATTAATAAAAAAAAAGAATTTTAATCTCATTCACTTATACTTTTACCCACTGCAGAGTTTTCTTATGCTTGAATGTCCTATAAAAATAAAAGAAACCCAAAGAATATTTCATTTCGTGTTTAAAAACCAAAAAGGTAAGATCAGTTGAATTCATTTGATACAAAGTTTAGTGCCAAAATGTTATTTTTGCGTGTTGGAATTCTTCTGTTCTTCATAACCTCGGGGGATGGATTCGTAAGGAATTTTAGAAATTTAGCCAGTGGGGTTGTATCTGGTATCAAATATTGAATATCTCAAAGTGAAAATTGATAATAAATTTTATTTTCCACACTAATAGAAATATTAAATAATGAAACTCCTGGAAGTGAAGTGACATACTCCTATGATGATAATGACCCATATGGACCTGAAAACTGGGATCGAATCGATAGAACTTGTGATGGTTTACGTCAAAGTCCTATTGATCTTCAAACAGAAAGTGTTTGGATAAGACGAAGGGATCGTTTAACAATAAGCGAACTCACAACAAGGCCAATTTCAATTGACTTAACAAATACAGGGCATGGTGCACAGATCGCATTCAACTTTCCCAATGCTGGTCAAGCTGTTGTTTCTGGTGGACCCCTTCTTGGTGAATACAAAATTGCTCAAGCTCATTGGCATTGGGGTGAAACTGATGGATCTGGAAGTGAACATTTACTCAACTCAAAAAGATATGCCGCAGAACTCCACGTCGTCACATACAATTCAAGATATGGTGAGAAAAATTCATAAAACTTATGCTTTAATATAATTTCACTAACATTTTGCTTAAATAGCATCGGTTTCAGATGCAAAAGATCGAATTAAAGGACTTGCTGTCTTGGGCTTTTTCTATGAGGTAAAAAAACATTCAAAAATGGAAATGATAAAATAAAAATTCTTTTTAATAGCTTGACGAAACTGCAACTTCAGATTTGTTAATTACAAATTGGCTTGCAAACATCATTGAAAATGATAGTTCTTACACCGAGGCTGTAAACACTTTTACAATAAATAATTTAATCAAAGAGGCACAATTTGATTACTTAAGTTATCAGGGATCATTGACAACTCCAACATGTGATGAAACCGTGACGTGGATGGTTTCAACTAAACCTTTGAAAATTAAATCAGCCGATTTAGCTGAATTCCGAAAAATAAAGGACAAGAAGGGAAACTTGGTTCTGCGTAATTTCCGACCGGTTCAATCCAGAAATGGTCGCTTCATAAAAGGATACTATTTATAATCAAAGTTCATGATACTAAGATATAGTTAAAAAATTTTAAATTAATTTTATTCAGTAGACATTATGAATTTATTGAACATGTTTTTGTTATTACCGTTTACATTTCTTATGGAAATAAATATTTTCAATCTTTTACAATTTGTATAAAAGCTTAAATCTCTTATGATAGTTATATAATCTTTGAAAATTAACTATATACATATAAGATGCTGTTCGAAACAATAAATTCATGTCTATGCGGAGTTGAATTTCAGTATTATTGATGACACGTTAAAAGCAAACATCATCCATATGGCAGTTGTTTTTCATCTCACTTTTTTCAATGTTATAGGTAAAGTTTCGTTTATTTATCACTCATGCAATAAATTAATATAATTTTTCTTTAAAACTTACACTAAAACATTTGTGAACACTTACCAATAGCTTTCATTGATAGAGAATACTTAAAAAGATAAAAGCTACAATAAAAAGAATTTAAAAACATTTTCCATCTCATTTTCATACAGTTTTGCTCTTCTATCCTCTTATTAGTACCTGTAGACCTTCTGTTTTATAAGACTAAATGTAAAATTATTCTATAAAATTAAGTAATAACTAGAGAGTGCTTCATTTCATCTTTCAACGCCTTAAAACCAAGATCAGTGAAAAAGTTCAATCGTGCTTCTGTTTCAAAATGATAATTTGGTGTATTGGAATAATTCTGTGCTTTTGTAATGCAGGTAAAATATGCCTAGATTATTGTGAGCTATCATAGATCTTAAAAATAAATTAGTTTTCTTTATTGAAATTTTAAATCAAAACAACAATTTATTATAAATTGAGAAATTTTTGATTGAATGTATTCTTAATTTTTTCTTCTCATTTTTTTTGTTAATTTTTTTCTTAATTATCATTTTTCCTATTTTTATCAAAAATATCTGCTGTTTTATTATTTAATTCAAAGGGAGAAATATTTAAAACATTTAAAAAAACTTAAAACTTTTTCTATTTATGAAAAACCCTAAAATTATTTAAATTATTAGGAACATTTGCTGCTTCGTATGCCTATGACTATAATCCCGGTAACAGCGATGCCAGACCTGAAGACTGGGCCCAAATGGATAGTCCAGACAATGCCCAGTGTGGTTGGGCGAATCAAAGTCCAATTGATCTTCAAACGCAATTTGTTTCTATACAATCAAGAGCAAATTCTCTTTCGATTACGAATCTCAGAACAATGCCAGAAAATGTTGTTTTAACAAATGTAGGACATGGTGCAGAAATTTCGTTTGAATTTGCCAATAATGATAATATGGTAGTTACTGGTGGGCCTTTAAATGATCAATTTATAGTAGCTCAAGCCCAATGGCATTGGGGTACAGCGGATTGCGCTGGAAGTGAACATATGCTCAATTCTCAAAGATATTCAGCAGAAGTACACATCGTAACATACAACTCAAAATATGGTGAATTAAATCCTTCAATTTAAAATTTAAGTAATTTCACAAAACATTTGCTTTAAATAGCATCACTTGGAGACGCAGCAGATAAATTTGACGGTCTTGCTGTCTTAGGATTTCTCTATGAGGTGAAGATTATTTTAGCATTTTGAACTTTAAAAAATAAAAAAATTCTCCACAGGTTGACGAGGCTGCAAACTCAGATTTTCCACAATCAGTTCAAACTAGCCTTGGAGGAATTACATTCGGATGCGACTCTACTACTGTCTCTCCATTTCCATTAATTGATCTGTTCAGAACTGAATTCTTTGATTATATAGCTTACAGCGGTTCACTGACAACACCACCTTGTTATCAGACCGTGCAATGGATGGTTTCAACTAAACCCTTAGATCGGAAGAGCGTCGTGTAGGGAAAGAGTGTNTTATTTAATTTATTTGGAACATTTGCTGCTACGTTTGCCTATGAGTATAATCCCGGTAACAGCGATTACAGACCTGAAAACTGGGCCCAAATGGATAGTCCAAACAATATCCAGTGTGATTGGGCGAATCAAAGTCCAATTGATCTTCAAACGCAATTTGTTCTTATACAATCAAGAGCAAATTCTCTTTCGATTACGAATCTCAGAACAATGCCAGAAAATGTTGTTTTAACAAATGTAGGACATGGTGCAGAAATTTCGTTTGAATTTGCCAATAATGATAATATGGTAGTTACTGGTGGGCCTTTAAATGATCAATTTATAGTAGCTCAAGCCCATTGGCATTGGGGTCCAGCGGATTGCGCTGGAAGTGAACATATGCTCAATTCTCAAAGATATGCAGCAGAAGTACACATCGTAACATACAACTCAAAATATGGTGAATTAAATCCTTCAATTTAAAATTTAAGTAATTTCACAAAACATTTGCTTTAAATAGCATCACTTGAAGACGCAGCAGATAAATATGACGGTCTTGCTGTCTTAGGATTTCTCTATGAGGTGAAGATTATTTTAGCATTTTGAACTTTAAAAAATAAAAAAATTCTCCACAGCTTGACGACGCTGCAGCTCCAGATTTTCCATCATCAGTTCAAGGTGGCCTTGGAGGAATTCCAAACGCTGGCGACACTACTACTGTCGCTCCATTTGCATTAATTAATCTGTTCAGAACTGAATTCTTTGATTATATAGCTTACAGCGGTTCACTGACAACACCACCTTGTTATCAGACCGTGCAATGGATGGTTTCAACTAAACCCTTGAAAATATCGTCAGCCGATTTAGGTGCACTCCGTTCTATAAACGATGTAAATGGATCCCCACTTCTTCGTAATTTCCGACCATGTCAAAATAGCTATAGTCGTGCTTTGAATGGATATTATCTATAAATTAATATCCTTCGGAAGTGAAAAACAAAATTCCAACATCTGTTTTGTTGCATATTTGAAAAACCTGTAATATAATATGACGACTTTTCAACAAAAGCGTGTTCACTTATTCCAGAGATAATAAAATAATTGACATGCTGCTGAAAAATAAATGTTTTGGTTTCTTGTTTAAATGTTATGCTTGAATTTGCCGCTTAAGTTCCATTGCACAAAGGAATTCGAATTGTGAACGATGCTGTTTATTTTTTAAAAAGTGGGGATAAGAGAAGTTGAAATATTAGTTTGTTCAAAAAGCTTACAGCAGTCAATTTAACATCAGACAGCTTACCGGACGAAGCTTTTTGTTGAAGTTTTTATAAATTCACTCGTGTGCCGTTCATTCCATTGCACAATTAAAAGTTTCCCTCTTGAGTGATTTTCATTAATTGAAAAGAAAAAAAACATTGCGAATAACACAATTAATTAATGATGACATCATCATTGCGCACTTAGTGAATCTGCAATTCTTCATCAGATGTATGTTGAGTTAAAACGAAGAGTTTCATTACGTAAAGATTAGTTCCGACTGAGACTTTATTGAAGATTATTTTTCTCAGCAGTGATAGTTCTTTAAAAAGTGATGAAATGAGTTGTGAAACAAAATTTTACTTTATTATAATTTAAATTGGAAAATAAGTGGAAGCAAAGCAATTTAAAAAAAATTAAATTTATGTACAAGAATTTTACCAGAATTAAATTGGAATATTTCAGATGAAAAGCGTATGTAATCAAAAAATGAATGTTCAGATATGTGAAAAGTTATTGCAATAGTTCAAAACTGAATTTTTAAAGATTCCCTTTCCCAGTAGATTTAATTGAATATTTTATAAACATTGAGAAGGAAAAAAGTTTAGTGAACAGAAGAATGAAACAAAACTGAATTTCGTTTCACTTCAAAAATATTCTGCTGTAATTTTGGTCCTAATATTTGTTTATGAAACACGAATATTACTTTCTACATTCGGCCAACTTACAAAACTAAGTTATTTAAAGTCATCATCATCATCAGAATGGGGGGAATTCTTTGTAATGAGAATTCCACAAATGGCGAGTGGGACATAAAGTCTTGAAGACGTCCCGTTTAAGTTATTTAAAGTCATGAAACAATAAATATCGTGTTTGAAAGTTCATTTAACAGAACATTTAAAATATTTATTGAAACTTCCTGAACTACTTTAAAAGGCAAGTCATAAGGAATTTTGTGAACATTATTACTTAAGAACTTCACCAAAATGAAACCGATAGTGTTAGGCAATATTTTTACTATTCTCTTTGGTCTCAGCCAAACATTTGATACGAAAGCTAATTCACGTAAGATTATTTAATAAAATAAATTATTGCAATTGAAATTTAATGAATTCGTACAGCTTCATCTTACCAAAATCAGGTTTCGAACACTTTTCAAAACGGAATATTGACATTAAAACGAATTAAAGAGAAACATTATTTCAAAGACCTTTGGATGATCCCAAGTAAGATTGGCCGTATTACAAACAAGTTTCCTTCAACAAGCATAACTGATATTTTTGGTGATATTTCACCGGTTGCCTATAATGAAAGAAATTTGAGAAGTGAGAAAGAAACCTTTTCGTACGACGAATCTGATCCCTATGGACCTCAAAATTGGGGAAGATTGAGTGAACATTGTGATGGAAGCCAACAAAGTCCAATAAGTCTTTATTCAAACGATTCTTTAGAAATTTATAGACGACCCTTAAGAATCCAACATCTCGACACTATACCGAATTCATTAACATTTCGGAACAACGGACATTCGTTTACGATCACATTTAACTATCCTGGATCTAGAGTTGCAGCAGTATCGGGAGGTCCACTTAAGAATTCATATGTAATTTCTCAAGTTCATTGGCATTGGGGTATGAATGATTATGACGGTAGCGAACATATCCTTGACTTCAGACGTTACTCTGCTGAAGCTCATATTGTTACTTATAATTCAAAATATGGTAAATGAAAATTTCAAGCAATTAAAAATTTATATAAAATCTTTAATGCTTCTAAGGTTCTTTGACAAATGCTATGAATCAACCTAAGGGGCTTGCAGTTCTAGGTTTTTTATATGAGGTAAGTTGAACTGACACTTGCTTATTATAAAATTGCAATAAATTCTTATTTCAGATTGACAACTCTTATGGAGCCTCAGACATTCCATTTGGATTTCTCGTTGAAAATGTAATTGAATCAGGAAGTTCTTACGTGGAAAATTCTCATTTATTTTCACTTCGTCATATCATCCAATCAATGGAATTTGATTATTTGAGTTACAAAGGCTCTTTGACAACGCCAAATTGTTTTGAGACAGTCACATGGATAGTTTCGACGAAGCCTTTGAAAATATCTTCTCATGATCTAGCTCAACTTAGAAGAATAAAAGATGAAAAAGGAAAACCAATTCTCATGAATTATCGACCCATTCAGAGAACAAATTATCGCGATGTCGATAAATATTGTTCCCAATCACAATATACACAAAAGTATTATTAAAATTTATGAGTAGCAGAATAGTGAACTTTAATTACAATTTAAATTGAAAGATCATGAAAATAATTTCAAATACTTTTTACAAATAAACTTCAACAATCAATAACATTTAAGTAATAAAAAGAATAAAAATTGATTTCTAGCGTTAATTTTCCTGATAACAGTTATTGAAAGTCTACAAAACTTCTCAATTTATACCACAATTCACGGTATAATAACAATCAATAGTGAATAATTCAATTACTACAGTTTCACTTTAGTTTAATCCTTAGATTTGACACACAAATTCTTATTAATTTAAATTTGATTGTAAATTTAAATAGATAAATTTATTTTTTCATTTGACACGAATTGTAAAAAGTTTTCATTTCTCTTCTGTTATTGTTCATGTTTAGAAAAATGAAGCAATAATAAAAAAATAAGTTCATCTTATATAATTGTACATTTAGATACACGCGTGACATAAAGCATGAAAATCATCAAGCATATTTAAGAAATTAAATAATTATGTTTTTAATCGTTATCACGACGTAATTTTTAAATTACAAACACAACATGTCAATTTAACGAAAGAACGTTGAAAATAAATGAAATTTAAGAATGAACTATGAAAGCATTTTCTTGATGAAATCTTTTATAAATGAAGTGATCTTATGGCGCTTATTCAGTTGCACAATCGACGAAGACAGTTTCTTGTCAAAATAATAAAACAAGTTTTAATTTACTTTTTATTTAGGAATTGCATATTTAAGTGAAAAGTTTACGAACTCGTGTGAAATAAAAAGTTTTTAATAAAATAAATCCTAATTATGTTTATTGCAAAGATTGTATTTATTTTAACACTTGCCACTTTAGGGCAAGCCTTTAAACGAGCGATGGTATCAGGTATGGAGAATATAAAAGTACAATAAGAAATTTAATTCATTGTGTGGAAATTTCATAGACCAGAAAGATTTTTCCTACGATTTCTCTGATCCATTTGGGCCACAAAACTGGGGGAGAATAAGCAAAACATGCGATGGTAATCGACAAAGTCCAATAAATCTTCCGCTTAGAACTACACTGGTAAGGCCAAGGCATCCGTTAACGATTAATGATCTTACCGCAATACCAGCATCAATTGATATTATGAATGATGGACATGGAGCGAAAATTATGTTCAACTTTCCCCATTCACGTCAAGCAACAGTTACTGGTGGACCATTACGTGGTGAATACATAATTGAAAATGCACATTGGCATTGGGGTGAAAATGATTTTGCTGGCAGTGAACATTTATTAGATGGTCGAAGATTTTCCGCTGAACTTCATGTCGTCACATACAATTCAAAATATGGTGGGAAAGTTTTATAAATTTTCAGACATTTGAATTATTTTTTGTACTTTTTCAAAAAGGATCATTGACAGAAGCTGTAAACGAAAAGGATGGACTTGCTGTCTTGGGAGTCTTTTATGAGGTTAATTCTTTTAATTTTTCCTTCCACATTTATTTTCATGAATTTCTTTAACAGCTTTCGCATGATGAGTTTTCAGACTTTCCTATAACGCCTTTTCTTCACAATATAATTCACCCGAAATCTTCTTGTACAGAAGATAAAGATGTTTTCACAATTCTTGATGTCGTCAAAACAACTGACTTTAACTTTTTGAGCTATAAAGGTTCATTGACAACACCCAATTGTGATGAGACCGTTACGTGGATGGTTTCAACTACGCCTCTCAAAATATCATCACATGATTTACATGAATTAAGGAAATTGAGAGACGATAAAGGAGATTTAATTCTTCGCAACTACAGACCAATTCAAAACAGAAACTTCCGCACTATTAGATGTTTTTTGAATTGAAAACTGTTTCCCAATGGTCTATGGATAATTGATTAAAACTTGTTGAGTATAAATTCATATTACAATGAAAGGCATTTGAAGTTTTTACATATTCGTCGTAAGAGAAATATTTAAACTCTTTCCCAATATTTCCATTTTCATTCCTCTAATTTCAATGCATTGTCGGTTTGTGTGTTTAAAATTATTTATTGCATCATCGACATATTAACTTTTACAATCCATTTCGATTCTGAAAGTGTAAGTAAAGCCTCAAAATATCATTAAAATAATAAAAAAGTCAAAAGTGAAAAAGTTTCAATAAAAAGCGTTTGATTTAATTTCTTTAGCTATTAAAAAAGAACAAAGAAAATTAAATTTATACTTGAGTTATTTATGCTCTAACATTTTTTTCTTCTTCTGATTGAATAAAAAAAGCACGTGAAAGCTGTTGCTTGCAAACTTACATTAAGGAAATTGTCTAGAGTTTGGCGGAATCACTTAAATATTTCTTTTTGTTTTCTTAAATGATTGCATCAGCTACTTTGAGCTTTCGTTTTAAATTTCCTTTCTGCTTTCTTGACAAAATACGTCAACGAGATTCAACATAAAAAATTTGTTGTCATGACATTTTTATTCTAAATTATCGATTGAATCTTTTTTGTTAATTTAATTTATTTCCTAAGCTTTTTAATATGACTTTCTGTTAGTAAGGTTGAGGTACAAAGTTTTCTTTAAAGATCTTTTATCATAAATCTATATTAGAAATATCGAGACAAATGATCATTTCCATAATAAAATGACTCAAATTGGCGATTCAGAACCAACTGAAGATGTCGATTAAATGTGATTACATTTTGAAAATACTTTTTGCAACATTTCAAGAAAAGTTGCATGACAAATGTTTATAATTAAGCAATAAATTGTAATTAACAACCAACATTCGTACTCTTCGTATGTTTCTTGTATTTATGTGTAATTAAATCATTATGGAAATGACCACATTATGAGAACATTTAAATGTGATGACGAACTCCTAAGACTACTTAGAGGAAAAGTACAAGAGACATTTTTAGTGTGTGTTAAATAATAAAAAAGCTTCAATTTTGTAACATAATGTGCTGGAAGATTGGAATAAAAAGTTAAAATAAAAATCGTGACAAGTTTCTATTTGACTTTAATCTCAGTTTTTTTCTCGTAAGTTCTGAGAATATTTAAACTTAAAATTTGAAAAAGATCAAAAAATATCTTCACTTGGTTAATTAATAAAAAAAACTTTAAGCTGCCTAAGGATGACATCATGTCATTGACATGATTGTGATGAATACTTTGAGTTTAAAAAGAAATAAGTTACAAGTTTCTGATGTATCGCGTTCGTCGCACAAGAACACAACAAGATGTCAAACCTGATGAATACTTCCCCAATTCACTGATATTTAATACTTTTCTTGGAATGTCAATTTTTTCAGACAAAATTTGAGTTGTTACTGGAATCTCTTCGATTGATCGATGCACTAAAAATCCATTAACGAAAAGAACATTTGAAGCATTTTCTTCACTCAATGTTAGAGTTTGATAAGTGAAAGTTGCTTCACGTTCAATTCTTTTCAGAATTCCTTGAGATGCTGGAGAATTCGAGACACAAATGAGATCGGGACCGGCCATTGAAACATAATATTTGAGATGTCGTTTCTCCGTTACCTGGAAAAGGAATATGAAAGCGATTCATGACGACATATTTACATTAAATAATTCTCTAATAATTAAATTCTTACTCTTATTGGAACACATGGAAACTCAGGAAAAGCGTTGGCGACAGCTCTTGCACCAGCTTCATTTGTAAATTCAGAAATACCGACAAAGAATTCTTTTCCAGTGAAAAGCACATCACCGCCTTCAAGCTTTGCTTTCGGATCAGCAATCTCTACAATAGCCATGTCTAATTCCTTTTTGAGAATCGCTCTTACATTTTCAACCTAATATGAAAATGAAATAATCAATTAATTAGTTTTTTAATGTGTAGAAATCGTAACGTAATAAATGAGTACGATGTCTGCTTTCATAAAGCAAACGCTCGCTTTTTTCACGACCTTGACTATGTGTAAACTTGCACTTGAACTAATGCCAATGCTTCTCTTTTTCAATCGTACTCTTTTGAGCACCAAATTGCGCACGAACTCAAAACGTTATAAATTATAACATATTTCACAATCAAAACAAATTAAAGCAAATCACTTTAAATTAACGTGGAAAGAGTTCAAAAAATGAGCACAAATGTAATCAAGTTATAAAATTTCGCATCAAAGCTTCAATCGAGACATTTGCGTTATGCGATACTCAGAATGAAGCTCAAATGTCATTCGGAAACTTTTTTGATTGTTACTTGATTATCTTTCCAACTTTTTTCAGGCTTCTTCATAAATTGATTTCATCAAGAAAGATTTTGACGCAAATTGGAACAAGAAATTTTCCTTTGTTTATTCTATTTCCATGTTTTAATTGGGTGAGGGTAAAATTATAATTTGAACTGCTTTTTGCTAAGGAAATTATTTCCACACGATTCTATCGATAAAAATAAAATTTCTCTGACCCACAACATGTCCAAAATGATTTCAATTTCTGAATATAAATAAATTTCGCTTAATTGAAAAGATGAAGCATAAATTGATGCTTTATTGTTGCGTCGAGAAGCCAATTACACAGCAATACTCTTATAACGGTTACATTTTCTCATCTAATTAACAATTCTATTTTCTTCTTCTTTCTTGATACAATGAGTAAGTCACTATTGGATGTCAAAGTGTCTTATAGCGGCAATTTCTCCACCGGATGGAATATAAATAAAGTAGCAAGCTAGCGAGCATTAACAATGAACGTGAGGAAACACATTCAAATGATAATATTTGAAGCATTTGTGATAAATTTATGCTAATTTTATGCTAATTATCAGACCAAATGTCTCAAAAGAGGCTTATTAACACACGATGAAACAGGGAATTGTTTTCGCTTGGCTTTTACTCGCAACATTTTCAATATTTTTCATTTGGCACACGCCCAACTCATTTACCTCTTTTAGCCGTGATGGATTTCCAGGCTTTGTAATTAAAGCAATATTGTTGCAGACAACTGCTGTGTCTTCTACAAATACTGACTCAGGAAGCTCTTCATCCGATGGCATTTCAATGACGTCAAGCTCAAGCTCACGAAGTAGTTGTACATACGCTTCATGCTCTTTCTTAGCAATATCGACATCAATGTTTCGCGTTTTAAGCGAAAGCGGAATTCTGAAAATAAACAAGATTGATAACATGGAGATAAAATCATTTCTCTTAAAACTATTTTAGTCAAGCTTTTCATAATGTGGAATAGCAGACTGTGACTTGGCCCATTTTTAGAAATTATCGATTTTTTCTAGAATCGCGATAATTTTTGTTATTTGATTATTGACGTGACTTAAGTTACCTTGAGACTATTGCGTGCGTGTACCTAAATGACATCTTCACTGACTTCAATAACTGCAACTACTGGAGCTTATGCTCGATCAACGAAAAGCTGCTTGTGCGACTATAAACAAAATTTTCTCAAGGGTTTCGTAATGTAGCTGGTCACAATTTTGACGAAGGAAAAATCCAGCAAAAAATTACCTGACATCAAATGTTTTCTTTTTAAATTTTTATGTTTAATAACTTTTCAAATATTCAACATATTTAAAGTTTTAATTGATTAAGTTGAAAATTAAGTCTTTCCTCTTTGAATTTCCTTAATGCGATGAGCTTTTTGACTCTCATGAAATTTTCTAAAAATTCGTTCAAACTTTGATTTCCTTCAAGAAAACTTTCCACAATTTCTTCATACTCAGATTCAGCATTTGAAACAGCGATTTCTAAAAGTTGTCTGATGTTTTCGGGAGAGTATTCACATGCTTTTTCGTCATATTTTTTGCTTCCAAGATTATATTTGTTGCCAAGGTTTAGGAAATCAATTGATATAGACATAAAATTTGATTTTAATTGTTGTAGCGACGAATTTTTCTCCAGATTTTCTTGCGCCAGCTTTTCTGTGTCTTCAATAAGTGAATTTAGTTCATCATTTAATGCTTTAATTGGAGGCAACTCTTCAACAAAATCATCCAAATACTGATCATCTTTCAGTAATTCAAGTAGCTGTGAAGTATCAAGATTGTTAAGTTCTGGAATGCTTGAATTAATTATAGGAATTGTAGGTGCAGTCTCATTAAATTCTGGAGGATTCTTCTCAAACTCTCTAATTATTGCTTGACAAACCCGACCTAAGTCAGAATTTACTGTAAACTTTTCAAAAATAGATGAAATTAATTTTTGCTGAATTTAATTGTTTTCTATTTTCTTACATTTATGAGTCCAGGAAATTGAGTGATTTCTCCGTTTTGCAGCCAAATGTGAGAAAGACTCGGCTCCAATGAAAGCTTTGGCTTTTGATATGGAAAATCAGGACCAAGTTCAATAATCATGGTAACATGATTCTGTCCTGATTTAAACTTAATTTCATATTTTTCATCATTTATAATTTCAAACACACTAAAATAGATAAAAAATTGAAATGAAAATAGTTATAGAAATATATTTAAGAACTCACTTATCGTTAAATACTTTCAAAGTATCAATCTGTCTTTTTCTTTGTTCTTTTAAATTAAACATTTCTGATTTATGATTTTTTTTTGTTTACTTTCAGTGCAGGGTTTGAAATTTGGTTTTTAACGAAAAACTTGACGAAGGTTCAGAATTGCGAGAAACGGAAATTTGCAACAATTTTTAAGCAACGTGAATTTCTAGAAAATAACCAAATATTCTAAGCACTGCAAACAAAACACAGCACATTTCAAATACAAACATTCAAAATCACTAAATTATTTCAATTGTTGAAAGCATGCCTTATTATCCAGCGGGATATGAATACTCCGATTCTGATGATAGCTACTATTGTTGGGATGGAACCAATTCAAGTCCTTCAAAGTATCAAATGGATGCACTACATAAATCTCCTAATGAGTTAATGCAAGAGATCTTATTGTCAAGTCTACATAGCAATAATTTAGAAGCCTTTAAAGAAAAACTTGATCGTGATTCTAAATTGGGCTTTAACATTGACGAAAAAATTGATTGGAACTGGAATCTTTTATACCATGCTTGTTCGTCAGGTCGTTCACAGTTTGTTGAATATTTGATAAACGAAAGAGGAGCATGTGTAGATTTAACTGCAGACAGCATGACTCCATTAATGGTTACCTGTTCGGCGGATGCGAAATCAGAAGAAATCCTTAAGATTGTGAAACTGCTTGTCAATAAAGGCGCGTCAATAAGAATCTCAAACACTTTTGGTGAAACTGCTTTGATGCTCGCTTCCAAAAAAGGATATGCTAATGTTGTAAAATACTTGATTTCATTAAATGACTCGTTCGATGCAATAGATAATGAAGGAAAAAATGCGTTATTCCACGCCATTGACGGACAACATGTAGACACAGCAAAGATTCTCATTGAAAATGGAATTAATCTCAATGTCATTAACAGATATGGATGCGATGCAAGAAATTATGCATTAAATGAAAACCTTATTGAGATTTATGGATTGTTTCCACCTCAAGAATACAAATATCAAGTGCCAGGAAGTTTTCTAAGTTACAATCGATTTGAAGATATTATTCCATTAAAAAAGAATCTTAAGAAAAACGAAGTGTAAGCATCATTAAGATCGTCTTTCATCCACAATTAAAAAATTATTCTTTGTTATTTCCAGCCCTCCATACTTTCCTGACATTGTGAATTTGTTGAACGGAATGGGACTTGACAGTTTTACGACTAAATTTGCTCAGGCTGGGATATCGCTCGAAGAGTTTCTTACAATAAGTGATGAGAAAATGAAAGAAATTGGATTCGAATTTCCTTTTGAGCGTAATTCAATCAAACTTGGGCTTTATAACTTTCATAAGGAGCAATGGGCAGTTAATTCACTTTATGTTCCCAATTTTATGGAAGAAATGAGCTTATTGGATGTCATGATGATTTTAGCAAATATTCTTCGTCAGATTGTTATAATTAAATCTCAAATAATCTATATAAAACAATTGGGTTCAAAATATGATCTTGGTGACTCTTACAAATATTTCAACTTAGAATACATGTCAGAACTTCAAAACAACATCAGACAATTAGAAAAAAAGTTTAAAGCAATGAATTCAATGTCAAAACCACTTCTGATTACTAAGGCTGAAAAGAAAGTCAAGAGACGCTATGGAACATTAATGAGAGCTGTCATCATTGCTACAACTTCAATTATTTTCGTAAGTGCCATTATGGCTTCAAAAAGAATTTTTTAAAATTCATTAAATGTAAAGAAAAACTGTTACAAATTCAAAATTCAACAGAGCTGCATTCAAATGTGATTTTTATACTTTAAAGTGTGAGAACTCTTTGTTGTGAAACGAAAATTTTTTTGTGATACTCAGGAAAAATGGAATAAATATTAATATAATACGATAAATCCAAGTTCTTCCATAATGGATAATGTTTTATTAGGAGGTCTCTCGTCATCTTTTGCAACAGTCTTCACAAATCCATTAGAAGTAAACTTTATATCATCATTTGAAATCATTTCAAAATTTTACAAATAATTTCCATGTAGGTAGTAAAGACTCGATTACAGCTTCAGGGAGAATTGGCAAGAAAAGGAACTGTAACAGAGCCCTACAAAAATTTTCTTCATGGATTTGTTCAAATTGCTAAGCATGATGGTTACTTAGCTTTACAACGAGGACTGTCAGCTTCACTTTGTTTTCAATTTGTGCTTAATTCATGCCGGTAGTTGACTTTTTATCTTCTAGAAAATATTTTTGTTTTTATTTATTATATAAACATTTAAAGATTGGGAATCTACACAACTGCATATGAGAGTGGATGGACGAGAAATAAGGATGGAAATGTGAGCATAATAAAATCTGCATTTTTTGGTGGTGTGGGTGGAACGATTGGTCAAGGACTTGCTTCACCATTCTTCATGTTACGTAATCAACTGCAATCAGCATCAGTTGATAAAATCGCTGTTGGATATCAACATCGCCACGAAGGATTTATTCAAGCTTTCAGAAAAATTTACAATGCTCATGGAATTACTGGTCTTTATCGCGGAGTTTTGGTGACAATTCCTCGTGGAATGATGGGATCTGGAACTCAAATTGCCACTTTTGGTTGGACGAAAGATTTCTTACAAAGAAAATCTTCTCATCTCGATCCGACTACAATCTCATTCATTAGTGGAGCAAGTGCCGGAACAGCAATGGCAATAGCAATGAACCCTACCGATGTTATTGCTACAAGACTTTACAATCAAGGTGTCTGTGAAAATGGAAAAGGAATTTACTATTCAGGCGTCATTGATTGCTTCATCAAGATTTTTAAAATCGAAGGTGTGAGAGGTTTCTACAAAGGGTTCTGGCCACATTATATAAGAATCGGTCCGCATTCTGCTTTAGTATTATTATTCTTTGACGAACTTAAAGCGCTGAAAGAAAGACTGAAAACTTAAAGCCAAATAAAACCAATTATTTAGTTTAATTGTCTATAAACTGCTATTATAGAAAGAAATCTTTATTTTTCAATAAATCTGAAAGTGCTTGTGAACAAATAAATGAGAGATTGCATAAAATATTTGAATAAACATTCATCATTCTTGTTAACGCATAATTAAAAAAACTTAATTTAGATCTATTTTAATTATTTTCTTCTCCATAATGTTTAAAAAATAATTCTACGCATTCATCAATTTCCTACAGTCGTTTTTAGATTGAAATTCTATTCACCTTAAGGATTTTATACAAAATAAGAATTTAACAATGAGCTGGGACAGATTTCTGGTGGGCCACTTTAGAACAAAATTTCCTTTTGATTTCCTCAAACTAGATTATGAAATAGAAAGTTTCGATAAGTCAAATGAAATTCTAAATTATATAAGTTGAAATTCAAAGAGCCTCAAAAAGAGAAAATAAAATTAATTGGCCTTAGATGGGACTCCACAAGACGTTCAATAATCACTGATCGGAGAATTATTTTGAAATTAAAATTTGCGTTTAGATGAAATTTTCAGGAATATTTAGAACTCCATCATTAATGAATTTTTCTATAATTCAAATACCTACCGAATTTCTCTCGTTCTAATTCAAATATTTTTCTTTTTCATATCACTAAATAGTCTTATAAACTAGATATTTACTTAGTTAATCACACATGCTTTGTTGAAGGCTAAATTTACATACATAACCAGCACACGTGTGACTTTTCCATTATATTAATCCACTAAATTCAGATGTTCTATCAATACTCATGGAGTTAACACCATAAATCTCATCATAAGTTTATATAGTAAATATAACACAAGTCCTCTAAATGAATAAACAACAGCGTAGTGGATCACTTTTAATCTGAAGAAGAAGAACACAAAAAAAAGAAAATTGTTAAACATCAATTTGAATAATAAAAACCATTCTTACTTTTGAAAGCGAGCATGAGCAGCTGGAATTGTTTTTGGATCTTCTTTCATTAAATATTTTCTAATCCCCATCATGCTATGTTTAAGAAATTCTTCCCAATCAACATCATCCATATCGAAGTAAAAAAGTTCTTTGTCCCTATCATCGAGTTTACTGTACAAGTTCTAATGAAAAGAATAAGCATTTGTGTTTCAATTCTTGGAATGAACTCGTGATAAATATTAAAATGACATTATTTTACCTTCACATTGTGGTTGCTGAATCGGAAGATATTATGTGTGAAGTATGAAAGAACATCACACAATTTATGAATCTTACGATAAGTGTCGAGCAATCTAAAAGTAATTTTCAACCAGTTTAGATTCTTGAGATGAAATAAAAAAGTCATTAAGACTCACTTTGGTTTTTTGCCACACACCAAAAGTCCAAAATCAACTAAAGCTGCCGGTACAATATGATAAAGGAAGGTCAAAACTGTTACGAGAAACTTTGAATCTGTCATTGTGAAGGAGTAATACCAAGCTGTTTTAGAGAGCGGCACTTGTTCGCCATGCTTTCTTGAAATATCTGTGTATTGTTGCCAAGATAAAGGATTTTTCGGAGAAGCAACATAATTGTAGATTGGAGGTTCTTCATAAGAATTCTTTCCAATATCGTACGCACTAGCTATGAGTGAATTAACACACAAATCAACAGGCACAAGTTCGGCATGATTGTTTTTATTAATATAAATAACTCTCAAAAGCCCAGCGGCAACTCCAACGACAATTCCTGTTGGACCATACATGTTATCAATCCATCCTTTAACTGGTTCCTTAGATGTTGGTATGACGATAGCAGGTCGAAAGACGGCAACGGGTAGGCCTTTTGATTGTGTTCTGACAAGATCTTCAGCTAAAGCTTTCGTGAATGTGTAAGTATTCGGCCAATTCTGAAGAAGTCTTCGAAGCAAAACAGTTTCTTAAATTATTCTCTTTGACTACTTAAATATTCAAATAACTCACTCTGGCGTCATTTTTTCTAAAGTCTTTTCATCAAGAGCTTCTGCCAATTTTATTGAATTTTCACCACTCAAAAGTTCATTTTTGTAAAACTTTTCATCGATATCAAATCGATTTGAATTCGCGTATGCTGTTGATACATGAACGAGTGCCTAACGAAAAAAGTCGGAAATATTTTAATGTTTGACATGATGATGCAAAAAATGAGAATAATTGTCAAGAAATATTAACACTTAATGTGATATTGAATCATGATTGATTTATTAGCGGTACATCAAATTTTAAATCTTCTAAAGAAAATTTTCCGTGAAATGTACAAATTTGGAATGCTCCGCGAAGGGTAAATATCCTCAAACATACAAAAATATCTTGCCTTATGGCACTTGAATTAAATTTAATTACAAAAGTCACTCATGTAATTACCAAACTTCAAGACTTATCGTAATTTAATGCAAAATTCAAGAACATGTAAGTCACCTTCAAATTTTCCATCTCCCTGCCTAATTTCAGTATTTCTTTTGTGCCACACACATTAATAGCAAGTGCCAGTTTCAACTTCTCATCAAATCTGCGAATAAATAAATATTGAAGCAATAATTGCACATGATAGTAAACAAATAAATAATTTAAGGTCAGGTTCGTCGCTTAAATCTTTTGTTTATGCCGCATCGCTTACCTTACTGTTGCCGCTACATGAAAGACAATATTTACTTGCTTGATTAGGAGAGCCCGTTCATTTGGTTCGATACCTAAACCCGGCAGCATGCAATCACCACTAATGGCGATAATTTTATGACGAAATTTTGGTTGATCTTTTTTGAGAACTTCAAACAGCTGCAAAATAAAAATTTAAAAACAAAGTCGTAAGAAAATGATAAATTATGTTATAATTTGTAAAAAACACTCACTGGATCGTCGAAGATCTTTTCCATTCTTGTATGAATGTCCTCATCTTTTTTATTTCTTATAAGAATATAAATGGTGTCGACATAACAGGTGCGTAAGAGTTTCTCAATCAATACTAGTCAAATTAAAATAAATTAGCTATTAATTCATTGTGATATTTAAGCTATGTGTAAGTGAACAATTTGATTAACGATAGCTTGAGTCTTTTGTTGAATATTTAAACAAAGCGCCATGCTTAAAGAATTCCTAACAGACAATGTCTTAATAATTTCCCTTGTTAAAAATAAAAACACGGGGAAGGAGTGACGTCAATGAATTTTTTGTTCAGTTCTTAAATGTGTCAGTTCCTAAGCTTATCTTTCTTCCAATGAAACTTTCTTCTTCGACCAAGGTGATTTGAAGTATTTAAAATTGATTACTTAAACAAATGTTACAAATGACTGTTTAGTTCAATGTCCAAGAAATAATTGATAGGTTTAACGGTGGACTTTTTAGATTTGAGGTCATTAAGCTTAAAAATGTTATTCAATTTCAAATATTGATTTCATTGACGTCAAAGTATGACTTGGTGAGAAGAAAAAATCATTTATTGGCTCTTCAAGTGAATCGGAAAGTCACTACAGTTATTGTTGGCTGGTTTCGCAGTGCAAAATTTACTTAGCTAATAATATCTAACACAACATTCATCATCTTGAATTACTAGTTAGTTTGTACGAAGTCACAACAATAGGATGTTGTTGAAAAATGTTAAGAAGTGAAAAGTTCCTACTCAGCCATTTTCCTATTCATCCATTTATGAACAGAAATATTTCATAAAGAATTTGTTATTATTTCGATATTTACTATGAATTTTTATTCCATGAAACAATGGTGAACTTCACAACTCTGCCCATGACTGAAGATATAAATTAATAATGATAACCCCTTTAAGGGCATAAAATTAAAAGTTGCAAAAGTCGGCTACTTATCATAAAGAGTCGAACATTTCATAATTGTTAAACATATTTTGGCAATTGAATGAAAGTTGAAAAGCTAACAAAAATCTGACACCATCATAAACGAACTTGAATTTATAAATGGAAGATGAGTACATCATTCATCTTTCCTTTCATATGATCTTTTAGACGTAAAAAATTAATAATTCGTTAGTGCATGCGTAAAATGTATTCACACTAATTTTTCTCAACGTAGATGAAAAAAAGAAGCAAATTTGTCATGCTCAAAATCTTGATCATCGTGTTCACGAGTATCTCATTTGAATATTTGGAACACGTAAAAGTCTGTACCATTGTCTGGTTGGCGACGATTTTAAGAGTTTCGTATTTGCACAACATCGATGCTTCTCGAAGATGTGTTTTTATTAACAAAGACGCGGAGCTTATAACTCCACCGATATTGACAACCGACTCTCATTTCAAGGTCGAAGCTAGCGATAAGTTGCGATTTAATATCACTTTTCACTCAAACATTTATTGTTAACCGAAGCGCTTCAAAAGAAAGAAGAAAAATCGTAAATAAAATGTTTGCTTTCAATTGTGACATCGTTTATTTATACATTACGTCATTCGTGTCATAACATTGGCAATGCCGAGATTTCAACCTCTTGAAGACATCTCTATGATGATGTGAAGAAAAAACAAACAGAAACCTAAATCATCAAGACCACTGAACCTTTTTCAATGTCTTCGTCAGAGACTTAATTTAATTCAATTACGCATGGCATTGGCAAAAATTGAGTTACGATATTTGTTTGAAAACGTGTAGATTGACTTATACGTAATTGAATATCTTATCTTACGAACCTTTGCCCAAAAATCCTGTTGCTCCAGTCATGAAAACTGACTTTTTACTGTAAAATTGCTGTACTGGTGTTTCCACTGAAAAAAAAGAAGATAATTAATCAAACAACGAATTTTAATTTATTCATTTTTAAATAATAGAGAGAATAACAACCAAGCAATGACAACAAGAATTGAAGTTTATTTATTTTAGTTCAACGAGATTCTAATTGAGAGTGTGCTTGTACTTGACGATTGTTGTCAACAAGATACATGAAAAATGTAAAAACTTTAGAAATTATTTTGTTATTTTCCTAAAAGTCTCAAAGAGTTCATTATTAAAATATTGAAATAAATTCCAATCTAAACTGTAAAAATGACTAATAAAATATTCAAGGAAAACTCTTTTTTTTGTGCAACTTTTAGGATTTCCTCTTGAACATCGAAGGTTATAATTCGCAAAACAATTTCGCACTAAAAATAAACATCTTTATTGTGTTTCGGAAGAGTTAAAGAGAAAACATTTTAAATAACGTTCTTAAATAATAGAGTCTGCACACTTGTTTCATTGCTATTTAATCACATCAATCACAAAAATGGTAAAAATAAAACGTCAACATGAAAAATGAATTTCATTGAAAAATCAAATAAATCTTTAAAGTTTTTGGTCGCGTGCTTAAACCTTTAACTTCTTTGTTATTCTCTGTTTGAACTCGACAAATGATATCTACATAAGTAGTGTTAAAAAATTAACAAAATTTACGACGTAGCTGTTTGAGCATTTTAGAATCACATAAAAGGTAAATACTTAACTCACCTATGCCAATACGATGATTTTGTGATAAAATTGTTTCCTGTAGTGGAGCCATGATGGATTTAATTTTGTTTTAACTTAATCTAATTAATGCAAGGAAGAAAATAAAATTAGTTCCAGGTTTTCTATTCGCTCTTGTTGCTGAACTTCATCAACATGTTGATAAACATTATATAAATTGTTTGCGATTATTGCAGGCAGACAACTTGTCGAGTCTTCCATTGACCAAGATGGGATAGTCTAGTTATTTAAACTTCCGTTCATTATGCAATCGCATATTTTTATATTCCTAAATTTATTACTATTCACTCACATAACTCACAATAAATTATTGTCGTCAATAATTCTATGATGAGTTTGAGTTTGAGACAGATGACGAAATTCTTTACTAATTTATGTTCAATTGATTCTCATTTATCGTTCAACCAAGTGCTTGTTTTAAAGTCAAGAAATATCTCACGTATTTATGTATGCGTAACAGACGAGTTTCAGATGATAATTTATTTCTATTTTATCAGAGAAAAGTAAAGCAAGTTGCTGCAGGTCGAGACTCGATGAAATTACTTTCAGTTTCTATTTTACCATCGCAAAATCTTTGCAGATACCAAAACTTGTTTTTGGGGAAAATAAATCTTAAATTAAGATATATATTTGACTGAAAACGATGTTTTTTTGCTTGTATGCTTCTTAACTAGTCATTAAGCCAGATCATAAGTTATTTCCTTATATTTTTAACAAGTCATTCATTTTTCAATAAAGTTGAATTATTTCTCATTCGTTAACCAAATGAATGTCCTCGCTTATTTCATCATTTTTATACATTTGGCTGCCTTAAGTTCGAACATATATTCGCAAATATAAAATTGCGAAATGAAAATGAGAGTGAAACATTCAAGCAAAATATGTTAAAAATTTGGCAAATTAGTTTCATTCTGGGAAGTTTAACTCTTTCACTCTCTCTCCTTCTTTGTCTTACAAAGGTCAAATCAACTTAAGAAGAATTTAAAGTAAGATTATTCAAGCTTTTTCTCAGACTTTTCAATATTCGACGAATATTTTAAAGAGTTTTTTGTTGCAAATTCTATGACGTGGTTAATAGGAAAAAGCGAAGTAAAGATTATTTTTCTTTATTCATGAATGTTATACTCTGATGAATGTCTTAAAAAATCAGACACACATTCAATACGTTAAAACAGATATTTCGAGTGTTTCTTGACGTCAATGGTCACAGGTAAATAATTTTTTATTTCTACTTTACGTTCTTATTAATCAAACACATTCAAGATTTTTGGCTACGTACAGAACAAAGCAAATGTAAAGAATAATAACTTCGTTTTATGAACTCATCTTATGTTCTTGATCTCGCAAATTGTGTTTCAATTTTTTTTTCACATGCTGTAAAAAGATCGCACGAGTTACTCAAGTAATAAAGATGAACAATTTCACTCATATTTGGCACATCAATAAAGACAAAATTGTCATAAAATATGGTAATTCGCACTTTCTACCAACTTCAGATCACGAAAGCAAAACAAATAAATTGTTGCCTTGATCTTGAATCTTTTTTTCTTATATAGCTTGGTCATTAAACTTTTTTATATCACCTAACAGTATTTACTGAAATCGTTCATTCATTCAAAGTTCCTTTAACTGTGCATCTTAAAGCAATGATGACTTAACTAATTGATTATAAGATCTTAGCGAGTTTTTGACATTCAAACACGTAATTTTTATTTTCATGAACGTCGTAATTATTAAACACTTGATCCAAAGTCAAAGCAAATCTTGCTAAAATCGTTTGTCAAATCTTTTGTTCATTTTTGAACTTTCAATACCTACCACGCGTAGTACTCTCACAATTAAACTGTTAGTGTTGTTTTGCAACTAGCAAAAAATTTACAATCCCGACATTCAAATACATTTTCTATTTAATAAGCTTATTAAGAAGAAATAACCTAAACCTTCAAAAGATTAATTGGGACCCCAAATGGTCTTTCATCTTTTCGTGACCTTGAAGCTTCTTGAAGCAAATATCACTACACTTATTGAGACGGCTTCGTATTTTCAATATTAAAATATGAGTTTCGGCCGTGTGGTGTAAGCTACCAAACCAAAATTATCTCAACAAGAAAAAAACCATTTGATGATTGTGTTTAACCTTGGAGTGGTTTAATTAAGATTTATATACACGTGGATTATAACTTATTGAAAACATTTGAAAACCAAGAAATTAGGATTGCTAATAAATCATGAAAGATCAACATATTGACGACAAAAATTATTAAAAGCTTTATTTATAATAAATAATAAGGTCACGAGGTTGGCTAATCGAAACAATGCAAAAGTGTGAAGCTAATTGCAGTTTTTGCTCGCATTCGCAATTCATATGTTGACCGAAAATACTTCGAAAAGTTATTTTTGATTTATTTATTGCAGTAATAGTGCCATTATTTGTAGAGAATATTAATTATCTTAAATATTCACTCGAAATTTTCATTAACTTGTTGACAGAGTCGTCCAAATAGCTGCATGTGCTTTAACAAACAACTTGACACTTCAAAGCTTTAATGCATGAAATTAAAGGTCAATAAACTTTTATGAATGTTGCAGTGAGTTTTCATATGAACGCGTATAGAAGTCATTTCGAAAAAGCTCTTCAACTTAATTCAGATATAAACTTTCTGGGAACTAGTTTTAAACTTTCCTAATATTCATCAACATCAATGTCATCTCTAGAAATTTCAAGTTCATGAGAAAGTTCGTGTTGAATTTAATGTTAAATATTTTAATATTCCTGATGTGATTTTTCTTTGAAAAAAATTCTATTCAGTTCCTTGTCAGATTCTATTCACCTTACATAAATAGTAAAGAAAATATTGCCTTTTTGTATTAACTTGAATTATCCTAGATTTATTGTTTTAATTTGACATTTGATGTTTATTACAGGCGGCAAATATTTCTGCTTTTAAATTTCAGATCACGTCCATATTCTAACACACGAAGTTCTATTAACAAAATAACATGCAGAAGATGCTTGTCTGACATGAAATTGATGCGATTCACGATGAATACTTTTATTGCAATTCCTCTATTGACAATTAGTAGCAAAGTCTTTAACTTGATTAAGCAGAAATATTTTGAAACTTCTCTAATCGTGCGTCTATTTTACAATCGTTGAAAATTTTAAAAGACTTTGTCGTTCAAACAATTAACACTTCCACACCGTTAACTTGCCAAAAGCACCGCAACATAAAGAAACAAAACATGTTATTTGTTAATCGATGATGAGAAATCGAACATCAATGTCACTAGTTAGTTGTGCATCAGTTGATGATATGAATTTTTCGAATGCCTACCTTGGACATTTAGTTTTACATTGCGCATCGTCAACTTTTTTTTGTTTTTCTTTTACGAAACTCAAGATATTGTGCAAAAATTGACTCGGTTAAGGCAAATGGTATTTTTGTATTTCGTATTCAAATCACATCCGAGTTCCATATCATTTTTTCATCATTTTACACACAATCAAATTAACTACAACATCGTGTCTTTGGCCTCTCTTGTCCACACTCAATGACACAATGATTCAAGAAGAAAATTGTTGTGCATTACTGATATGGTTGACACAATTACGAATTTCTGATTTACAAAAATGGATCGCAAGAATTTTCGCTGACTTCATTAAATTTTCGCTTCATTAATAAATATTTGTTGTATTTATTAAATAAAAGATTCACGACATATTTCCAATATCTGCACGGTCGACCTTCACTAATCATATTTACATTTCACAACTCGTCCTGTGTAGCCGTGTAAAGGTGCAACTGAAACAACAGACCTAACATTGTTTGGAAAGACGTTTCGCATCATCGCAATTACTTATTAACACTTAGTCAACAAAACCTAATCGATCAGCGTTGGTTAGCAATTTCCTTTACTTGGATTTTCCGTTTTAATTGTATTCATCAACATCACACTTGATTATTTCTTTTATTTCCTTTAACTTAAGTCAACATTCTAAATTTGTTTGATTTTTCTATTATTCACTCATTTTATCAATGAAGGATGTAACAAAATAATTCGTAACTTATCGCTGAATATATCTAATCATCTGCACTGCCTTTCATCATTTTTATTTGTCAAACATTGTACAAGTATTTGATTTACCCAAAGAATAAGCAGTTGTTTGATGATTCAATGAAGTATTTAAATATTTTTCACTTAAAAGTTCTTGAAGGAAACTTTTTTGTTCTTTGCTTTTTAAATCTCCGGTTTTTATATTAATTTTTTTTCTGTAAACTTTTCACCTTTAATAGGATGTTGTTAAAATTCTTCTTGTTTTTATTTTTATTTCTTCCTTTTACACTTTTTTTCTGTGGTGTTCTGACTACGTCTTAACAACGCGATGGCTAGAATGAAAATGAAAATTTTCAACACATCTTGCACGCTTTTATATGTAAGACGTATGTTTAGTTGCTCTCGATATATGAGTTGTTGTGACGTCACATTCCAGGGATGACAAATGAAAAAGGAAAAAAAAAAATTTTTAACTATGTAGATAATTAACAAAGTAAATATTTTTTCATTTGAAATGCAAATTGAAACTTTTTCTTTATTTCTATGAAATATTTCCAAAGCCCTGAATATTTAATATGAACATAATAAGCATCAAAGTCGAAGCTTTCGAGAGAATCGAACTTTGAGAGAAAAAGTTTAAAACTTGGACTCTCAAAAAGCTTCTGCATTTGTGTTCCTTGTTCGGATATTGCAGTGAAATCTTATTCGAGATGAAATTGAAGATTTGATAAACAAATTACCTATTCAAGGAATCACCAGAACAAATCTTGGAAAATTTTCTGATGCTTAATCACATTTTGTGTCGATTTTAATTTGTAAGTTTTTGCTTGTATCTTCGATACTCAATTAAATAAATCTTTTGAATTGATCTTTGCACTTAGTAAATATAAAAGCAAGAATCATTGTGTTAACCAAAGCAAATATCTTCGACGGATGTTATTGCTTAGATTCGGTTATTGCCGTCATCAGCTGTAGCGTGTGCATTTTTAAGATAATTAAAAGAAAACATCTTAACTAAGACGAATTACTGAGTTTAAGGCAGATTTGGAAATTTGTTCATTTTATTTCATAGATATTTATCTACATTAATTCATAAATCTAAACAAAAAAATGTAACCTTGCAGTATTAAAAGATTTGAAATTTTTTTTCATAATTTTTCGACAATTCACCTTTTCTTTCATTTGCTATTCTAAATATGTAAACCTTTAACCTTCGATTCGAAATTTAATAAAATCTTAGAAATAGTTGTTGAACACTTTCATTGTTCGAAAATGACATTGCATTTTATTTAAGTAAAAGAAAACATAAAATATTTATTCAACCATTTTGTAGTTTTGTTCAAATTGTGGCAGTTTTCAAGCTAAAATTATTCGATGTAAAATTAATTTGATTCACAATTCTTTGATTCTAATCGTACGACAATAAAAATTGTTAAAAGAAAGCTAATAACTTTTCAAGTTTTACTATAATTCAAAGTATAAATTTTCTTGATGACTGAACATCAGAAAAGGTCATAAAATTTGATCAAGAAATTATATTGTTAAAATTCGTTAACTCGTTCTGCGTTTACTTCCAGTGGACGTGATTTAAAACCATTGTCAACTAGACGTGCAACTTCTGAAGTGCTTTTCCCTCGAGTTTCTGGCATGTAGAATTTAAGGAAAATTGTCAACGATAAACAAACCAACGAGAATATTAAGAAGACTGAGGCACCCATCGTTGTTTGAAGTGTTGGGAAAGTCATTGCAATTGTGAAGTTGCAAAACCAGCTTGATAAGCTTCCCATTGACATTGCAACTGGTCGAGGGCCAACTTCAAATAATTCTGTGAAAATATTAAATTTAATTTATTGATTGAAGAATGAAAAGCTTTTAGATCGTCTCACCACTTCCACAAAAATACGGAATAGGACCAAGTCCAATTTGATACACTAAAATGTAACCAAGCATGGCAAAAACGCACATTGCTGGTAAAATCGATAAACTTTCCTATAAAATATAAAGTTTTGTCGTCAATGAAGTCAATTAACAACAATAAATATTTAATTAAGCTTACAGCAAAGCTATAAAATATGCTGAGTAAGAAAAGAAACACTGCACAGCCACAACAAGATGTCAACATGAGAGGTCGTCTATTCACTCTTTCCATCAATACGGGACTGAAGAAACTAACAAACAGATTGAGACAGCCTGCAGCGAGATTTGCCCATTTGGCATTTGTTGAACTAAAGCCGATTGATTGGAATATTGACACAGAATAATAAAACACCTGAAAATTCATTTGAATTCGAATTTTAACACTTCAAATGTCATGTGGGATTGTGAAGGTGTTTGATGAAACTTACAGCGTTTATTCCCGACATTTGTTGACCACCTTGCATTGAACAAACAAGTATAAGTGGAAGCAACAATCTATGATCTCGAAGCACTGAAATGACTCCTCTCTGTTCTTCTGAAGTTTGATTTGAAGGTTCCATTGCTTCGAATTCTTCATCAGCCATGTTTTGATCATCACAAAGTTTTTTGAGCTCACGCAGTGCTCCTGTTCGATCGCTTGCAATAAGGCAAAGATATTTTGGACTTTCTGGGAACATTCGATAAGGCAATGTAAAGATGATTAAGAACACAAGTTGAAAGCTCAGACAATAATGCCACAAATCAGGAGTTCCAAATATCTCCTGAAGGCTCACAACCTGACCAACAACAACACCTCCAGTTACTCCCATTGAACAGAAAACTCCGAGAGTTCCGCGAAGGTGAAGTGGCGCAATTTCTGACAAGTACATTGGAAGACATGTTGTTGTAATGCCTGATGCTAAGCCAACACACACTCGACCGAAGATCAAGAGTTCTACCGAAGAAAATGTCCGACACGAGTGAAATGATATTGATCCGATGATGAAGAGAACAGCACAAGTGAGGTAAGAACCTTTTCTGAAGTGAATGAAATTAGTTATTTTATTTATAGCTTATTGATTGGAGAAAAGAAAATAATTAACCTTCCTATTCTATCTGCAATGTATGAACCGCCAAGGGAACCGACAGCACCACCAACAAGAAATATTGACACAATAAAAGACCAAAGCAGGTCAAGTTGAGTTGAATTTAAGATGACATCATAATTCTTATATATTGTCTCGTTCGCCCACTCTTTTATGTATTGCGATGGAGCATTGATCACTCCAATGTTGTAACCAGCGACATTAGCACTGCCAATTGTCGTTGCTATTCCAGTCAATAATAATGTTCGGTTCCATCCACGTGTCTAAATTATGAAAGAAAACATGATTCATTTTTTTTCATTATTTATAGCTGATAAGGAAATTGTTTATGCTAGCAATTTAAAGGGTCATTAAAGCGGACATGTATCAGAAAGTCATTATCAAAAATGTGAGATTACAAATATGAATATGTATTTTTATTTATTTAAGAACCGTCGTGAATTGGATATTCTCTGAAGGTCGAAATAAAATCTTCTTAGAAGTACAACAAATTCTTTATTTGAGTTGTTAATATTTTCTTAAATGAATGGAGACATCGCTGAAAATTAACATCACAATAGGTGTAAGAAGAAATTGAGATTTCAACTGGTTTGATCAGCAAATTTAAGTTAATTTACGTTCAAGAACATGCGAAGTATTTTATAGCTGTCCTCAATTTGTTCTATTCTTTTTATGTTTCACATTTCACTTTATCATTGGGGAAATGAATATTGTATCAAATTATTTTAATTCATTATTCATGCACAAAGAGAACACAAGAAAAACGATAAATTAGTCGCACTTTTCTTACTTATACTCACCTTTCGATGCAATGAATTAGAATACGGAGACCTTTCCTTCAATATATTTGCCATTTCTGCACAGTTCTCTGTCAATCTCGGTCAATTTCTTTATAAACTTCTTTTTTAAAAAACTTTCACTATGTTTAAAGAATCACTTAGCTTCAGCTCCAAACAAAATCACAATAAGAAATGAATCACAACTGAGCGCGGCAAGAAAGAGAGAGATAAATGAAGATTTACTCAACAAAAGAAAAGCTCGCACTACTTCTGCGACTAAGGTAGAAATATTTAATTCTAGAATTGCAGGAGGGATCAATATGTAAACAAACTCACACTACTTCAACTGTCTTCTATAGTCATGTTGATCATTGTCATTAAACATACGCAAAATTTAGTGATCAGTGATTTTCTTAGCAGAAATTTTGAATGAAAGCATTCAAAATATAAAAAGATATTAAAATTTTGAATAATATAAATAATAATTCTTATAAAATCATTATTTCTTTCGAAAGTTATTGCAGAAAATCAGTAATTTTAATCAGCTGTTTATAATCATCATTGAAAAAAAGACGAAAATCATTGAGGACTAGCGTAGCATTTTCCCCCGAATTTGCTGAAGTGTATTCACTTGGTTTTGCTGAAAATATCTTTCAATTCTAAAAATACATTCCAACATGTTTGTGTGGCTTAATCCTGAAACTGTCAGGAATATTTTAGCAACATCAGCAACACTCACAACAGTGTTACAGTTCTTAACAGGATTCCTTATATGTTACAGTTACTTAAAGAAAAAGAGCACAGGAGAGGTAAATAAATAAAAGAAAGTTAAATTATTAATAAAACGTCAAAAATTCTATTCATCCTCAGACAAGTTCCCTTCCATTCACAAGTGGCCTCTTGTCATGCTCTCTTTGGCTTAGATATGGAGTTTTAATAAACGAAAGTGCTGTGATTCTTGTTAATTCAATTGGAGTGTTTTTATTCTCAATTTACTGCATTTCCTATTATATCTTCACCGTAAACAAACGAAGAGTGACACATCAACTGATTCTAGTGCTCCTCATGATTGCATTCTCAATTGCTTATAGCAAATTTGAACCCGATGACGTGCAAGCATCCAAACTTATTGGTAAGCAAACTTTTTTTATCAGTTCTATTAGTTTTATCAGGAAATAAATTGTAATGTTTTTTTTTTTGTATTTCAAGGTCTGCTGTGCTGCTCTGTTGGCGTTTTTTTCTTTGCGAGTCCGCTTATAAAACTTAAATATGTCATCACGACTCGAAATACTGAATGTCTTCCCAGACCAATAATCATTGCATCGTTCTTCGTGACATTGCAGTGGTTCATTTACGGTTACTTAATTAATGATAGTTTTATTCAAGTAAGTTTATATACCTACTTTTAAATTAATGAGTGAGAAGTTATCGTTTATCATTAAATTTTATAGATCCCAAATTTCCTCGGTTGCATACTGTCAACTATTCAACTAACTCTTTTTGTGATTTATCCACCGAAGAAAGAACCGAAGTATAAGCAATTAACAACAGAAGACGTTTTGACCTTTTAAACTTTTTTTTAAAAGTAATTTTCTCTTTTTTAATTGAGTTCATAAAGTTTTCTGTTTATTTGTCTGCCTTTGTTGAAGAATTTGTTCTAAATTTATAACAAAATTTCTTTAAATTCTTATGAAGGCACTTTAAGCAATATGAAGCGATCACTTTCCACCAAATATGTTGAGAATTATGATGCCATAAAAGGGATAATTTTTGTGCCGGGCATTAATGAATGGAGGGATTCGATTTTTAATTTCAACGTCAAACATGATTTTACTTTTGTATTAAAATAAATAGTTTTGTTGATTCATATATCAGAGAGTTCGTGATGGCGAATTTGTCGTGTTTGATAACATTGATAATTATTAACAGTTGCAATTTCCTTCCCTTATTGATTTGCTTTGTCCAAGTTTTATTCCATTATTACTATCGTCACCGATGATCGTTTGGCGATTCTATAAAACGAAGAAAATATTTATAAAATCATTAAATGAGAAGTCAAACTCACCATCAACTCTTCAGCAATTTTCGCAAACGCATTTTCAATATTTGTGTTTTCTTTGGCTGAGGTTTCAATCTGAAAAAGAATTTCTGGGATGAGATCGCAAACTTCCTGCGCTTCTTCCGCTGATACTTCACGTTCATCAACTAAATCACATTTGTTTCCAACGAGAGCACAAACAACGCTATTCGCTGTGTAATTCCTGACTTCATTAATCCATTTTTGAAGTGATAAGAAAGTATTTCGCTTTGTTATGTCGTAAACGATGATAACACCATGGGCACTTCTATAGTAGCTAGATGTGATGCTTCGAAATCTGTCGGAATAAACAAAATTGTTGATTTTTGTGTCATTGACAGGAGACAATGTTTTATTCACCTTTCGTGACCTGCAGTGTCCTGTAAATAATAAAATTGATTTGCTTATCGTTTTATACTTTCAAAAATCTTTCCTCTACTCACCCAGATTTGAAGTTTAATCCTTTTATTATCGATTGTAATAGTTTTCATCGAGAAATCGACACCAATCGTATTTGTGTGTCGTTCTGTGAAGACATTTCCGGTTTTAAATCGCGTGACAATGCTTGAAAAATAATTTATCATGGATGAATGAAGAACGCAACAAACACTTAAATACAAAATGAATTTACCAGCTTTTTCCTACTGCACAATCGCCTATTAGAACAACTTTAAACAATAAATCGAAATCTTCACTCATTGTTACTTTTTTTCTATGATGAGTAATAATCCAAGTTATTGATAAAAGATAAAACGCAAATTAATGCTGTTCGTTTGCTTCAACTTTATATTTAATATTTGTGTTGTGAAAAATCATTGACTTTGTTCGATGAAAACAAATAATAATAATATTAGATCAATGACAGATTTCAATGATGAACTTAGAAATGTAGAAGTGAGTTTGAATTAGAAAAAGCCGTTAAAACTGTAACATTTGCGAAATTGCTACCATTCACAAACCAGCAGCTTTTCTATCTCTCTTTAAAATAATATAAAAAAATTACAAAATCGCTGCCCTTTAAAAAATGTTAACACTAATAAATTCAGTTTAGATTAGCTTAGTGTTTTCAACTTTAATCTTGAGTATTTTTTTATTTTCCATTCCATTTTAGAATAACAAATTTAATTATAAAAAGCTTTAAGGGAGAATTTAAAGTTTTTTTCTAACTTAATTTTCTTCCCATATTTAAATAACAAAGTGGATGAAATTCTCATGCTAAATGGATCTGAAATGAGAAGCAAGAAAATCGAGTCAGAAATCTAATGGTTGTTGAGAGTGATTCTGATTCAATTTAAAGGCCAATTATTACGAGAAGGAATAGGAAAACTACTTTGTATAAATGCGAGCGTTATGAGACTAAAATCTGAATCTACTTAAAATGGAATGACGAAAAAAAGAGAATGTTCTGAAAACAGATAGATATCTTCAACATCAATTATTGAAGCAAAAAGGATCACTTGAGTGGATTTGAAAGAGATTGAAAAAAAATGAAGCTTAGGTCAGTCTTTTAATGACCTTCACGATGTTTATTATGTTTCAATTCCAACTTTATTTATTCAGATGAAATTGAATTTGAACTTTCAATGTAATAAAGTTTTTCTCGTCTCATTAAACTTTTCTCAAGTGGCCTTTGTAAGATAAGTTTACAAATGTAATTAAAACTGTTCTCGAAGAGACATTATCATCATCATTTCATCAAAGTAAATACTTAATTGAATTTAAAACACTTTTTCCTTCACGTCTTTAGTGGAGGGTAAAAAGAAATGAAAAATAATTCGAATCAATTATTAACCGCTGAGTTCACCTTCGTTAAAAATGAAAATGTTTGTGAAAATGTATCAAGAGCTTTGAGAAGAAAAAAAGAAAGAAAGAAATGTAATGAGACTGCAAATCATTCTCTTGATATAATCTCTCTTTCGTTTATTTCTTCTGCCTAATTCTTCACCTACAAACCCCCACGGATTGCTCTATCTATTGTATATTCCTTGCCAGAAAAAAAGGTCAAAGATGAGGAAACGAAGAATGAAAGAAATTAGAATTTGTAAATAAAATTGAGCTTAAAAGCTCCTGTGAGGATTTTACTTGTTCTCATTATTTTCCTTTTCTTTCTCCTGTTCAAATGTAAACGAAAATAACATAAAAGATAAGAAGGAAACCAATTTGAATGCGTAATATTAAGATAGAGATTCCACAAGCCAAAGTTGAGCCTTTTTTTCTTCCATTTGACTTGTCTCACACATGAAAAAAAGAAATCACGCTAGGAATCGAAAGAAATATGTTATAAAATTATCATAACATCCCCTTAAGGCAGTAATTCTATTGCGTCATGAATCGTGAGTGTATTAAGAGTTGCCGCAATAATTTTCACAAGCACTTTGGTTCCAAATTTATGTTTATGTATATATATGTTGTTTTCAACATAGAACGAGCATCACAAATCATTATGTAGGATTGAAGTAATGCTTTATCAAGAAACTCAACAATTAAGGAGACAAATGCTTACTCGAGACTTCTCATGTCATTTAAATTCTGTTTTTATTGTGTAAACAATTCTTAATTAAGTCGAGATTAATAAGAAAACTGATGTTCATCTTTCTATGCTTCATGATCTCGTCTCGTCTGTTTCTGAAGTTCGTTCACACACAAATGAATTAACAAATGAAAAAGCAAAATATTTTTTCGATAAGAAATGCTTTTTCATCCCAAATAGCCAATTGTAAAACTTTCAACAGAATGCTTTAATGAATGACCAACCACAAATATTTGCAGTGTAAACAAAATTAGTAATTCAAGTCGAAATAACATCGCAATGTTTTACAGCTGTTTCGTTGTAATTTTTAAAATTATTATTTCACCAGTTAAGAATATTTTTAACACCAAACCTCATTGAACTCACGTGGTATTTAATTTATCAACAAACATCCTAATATATTTTTCCATATTGAAAGCTCAGTAGAGAAAGTTTTATGTCTTCATAAGCAAGCTTAATGGAGAGAATTCAACAACCTTTAGGTGGATATCATAAGCAAATTGCGTGGAAAATAATGGAATTTATTTATTTATTTGTTTATAGCAATAGATTAAAGAAAAAGTGAATAAATTTTTCAAATTTACGATGCTATTAAAACATTATTCTTACTTGTGTGTCTGTCCTATTATCGAATTTGTTTCCCAGCTTTCTTCTTTCAGTTTGTTTAGAATGTGAAAACCTTCAACCATTAAAATGATTTAAAAGTTATTTAACTTAAATAAAAGCAATAAAAATTAAATGTTTAATTTATTGAATTCATCAGTGGAAAAGAAACATTTAAGGAAGATTTTTCAAATCCCGTTTTGATGGGGTCGAGTTTCAGAATGAAGAGTGAGTCAAGTGAGGAAGTCATGTGAGAAATAAAATATTAAAGATTCAATATTCGATACGTGTTTTCATAAATATTTTGTTCTTGTGAAGATTTTTGTTGTAAATAAACGATAAACAACATCGAATCGTAAGAGAAGCAAAAATTTATCGACAAACAGGGAAAAATTTAGAGAAATCAACCCATTTAAAAAACATTTAATTATTCACCTCTGGATTTGCTTCGCCATGTACAATGCATACAAGTTGTGCTTCGTGACCTGGAGACGAAAGAAAAAATAATAAACCAAAAATTGAATGGGAAATAAAAAGAATGTCGGCTAAATTTTTTATGCTTATCAAAGCGCTTTTTCTTGACTGACCTTCGCCTGCGTGTACCCATGGCTTTTCAACGCTGATTTCGGGCGGCGCTGAAATGAATAAATAAAAGAAAAAACTTTCATTTGAATGTTTCGTTGACTTTTCGTAAACTGAAGTAAAGAACACTATCAAATTTGAATGCTTTCCTTTATTTGATCTGCAGAGTGTACATAAAAATATTTAATGAATCGCAAAAATAAAACAATGGATCGTTGAAATCATCAAATCTAAATTGAATCAAATGAAAAGCTGCTCAAGTTGAGTTAAGTTAATGACAAAATAATGCGAGTCGAAAGCTAAGCATTGAATTTATCCTGAATCACTTTCTCTCAATCAATCTTATTTAAGCAATGACATTCGAACTTTGAGAGTCTGTTGAAAAACGTTGTTTTAACCAAAATTGTGTTCTCATATATTTTTCATAAGATCTCAAGCAAACGTGAGTTGATTTTTTATGAGTTTTGCAAACACATAACTGTTGCTTCATCGCTCGGAGGTGCTTAATATAAGATGACTCCTGAATATGTCATGTACATATCCTTCAATGGCTTCTATATACCATCACATAAACATTAATAAATAAGTTTAATGTAAGTTTAAATTTTAATTGAATATTGCTTAATGAATCATGGTGATTCTTCAGGTAGATATACGAGATGAACATCGTTAATAAATTATTTGAGGTGGGAAAAGTTAACGGATGTTCATTAAAGCAAGCAAATTAGAAGTTGAAAATTAATAGCAATGTGGAAATTGGTTTGAAATTTTAATGATAGAAATATATTGAACATTATCTTATAAATCAGTAATTGTTGTTGATGGAAACTGAAATGTTTGAATAATTTATTTACGACATTGCCTATTTCAATTTTTGTTTAGATATAATTCGCATTTTTTTTTTAACCTTCCCAGGCAGATTTAAATTTTTTATCTAAAATTTGCTGCTTCAGTTAAATTATTCATTAAATTTCGCGTTCCAATTAGCCGATGTAATTAATTTGTCTAACAACCATGCTTCAATATTGAACCCATGTAGTTTAATTACGAATGAAACATGCAGAAAGCCGCAACATTTTAATTGTTTGTTTTCTATTGCCTTGTCTGTAATGCTCAAAATATGGCAAAATTTTGGTATCATCATTATCTTTGTTTAGTATCGTTATTAATTCAATGTTTACGAGTTTATGTCTCAATCGTTTGTTCCCTTCTCTCGACCCTTTTTTTAATAGCATTCAATTGTGAAATTTTTTGACAATTAAATAAATTTGAAATTTATATCCATGTGCAAAGAAGGGTGGAATAAGAAGTTTCAGGCTCGAGATGCTTATGATGAAACGATGAAACCAACAACGTTCACATGTTCAACAGTACAGGATGGGATGCGATATGAGAATAACAAGGAAAGAAGAACAACATTCAAATAAAATACTTGTTCGTTGAAGTGGATGAACATAAGAGAATAAGAAGTGAACTCGAAGGGATAGCAATTGAAATTCAACAGAATATAAAAAATTCAACTTGAATTAGACGATTATAATAAAAGAAAACTTTTTCTCATCGAATTATAATTTAATCTGACGAGGGAAATTGTTTATTTGAAAAAAAAAATAAAAGAAGAAACGACTCATTGTGTTCAAACTTTTATTGGAAAAGAAGTTTAGCTGTAGATCGTCAAAACATGTGTTTGATATTTTAATGCTCTCCAGAATTGCCGCATAAATCTTTAACGTGCCGAATAAGCAGAGCGAGTAATAAATTTCCTCAATATCATAAACACCGAAAAGAAAAACCATAATTTCCTTCATGTTTCGCAGACTTTATTTGAATTATTATTGCAGACTAAGACAAATCAAAAATGTAACGAAAAGATGGACTCGTTTAATAGTTTTTCAGGCTGTCTAGGCCAATTATTATTTACATAAATCTACACACATCTTTATAAAGTTAAACAAGCTTTTATGAACAATTCATAAATCAGTAAAATATTACACCTGTTTATGTTAGATAAGTGTTGGAAACTTTCTCAAACAGCCTGGCTGTTGTGTTGTATTTAGAACCATTCACAATTTTCGAGTATCATCGAAGCTTTAATTTATTGATGTTTGTTGTGTTAAAGATAGAGAAACAACCTGCTTGGCGCACATTCATATGTCATTTGATATTTATAATCTATGATGTTTACTCTATAACCTAATCTCATGTTTCAAGTGATGGCATTAACCGTCTAGAATATTTTCCAATCCCATTAAAGTTCTCTAATAAACTTGCTTCAACAGCACTCCCATGAGTGTAAATTTATTTTTGTTACTTTTAAAACTAATAAAATTCGATTCCAAAATGTTTGAAACACCTTAGAAAGTTTTTTTTTGTTTCGTTGCTATTGCAATTACATCTTACCTTCCAAATACTTACTGATAAAAAATTTTAGACGACTTTGAAGATATATTTGATAACCCAGTTCGAGGCATACTTATTGCATTGGTGAGTATCATAGCGAAGAATTTTCAGAGAAAATTGTATCTATCATGAAACGAAGATGTGAATGAGACTTGAAAGAGAAGCAAAGTTTTGTTGGCAATAAAGAAAAAGTTTTCACCGTCTTTTTATTTCTTCATAAATACTGTTTGTTTACATTTCACAACACTTTCATCTTGAACAAATAAAACTAAGTTTTAAACATTGATGGTTCATCTATGTTTGTGAGTAATTCTTTATTAATTAAGTCTGCTAATTAAATCAACCCCCTCGGGTTCTTGAGGAAATTAAACGTTCACTTCTTGTTGAGTTTTAATTTGAAATTTATTGTAGCATGACATTGTGGAAGAAAAATAAAAATAAAGTACTTGAAGCTTGTTGATACAAACAAATAATTGAGCGAAAATTTTTCGCATTTTAAAAGTATCAAAATCAACAAACAAACATGTAGATAAGCAAAGAGCTTTGCCTAAATTTGTACTCTTGAGATAAATACTTTGTCATCCTAAAATAATTGCAATTTAGTAGATTAAAGATGAGCTTGTTAAACAAACTTTATATAAAATATTAATTAATGAAGTCTTTCAACACGTTGAAATGAAACGTGTCATAGAGAAAACTTTCAATATTTCGAGCAATCTCTGTGTATGCTCAGTTGTTGACAACTATTAAATTAATTCAACAAGACGAATAAATGCCTGAGACAAATAAGATGTAAATCATGAACGCTTAACTGACTTTATATTGCACCATCTGTGCATTGCACACTTTATACATTCTTTTTACATATCATGAAGTTGAAAGTCCCTTAATAGAAAAATAAATACATTATTGCTCATGCGAAAGCAATATGTCATGCGACTGCACAACTTTCTATTTGAATGAGCATCGCAAACAAATTTATTTGAAACTCTTCCACCACGTTGAATTCTCTTTTTGTTGTTTTAATGCAAGTGAGTCTGTTTGAGGACTTTTTTCAATTTTTTTATCTACTTCGGTGTGACCATTTGGTGCTAAATTTAAGAGTTAAAAGGGTGAAATCTCACTGTGTGCCGAAGTTCTTATGCAGATATTTGTTTTCACTTCTTTTCATAAACAAATAAACATAAATCTATTCTTCTAAACGAAAAAATACGTCGACCGACGTCTATCCTACGTTCGCTTTATTTGTTGATTTTTTAAGTTGATTTTGAGAGAATTTTACTCATAAACAACGTGCCATATGACTGGATTCAACTGAATCCTATTGAACCACTGAAGGGATATTTTTAAGTGAGAGAAACATTCCAGTCATTTCGTTCTCTTTTCCAACACGTGTTCTAAAATCACTGGAACGTTGATAATCGAGACAAGGGATATTGGAAAGTTGAAGCATGAAATTCATTCACAAAATATAAACGTAGCACGAATCAAAAATATTCATCAGTCTGTTGTCGTTTTTAATATTGAGAAGTTGAGAAAAAATATTACGGCTGAAATTGGGTTAATTAAGCTCATCAACATGGAATAATTATTTTAATTCAACTGTGGATTATATTCTCCCATCAATTTATGGATTAAATATTAAAAAAAGAAAAAAATGAGAATCAGCTCAATTTGAATAATCTAATCGAAAAAGTAATAAATTTATAAATAGTGAGTGGAATTAAAAAAATACAAATCATTCCTGAATTATTAACAGAGGTACCATCAACTAAGAAGAACATATAATTCCTTTATTATTCAAGTGAGAATAAATATTTATGTATGACAAACTATTCAGCTTTCGAGATTTGTAAAAGTGGGGTAATTCCTGTTATTATTATGATGGGATGAAAGGCAATTGTGGGAAAAAATATAACATAAATTACTGATGTGCTAAGTGGAATGCTGTTAACGAAATGAACATAAAGTGAGAAGAAAAACAAACATAGCAAACACAATGAAACGGATTAAAAAACAAATCGGATACTTTTTGCATATTTTAGTTTGCATCATCTTCAGTCGGCAATTTGTGAATGGTAAAAAAGCTTTCGACTTTGCTTATCACAATAATTTTGGATTTCTTTTTTTATTCCTTGAGTTCTGTTCTGTTCTGTTTGGTTCTCCCACTCAAAGTTGTGTAATAAATTTCCGTCCATTTACTTTTATTGTCTTCTCTTCTACATTTTTTCTTTTTGTATAATGTCTATTATAGATTTTTATGCTATTTTTCTGTGAAAAATATATGGGAAGAACCGTGAGAGTGACTCGAAATGGTATCTCATATTAAAAAAAACGAAAGGCATGGCATTCAATTGATTGATGTATGAAGAGAGTTTTATGGCTCATTTTTGTGGGAACTTGATGGATTTAGATTGATTTTTCGATTTTTTATTTTCATTTTTCTTCTTTTATCTCTTTAACTTCTGCCGATTGTGTCAGAAGCAGCTGAAGCGAAATTGATAAGTTTGAATTCGAATTCTGTCTCTTAAAAAAGAAATTGAAGCGAAAACGATTTTAAAGAAAACTTTGCTGATACTGTAGAAATAAAATTAAGAAAGAAACAGCAAGATCATTTGAAAAGCTTTCCAAGTGTCAAGATAATGAAACGAGATAACACTTTTGTTATGCGATTTCCGAGCGACTTGCCCGGAAATATGCTTTCACCCAGGAAAATCATTGAAACGAAGAATTCTGCTTTTTTTATGTTGTGATGTGAACCTTTGAACGAAAAAGAAAGCAAAAATGTAAACCAAACCTTCTACATTAGGCTATCAATGTGTTATTATGAAAGTGTGGGAGGATTTTCATTCCTTTGTGTGATCAACACATTTATTTAGAATTTCAAATTAACATTTATCTATCTAAGCAGATATAAGGAAAAAGTTCACGCTGATGGTTTCTCTGAAAACATAAATGACATGCCTGAAGAAACTTTGCATTTCAACAAAAGAAAGAAGCATAAATAGAGCTTAAACTGCTGACAAGGATATTTTAAGTTCTGTTTTATGTATTTACTTCTTGCTTTCGTGTTGCTATTTATTAAAATACTTTTGTTTAAGACAAGAAAAAGAAACAATTTGGAAAATTTATAGTTAAAATTTAGAAGGGGTTCCATTTCCTGCCAGTTATTCCTTTTTTTCGTGAAACTTTAAACTTTAAACACTTCTCCTAACATGAAATTGGTCGAGATAATAAAAGTAAGTCATCTCGTTATCTAAGATACAACATTAACCATTCTTTGTAATAGAACAACTTGTTCTTATCTTAAAGCCAAAGGAAACTCTTTTCAAATGAAGACATTTTAAAGCAAAATTATCTGCGGCTTGGTTTGCTAATCTCTGAGTTATGAATCCCATATGCTTTCAATGAAACAATCTTCTCTAAGCTTTGGGTAATTAAATAATTTCTTCTTCCATAAATATGTTATATTAGCAACCGGATAATGTTAAAAAGATAAACATGTGTTGATATATAAATAAACATAGAAAGAGTGAAATCAGTTTAGATTATAATAAGCAATTTAAATGAAAGAAGCGAGTTAGATAAGCAGAGGATATCAACTTTGAAAAGAAACATTAGAAGATAAATTATCTAATCCAAAACGAGTCACGTAAACTTCGAATTCTTCCCAAAAACATTTTCTATCTGTTTCTGACTAAATCCAATAATCAGCAATTTATAAGCATAATGCCTTGGTTGTCAAATTGAATGCATAAAAATTACTGAAGACGAATAATGTCTATTCACTTACAAACATCTCGCTATTGTGCTGTGAAAAAAACCTATCAATAACAAGAGTGACAATGATTGAGTGTCAGTTACAAACGGTTGCTGACGTTAAGCCACATTCACCACCATTCCTTCTCTCGTCTCTTTCTCCCTTTCAATTCTCACATCATATCTATTAATCTCTTTGTTTGTAATCTCATAATAATATGATTTTATTGTTATGAAAGATTTTAGTGCGAATTGTGAAAATAATTTTATTTTATCAAATAATTCACCCCCGCTTTTTGTATGAAGTGAAAAAACATCTTTTTTTTTCTTTCCCTCGTAACATTTGATTCTCCAGGGAAGTCAATAGACAATAGCCTCATACAAGAATACCAACAGCATTTAGAATATGATAATCCTGCGTCCCTGCCGAAATTTTTATCCAGAGGACAATCATATAGAGCTGTTATAGGCGATACGATAGTTCTGCCATGTGTGACTCAAGACTTAGGTGAGAAAAAAAACGCAATTGGACTTTGATAGAAACACGTGTTTCCCATTTCATTGTTTCTTTAATGTTGTTAATGGAAAGTGAACACATGTTGCTATAAATTGAAGCTGATTCATAGTCAAATAACAACTTATATGTTTTCGACGTACTTACATGTCCATAAACATGTAAAAATAAAATAAATAGGTAGAAATATTTTGCTATGGCGTCGTGGAAGCTCTGTAGTGACTGCATCAAATCTTATGATTACACGCGATCCGCGCTTCCGACTTCTTGACGAGTATAATCTGCAAATTAAAGGGGTACGGCCACAAGATGCCGGCGATTATATTTGCCAAATAGGAGATCAAGAAAACAGAGACTTGGTTCACACGGTTGAGATTCTCGTTCCACCAACAGTGAGAGCTCATCCTGAGACGGGTCATGTTACAGCCCGCAAAGGCAGCACCGTTACGCTTGAATGTAAAGCAAGCGGCAATCCAGTCCCAAGCATAACATGGGTGAAGAGGGTAAAGATTTTAATTTTCCTTTAAATACATCTTTGGAGTATGCTTAAATGTCTTCAGGAGCTTACAAGTGAATCCCCCCAACTGGCCGAAGGTCCATCGTTAACTTTGGAGCATGTTGAACGCCAATCAAGTGGAATTTATCGCTGTATAGCGGACAATGGCGTACGGGATCCCGTTTCTATAGACATGCAGTTGGTGGTGCTTTGTAAGTAAAATTCCGCCAAAATTATAATGAAAATAAATTTTTTTCGCAGAAAGGAATGTCATTAAGAACAGAAACTGACGGTACGTCAGAACCCATTTCCTGATGACACAAAAGAATATTCGAATAAAAGATTTTTTAAATGTAGAGAAAGTCAAGTGAAGAAGTCATGTGAGAAATAAAATATTAAAGATTCAATATTCGATACGTGTTTTCATAAATATTTTGTTCTTGTGAAGATTTTTGTTGTAAATAAACGATAAACAACATCGAATCGTAGGAGAAGCAAAAATTTATCGACAAACAGGGAAAAAAGTTGAGAGAAATCAACCCATTTAAAAAACATTTAATTATTCACCTCTGGATTTGCTTCGCCATGTACAATGCATACAAGTTGTGCTTCGTGACCTGGAGACGAAAGAAAAAATAATAAACCAAAAATTGAATGGGAAATAAAAAGAATGTCGGCTAAATTTTTTATGCTTATCAAAGCGCTTTTTCTTGACTGACCTTCGCCTGCGTGTACCCATGGCTTTTCAACGCTGATTTCGGGCGGCGCTGAAATGAATAAATTAAAAAGGAAATTTTGTTATGAAACTCGAACCCATCAAAACGAGATTTGAAAAATCTTCCTTAAATGTTTCCTTTCAGTTGTTGTGGTATCAAGATTCATTTCTACTCGATCCCACTGACCGACGCTCGATGGATTCGAGAGGCGATCGACACATGCTCACAATCAGAAACATTCAATCATCAGATTTTGGGAATTACAGGTGAATATAAATAGATTGAGAATGTTAAATAAAAGTCAGAAAAGAGATGAAATCACTGGAGGCTTCAACAATGCTTGACAAAATAAAGCAGATTGAAGCTTTCGACTTTTATCAATTTCAATGTATAGCAAACTGCCATAATTCAATGAAGAGTCTCTTCAATCATACTAATGGACGCTTTTTGTTTTCTATCATCCTACAGTTGTGTAGCTGACAATGCATTAGGCAGAGCGAAAAAATATATCGAAGTTTCAGGACGACCCGGACCAGCACAATTTCATTCACCCCTTTACGGTCGTTCAAGAGATGTTTATAATCTGACCTGGAGCGTTGAAAGTGTACCAAAGTTAGATGAAATAAGAATTTTATACAGAAAACTTATGGTGAGTTGAATATCTATCCATAAATATATCATTCATTTCTATTCTTCATGAAACTTTTGTTGCATGCCTTAAAGCATTTTCTTTCTTTACTTCACAATCTCCTTTCAAAGTTATGCTTTCATTTAAATCCGATTAAATCCTTCAGATGAAATCCTGTAATTCATAAATATTTTACGATTATGTTTATCTTTCATTCTCCTTTTGAATGGTCAACTTGACCAGAAAGCATATCAGATGTTGAGGGTAAAATTCAAATTTTATTTTCTACAAGAAAAATTCAGTAGCATGTTGAATGTTTAAGTTATGATTCATCATTCTGTCTTGAAATTGAAGCTTCACCCTAATTGAAGGAATTCTCGTGATTCATGAATTTTTAAACGCAACATTTTTTCACTTCCATGTCAGTAACTTTCATTTTCATCCTTCGATGAAATTATTTACACACACACGCCCACCCACATGTAATTTTGTGATGAAAAGAATAAATAAAAATAAAAAGCTTCATTTGATTTTCGTTTATTTAAAGCATTAAGCATGAATGAGCTTCTAAATGCAAGAACAATTTTTCGAAATCGTTACTGAATATTTAACTGAACAATTCTTATTTCAAATGTAATCATGCCATTGAAATGTGCTGTGCTGTATGTAATCGCATAATTTTGAATAACATGAAATTGAGATTTCCATTGAATTTAATATTAACAATTTTATGTTTTATTTATATCATTGAAGAGAGTTTTATTATCGATATACAATCATACAAGTATTCGTTCAAATGATGTAACAAAAGGTGATTGATTTCGTTAATATGTATTTCGTATTGTGGTCCTTGAGCGAATGCTTTAGTTGCAGATATATTTATTTATTCCGACCATAACACGCTTAAATAAAAATCTGAACACAATTATCTGTCGAATATTTAAATAATGAAAGCAAATTCATTTAAATAATTTCACAGATGAACGAGACTTATCAGCAGCCCGGGAGATGGCATGAACTGGTTTTGACACCTCCCCATGGTCGCAGCGAGTCAGCGCATCATTTTATGGTAAATATGTTGATGTTATAAATGAATCGTTGTTTATTTACACAAGTCGTACGTCCTGTCGTTCATCTTTTTCTATGCTACAAAATGTGATCTGTTTGTGTTTGCTTCGTTCACTAATGCGATTAATAACTTTTCATTCTTCTCTGCTTTAATTTCTACAGACGTACACAATAAGAGGCTTAGAAGACAATTCTGTTTATGAAGCTATTGTTCAAGCCAAAAATCAATATGGATGGAACGAGGTGATAATTTTATATAATTATAATTACTTTCAGTTTTCACCCTTTTCACTTCTTCTTTCCTTCTCAATTTCAAAGTTGAGAAATTCAGAAATATTTCCGGCATGGTGCTGCTCGCTTTTCATGATATAACGAATATCTAAATATTTATTTTCGTAAATAATTTATGTTTCGATTTATTCACAGGTTAGTGACATTTATCAATTCTACACACAAAGTAACAGCTTGATGATGGGTGGAGAAGAAGTTGAGATGGCTGTTCAATCGGAATTCAGTCACGGAGTTTCAATCATAATAAGAGGAAATCTCCAAAGTGTAAGCTTATCTTTAGTTATAGCAGAGCTTTTAAGGTTGTCAATATTTTCATAAGAATTGTGGGACACATATCGAAGTAAAAATAGAATTTTTTAATTTCAGTTTACTAACTAATTGTTTATTTTCACCTTGAATGAAAAAAGTTTGATGAGAATTGATGTGTATGAATACTAAACTAAAAGAAGAAATTATTAGAAATTAAGGTTTCCAATCGAAGTAAAGTAATTAATTTAATTTTTATGAAGCTTAAGTGTGCCGATGTAGATAAGAAATATATGACTGATATCTTTAGAGGAAAGCAACTAAAGGCACAAATCGATCGATCGGAAAAAAAGTTTTAAGTTAATTTTCAATAACATTTGGTTGAAATGCCACACACCACTTCAATAATATTTAATTCAGCTAGATAATATTAACAACAACAACCAACCATCAAATGAATTAATGTTTCTTTGTTACCGACCTAAATAAAGTAAATTGAGAACTTCAGATCAATTATTGAAGTGTAAAAATGCTGTATAAAAAGTGTTCGTACAAATAGAAGAAATTGTTTGTTTTTCATAGCTTTTAAGAGGATTTTACTGTGTAAATATTTCGACATGTACTTAGTTGAGGCCTAGCGATTAACATATTTCCCTTACCTGATGTTTGTGAAAGAAAGAATGAAAGAAAGGAAATAAAAAGTGGAAAAAAGGAAAAACATTTTCAATTGTGAGAAGAATGTACAATAAATACTTGAAAAATGTAGTAAAAGCTTTGTGTTTATTTAGTTTTTTTATGTATCCTTTAAAAGCAAAAGAAGTATAAACAGCAAATGTGAAGTGAACGTTAAGTTGAAGTTATATAATTAAATTAATAGCAAAGGACATTAGCCATCCACCAACAAGCAGCGAACGAGGCGAAAAGTTTCACAACAGAATGATAAATATTTCTTAGATGGTCCTTTTTCTTGTTTACATTTAAGCGAAGCTTTACAAACATGGATAATTTATTATTTACAGAGGTATAACGTCAACAGAATTCAGCGATGAGAAAAGATTTTATCCTATATGCTTAGCTTTTCCTTCCCATTTTTCTGTTTGAACTTTTACTTTCGCTTCGTCAACTGTTTTTGTTGTCTCTTCAGCTGCCTTTTGTGCTTGTGCACATTCCGCGACGGAAATTTATTTCCATGATATTTAAGACAAAAGACAATGATGATGTGGGGAAGTGTGGGAGGGATATTAAGAGAAATGCGAATACTGATCAAGACGACAATACTAATTAGCATGTCTTACACAGAGAATTAAGAACATTGCAGCGACATTAATTATAAAGAAGAAGGAAGATGAAGAAAGAAGCTAAGAAGAACAAGAAATCTATTTGGAGCGTTAAAAGTAAACTCCTAATGATTAAACGAAATCAATTATGTTTGTATATTAACATATACGTTTGTAAGCATACATAAGTACTTAAATATACCTACAATTTCTTAATCAGCGTTGCGAGCCAAGTCGAGTTTCGCCCTTTCGATTGTTGTGAATAAAAAGTAGTAACAACAGCGTCTTATCACGCAATCAAATATCATTGCGTGAATATAAAAGAAAAAAAAATTAATGCTGAAAGGTTGAAATTACACAGCTAGAGGTAAATTAAAATTTTCCCGGCTCCCCTACCCAATTTATTTGTCGTCCCCAAAGCAATAATTCATAAAGTTATGGAAATAGAAACATGGTAAAAATTATGTTTCGCTTCAATGCTCTTGATGGCGAATGTTATTTATGAGTCGCTATTTTTTCATTTTTGAGTATTATCCGGGAAAATGCTGGAAAAAGCTTTGGTTTGGCGTTGGAAAATTATTCATGAGTCTCTGAGAAGCTTGTAATGCTTACCAAAGTTTTGAATTAATCTTTCGCTTCATATTATTGCGGTAGTGTTTCGGATGTCTGATTGAGGCATCCATTAGCTGATTGAATTGAGTGATAATTCATTGCAGATTTTCACATTTCACTTGAGTATTGCCGAACATTACTCACAGTCTATCTTAGGAGTCAGGAAAACATTTCAATAAATCTGCGAATGTCTTAAGCAGCAAATGAGGCAATTTATTGTTTTCTGCAGAGATTATTTTGAATGCATTCAAAGCTTAAGTATAATTGACGCCATACGAGAGTTTCCTCAGTGTTTGATTAATACATGCATAAGGTAAGTGTGATGAGTTAATTAGGCTGACCTGTAATCTGTTGATGAACATCCATTAGCTTCAATGTTCATCGAGAATAATCAAGTAAATGATTTTCGAATGAAGAAATATTTATTCATAACTTTGATCATTGCATAAATTTTTCTTTTTTGAAAATATTTATGATTTAATATCAAATTTCTGCGTCTGACATCAAATTAATTTTATTATTCAGCTTTTATGAACCTCGAGGAAAGCGATATCTTCTCATACCACGCCATATAAAATGTTTTTAAAAAACAACCTGTTCGGTTTTCGAAAGCACCTTTGAACATTCAACCGTTTGATAAGGAAAAAGGCAAAGTAAAGCAATGAAAATAATCAACAGGAGCTGACATGGCAATCAAAAAATACGACTTCGATCTGAAAGGTTTTCCATTTATGAGGGAAAATCAATTTTAAATTTATGCTACAACACAACAAAGTCCATTTGCAACAAATGTCAGATTGAAACATTTTATTCTCGTTTTCGATATGAAAAGAATGTTCAATATTTCTTATGCTGTTGTAAGTACAATTGCACTTCATACTCTTATTTTTCATCGTTCTGCAGCATTTAAATTGAATTTTTTTATGAGCTCAACTAAGTGAAAACTTCTGCAGGTAGGTGAGTGTGTAAAAACCTCCCACATTATCGAATTTATGACAACATTGAACGAAAATTTTCTGTTGATGCTGATGATGGTGAACACAAAAGATTATTTATGAGTATGTACGCTTCTTTATGGTTCGGTTATTAAATTAAAGATGAAAAATCGATGTGACCTGTGTCGAAGGAAAAAAATGCAATTTCCTTGAAGAATAAATTGTAATCTCATTTCTCAACTTCCTCAATAGCATCGGTAATGTTGAATAGTCCATAGACCATTTTTTATTTTACCGCTTCAATTTATCTTCATTCCCTTTTCTTCTAGTAAATTTTTTTGTTTGTTTGTTGTTTGCTTAAAAGTACCTACATAGATGTATTCGTGAGAGATAAAAGTTTCTTGTTAAAAAATTTATTCAGCTGAATGAAATATAAATACGGGAAACAGTAAAGTTTCAATTCATTCAAACAAATTTTGAAATATGTATCCTCGTGTTCTACGAAGCTACACGTTCATGTTTAGTTTACTCTTTAGATAAGATAATTTCCATATGTAAACGAAGAACAAAAATGAATGAACGAATATCACATCCCCTTTCACTTTTTGTATTATTAGGAGAGTATCTGAGCTAATAAAATATTTTCATACAATTTTTTTATTAATCCCGACATTTTCATTCAATAATCCCTTCATTTCGCATTACAAATCAATGAAAAAAAATTCAATTTCTTGACTCTTCATAACTTCTTGTTTTTCTAAGGCTTCTGCTTCCCCCTCATGGTTTTTATTCATCTCATTTTTTAAAGCAAACAAACAAGATTTCTACTCAAACTAATCTCATTTTGAACAGAATTAAACATTTGAGATTTTTGCTGATGGTATTTGATGAAAACTTCGAAGTGAAAAGGGCGAAGGGATCTCATTATGTACACAGGCGAATATTCAATTATGATATAATGAGATCTTTATTTCAACGATATAATGATTTCGGAAATTTTAATTAAATATCAACAGAACTGCGTAAGCAAATTCTTTTTTTACACTCGATTTTATATTAAATATAATTAATTTTCCTTTATAAATACAAAGAATTACGAAGAAGTCAAGTCAAGCAGATATAATTATTTTCAAAACAAAAAGAAAAGTTTCGTCGTCCTTTTTATAAATTCAAAATTAATTAAGAGTATTTTGTACTACTTATAGCTTACTTAAAATTTCTTTTTCTTTCTTTCATGTTTCTTCATTCAAGTAAATTGAAGAGGCATCACAGGTGAAACTTCCTGTAAATTTTCAAGCAAAAGCGACCTTTCAAACTCATCTTCATTAAATATTTACTAAGATTCAACCCTAAACTGGTCAATGAAATAGATTTCAAATATTAAATTCCACTCACAATTTTCATTATCTCGTATATCTCAAAGCATAAAATAAACTCCTCAAGATTTATTACTCAATTTGGAATCTCAAATAAATGTCTATTTTGTCTTTCTCTGTTCACATTTTTGTTTTTCTTTCGTTCCTAGTACAACTGAGAAGGCAGGATGAGAAATTGAAAATCGAATCACAGAAAACTTAAAAGACTCTAATATAATGGTTAGAATTTATCAAATTTACGCATTGAAGCGAATTTGTAATTGAATTTAAAATTCTGAAAAGGTTTTCTCTATTACCGACCATCCAAGAAGAAAGCACTTTGATAAATCAATAATTCATAAATATCTAGAAGGTATTCTGAAAGCAAAGCGAGTAAGGAATAAGCAATTGGAGAATCAATTCCGTGTCGTTTCTCTTCTCCAACGACAACCCAACTAAAACAATTTGAGTTTTATTTTAAGTGAGAGAAATATCAAGTACAATTGACATTTCTAAGACATTTACACGGTTGAGTGTTCAAATTAAGCAACCGTTCTTTCTTCTCCGTCATTTATTTACTCAAAGGATTTGAGCGAATGCCTAAAAATGTTTATTTAGATTTTCCTGATTTTCCTTCGTCTCGTCTAATGATCATTATTTTTCAATTTTGAAAATGCGATAAAAGTTTTCACTGCTTGTTTTGTAATGTGGGTAGAAGCAAATGTAAAACAAAGAAAAACGAAAGAAGTTACGCAGATTTCTTGCTTACATTTCCACCTTGATTTCAAAAGATTTAATTAGTTTCACAACAATTCCCAAAACCTCAGACGAGAATTAAAATTACTCGTTTTACATGAAACTTTTCAGAAACGGCGTCAGAAGAGAATGAAAAGTGTGGGAAAAATAATTACACCATAAACATCATAACTCACATTTTGTGTAGAACATAAGGGATCTTTTGGCCAACATGACTTAAATTTATTCTGTGTATGCTTCTTCAACATATAAAACATATTTCAACAGATCATTCGTATTTGTGTCGACAAGATTTTTCAATTTCATTTTGACAGGATTCATAGCAATGTGATAAGATGCTTATGCAGATGCGTTACATGAAAAAACTTAATTATTCTACTTAATTCCCTTTATATTTGAGATGCACTTAAGTAATTACGTATGCTCGTACTTTGAGGGAAAATCTTTTTAAAAAATAATTTTCTTTGAAGAATTTTCTTCCTATGCTCTTCAAACGTGAAACTTTTTCAATTTTTCTAAAAGCATCCAAAGATGAAGCAACAATCTTTGACAATCTTTTGTAAAATTAAATGTTCTAAACTCTGAAAGTTGAAACTTTATTGAAATTAAAATACTCTGGCGATGTTTCATTTTTAATTACACTTGTCATAATTTATTATGAAATATCTGAGTTGAAAGTAACATAATACAAATTTTATCTTTACAAAATTATTTTCGAAACAATTGTTCAACAATGAAATTTCAATTTTCAATGTTTCTCCCATCAAGCCAGCTTAAATTCTAAGTATAAGAAAAAGAAGCTTACGTCGTATTTCATATATTTATTATATTTATTTATAAAAAGGCGATCTCATCTTTCTTTCAAGTTTAAGATGTCTTTGGGAAAGAAAAGCTTTTTACGACCAATGAATTATTTACAAAATATGATCTGTGTAACCTTGAGGCATTGAATGGCTCATTTGAATGAATCCCTTTATCCCATTCAATATTTTTATTACCGCTTCAAAAGTATATGAATATAATCCAAATACTCATCTTCTTTATGGTGATTTCGCAAAATGAACGTACTACGTAGCCCCGAAAACTGTAAAATGTAAAGTATGTAGTAGAAATTCGCTTGGGAGTGTAAGGATTGCCCTTCATGTTAAAAAGTTTTGAATTAGACTCTTGGGTAGGAGTTAGAGGTTGTAGAGCATTGAAATCTCGGATGAATTCAAAAGTGTCAAACTGAATGTCATTTGATTCTTTTGACTTGTTGAGCTTCTGTGTAACGATTTAAGCTTCAAGAATGTTATTCAGGAAAAGGAAATTCATTCAAAGTTTGAAACTTTCTGCATAAGTAATCAGAATGCTCACTTCAGTTTCAAATGACAGATCGATTATAATTTTATGCAACTGATTGTCAAACATTCTTTAGAAAAAAATCTATTAACGGTTGCTAAGAGATTTTCTCTCCTTTTTCCCTTCCTTTGCTGCTTGAAAATTGCATCATCAAACTTTTCTCATGTTTGTTACATAGTTTTTTATACTTTATGCTTTATGTTAAGCAATAAGAGATTTCTTCAGTTATGTTATGAATAAAAAGTTGATAACAAACATTTTGTATTCTTCTTTTTTTCTTAAACATTTTAAAGAGAAAAGTATTTCAAAGAAAAAAGCCCTCGAGATGAAAACTTTTGAAATTTATACCGTCGAGAAAGCTGAGAAAAAATATCCAAATAAATAAATTCACTTCTGTAGGCACTATGAAACTTTGATTTCGATGCAAAAGTTTTTTAAAAAAGTGAACTTTGTAGAATATTTTTATAGAATGTTTAAGTTCCAAATAAAGTTTTTGATTTGTTAGCTTTCTATCTAAAGTGAATCCAAAAACATTAACATGAACTGAAGAAGAAAAAAATCATTGAGGATGTTGATGAAAAAATGCATTCAACTGTTCATAAGTTCTAGTAGAGTAGAAGAAGACTTCACACTCAATTAAATTGATAGAATCGAAGCCAATATTTTTTTGTACTTTTCAACTTCTTAGCTAACAAGATTATTTGCCATTTCGAAGATAATAAATCATAAAAGTTAAGAGAAAAATAACACAAAAATTATGTACCACATGAATGCGCTTGATATGAAAAAGTTATTTACGACTCTTTGGAAGTTATGACATAAAGTTTGTTTGTAAGTATGACAACATTTATGGAGCATTAATTGCCAATAGCGGTAGCAAGATGTATTGCTATTGATTGTCAGAAATTCCATTCCCATTTCTTCATTCCCTCTAGCCTTTGTCTTATAAAAAAAAGAAACAAACTTAAGCTTTGCTTTTTTCATCGTAGAAGAGACGACGGAGTGAGGGAATCATTAAAAACATAAATTTTCTACAGAACTTTTCATTCCATGAAAGCAATTTTTAATTCACGTTTTTCCAGCACGTGGAAGCCTCCCGGTGAAATCCCTTCGAAAATATTTCAAGCATAGAACATTTTAATTACTTATGTAGATGATGATGATGTTCATTAGCATTCCGTAAAAATATTTGTTTCAACAATTTCTCAGAAGAAACTCTTAAAAGTCGTTAAAAACGTTCAAATATTTTGCATTAGCAGCATGAATTTTATAAATGAGCATAATAGCAAGTAACAACGAAGGAAGTTGTTTTATTTTTACTTTATTCGATAAATATTTTCATTTTTTTGTCTTCAGAGCATAATTAAATGCATAAAACTTAAATAATATTTTCCAAATTAATTAAATTGATTCAAGTTGAATGAATATAATTTTGCTTGTGTTCTACATTTAATTGAAATTGGAATTGCATGAAAAACAATTTGTGATTGCTTCATTATATGAGACTCTTTTTTTTTAATAACTCGTTTGTTTAATGAACATCCAATAATCAAACAAATAAATGCGTGCTAGTTGATTATTTCATCATCATTAGCAGGCGGAAATTAAGTTATGGCGAGTATTTCAGGCGCTCCAAATTCTTGTTTTTTTTTTCTCTTTTTGAATATGTATGTTGTGTTCTTTTATATCAAAACATGAAATCTCAAGATAACTCCAAAACCTTAACAACATTAAAATCTTGCACGGATATCATGGAACTTCTCATATTTAATCCACTATGTACATATCTACAGCAGAACATTAAACTATGATAAAATCAAATAATGTTAACCGAGATGTTATCTTAATCGAATGATTGCTTACGTGCACAACACTTTACCCTCGTAGCTATCATCAAAAGTAAAGTTTCTTTTACTTTTTCGAACATTTTTATTGCTTAACACAAATCCTTTCCTTTATCAGCTAACAGTAATAAAAAATGTTTTTGCGGTTCGTGAGACACAAAAAGTTTCCTTTCTCGTCGGAAATTTAAAACGAAAATCCAATTCATTTCTCACATAATGACAAATTGACTCAAATAAATTCATTTCTCACATCGAGACAAGGATGGAAAGATAACTAAATGTCTTTTCGGAAGATAAACAATAACAATATGCTAAGAGCCGCCACCGCCGTAAGAAAAAGCTTTTATCGCCTACTCAAATTGTATGACGGTGAAAGGAAAAGCTGAGAAAATAACGGCATTTCTTTTGTTTTAATTTTAAAAAGCATAAGGAAACCATAAAAATTTACTCAACACTGTTGTTGTTTTTGCTGTTAGCACTTAGCACCGACCGCGATAATGATTCAAACAATTGTGTTCGTCTTGAAGGACGTGACGGGAATAAAGTTGGAACAATTGAAAAATATTTAGCTTCGTTTCAATTTTTCGTTTGCCTTTTTTTCCTCCTTTTTTCCTCGAGGAATTCGAATGTTCAGACTTTATATTGTGGGCAGTTGGAAGCATGTTGTGCAATGTTCGTTCTCTTGGTTGTTGTAACGTAGATTTACATTTTAATAATCACTTTCGAACATTCAATATATTTTACCAACCCTTGTAAATACCAGCTATAAAAGGCTGAGAAGATCAGGAAATAAAATACTCTTGTTTGAAAACTTAAAAAGCAAACATTGAATAATTATTAGTCAAGCGATATAAAAGTTAGTTGTTAAGCGGGAATAACGAGATCTGGCTTCGAGCGACATAATTTCATTAACTTTTTAATTAGCAATTAGGATACAACACAAAGTCAATCGAACATTACCGGAAACCATTTCTTGATCAGTTCTCAACATAAGTATTTCTAATCCCAATTGCTTCAATTTCAATTTGTCACCATTCATCTCAATTTTCTATCTTCACACGCCCTTTAAAAAAGGAAATAGAAGAAAAATTTATCAAATCACCAAGCAAAATTAATTGACTCAATTTTCTTTCTCCATCTCCTTACATTATCTCCATTATTTTACTGAATTTACTGAATTTGCAAAATTAAAAAAAGAAAAAAGGCAAAAGCAGAGCCACGTTAAAGTGATTTTAGTAAACCATTTTCATTCTTCTTTATTATTTCCATTACATTTCGATTGTATGTTAATACCGCTCGTTTTATGTATTCGCTCTCCATCTCTCTCTCTTATATTCGTTGATATTGCGATCTAACTTTTAAAGAACAAAAAAATAAAACGTAACATCTTTGTTTGACTTCCATTTGCGGCACTTTTGTTTGTCCCAAAACACCCGGAAAAGAGAATATCTGCTTAAAGAATGAAGATTCAACTGCCAGTTTGTTCTCTTTTCTATTTCATATTTCAATCGAAGACTTCCATCTGCGACGCACAGCAAAAGGTCAAATAACATTGGCAAATTTTCGAGCACGAGGGCTTTGCTGTTTTAATTCTTTAAGAGGTAAATTAAGCACCCGAAAACCGGTCCTTTTTTTGATTACTGTGTGAGAACTTTGCCTTCTCATTCTCACCCACAATCCACATAACAGAACGTAAACTTCCATACTTCCACAAATCAATGACTCCAAGCAAGAAACTTTTGCGCTTCATATTCGACTTTGAAAAACAATTTTCGGTTTCCTCATTCCGAATTAGTTTTTTTTTTCGTTCAACACCACATCCAAAATATATTTGGTTGCTATTCTACTTTCATTTATTTCTATGCTGTTTCTTTTTTTTTATTTAAAGAAAGAAAACACAATGAATCGTCATGGAAGTGAAGTGATAAATAAAATTCCCCCACAAACCTTTTTCTTGCTTTGTTTCATGTTTCTGATGTTATTTATTTTGCATTAGATATTGCGTTCTATTTTAAGAGATGCGAAGTCTTCATGTCAATGTAATATTTGTGCGCTTTCTGACTGTTTTCTTATTCTTTAAAAAGAGATAAAAGTTTTAAAGGAGAAGCAAACATTTTCATTTAAGAATTGTAATTCAATCTGACTATCACAAACTCCCAACGAAAGCAACTCAAAAGTAATTAAATTTGAGTTTATAATTAAAATAATGAAACCACCGCACATAACTTTGCTGAAATTACCTTCAACAAAATTGGTAAAAGAAAATAGGAGAAAACTTTCACAAGACTTTGGAATCTTAGGACGAAGTTTATTCGATAAACTTTTCCAAGCCTCTTGACGACATCATAATGTATGACAGAAAGGCTTTCCCATCCACCTCCAATTGTAACTTTTTTTTT